GCCAAACAAAAATCAAGTCGGCATTATATTCCCCCAGAGGCGTCTCCCATAGACAATATGAAATCAACGCCATCTGAGTAGAGAAGCAAGGAAGTGATTCTTTCCTGAATGCCTATTGATTTCGATTTTTCCATTATAGTGAAATTCAATCATCTTGAAATAACATAAGATATCTAGAAAAACAATAATTGAAATCAAGAAGTTGAGTGCGCCGCCATCTTGAAAATATTTTCATTGATGACCAGGACTCAATCGATTATCCCCTGTGTACGAATTTTCAGCTTAGTGTCATTTGTAGAACTCTAAATACGTCTAGCCCTGTATAGCTCCCCGCAGGGGCGTAGCTACCGCCGTATCAGCCGTATCGATTATACGGGGCCTTCATAGGGTACAGGGGCCCCGACTTGTGTAATCAATGATTCGTAAAATATTATCGACAACCTCATTCAAACTATAAGGTCGTAGAGTTGGTGACATTGATGCCAAGATTTCTAGATTTTGCATGGAACTATCTAGGCATTGGTTTTTTTTTTTTTTCATGTTCTGGTTCCCACGAAATAAGGGATGTCCAAAATGGGAACAGTATTCCAGGACAGGTCGGTAATAATATTCGTTACTACCAAGGTGTATATTAAATTTTTTTCACCACTAGCAATACATTTCATTTCTGTGAAACTGAAATATGAAGCTATATACCTACTAGATTAGAATGCCATTACTGCGAGTCTCGCATGAGAACAATGAATTCGGGTTAACAGAGGTGGCGTGTACACCTTAGTAGAACTTCCAACTCAAACCATGTTTATAATGATCCTTTTATACATAAATAATGATTGACGACATAATTTGATCGAAAAATTACCTGGAATGTTTTATTTTTGGATATAAATAATAGTACCTTCTGAAAACGGACCCTCTTATTACGTAGAAACCTCATCTCGCCATAGATTTAAAAAAATACCATACGCCCGACGGAGACTGAGGCAGCTGATGTATTAATTCTTTCAACTGTGATCTCGCGCTAATTCACTCTGTCAGAAATCATTTATCATTCATTTCTGTCTGGAATAGTCTTGTTTCAGTATTAGGGTTTTGACGTCACATCATCCTCGTTTTCAGAGGTCCGAAAAATCGGGGATTACAATAATGTTTTATAAAACGTAGGGAGCTCACAGCAAGAAACGGTTTGCGGTGGTGAGCTAGTTTGGGTGAGTTCTATCGAATTATCAAATAAACATTTTTTGTGATGTAAGCCCATTGACGCCATTGACGGCATTAGAACGAAAGTTAATTTGACACTTCCGTCATCATGAATTGCCTAATTGATTTGTATATTGTGTATTGTGTGAACATTCGACAATTTTGATTAGAAGTACCTTCAGAATATGAAGAAATGAATCATATCATTGGAATTCGAATAGGATAGTATTGTTACGTGTTTTATAATAGTGATAAAGACATTGATTACTTGGATTACACAGATTTTATTGTTATATCGACGCTAAAGCATGCATCCTGAAGCCAATTTATTTTACCTCCCACGGGAGAAAATATTTCTTTCCTGAGGGAGCAAACGCGTACTTTCGATGCAGTGAGTAGATAATATTATATTATGTAACAAGTGTTATAAACGTCCTTTTAGTAACGAGTATTTTAAGCACGAGCGGAGCAACCAGCGAGACACGTATAAGTGATATTGGTTGTAGATGTGTTCAGTCCATTGCTTACTAACCTTTGTTTCACGTTTATTGTCATGCTAAGCGCAGAATAAATAAATTGTTCTCAAAGATGGATGCTTCATTTTTACCAAGTACCAGAACATTCTCTTCGATTTCACTTTCGTCTATACTTTTCGCATATATTTTTAATAAAGAATCCTGATACAAACGAATATTGTTTGAATGATTCTGATACAAAATTTGAAAATAACAGTTGACAGTTGATACAATACTGACAGGCCAGACATGTCTCAAACTACTGAAGCTGTGTGTAACGAACTGTGTTGCCATGGTGAATGTGTTTAAGAAATCGTGTTGCCATGGTAACGTGTTTAATATTCTGAATAAATCACAGATCGTCAATCCGTGATTAATCGATCATTTAGCGTGGTACATATCCGTACGCTAAATGCCATTTTAGTTATGTGAGAAGAAAATAGTATATTATGTAACAAGTATTATAAACGTCCTTTTAGTAACGAGTATTTTAAGCCCGAGCGGAGCAGAGCGGAGCGAGTGTTTAATAAACGAGTGTCTAGAAGAGTTTATAAACGCGTTACATACTATGCTTTTTCTACGAACTCCGAAAATAACATTAACATACCTGCTATTCCTGCTAACCTATAACCTATAAAATAATTCTAAAGGAATGGGAATTGAGAACAAAATACATGCAACTGCATGCAACCTGCGAGACACGTATAAGTGATATTGGTTGTAGATGTGTCCATGCAGTCTATTGCTTACTAAACTTTGTTTCTCGTTTATTGTCATGCTTAGCGCAGAATAACTATATTGTTCTCAAAGATGGATGCTTCATTTTTACACTTCTTGGAGATATGCAAGTACCAGAACATTCTCTTCGATTTCACTTTCGTCTACATTTCGCATATATTTTTAATGAAGAATTCTGATACAAACGAATATTGTTTGAATAATTCTGATACAAAATTTGAAAATAACAGTTGACAGTGAATACAATTGACAGGCCAGACATATGTCTCAAATTACTGAAGCTGTGTTTAATGAACTGTGTTGCCATGGTAATGTGTTTAAGAAATCGTGTTGCCATGGTAACGTGTTTAATATTTTGAATAAATCACAGATCGACAATCCGTGATTAATACATCATTTAGCGTGGTACATATCCGTACGCTAAATGCCATTTTATTTATGTGAGTAGAAAAAGAATATTTTTACCACGTCACCTTATATCCCTCGGCTGAATCCTCGAGATATATTCTTGGTCCCTAATGATGATAATTTTTACTACCTTTGTTCATGAATAACTATTATTGCAAGAAGATTGAGGTTATTGACCGCGATTTAATTACGCTAAGTGGGATTCGCATGCAGTCTGGTAAACACGATCATTAGTATCGATTAATTCGAAAACAATCAACGGAATATTGATAATACAGTTTAAATCATGATATCATTGTTTGAATATACTGGGTGTTTCCGAAATTGAAGCGATGAATGGAATGGGGTGTGTATGAGACATAATGACACATAAACTGCAAAAAACAAGTTTTAACTATGATTTTAAATGTAGGAAGTAATGCACGTAATTAATTCTCGAGGTAGTATTTCTGACTTAGCGGAAGGTATCAGCTGAACCTTCAAATTCAAAATCTTCGAATGTATTTTTTAACGAAAATGTACGATTCAATTGCGTTCGGTTTATTTGTCTTCTATCACCACTTCGTTCTATCAGGTTTCCAAAACGAAACCATTGAAGAAATAACCTTACTTATTTTCAACAGTCTTCTAATTCAAATATTCGAAACTAGGAAAGGTATAGGTACAAAAAATACAGGAAATATAAATGTTTTCCAGCTATTTCTGAAAAATAGTGAACAGTTAATCAGAATCCTATTGAAATTGTAAACGGAATTCTATAATATTTACTGTTTGAGGAGAAATCTGAATTGTTTTTGAAGAAACCGAGATCAGCTTAACCACATTGAACAGGTGAGTACTGAAAAACGTATTACTATCTTATACAGGGTGTGAATAAGTGCGATAAACTTCAGGGGGTAATTACTTGTGATACTTTAGAAAATATAGTTTTTATAAACATGTGTTCTAATTTGCTTCATTTTCGAGATACTGGGTATTGATATTTCCATGAAAAATAGTGTTTTTAACCATTACTCGAATAACTTTTTACCAATTTCAATGAAACTTGGTGGTTTAGTTGAATGTAACATGGAGCTTCTTTTGATGTGATTGGATTCGAAAAAATATCTCTAGTGGCGTCACAGTATGTTATTTTATGGATATTTTCGGTTAATATCATTGTATGCCACTGTTTTTTTTGACTTCCATATTTTTATTAGATTGAACAATTGAAATATCAACTTCCTCATCCTCTGTGTTCCTTTCGAACCTCGCTTAGCATATGAGGAAACAATAAAAATTCGATTTGACTCCAAATTTTGATTTAGGTGCTCTCGAAACATTCATTGAGATCAATAACCTCAATTAGAATCATTTTGAAATTTTGGGACTTTCTCTGTCTCCAACCATACTGAATTTTGGCAGCATGAAAGCTTTTACAGGGGCGTTATAAATAAAAACAAATAATACTTTCAACTTCAACATCCTGTATATCAAAAACGAAGCAAGCTAGGACACATGTTCATATGAACTTTATTTCTTAAAATATCACATATCACCCCCTGAAATTTGTCGCACTTATTCACTAACACCCTGTATCTTCGATGAAGACTTGAAAATATTTTATCACACTCGTATAGGAAACCTTCATACAACAACGGATAAACTCTTGCTGATTCTGGTAGGTCTGTATTATAGACACTCTTTATACTAAGCACCTACTTACGCAAAAGTCAGTTTGGAGAAGATATTAGCAGTCTCTCTCGGATGTTCCTTTCTCTCTTCTTTTCCACTGTGGTCCATCTCGGAAACATCCGACTGTATACTGCAGATAGATCTTCAAGACTCGATTGTCGATGTATGTACATAGTACAATAATGGCCGTAGCGATATCTAATCAAGAACAAATAAAACTGTATCAACTCTTCAATGTTCGTTTGTTTCGACAATAATCTGGAAAAACTCCCATTGTCATTTGGGGCCATAAATAATGAGTATTCCAGGTGTCACCAAATATTTGCTTCCGACTGAGTTCCATAGGAAAAATCTGCCTCAAATATCTGGTCAACAGCATGTTGATTTCTTTGAGCAGAATTCAATTGTTGATTCTTATTGATAAGATTCATATAACAATATGAGATTGTTCACGTGGAATGAAACAAAAGAGAGATATAAATATACATTTTATAATTAATCACAATTTATTATCGACAATAAATAATCACAGCAAAGCGAAATTACAAAACTTTCATGAAGCAATATGATTCAAAAACCCTGTTTGTTTCACCATTTTATAAAAATATCCATTCCTATTATCCAGCAAGGTTGTCGGATCGTCAAACTCTTTAATCAATCCTCTATCCAGTACCATAACTTTATCACACTCCAAGATCGAATGCAGTCTATGAGCAATAGTCATCACTGTACAATCACTGAAACTCTTCTTTATAGTACCGTGCAATAAAGATTCGGTTTGGGGATCCATATTAGCAGTTGCTTCATCGAGGATAACTATCTTGGACTTACGAAGAATAGCCCTAGCCAAAACTACAAGTTGTTTCTGTCCAGAGCTGAAGCCCGATCCTCCATTACCATCGGTTTTCATATCCAAATCGGTAACAACATTCTTGATGTTGACTTCTTCCAAGACCCTCCAGAGTTCTTCATCTTGAAACTCTCTGAAAGGGTCCAGGTTGGTGCGTATGGTACCTGAAAAGAACACAGGGTCCTGAGGAATGATAGCCAGCCGCTTTCTGAGAAACTTCAACGATAAAGTACTGATATCGACATCGTCTATGAGGATTCTTCCTTCGATTCCGTACAGCCTGAATATCGAAGATATAATAGAGGACTTTCCTGCGCCTGTTCGACCAACAATACCAACTTTTTGCCGTGGCTCAATCGTGAAATTGAGATTCTTCAATACCATTTGAGTTTCGCTGTACTTGAGAGAGACATTCTCATAGGTGATCATCCCATCACTCGGCCAGTCGTTGATGGCTGAGCCACCCTGTATTTCGGATGGTATTGTGGTGTATTCCAGCAGTCTTTCGACTGAGGTCATCAAGTTCTCTAGCTCAGCCCAGGTCCTGACTCCCCATTGAACAGAGCCTGACAACATGAAGACTTGGGATAGAGCTAAACCAACGTTTCCGGCACTGGTACCTAAAACAAGTAATTATTGACTTGGTCAGCAAAAAATGATCAGAAGTTGTTCTCACCTGTGTCGAAGAAGATGAACATAGCAACAATAAAAATGATGAAAATGTTGCAAACGAAGTCCATGATGAATCCGAAGGCTCTCATGGAACACAGTGAAGTGTAATATGCTGATGTGAATAGATCTTGGTGTCTATCAAACTCGTTGATCAGCACACCTTGGGCTTTGAAAGCTCTGATGGTTGTCAGACCGTCCAGAGATGCGTTCATATGACCTAACATAGGACTACGAGCTGAAAAATTGAAATTTTTTGGTATGTCATGATGAGAAACATTAGGGCCTACTCACTTGCTGTTTCTAATCGTTTTAGACTTCTGCCAGTTGGTATATATAGCTTTCTGATGGATATCAGGATAATCATGCAGATCAGTCCGAATATGAGGAAATATGGATTAACTGTTGAGATGAGAATTATTATTCCAGTGATCACGAAGTTAATCTAGAATGCAAAATAAGAATAGAGAAACTCAGTATGGTTATATTCTACAGGGTGTTCCAAAAACCTACCACATATTCTTTAGACCAAATCAAGCAAACCTACTTCAGTGCAAAGTTGTTTAGTTTGGACGCAAGATGGCTCTGAAGTTACTATTTTCAAATTGCTTTTACTCCATAACTCTGAAACGGCTCATGAAATTTTACACATGGAACCCATATCATCATTCTGATGAATATCATTCCATGGGCGTAGAATTTGATTCATTCAGTGAATAAACATCAACTTTGACGTCAATGAGAAGACATGGGTTCGAATATGAAATTCAGATTGCGGAACTTCTTCACTACGAAAAAGTTACTATCTTGATTAAAAATCGGCAAAATTTGAGTTTTAGTGATGAGAAGCATCAGTCAACACTAAAACGATCACAGATATTTAATAAAAATTGTTCAATATGTTCATTATTTTCACGTATACAAAGAGAAAACAAATTGATACAAAGCAAAACAAAAAATAGCTAGTTAGCATTTCAATTTTTTAAGTCGTATATACCTTTGTATACGTGGAAATGATGCAAATTCCGAACAATTTTCATGAAATATCTGTTATATAATCGTTTTAGTGTTGGCTGATGCTTTGATTTACAAAAATTAAAATTTTCTCGAAACCATGATAGAAATCGGAGTCAATCAAGAAGACCTTCTTTTTAGTAACAAGTTACGCAATCCAAATTTTATTTTAAAACCACTTTCTTTCCATTGACGTAGAAGTTGTAGATGTTTATTTACTGAAAAAATAAAGTTCTACGTCCACAGAATGATACGCACCCAAAGAAGCTATGCCAACGTACCAAATTTGAGTAAAATGTCATGAGCCGTTTCAAAGTTATAGAGCAAAAACGATTGGAAAATCGTAACTTCAGATCCGTCTAACGCCAAAACTAATCAACTAAGGTTAGTTCGCTTTTATCAGATTGTTTTGGTCTGAGGAATATGTGGTAAGTTTCTGTATAGACCTTTCGAGGACACCCTGTATATTAACGCAGGAAATAAACTCCAATTACTCACCCTTATGAAATGCATCAAATTGAATACTAGAGGTTGATCCACATTTTGCAAATCCTGCGAGAATCTGTTCAGGATATTTCCAATGAAATTCGTGTCAAAGAATGACATGACCCCATAGACTAAGCTGCGGACCATAGTTCTGTGGATTTTTATGGAAGCTGTTCTACCAAATCGAAATATGAAGTAAATCTTGATGAAACTCAGAAATGACGCGGCAAATATCATTCCTGAGTAGAGTCTTATGGTAAATTGTTCGTTCGTTATTGCTTCTTCTAAAGCTGAATTATTGAAATTCGATGTAGAATTGCTATAAAAAATATCAGCATCTGTGATGTTCCTTTGGATATCCAACACTTTTTGTTGTTGATCAACCCTAAAAAAATTAAACTAATAATATGCCATAATTAAATTCTACTGATCATTCTTCAAAACTAGATCAAATTTAAAATGATAATTTAATTGTACTCAATTCAGAAACATGCTTATAGGAATTACTTGCGTGAGATCATTATTCGATGAAAATCTTAGGAATCTTTCATAGCATATGAGAATCCTTATTGAAATTCAAATTGGATTAAAAATCGCTTATGCCATTCATTCAATAAGTACTCACCATTTAGTCAACAGTTTGTCTGAATAACTGGTAGCACCTTGCCCAATTCCGTGTAAAAATACATTAAATAGTAGCAATGCGTACCCTCCTCCAAAGATCACATACTTTTTGTACACTCCCAAGTCTACAACGCCCTTCTTATGATCTTCCCTGTAGATCTTTATATTATTAGTATGTTCTGTTTCCAAAACTTTTTCCTCAATAGTTTCCTTCTCTTCCATTTCTATGATTTCCTTTTCTAGATCATCATCTTCTACTACTAGCTCTTTGATCTTACTAACAACAGCATCACTTGGCCTTCCGTGGTATTTGATTTCGCCATTTTCCATAATCACAACGTCATTTGCATCTTGTATGTGGCTCGTAGTTTGAGTAACGAGCACGCAGATTTTCTCCTTCAAAAAACCTTTGATGCACTCATTGTAGATATAGTCCTGCACGTGTGCATCTAGAGCTGTTAGAGAGTCATCTATCAAGTAGATTTCGCTGTCCTTGTATATAGCTCTGGCGAGGTTAACTCTAGCTTGCTGTCCTTTACTGAGGTTAGCTCCTTTGTCAGAAACTATGGTCTCATCCCCATTTTCTAATTGATTGAAGTCGTATTCTAAGGCACACACTCTCACTACTTCCTTGTATCTGAAACAATAATCAGAATATCGCTGGCAAAATCATTATCAATCCATACCTTTTCTCATCGAACTCTTTCCCGAAAATTATATTCTGCCTGACAGAGGAAGGAAAGAGCCAAGGATCTTGGGAAGCATACGAAATCCTTCCATGCGTCAACAAATGTCCCCCACTAAGTGGATAGTCCTGCAGAATTGCCTTGAGCAAAGAACTCTTTCCGGACCCCACAGTCCCAGTAACCATGGTAACCCCAGGCTTGATACTCAACGAGATTCCTTTGAGAATTATCGCGTCCCTAATCTTTACAGCTGCGTCTTTTAGTTCCACCAAGGGTGTAGCCGATGCTTCATCTCTTTTATACTCGGGATGCAATTCCTCACCATTCAGTACTTTGTCGATTCTGACTATGGAGGTGTACACCTCAGCTGCCCTTCCTAAACCTAGAGGTAGAATGATTCCCAGAGTATGGTTCAAGTCTCTGTATAGTGTGAGGACATAGAAAATGAGCTCAGCTTCTGGGGTATACCCTAACCAGATGTAGGACATGATGAGGAAATAGAATCCTAGCCTGGAGGTCAGCAATCCCATTATGATCATCACAACTGATAGATAGTAGCTCAACACAAGTTTCTTCATCTCTGTCCTGAAATAGGTTCGGAATTCCAGAAAGGTTGATCCGAAAAATTACGAAATACAGCTACCACTACTCACATTCTCGCTGCCTTGATTTTTTCTATGAAGTATTCTTCCCAATTGTACATTTTGATGATCTTGATGGTCGAAAGAGTTTCTTGGGTAACTTGCAGTCGTTCATCTGTTTCTTTGAAGGCTTTGAGTCTTAGTTTGCTGATACACTTGCCCAAGAATACTGTAAGAGTATCAGTTCAGTCAGATCAATCACGAGTTACTAGTGACGGTGGTATATTCAGAATGAATACACAACAATACATAGGTACATCGAGTGTTTTAGTTGAGAAGCTTACCTTGTATTGGTAAAACGCTCAGCAGTAAAGCTACTCCTATGAGAGCTACTGCTCCCATCTTAGCACACAACAAGTAGCAGATCACGCATGTTTGTACTATCCCAATCCAAGTATCGCTGATGATCCAAATAGAGTCTTGAAATGTCTCGACATCCCTAGTTATCAAGGTCACGATATTCCCAACGCTTATTTCTGAAATGGCTCCAGGAGATAACTTCAAAGCTTTCCTGTGAGAGGAATGAAGATGAAATTGGATATTAAGAATGATAAAATGGATATTTTTCAGTTTCACCTGTATAATAGTGATGATAAAGAAGTTCTAACTTCAACGCCTAGCTGTTGTACCCATATCATATAGTTATGGGTGTAGAAAGTTTGCACCAAGTGAAGTGCAAGGACTAGGGCTGCATAGAGGTAAGCTTCATTCTTTGTTATAGATGTTGGACTGTGTTTGAAATATGAGATCAAACGACTGAAAGCCCAAGGTTCTACGATACTGGAAAAAAACGAATAAATAGATCAATAATTTTTCGTAACTTTCATGAATTTGCACAGCAATTTTGACATTCACCATCATAGTAGGAGAGCAGGGAAGTGAAAACATTTTAGTTCATCGAACGGCACCTGTGTCAATCACTATCCTGAGCAAAATGTTCAAGAAATTGCACTTTCCTGTGCGGAAATTAGCACTCGATTTTGCAATTTGATAACGAGATGAGAATTATGCCATCCGATACCAATTGAATGGTAGATCTCAAAAACAGCGATTCATCTGCTCCTATTTATCCGTCATGTGATAGCGAGTTGAAACAAAAATCAAATGAAAGGGAAATTTTACAAATTTCCGATCGTGCCGCGATTCAAACTGATCTAAGTTAGTGGCAGCGCGTCAATATTTACGTGAATATTTCGCTATTCAATTGGTATCGGATAGCATTATTCTCATCTCGTTATCAAGTCGCGAAATCGAGTGCAAATTTCCGCACAGGAATGTGCAATTTTTCAATTACTTTGCTCAGGATAGTGATTGGCACAGGTGCCAGTCGATAAACTACAATGTTTTCACATGCCTGTTGTGTTCTTCGAGAGACGGGTACACAATAACCCTTAGATTCGTTAGGAAGTAGAGAATACCCAGTAACTAGAAGTTTAATTCTGTGATTTTGGAAACGCTATATTTCATCAAATCTACATGTGTAATGTACAAAAATGCGGGAGAGGTGTCTTCCTGGTAAGTATGACATGGACAAGACATGACATGACGTTGACTTATTGACAGACAGCTGACACTGACTTGACAGACAGCTGACATCTTCTTTTGTTCCTTTATTAGCATCTAGTGATGTTCCGGAATCTGAGGTTCGGACATGACAATGCCTTTGAGACATATTGATATAAATTTGCAGTCGGCCCATGTACTATTTCACGAACATAGTCATTTTTCGGATGGCAATGGAAATTTTCTATATTTTCCAAAGGCGAATCGATAATGAAATTGAGCAAAAAACGATATTCGGATTTTTATCTGTCCTACTCTATATCAATGTAACATATTCCTAATTATATAGTATTGATTGTGACCTCGAAGATTGCTTCAGGATATAAAATGCCAGCAATATAAACAATGGGTTGGAAGTTGGAAGATTATGCTGATTTACAACTACAACAACAATCAATATTGATATCCCATCATAGAAATAAATTATAGATTGTTATTACAGGAATATTGAAATGCAACTTTAGAATCAGTATTGATACATTTTCAATTCCAATAGAATGAACACGGTTCTGTATACCATCATATGATAAATTATATCACTATTATTTGTAATGGCAGTACTCTTGATTGGAAATGTCTCCGGCCGATGAATTATTTCATCAAATAGTATGCAAAAATGGACACCATTCGCAATAAATTTCACTAACCTGTTGAATATTTTCCATATCAAATTGACCACACCAATGAAAATATACCTCCAACCATATCTAGCCCACATCAAGCGATATAGGGAAGGTTTTCCATCTCGTTTATTTTCCAAAATCCACTGCTCTTCCAACTTGTCACCACATTTTTTTGAGCCACAAGCCTTAAGAACTTCATACAGGTCGTCTTCGCATAGATCTTTCTTCACATAGGCTTTTTTGAATAACCTTCCTGTATAACTGAAAATGAAGTCACCCAATATAATTTTCAAAAAAACTTGATAAAATCACTGTATAATCATCATATAGAATTTTGAATATTGACTGATATCTACTCACAAAAATGTCAGTAAGGAAAAAATATTCGCTGCTTCTCTGGGATTTCGTTTCCTTTTAGTAATAGCACAATGATCCATTTTTGTTCAACGAATATTTCGATCAGTATATGAAGAATTCTTATCACACAGCTTGAAAGTTTCCAGTTTTCTGGAATTATCTGAAAATCAAATCAAAATAAACATAAATAAGTATATATTATCTCCAGAAATATCACAAGAAATGAACCCAACTTTATGAATATTATAAAAATATATGCACATCAAATTCCTTATAGTCTAGGAATATTATGCAACGTTAATGATAAATGCTTTGTAATTTTCGTAATTGGGCCTTTGAAGAATGTCATACGTTGATCGTTACTTTTTATTTATGAAGGAATTTTATTTTGTGTTTTAATAGATTTTCAACAATTCATTGTCACAATTAATGCAGTATTCGATAAAGAGTCTTCCTTTGTTTTATAATGATACACTCAATATACTTTTGAAATATCAGAATATCAATGAATAACCTACAAGTCAATAATTTGAGAGCTAAATCTGAGAAGAATATACAGTGGGGTTCCAACTGTACCCTGATAGCACAATGTAATTCATAGAACGTTCATGGGATATTTTCCGACTCATAATATGATACAAATATTCTAGGGATGTTTTATGGATACTGGGAATGAACTGTTTTAAATATACTGAGAATATCCCTATTATATTGAAGGAGAAGGAAGGACATTTAGAAAAGCTTGCTCCGGTGGAGATGCAAACCTACTATCTTGTGATTGAATTTCAAGAACCTGAAACCTTAACCACTTCGTCACGAACCTTATTGAAGAATAAAATGAATATCAAGATGACAACAGTGAATTAGTGGGATAATCTGCATTAAGGCTATATGTAGAATAATAGGTTGTGTCAGGGTAAACATCATAAATATTGATACAATAATAGGAACATCAATATCATTTATTTTGATACAATTCTGAATATTCCCAGAATATTCAAATAGGATATCCCAGAACATTCAAAAAGAATATTCTGAAAATATGTGAAATTGAATGTCCATAAAATATTCGCTGCAGAATGAAAATATTCTATGATCATTCTGGGAACATTCTATAAGGACATTTTGCCACAAGGGTAGATATAAATATATTTTCTCACAGTAAACTTAACTTGGTTAAATAAAATATAAATAACCGACTTTAGTGATGGAATAATACAAAATAAGTTGATAATAACTCAATCTTTCAGTTTTTCACAAATGCATTTATCTAAAGTTGATAGATATGTTTTTTTCGCAACGAATTTATCAACTTATATAATAATCGAATCGACATAATCTGAAGTTGAATGTCAATGTAATTTTACCTATAAACGTCAAAAAAATTCCAATGTAATTTCATGCTCTTACCCTCAAGGAGGAGGAAAAAATTTCCGGAAATTTGTTTAGTTGTTATGGTAAGGATACAAAATGCAGGCTTCTAATTGGTCAAAAATGTCAAGTGTGAAATTTTCATTGAAATGTTAAATTCTCCAGAAATCTATATAATTGAAAATTTTAGTAACCCATCGTATTTTGTTTAATATGTTTCTCAGAATACCACTACTTACATCAGCGAAACACCTGTTGCATGCTGACTAAATGATTTATCCAATAAACTTCCAAACACTCACCAACATTGATAAAAATTGAATAAAGGAAGAAGGAATTCGAAAAATGACGAACTAACCCAATAACACACATCGATAACTTCAGATATCAACAATACAAAATAATGTATTATTCTTTCACAACAATGATTATCTTCAATAATATTCACGATATCATGCTTGATTACCAGTGCCGCTCTGATACTTCAGTATTCAATCTCTGTATCAATACTTTGAAGAATACCTTGAGTGTTTTGGATCATTATGACATTCAATGAGTTTTTAATATTCTGACCATTGTTTGGCCATGAAATGGATTTTATCGCCAATGCAGATTCCCAATTAGGCAGGTACTGATTATCAGTAATGTGGTCATGCTGCCTAAATGGTCAACTTCGTATACAGTGTGTCCGGGAAATATCCTATAATTTTCATCTTCTTTACATTCTACTCATACATAGTAATGACCAAAAGTCCCCCCCCCCTCCATCCCCCGTAACTTCTTCCTTTACATTACAAAAAATGTTCAAATCCTTCAGAAGGTGAGGATAAAAATGTGAAATACTTACATTTTGTTCTATTTTAAATGATTTCCTCACTGAACTGATGCAAACATAGACGACATGATAGTCAACAACTGTTAAAAATTCCAAAATTACTCTTGTGATGGAAACAATACAATTCGACGTAGAATCTTATAATGCAATATACCAGATGGTGTCCCATTTAAAAAATAAAATTCCAAGTCACTGCGCTTTTTTGAAACAGCCAGTATAAATGAAACTAAACCCACGAAATAGATCGAATGAAACCCTGCAACTTTAGCATTTACGTTTATTTTGTAATACGTAGAATAAATGAGTAACTATGGTGTGGCAACGGACTTTTTGTCCTTACTTCTCTTTCGTCCTTACTAGAAGAGATCTTTTTGTGTCTCCTGTATAAAGCGTTCCACAAACACGAAGTATATTGTTTATTCATTTTTTGGGTTTGTTTGAGTATTTTGAGTATTTTCAATCTCGAACACAGTTTTTTTTCTGTTGCCGAGAAGCAATAGAAAATGGATCCATATCAAGAATTATTTTCCACTCCTGTATTGAAAACGTCCAAAAATTAGTGGAATTTCATATATTCTCGATACACTTATATACTTCTTGTTTTTGAAGCACTTTTCGAACAATTTATCTGACTGTTGATTGAATTTTTCACTCAGATTTCGAATAGTAATAGAGCTGAATGATATTTTGGGGCAAATTATCTGATATAGAAATCTGGAGAAATAATTATTATAATAATATTTAATATAAGGGACACTAGTATGGATCCGTGGTATGGATTCCTTCCCACATATTCCCGGACACCCTTTATAACTATCTCTCCATCAATATTCCATATAGGTATGCGCCCATATTAATTGACTGATTAGCTATCATATCTTCTTCAAATTCGTCACCCAATTAGAATAACATTCGTGAGCAAGCAAAGATTACGAATACCTGTTCATACCAGGTGACTAGATTTCAATTATTGTATTCGTGAACTAGGTGTCCCTTTAAGAAATGTTATAATATTCACGTTTCATAGATATGACATGATCTTTCAATTATTTTGTTCTTCAGTCCACAAATTCAATAGGATCGTGAAATATCAGAATAAGCAATCGTACTTAGTTTATTAACTATTTCTGCCTAATGTGTTGTGTATGCTACCAAATGTTACCGTGTCAAAAATCATTATGACGTAGGTACCGTTCGTCTTATCTCTTCTGTGACTTTCTATTATAAAACCAATAATTATTGTTCGTTGACCCACTATATCATTTTCATTGTGATCAGCATAAACTGAAGGTCACATCTTGAATGTTCGATCCATCGATGCATGTCAATATTATACAATTTGTATAAACACATATAGCAAGTGATTATTATGGTATAGGTAATTCCCCTTACGTTCTGGAAAAGTCATGAACAGTTTTGGAAAGATTCATTGAAACTCAAATTGAGCTAATCAGATCAATCAATCATTCCTTTTTCGGATTTACTCTTTTATCTTATTCTTCTTACTCCAGAAACACAATTTTATGGCATAATATGATTTTATTGAATTAAATTAGCATTATAAGCACGTAAGTGAGTTTCTCAAAGTAGAGTAAATGGATGAAGAACCTAGCAAATGACTGGGAGTTTTTCTTCTAAATCCGATACAGTTTTTGAGGTAAAAATGCTTATATAATTAGTACGACACTTACTCCTGAAACTAAATTGTTATCTTCTCCTGAAGATGCTAACATAGTTAGCGAAACACGTGTCGAGGTGTAAAAATCGGTTTGATTGATGGTAAAACAGTGTGTAGTGGTGTATTATTGTACCAAAGGTTTCAGTCTTCGATATATGATATTTTCTGTTATCTTGAAGTTATTTTATGAGGAAACCATAGAAACTGTTAAGGAAGCAATTTTCAAAAGATGTCTTTCATACTATAGGATGATTTTTTCAATTCACTCTAAAATGTTCTATACGAAAATGAGTAGATATTTTACTAATGAAGGAAACCTCAATTCACTTCACGAGTTTTTTTTTCAATGAAACGCTCATAAAAATTGATTGAAAATGTTTAAATTGTACGTAGTTACTTGTTAATTTCATGTAATGAATGGACGATGAGTTCAAGTACAAAGTGGAGAAATATTGAAAATTGTATTTTGAGAGATACAGTAGGTGCTCATGAATTTGTGTTTGAAAATCGAAATGAACGCATGGCCCAAAAAAAAATCTACTTCTTTTCCATTCGCAAATTTAGAAAACATGTCGGAATCGTCCGGGGAAGAAAGGAACCACAATGCATGAAACTGTCATCATGTACTGGTTCTACTTTACGTCTGCGTTAGGTATGTATGAAGGTGATGATTCCTCAATATTAATGCAGCCATAGATCAAAAAATTCTTTGAAAAATTGCTTATTTTTTTTACATTGTGTATAGTACTTTTTCAACCTCACTGTCAGTGTCAATGTCAATCCGAAACTACATTCAAAGATATGGACATCATCACCACCCAGTATTTTCGAGATACAGGGTCTTGAGTTTTTCGAAAAACGTGGGTATCTTGATAATTAGCACAAAAAAGTCTTGGTCGACTCCAATGAAATTTCCACAGTTCCACAGATATCTAGTGCGGACCTATATTAGTGTCAACCCATAATTTCCATCAATTCGGTTGTTCTTCTGCAGAAAAAATATAGTACTCGTTAATTTTTCTGCGTATTGCATCAATGAACTCCCTAAAAATACGTTGATTGTTTGATGATGTTTCATTCATTGTCTTGCTTCGTATTCGAAAGGAAATATATACCTCGGCAATCCCTGATCCATATCAAAAAAGACTACTTGAGAATTATTATACGAGACTATTTTTTTATGAAACTTGCATTTTAGAGAAAATGTATCTGATGTTTTTTTGAATCCATATAGGAATAATCTGAGGTTTATTTTTATTGCTCATAAGCATTTTTTGTTTCTTCAGACGAGTTCCGTGATATATTGTATATTTTCCGCGGAAAAGAAGCAGGACACTTACAATAGCTTAGAGACAAAATTTCGTATTTCTAGTGAATAAAACAACAGTCTTGCTCGCTGGAAGCTCTTCTGGAAATTTTGGATCGAATCTAATTGGTCCATCATATGATCACTAATTCTTCAAATAAACCGTCAAGTTTTGAAGAAGCATTTTTACTTACTCTATACTCAAATGAAACACTCACTTTTTTTCTAAAAATTCAACACCCTGTATCTCAAAAACGAAGCATTTTCGGACCATGTTCATTTGCATTTTTTCTCAATATTTTCCCACTGCAACTCTGAAATATCCTGTAACTATCGTATTAACGAACTGTTCTTATCATGACTCACCCCACTACGAGAACTATTTAACAGTGTCCAAACTATAATTCCATCTTTACCTTCACTGACGTTATGAAGTTGTATTGCGTTTATAACACCTCCTCTATCATTATACTGGGCGACTACTAGCATATACACAGATGCAATACGAGGAGAAAACTTGTCCCGCGAAAAAAAACTACGGTAAAACCAGAAATCAGTACCATGAATATTAACACAAAGAACCATCCTCGTATATCCTCTTACATAACGAATATTAACATCAACGCGAAACAGAAAACATCATGATTTGACCTTATGTAAAGGAATTTTTTCGCTCACGGTAGTAGGATAAAAAATAGAAACCGACTAACAGTAAACATTAACAATGAACCATCAATCGAATTTGTAGTAGCGTCATAAAACCGACTGAAGTTCAGGTGAAATCAAATTACCTATCGGACTAAAGATAATGTCATCGCAAGTTACAAGGTCTCGGATGTTCTTATTAACTAACACTAAATAAGTAGGATGTCATTTGAAAATTAGGACCACGCTTTGAATGGTTGTACAGAAAAAAATAAATTACATGCTGTTCTCAATTCGATGGAGATATAATGACCGACTATACCGAAGATAATCACCAACCACATAAATCATTTGAAACTTATCATTTCATGTATGAGTGGTTGTTGCATAGGTACCTATTCAGAAAATTCTAGGTCTACTAGTAATCCAATCATTGCTAAAGAATTTTTCTCGATGGATCTATATGGCTTTGTGGTGCTGAATCTGAAAATCTAGTTATCGACTAGATTGGAATTGAAAAGGTTCTTCCATGACTTCTCAGCATAGGCTGAAGATGGACATTGCATATGTCTGAAACACATGTCCCTAATTCGATGTTTTCAAATTGAAAAGAAGAAGAGATGACTTTGTGCTTTTCTCATTGAATACGAACCCTATCACTGCACTTTGAGCTACAATGGACTTCTACCAACGTTTAATCCTTCTGAATATAAAACCTCAAAATATTGTTATGCATGCACAAAGACTCGAAGGCGACGGAAACTGAAAACCCATATTTTTTATCTCTTGAAGCACACGAGAGGAAATTCCAATAATGTTGAAAGAACATCGTGCGTACCTAGAGACGATAGGGAGAGGAGATAGGTGTTTTGGTACAGTGTTGTTCGACATATTTCTAGGAATGATAACAGGAAAGTGAAAGGTTCCCGACTTGTTCTAATGAGTTCAAAGGATTAATGAGTGTGGGAACACCCACCAGGCGAATGGCTCTTCTTTGGGTTATTCCATGAAAGAGTATTGCTGATGGAAATTTCAAGCATAGATATATTGGTCTTGGTAGGAATGCTGGAAAATACAGGCTTGAGTTTCGATGGCGTTGAATTCAACTAAACTGTTGGTTCTCCAAGCTGTTATTTCAGCATGATTGATAGCGTTGGCTTGCCTTCGTCATGAGTTCTTAGTTTTCTGGAAAGAAAAGGGAATTCTAGAAGAGGACGCAGTATGTAGAGTACTATCATCCACAAAGCTATGGATAGGGCAAGTGGTTACTTTCAACAGATTATTGATATAAAGTAGAAACGATGTTGGTGCCAAAATTGTTCCTCGTGGACCGCCGTGGAATTGATGGCAATAGTATCCGTTCACAACCACATGATGGCGATCTGCTAGAAAAAACAACTCGATAAAATATGGCATTGCTGAGGTGGTAAGCCGTAAGATGGTAGTTTGTGGATGAATCCTTAATGCCAAACACGGTCGGGTTAGGTTTGGTTATGCCTTCGATATATCTAACGCCAAAGCTAGAGATTCTCCATGTTTTTATAATGTAGCTTGCCATATATGGGTGACCTAGGCAAGTAAATCTCCAGTTAATCTTCGGTGACGAAACCAAATTTTCTATCATCAATGATTCCTGAGCTTTCCAGATATTTGATGAGCTCAATTTTGAGGGCTTTCTCCATCACTCTGGAGATGACTGATGATAGGGCAATTGGCCTATAGTTGTCAAACTGGCTTTTATTTCAAATAATAAATAAATTATTTACTATTTCATTCCACTGTGAGCATTGTGGCTATTTCGTAGTGGCTTTTATTTCGTTTTTTTGGGAATTGGTTGGACTATTTTCCAGCAAAATGGAAAAATACCTGACTTGTTCGAGATGGTGAATAACTTGCAGAGAATCGGTGTCAATTCTGGTGTACACTTCTCGAGAATAGTGTGTGGAATTTCATCAGGACCGTCAGCCTTATTCATTTCGAGACCGAGCAGAATGCGTCTGATAGTACGTTGACGAAAGCCAATTTCGGGCATTCGACTTTCAACAGGTGGAATGTGCATCTGTTGGTTTGGGAGTACTGGAATACCAAGGTAAAGAGCTCAGTGGATGATACAATAAGTATACCAAGGTATTCCAAGAATTCCAAGTCGATATTAAACAAGGGAAAGGTCATTCAAAGTATCTATACAGTCAAGCCAGTATTTGGTAGTAATGACCAAATTCTGGATAAATATTCATATTGCAAGCATTTCAATAAAATAATGTAGATTCATTCAATTCGAAGCTTAAAACAGAATATAATCGATTGCAAATCGTACAAAAAACAATCATTCCCACAATATTCAATGCTATCTGTCACTAAACTGCTCGAGTAATCCAGCCTGCTTGACCATTTTATAAAATCGTCCATGCCGATTCCTCAGAAGACTCTCAGGTGTATCGTACTCTTCAATTTCCCCCCTCTCAAGAACCATAACTTTATCACACCCCAAAACCGACTGTAACCTATGCGCTATATTGAAAACAGTACAATCCTTGAAGTTCAACCTGATCGTTTCTTGGAGCAACCCATCAGTGTCCTGGTCCATATTCGCAGAAGCTTCATCGAGAATAACTATCTTCGACTTGCGTAATATCGCTCTGGCCAAGCAGATCAGCTGCTTCTGTCCCAAGCTTAATGCTGTACAGTTGCTCGTGATCTCCTGATTCAGGTCACTGACTGTATCTCTTATGTGTACCTTTTCTAGTACAGACCATAACTCCTCATCCTCGTATTCTCTGAAAGGATCCAAGTTGGCTCTGAGAGAACCAGAGAATAGTACTGGATCCTGAGGTATAATAGCTAGGTTTCTTCTGAGGAATTTGAGTGCTAGACTCTTTATGTTGACACCATCTATGGAGATGACACCTTCTGCTTCATAGAGCCTGAATATCGAAGATATTATAGAAGATTTTCCAGCTCCAGTTCTACCTACGATTCCTATTTTCTGCCCGGACTCAACTCTGAATTCCAAATTTCTGAGCACTACTTCGTTATTGTTGTAGGTTAATGAAACGTTGTCGTATGTTATGGAACCTTGGTTTGGCCAATTTTGGTGGGTAGTCCCTTCTGCTGGTTCCATTTGGATTGACGTGTACTCTAATGCACGTTCCATTGAGGTCATCAGATTTTCTAGCTCTGCAAAGGATCTCACACCGTTCTGTATGATGCCACCTAGCATGAAAACTTGTGTTAATGCTAGTCCTACATTTCCAGCGCTTGTATCTGTAAGAAATAAAAACATCAATGAACTTCGTAGGTATCAGCAATTCATACATTTTGGAAAAGAACTTCAAATAAATATCATTCAACTATAAAAAGAGAATTCCATATGACTTGAAGAAATGATCTGAGAGAAAGAGAACTGTCCTCTGAGAAAGCAACTGCACATATTGTGAAGAGGCCACACAGATGCACACTTTCTGTACCCGACAAAGCATTGTCATAAGGGATTTATATGATTTCACCAGAAATTCGCACTATTTTATCTACCTGTATCTACAAAGATGAACCTGGACACAACAGCAACTTGAAAAACTGCACACATCATGTCCATAAAGAATGCGAAAGCTCTTATTCCCACTATTGAGGTAAAATGTGCTGAGGTATATAAGTCCTGATGTCTATCAAATTCATCCCTCAGAATGCATTCAGCCTCATAAGCTCTTATGGTCGTCAACCCTTCAAAGGTTGCGTTGAGGTGACCAATCATCGGACTTCTAGCTGTAAAATTCGTTGGCATTGAAATCTCGCTAGGGTAGTTGAGGTTTATTGAAACTCACTAGACGCTTCTAGTCGCTTCAAACTTCGCCCAGTTGGTAGATATACCATCGCTGTTAGTACCAAGATAACAGTTATGATACCCACGTATATGAGAAAATATGGCTTCACAGTTGCTATCAATGTAACTATTCCTACTATAGAAAAAATGCTCTGAAAAAAATTGTGTTGTGTACCATTTTGAGAAACTGTTCTTCTGTATCACTTACGCTGATCAAGTTGCTTATTGAAAATGGTAACCGTTCATCGATATTCACCAAATCCTTAGAAAATCTGTTGAGGACATTCCCAATGAAATTGGTATCAAAAAATGACGTCATTGCATGTACGACATTTTGTATCATGGCTTTGTGAATATTTACTGAAGCCCTCCGACTAAAATCGAAGAAAACGTATGTTTTCACTAGAGCCAGCCCAACTGTTGACATCATCATGATTGAAAAAATATTGAAAGTATTTTTTTCTCGTGATTCGGCATCCTTGAACTCACTATTTTGATACAACTCCTCAGTAGAAGATTTGTTGTGTATATTTGTGAAATTGGATACCATGTTGAGAACGTATTGTTTTTCATCTACCCTGAAATCAAAAATAATTCAAATATCATTCTTGTATGAGCTTATTACTCATTAATACCATTTTGTTAATAGTTGGTCAGTATAACTATCCCCAGTTTGACTAATAACAAATAAAACTAAGTTGAACAACAACAGCAAAGAACCTCCACCAAAAATAACGTATTTTGGATAGACAGCGTAATCGACGTGACCTGTCTTATTTATTTCACCATAAACTTTGATTTTGGAGGATTTCACTGGCATCTCAAAATGTTTTCCATTCGCAACATTTACTCTAGATTCCACACAATCTATGTCATCGTCTTCAACTAATATTTCTTTCAAAACATCTTTATGTGGTTCACCAAAATATTGTATCCCTCCTCTATCCATTATCACCAAGTAATCGGCATTCTGTATATGACTAGCAGACTGGCTGATAAGGATACAAACCTTGCCCTTCAAATAACTCTTTATGCAACCATTGTAAATGAAATCTTTGACATGTGTATCGAGAGCCGACAAAGAATCGTCCAGAAGATATATGTCGCTCTGTTTATATATAGCTCTAGCTAAATTGATACGAGCTTGCTGACCTTTGCTCAAATTCATCCCTTTATCGTTTACTATAGTTTCATCCCCCTTCTCGAAAACGCTCAAGTCGAAATCCAAGGCACACATTCGAAGAACGTCTTGGTACCTACGAGATAAAATGTATCACAAAATAATCAGTCCAAGACAGATAACTCACCTGCCTTCATCTAGGGTCTGCCCGAAGAGAATATTCTGCTTAATAGAGGATGGAAATAACCATGGATCTTGAGAAGCATAGGAAACCCGTCCAGCTGTAATCAACTCACCCTCAGTTAAAGGGTAGTCTCTGAGAAAAACCTTCAGCAGGGAACTTTTTCCACAAGCTAGTGGACCAGTTATTACTGTTAATCCAGGCTTTACATCTAACGTGATATTTCTTAAAATTTCTTCATTCCCAAAACGTACTGTAGCTCGATTCAATTGTAATATTGAGCTGTCATTATCTGTATCAACTCTTTCAACTCTTTTAGGCAATTCTTTGGCATGTAGAACCTGTTCAATTCGTGTTAAGGACGCTGAGAATTCACATGTTGATCCAATACTGATAGGTACCAGCTCTCCTAAGAAATGCCTCATTTCTTTGAATACTGACATTATGTAGAATACTAAAGAGGTGTCTGAGGAATAACCCATCCAAATATAAGCCATCAAAAGTACATAAAAGCCAATTTTTGAAAAGAGGATGCCAATTGCAATCATTACAAACATGAGGTAGAAGATGATAAGAGTTTTCTTCATTTCTTTCCTAGAATCAGAAGCCAGAAAATGAATATGGAACTTGTTTGTATCAAAGTAAATTCACACTTACTTTCTTGCCAAGTTGATTCTATTTGTGAAATAATCTTCCCACGTGAACATTTTAATAATTCGGATTATAGAAAATACTTCTTGGGTAATTTGCAGTCTTTCATCTGTTCTCCTGCTAGTTTCTAGTGTTAGTTTTTTTATCCATCTACCCAAATAAACTGAAACAACGTCTTGATTCAAAACACAACATGCTCATCAACTGAGCCCGATCTACTACCCAGCTAGCTAGTAGGGCAAAAGCTACATTAGAGCAGTACTTACGTTCTATTGGTATTGAGCTTAGTAGTACCGCTATCCCAATCAAAGAAACAGCTCCAACTTTCGCATATATTAAGTAACAAATCAGGAGAGACTGTATTGCACCGATCCACATGTCATTCAACACGAAAACGAATGAAACGAATGCCTGTACATCTTTGGTTAACAAGGTGAACAAGTTTCCCAATGATATATCAGAGAAGGCTTCCGGTGTGAGTTTCAAAGCTTTCCTGTACAAGAAAGAGCTGAAACCCGTTTTAGCCTCAAAACCAATTGTAATAAGAACTAAGTCGTAGTTGTGATAGAACGTGCTCTCGACTATGTTGATGATCAGTACTAGGGAGGCGTAATAGTAAGCATCAAACTTTGTGATCTCTGTTTGACCAGGATTGAAGTAACCTACCAAGTTACTCACTGCATCTGGTTCCATTATACTAGAAAAAAAAAGATATGTTTGTTGAGATATGTCATTCAATCGCCTCCTATCATCATAAAAAAAGTAAGTACCTACCTCTTGATAATTTTCCAAATTACTTCCACACATCCCCAAAGTAAGTATCTTTTAGCATATCCACTCCACATAAGTCTGTATATGGAAGGTTGGATATTTCTCTCTTGATAGCTCTCCCACAACTTCTCTACTTTATCTCCACACTTTTTTGAATTACACCTGCTGATCACCTCATATAAGTCATCTTCATCGAGATCACCTTTTTTATACCCTCTTTTGAAAAGACTCCCTGTATATCTGAAAGCACATTTTTTTACATTATTTTTGGAATAATAATACTCTGCACATATACTTACAACTTATTCATGAGCAATGCATTCACATATTCTCAGAATATTATATAGGAGTGAATTACAACATACTTCAAAGTTGGGAATTCAAAATACTTAAGGTATATAAATTAAGAAACATGATATATTCATGGAAGTTTCGATCCCAATTGAAACCACTAGTATTGGTATCTCTTTCAATACAAATTAAGTAAAATTCAAGCTTTAAGAAAATTCACTATATTTATTTGTTATCTTCAGAGCATCTCTACAATGATATCATAAAGACAGGTGATCTAGTAAACCAGCCTGACTAACCATCTTGTGAAACATTCCCTCTTTATTCTCAAGCAAACTAACCGGATCATCAAACTCCTTGATTTCCCCCCTATCAAGAACCATAACTTTATCACACGCCAAAATCGAATGCAATCTATGAGCTATAATCAAAACAGTACACTGTTCAAAATTCTTCCTTATAGTATTGTGTAGTAAAGTGTCTGTCTCATGGTCCATGTTAGCTGTAGCTTCATCCAGAATGACTATCATGGTATCTCGTAGTATAGCTCTGGCAAGGCACAGCAGTTGTTTCTGACCTGAACTGAAATTCGAACCTCCTGTGCTTCTTATCTCCATGTCCAATGAGGGAACAGCTTGCCTGATGTTCACCTCCTCCAAAACCTTCCACAACACATCGTCTTGGTACTCTTTGAATGGATCCAGGTTTGTCCTAATTGTCCCTGAGAACAGCACTGGGTCTTGCGGTATTATAGCGACTCTCTTCCTCAAGAACCTGAGGCACAGAGTGTTGATATCAACATCGTCTATGAGAATCTTGCCTTCCACTTTGTAAAGCCTGAAGATGGAAGAGATGACGGAAGATTTGCCAGCACCTGTGCGCCCAACTATGCCTATTTTTTGACGAGGTTCCACCTTGAAGTTCAGATTTTTCAGTACTGTTTCTGAGTTATTGTAGGTGAGAGAAACGTTCTCGTAGGACACTGAGCCTTCGCTAGGCCAGTTCTGCACTTCTGAACCTTCTTGAGTCTCAGATGGGATCTCTGTGTACTCTAGGAGGCGTTCTACTGACGTCATCAGGTTCTCAAGATCTGCCCAGGTGCGTACACCCCACTGAACCATCCCTGCTAGCATGAACGCTTGCGTTAAGGCTAGACCAACATTTCCAGCGCTAGTATCTAAAAAACTGGTCCATTTTTTCGGCAAACGAATTTTATAGTAATGACATTACCTGTATCTATCAGAAGAAGTCTTGAAACAATGAGCATGATGAAAATAGAGCACAAGAAATCCATGATGAAGCCGAATGCCCTCATTGAACAAAGCGAGGTGTAGTGGGCAGACGTAAAAACGTCTTGGTGTCTATCAAACTCTTCTATGAGTATATTTTGTGCTTTGTAAGCTCTTATGGTAGTCAATCCTTCAAGGGACGCATTGAGGTGACCAATCATAGGACTACGAGCTAAAACAGTGAACAGTGATTGAGAAGTTTGTCAAATTTTGATTTCAACTCACTGGCTGCTTCTAATCTCTTCAAACTTCTACCTGCAGGTAGGTAAAGTTTTCTCAATAGCACAAGAACCCCAAAAAATACCAAAGCAAACAGGAGGAAATAAGCATTGACGAAGGATAACAGAAATATCACTCCGATAATTGCAAACATCATCTGAAAAAAAAAACAATGTTATTGGTAATTATGTGGAGAAAAACAATCCTATATCTTTCCTTATATCAAATTCAGACCACAGGCTCTTCCAAACATGTTTAATAAGCGTATAGTTCTCGATAATTTTGAGAAATTTGCTTGGATTTGATGAGGTATCTATTCCATCAATATCAATAATATTCAGACGAATCTCATATCAAGAAATATACAGCACTGTTTCTCTGGTGTATGTTAATTAGTAAAGGAGAAACGAACCTTCAGAAATTCGGTGAGGATGTGTAGCAAATACTCGTCAGTATTCGTGAAATCTTGGGAGAACCTATTTAGGATATTCCCAATGAAATGAGTATCAAAGAATGCCATGACAGCTTTGACAATGTTCCTCACCATCGCTTGGTGTATATTGATTGAAGCTCTTCTGCAAAAATTGAAAATAGCATATATTTTTATCAAAGCAAACACTGTTGATACTAGTATCATCACAGTGTAGAGATTGATAGTATATTGTTCCCTTGATACAGCTTCTGCATAATCTGCATCATCTAGTAGAGATATGTTGAATACATCGACGATTTCTTTTGTCTCATATACTTTGGAGAAGTTCCTGCGCATATCCAGGACTTTTTGCTGATCATCCACCCTTAAAAAAATCTAGATAATCGATCGTGTGAAATACTTCCAATAGGTCTTACCATTTGGTCAGCAATTTATCAGAATAACTTTCTGTTCCTTGAGCTATGCCGAATAGTACTACGATTGAAAGCATCAGGAGATATCCACCTCCATAAGCCACATATTTTTTGTAAATGGTTAAATCTACTTCTCCCTTTTTGTTCACTTCACTATAAACTTGCTTTCTAGTCACTTGTTCTGTTTCTATGAAAGTATCTAATGGTTTGTCGACTATGTTCTTATCGTCAACAAGTTCATCGATAACTTCTTTTTCTAAATCGTCATCGTCTATGATAAGTTCGCTGATTTTGTTCAGTATATTTTGACTTGGCTTTCCATAGTATTTCATTTGACAAGCATCCATTATGATAACATCATGAGCTTCTTGTATATGGCTAGTACTCTGAGATACCAAAATGCAAATTTTGTCTCTCAAGTAACCCTTAATACATTCATTGAATATGTAATCTTGTACATGTGCATCAAGAGCTGTGAGAGCATCATCTAGTAGGTATATTTCACTGTCTTTGTAAATTGCTCTCGCTAAATTAACTCTAGCTTGTTGGCCCTTACTAAGGTTCAAACCTCTGTCTGTCACAATCGTTTCATCCCCTTTGTCGAGCAAATTGAAATCATACTGTAAAGCACAAACACGTATCACTTCTTCGTATCTGAAATAAAAGGAAACAAATATAATGCAGAATGAAGCTCTGTTAGAACGTACCTTTTCTCATCAAACTTTTCCCCAAACAAAATATTTTGTTTTATTGAAGAAGGAAATAACCAAGGATCTTGGGATGCATAGGATATTCTTCCATAAGTCACTATGTGACCACTAGTCAGTGGATAGTCTTGCAAGATCGTTTTTAACAGGGAACTTTTTCCTGACCCAACTGTCCCTGTTACTACTGTCAACCCAGATTTCGTACTGTAAGTGATATTCCTTAGGATCATTCTGTCCAAGATATGCACGGTTGCATCTTTCATTTCTACAAGAGGTTTCGAAGTAGGTTCGTCTGATCCAAATTTCGAGTGCAGCTCTTCACCCTTGATAACCTTATTGATTCTTACTATAGATGAATAAAGTTCAGCACCTCTTCCTATTCCATGTGGTATAACCATTCCCAAGGTGTGTCTTAGATCTCGGAAAATTGCCAATACGTAGAAAACTAGTTCTGCTTCTGCTGTATAACCCATCCATATGTATGACATTATCAGGAGGTAAAAGCCTACTTTTGAAAAAAGCAGCCCAATGAGGACTATCACGATTTTCAGGTAGTAGCCCAGCAACATTTTGTTGATTTCTGTTCTGCAAATTTATGAATATGAATAGATGGAAGATCATCGAAAAAACAATCTTACAGTCTAGCTGCGTTAATTTTTTCTTCAAAATATTGTTCCCAGTTGTACATTTTGATGATCCTTATAGTCGACAAAGTTTCTTGGATAATTTGTAAACGTTCGTCTGTCTTTTTGCTTGTTGCAAGCCTCAACACACTAACATACTTCCCGATGAGAACTAAAATGTACAAAGTCTTTCAGCAACCATGAGGAACTTCTGAAAATAATACCCACTTTGTACTGGTATCACGCTCAACAATATGCCGATTCCTATAAATGAAACCAAACCCATTTTAGCGTATAATAGGAAGCAAATGATACATGTCTGGATGATGCCAATCCACATGTCATTGATGATCCAAATGCTCTGTTCGAAAGCATGAACATCCCTTGTGATCAAAGTCACTATGTTTCCAAGGGATATCTCAGACACAGCCGATGGGGTCAGCTTCAATGCCTTTCGATATAGCAATGAAGAAAACGCTGTTTTGACTTCTATGCCTAGCTGTTGGACCCATATTATGTAGTTGTGTATGTAGATGGTGTATACGGTGTGGATTATGAGAACTAAAGCTGCGTAGCAATATGCTTCATTAATGGTTACTTCTGTTTGGCCTGGTTTGAAATATGAGATCAACTGACTGAGTGCCCAAGGTTCAATAATACTGGAAAAATCAAATTGTATCAATATTGCACTTAATCTTCTTCTGAAGATGCTTACAAAGTTAATGAATTAGGTGTCGAAGCATTGAGATTTGGTATGGGGGTCACTTTTTGGAAATGCATCTTCAATTTCTATACAGGGCAAGATTTTCAGTTTTGAATTCGACTGGTGGATAAATAGAGTCATTATCTAAAAACGAGGTGAATCTCAAAAACTACACAAGATAGAATATTTTTGATGATAATCCCTACTTCTCCGTCCTGGTAAATTTGAATTACCTTTTCAAGAATGAAGCCAACAATATTTTGGTTTACTCTTCAATTTTTCAGTTGCGAATTTTGGAAAAATATCGAAATTATCTCGAGATAGCGTCTCAATCTATCAAAGTGTGACCTCTATACATGATAATCAAAAAGAGCCAATATTAAAACAGTTTTCAATAAATGTAGGCCTGAAACGGATATAAAGATTAGCTGACTATTTTCTATATTTCCCAGAAATTACTACTTCCCGCCAGCAAAAAAAATGACTGATTAGATGAGGCGAATTATTAAATCATAAAAGTTATTCTATAGGCATTACTAGGTATTTCATAGACTAGAGTTAATCAAATTGACCTCCATGAGAGTGATGAACATGATTTTTACTCAAATTATCATAATTTGAAGAGCAATTTGTTCATCTAGCACACAAACATGTATTATTTCGTTCGCGATTCGAAATACCTAAATGAGACAATCTGATGAATTCTCGTGAATTACGTATACCTATAATAATATTCGTGGAGATATGAAAATCTTGTTGAAATCTATTCAGAATAGATGAATGAAATTTTTTCAATCGATTATGGATATAGTAACATGCTACAGAAGAGTAGTATAGGGTCATTATCCATTTATTTTAATTTTTCTCCAATTCCAAGTTACAACTCACTAAGTCGTAACTCGGCAATATTAGATAGAAATAAAAGTAGATCAATAATATGAGAGCAAATAGACCCAACTACGCCTCCCTATTATACTTCTAGGATTCCGTGGCAGAATGACCAGCACTGAGGATGGATAAATATTGGTGAATCCTTCTGTTGAAGGTGGGCAAATTGTAGTTTTTCGGAAAGACATCTCCGGATACAGATCAGTTTGGTCACTGGTAATACTGGTAAAACAGTGTGTAGTGTATTATCGTGCCAAAGGTTCCAGTCTTCGAATAAGGTTCCATATGTATATAGGTATAAAAGTATTCACGAGTATGGAAATATTGATTTGAAGAATTGACAAACAGTGTGAAGCTTTTTATGGATCACACGCTTTCACGGAATATGACTTCAATCCTGCTCACTTCAAAATAAACAAAAATCCGCCATTCACCATTTTGCTGATATTCTTGAGATGCTTTCAGAATTGTTCCTATATTGTGTGTCACTTATGCCTTCTTGATCAATAAACTAGCAGTAAAAATGTTCTGGTTTCCATGAAAAGGGATATCCTGTAATTTTCAGAGAACATCGTGAGAACGTGAGAACCAAGGGAAATCAGGTAGTAATTGGTGTTCTTCTCAAAGTTCTGGAGGCTATATGGTTCGGAGAACACCTCCCTTAGCAATGTGTTACAAAGCCTCGCTGTTCGTTAGATGAACGAGTCTTTGGAGAGAGATATTCTGTAGGTCTCCAAAGTGACCACGAAGGGGTGCGAAGCCTCAACTCGACGGGTCAATCTAGCGGGGACTGGCAAGGAAGGAACAATTGTTGATATTTCAGAAGAGCATCGTCCATGGAAATAGCTATAAAGTAGAGCCAGATCGCCAACTTTTCTACGGTGTTCCAGAGAAGTGAATGAGTTTGTGAGCAAGACATCACTCACGAGACGAATTGCCCTTTTTTGGACAGAATCCAACAGTTTCAGGGTATGTTTGGGTGCTGCACTCCAAATATGGGAATAGTATTCCAGGACAGGTCGGATCTGTGCCTTATAGATCATAAGCAGCTGTCATCAGGTTTGTCCATTACTCGTTTTTTTTAACAACTATCCTTGGTTGTTTTGAGTTTATTCCACATTATGAAATACTCAGATACTGAATCCTTGTTAGAAAACTTGTTAAGTTTGAAGAACAATAAATAATCTATCTATCTATCTTGAATTGTGAGAGGTTTATTCTTCTTCATTGTTAGACCTTATTCAAACCATAATTCACTGTTTGGAACTTTCAACTCAGTCTACCAACCTCAGTGTGTGCTTTGGAGCAGATTCCCAGAAATAAAAGATACTTTTTGGCGCAGAAGAAGAATCCCAGCTCCGAAGAATTACTCAAAAACAAGATCGACACCTATACCGTGAATGAGGGGTATAAAATGCTCAAAATTGCATTGAGAAGTTTTGTAGATTTTTTATGAAGCCTCACCTATTGCCAACTTTCCAACACAAAAAAATTGCACCTCTCAAAAGATATCTCCAGCCGAACCTAGCCCACATCAATTTATAGATAGAAGGTGGTGTTTTTTTGTTATTTTCTATGATCCATTGATTTTCGATTCGGTCTCCACATTTTTTAGAATTACAAGATTTTAGTACCTCGTATAGGTCGTCTTCTTCGAGGTCATAATTTTTGTATGCTTTATAAAATATGCTTCCTGTGTATCTGAAATAAAATGAATTTGTCAAATGAAAAATTATATAATTTGTTTTCATTTCATGTTATTTTCATTAGTGTGTTCAGTGATTATAGAGTGACTCGTTGAACCATATTTTTCATCAAAGTCATGTTTGATATACAGTGTGTCCCACTTACCATGCTCACCATAGGTATCTTTTTAACGGTGAGAGATACGAGGTCGGTTAAATGACACCAAATGTGGAGTTTGTCAAGGCTAACTATAATGTGAAAAAATATTCTGATAAGATCTATTCGTTTTTGTTTTATACGCAAAAAACAGATTTTGATCATTTTCATGTCTCCTCCGTAACTTCTTTATTTATGAAAATATTATAGTAATTTCACATTCTCATGGCAGTTTCTCGAAGTGATTTCGAAAAAAATATGAAATTTATACCAACTCTTCTATAATTTGAGATATCAGCACCAACTTTAGTTTTTCAAATGTAGGACATAGCTCACTATGACTCAGTTACAAATAACTTTTTTTTATCTTACAGATGATATGTCGCAGTAATAGTTTTGTGTTGATAACAATGGAGTTATCGTCATTTATACAAAAACAAAAATGATTTGGAAGCCGCCATCTTGAATTTATAAATTTCAACAAAAAAAATAATGATCTCCGACCTCAAAAACCCCAACTCACCAATTTTTAATGGAATCGGACCAAATCTTGTCCGCCATCTTGGAGCAGCCATTTTTTTTTAATTGATGGCGGACAAGATTTGGTCCGATTCCATTCAAAATTGGTAAGTGGGGGTTTTTGAGGTCGGAGATCATGATTTTTTCGTTGAAATTCATGAAAGCAAGATGGCGGCTTCCAAATAATTTTTTGTTTTTGTATAAATGACGATAACTCCATTGTTATCAACACAAAACTATTACTGCGACATATTATCTGTAAAAGAAAAAAAAGTTATTTGTAACTAAGTCATAGTGCTATGTCCTACATTTGAAAAACTAAAGTCGGTGCTGATATCTCAAATTCTAGAAGAGTTGTTATAAATTTTATATTTTTTTCGAAATCACTTCGGAAAACTGCCATGAAAATTTGAAATTCCTATTTGAATATTTTCATAAATAAAGAAGTTACGGAGGAGACATGAAAATGATCAAAATCTGTTTTTTGCGTATAAAACAAAAACGAATAGATCTTATCGAAAAAAAATTTCACATTATAGATGGCCTTGACAAACTCCACATTTGGTGTCATTTAACCGACCTCGTATCTCTCACCGTTAAAAAGATACCCATGGTGAGCATGGTAAGTGGGACACACTGTATTTATAAATAAATATTAGTTGGTTTCAGTTCATCCAAAGACTTTTTTATCTGAGTTGTTAATGAGATAAGCATATTGTTAAGAAAAGTTCCATAGTTATTTATAAGTAAACCCTCTATTATAGTCATGCATTATTTTTGTTAGGTTCCGAGGAATAATCGGATTATTCTAGTGATGAGGCTTGTTAAATTCAGAGTTAGATGAGTGCAGCAGTTTCCAAAATTTCACTTACCTATAATAATTAATGAATATACTCACCAATTTTTTCATCATTAGAAATAAGTACACATTTCATTATCCATAATCGACTTTAATCAACTAACACTACATCGATAAAAACGAACTGATACAACTTAACAAAAAAGCCTATTCACCTGTCTCTAATAACGATTATTCCTAGGAATACTTCCAGATATACATTTGTAACAGGATCATGGTTTAGTTCGAGAGATATAAGTGATTGAAATTTAGAATGTCCCACCAAAAACGTCACGTATTGACATAAATATGTTTCATTTTATGAAGGTATCAAGTTTTGATTTCAAATGGAACACCCTGTATTTTCTGAATCTAATGATACCACATATGTGACATTTCGATCTTCCATATTGATCATGATTTCACTATTGATTTTCCATCTAAGTGTGCAGTGACTATTCTGATTCACACCAATCGACAGGTGTTATGCTAGGAAATAGAAAAAATTAAATCCTAACAAAAAAATATTTCTTGATTTATCAACAAATTATGTTCATCAAAATGATTTGGTGTACTATGATCCTGTTACACTCGGTATGTCATAATCGAAGGAAAGTGTAGAGATATAAAGTCAAACTATTCAAATATCACATGTATTTCAACATGTCACAAATAAAATAAATGTTATTTGAATGTGTGTAACTCTTGATTCATGATTCAACTTCGCAGAAATGTTTCCAAGAATATGTGTTTGCAATGTTAACAAACTAACATGGCACCATGTACTTACGCAAAGGTCAGTAAAGAAAGTATATTCGCTGTTTCACGAGGGTTTCTTTTCCTCTTTTTCTTTTCGCAATGGTCCATTTTCAATTACCGACAGTGTTTCCTAGATATTCTCTCGTCTTCTATCACTATTTCAAAAAATATAAATCAGCATATTCCAAATAAAAAGGGTCAATCGCAAGTATTATTTTGTTAACTTATGTTGAAAACGGGAGCAGATTCGTTCCCGACACTTTCAAAAACAAAAACAAATACGTTACTTTCTGTTACATTTTTGAGGTTGATATGATTCATTATCATATATTTTAGGCGAAATAAATTTTGAAATAATTCTAATAATATTTAACTACAGGCAGTATTCGAATATAGATTTATCGAGCTAATACCAGACATAGTTTACGACCATCAGATATCGGGAATCTATATTTCCAATGAAGACTATTATATCTCAATAAATTTCAATAATCTGGCACGCAGAAGTGATTATGAACATAACAAACAATTAATATCGTTTTTTTTCTCGGCATGTTTATCTTCAATGTATTCTAGTGATTTGTGCATACACAAATAATAGTCTGCGACCTTCAAATCCAAATTCAAAAATCAAGAAAGAAATGGGTCTCAAAAATTAAGGAAAAAAGACTGAGACAGTGAAGAACTACGTATACACTCACATATATAATTGGCTTTTCTACTAACACCAATACGTTGCTGTGACACTAACAAATGTGTTCAAATTTCTATTGTAAGTACTTGATGACAAAAATGTCCTTATTCACGAATTGAAGCACCTACATTTATTAAACTTAACTACTTCCACTTCATTCAAATCTTGAGCGAGCAACAAAGCGTGCGGATTTTTGTATGTTCCCTATATTAAGACTTCCTGCTACATACAAAGGAACTAAATATGCGAATTACGTGATAGTATCTCTCAAATTATTCCTTCTATTGGTACCTGAGGCAATTCGAAGAGTTGTTCAATTTCGGTCAAGATTTACAAGTTATCTATAATCAAACTGTTGGTATCAATGGATTTGTAATCGGTGATCACATAGAAGCAATGAAAATATAGATGTATTTAACCCCATATCACCTACCTAAGACTATACGAGGCTTCCTTTGCCAGGAAGTTTTACAGCTTGCTAAGGATTTAACTACTACTTTGTAACAAAGCTCCGTATATTTCCAATTCGTTCTTAGTCTGAGATCAATAAGCTGAACTAATAAAAATTCCATAAGCTAAACATAATACCAGTAACACACAAGCCTCAGTTGATACGTTTTATTTCAGTTCTTACAAATAATACTGTTGAATTTTCAAAAAAGAGATATAATATTACTAATCAAATTAGCTCTTAGGATTCTTCGCCAAACTGATGAGACCCGGAAGGTCGAAAGCTCACCCATTGCACCCTAAAATATCGTTGGCAACTTGCAAAGTTCCAAAAGTCCTTTTGCTTTTGTCTAATGAATCCGAAGCAGTAAACTGAGATTCGGGTTTCACCTCAACCCAACGATATTTTAGGGTGCAATGTGTGAGTTCTCGACCTTCTGGGTCTCATCAGTCAGGCGAAGAAATATAATATATCGAAGACTGGGTCCCTAGTGGATCAACAAAGATAAGAACAAAAATGAATATTTTCTTGCAGTGATTCTAAGAAAACATTCTCATGTCTTTTCTTCAAATATGTTTTCAATGCCAGCTTTTTCCAATAATTTGCGAAAGTGTCCATTCTCATCCCTTGCTAACACCTTTGGACTATCGAATTCCACAATCTTTCCAGACTGCACCACCATGACCCTATCACAGCCCAATACTGACTGTAGTTTGTGCGCAATAATCACAACTGTACACGCCTGGAAATTCTCCTTGATGACCTCACTTATAACAGCGTCACTTTCTCTGTCCATGTCACTTGTTGCTTCGTCCATGACAATAATCTTGCTTCTGCTCACTAGAGCCCTTGCTAGACACATCAGTTGCTTCTGGCCAGCGCTGAAATTGTCCCCAGAAGCAACTACAGCTGTGGTGAGAGTTGGTACCAGGTGTTTCAGCTTTACTTTTTCTATGGCTCTCCAAATGTCTTCGTCTTCATGTCGGTGAAATGGGTCTATGTTGGCTCTGATTGTGCCGGTGAACAGTAGGGGCTCTTGAGGTATTATGGCTATTTTAGAGCGATAGAAGGTTAAGGGTATCGTTTGTATGTCTGCCTTTCCAATTGTGATTTGGCCTTCGTAACTGTATAATCTGAAGAGAGTTGATATTATTGAAGATTTACCAGCTCCTGCAATAATATGACTTTGGTGAAACAAGTTATCGGAGAATCATAACTGGGAAGGGGATCCCTAGTCTAGTATAAATGTGACTATGAAATTGAAGCAATAATGGACATTGGCATAGTAAACTGTCGTGGAGATGATTTCGAGTTTATTTAGTTATTACAACTACCCTCCATTAGCTTATTGTATGGCAAACAATCAAAAATCAAGGGAGTAAAAATATCATGAGAGCTTGCTCGATCGATTCCTTCGTCGTGGCATATAGCCAGGAAAGTAGTTGTTTTCTATTGAATTAACTGAAAAAGAGTAAATATTCTCATCACATAGAGAATGCGAATTCTCAATGTATTGCTTTATATCAATATATATCCTTTTTTGTATGTTCATAATTTATCTGAGAATATTCCTTTTCAACGATTCCTTCTACTTCCTTCATCAGTTTTTGGAAAAGCTATAGGTAGCTTCTCAGTGTTTTTCATCACTACAAATGACTGGTGAGTGGTGATCAATCGGTTTAAGGAAATTGCAGAAATATCATCAGTTCTCAGAATAGGCCTGTATCAATCAAAATAAAAAACGAATACCTGTGCGTCCAACAATCCCTATTTTCTCTTGATCATGAATCGACAAGTTGATATCTTTCAAAGTCCACAATTTCCCATAAGCATAAGTCAATCTGACATTCTTGTAGTCAATCGAACAGTCTATAGGCCAATCGGTACCAGGAATTTCACCATCTTTCTGTTCTCTTTCTGTTCTCGTATATTCCATAACCCGCTCTACTGAAGTTATTTTTGTTTCCAACTCTGCCCATTGCCTTATGCCATACTGTACAACGCCAGACAGAGTGAAAGCTTGGGTGATACCAAGCCCAATATCACCCACAGAACTCCCTGAGAATGAAAAAATAATCATCAACGAACATTCAAATTGGGACGATTACCTGTATCAACTGCCAGAAATACTGCGATGATCACTGCCACGAATACAGTACAACAAATATCCAGAGCATAACCAAAAGCTCTTTGACAGCATTTCGAAGTGTAGGTAGCAGATGTATATAAATCCTGATGCCTATTGAATTCCATGGATAAAATTGGTTGGGCACTGAATGCCCTTATGGTTGGTAAACCTTCCAGAGATGCATTCAGGTATCCTATAACTGGACTCCTAGCTACAATTACAACATATTATATCTTGATCCATGTAGGCAAGACCTATTTTTGTTTGATTTACTCGATAAATCCAGTCTTTGAAGACTTCGACCAGTTGGCACATAGAAGGTCCTCAGCAAAAATAATATGAGTGATATGATCAACATTGGTGCAAGGAAAACAACATTCACAGTGGCTATCAGCACAACTATTCCCACGTACCCAAACGAGATCTGAAAAAAAGTAACTCCTGTATGATTCCGCAGTTGGATTATTATCTGATAGGGGGAAGAGAAACAGTACCTCTAGAAACTCGAACACTATTGAAGGAAACTGTTCGTCAATCACACTCAAATCTTTGGAAAACCTATTGAGGATATTCCCGATAAGATTTCCGTCGAAAAATTTCATGGTGGCGTTGATAACACTATTGGTCATTGAATTGTGCAGACCTAGAGATGCTTTCTTAGTGAAACTGAAAAATGCCCATGAAGTTACTACAGAAACTATGATGGTGGCCAAAGTAAGTATAGAATAGACCATAGAAATGGAAGATGCTGAAGAAACGCTCGTCTTGGTCAGAATTCGAGGTGTTACTTCTTCATTCATTTCATCGACCCTAGAAGCAGATACATAAATAAAGATGATCACTGGTATAGTAGGAAACTTGCCAATTGCTGAGAACTTTTTCTGTATAGCTCTTCGAGAACTGATTGCTGATGAAGAATAGTATTATGAAGAAGAAGATTATATAACCACCGCCATATTTGATGTATTCTCCATAAACAGACCAAATAACTCTCCCAGATGAATTTTCTTCTCTGTAAATATTGTTATATCTTGTATATTGTTGTAGTAGCTTTGTTGTCTCTTGCTGGTTTTCTTCAATTTCCTCAACTATGTTGTTATTGATTCCTTCACATTTTGAAATCGCGCTTATATCATTGGGGAAGAAATCGATGCCATCTTTCGCTGCAATTTCGTGATTTACGTCGATAGTTCCATTTTGTATGAAAAGTATTTTGTCATCTTTGCTCAAATTTTCTAGTCGTTGTGTAACAAAGATGCAAGTTTTATCCTTCAAAAAACCTTTGATACAATTCTCGAAAATAAATCTTCGCACTGCGGCATCTACAGATGTTAAACAGTCATCCAAAAGATAGATATCTGCACGTTTGTAGACAGCTCTGGCAAGGTTAACTCTTGCCTTTTGTCCTTTGCTCAAGTTGGTACCCTTGTCTGAAACTATAATGTCGTCACCTGAAAATAACTCAACCATTTCATTTTCCTGATCTGGATGATGGTGGATGAAACTTACCAAATTCGAACTGGTCGATATCAAAATTCAGTGCACAAACCTCTAAAACTTTTTCATACCTAGAAGAGTCAAATGTTTCTCCAAATACTATATTTTGCTTCAAACTAGATGGGAATATCCAAGGATCTTGTGAAGCATAACTTATTGAGCCAATAATGTTCACTTTGCCATCTCGCACTGGGTGTTCCCCCAGTAAAACCTTCAAAAGACTTGTCTTACCACACCCCACAGGTCCAGTGATGACAGTGAGCCCTGAGCCTATACACAGAGTGGTATTTTCCAAGATTACTTCTCGATCGGTCGCTATTGTCAGGTCTGTGAGAAGTATCCTAGGTTCTTCTTGGTATATTTTTCTATTTTCACGTTGCTCCTGGATTTCGTTAGCGTTCAGTAAACTTTCAATTCTATCGATAGCTGCTACTAGTTCACCTGTTACTACTACACCTTTGGGTATGGCAACGGTAAGGGCATGCCTGATCCTCAAGAATAGTGTCATCAGGTAGTAGATAAGTTCTGCAGACAGGTTTTCACCAAACCAGATGCAGGTCATCAATAGTAAATAGAATGCTATTTTTGAGGTTAGGGTTCCAAGTAGCAGAGAAGCAGTATTGACCAGGAATATTTTCAAAATGCTAGTGATTTCTTTCCTGTAACATCATTAAAATAATTGTTCTATCGGTGGTTTATCATCTATAAATATACAAGGTGTCATAACTGAGTATTGGTATGTCTTATGGCTCAATTCAATGCATATGCATAGCCAACTCACTTCCTTGCTCCACATATTTGATTTTCGAAATACTCTTCCCAGGCATACATTTTTATAGTCTGGATGGCAGTGAAAGTTTCTTTCGTTGTTTGCAGTCTTTCGTCAGTCTTATTGCAAGAATATTTTTTCAGTTTGCTCACTATTATTCCAATATAAACTGAAACAATCAGGAATTAACTAAATTTCATATGTTGACATTGCCTTATCCGGAGAATATTTATATAATTAATTATTTCTATCCAAAATTTTGAGAAATGAGATCATTTGTTAGTTTGTATTCGATCTATAGAAAGAACTCACCCTGGACTGGTATCACAAGAATGAAGAATCCAATCGTAAAAAACGATGCAGATCCAATCCTATAGTAAATCAAACAGCACACTAGGATACCTTGAGTTATTCCAATCCATGTATCGTTTCCATAAAAAATTATCGACTCAAAGGTAGTTACATCTTTTGTCATCAGCGTTACAATTTTACCTGAAACAATTTGAAAAAGATATGTATAACATTTACATCAATATGAACTATACAGGAATGGAATATATTCTCTTCGTTACGTAAATGTTTGGGATTTTCGCTTCTTCTGAAGACAAATCAATGATAAAATTTCACTATAAAAATCCTAGGAGATATACCAGTCAGTTACACCTTATTCGTTTCAAAGAAGAAGAATACGGGAGAATTGGTGAATAGAAAATTTTACTTATCTCTAGACTTTTCGGGAATAAATCTTCTCCTATTTTATTTTCACCCTACATAAATAATCTGACTGCTGCAAATATAGCGCGTGCATTAAAAAAAACAAATCCTACCTACCTCTTTTGAATGCCAAAAAATCATCAAAATCCAATTTCAATACGGAAAAATAATATTCTTCAAAATTCAACATCAGTAGAGTCAAATTAGGTGAACTATTGATAGATTTGTTCGTTTGTTAATGATCTTAGAAATTTTCGAGGACTCATTTTATTCATCACCATGAGCTGTGGAAAGTAAGCTGTGCAAAAATAATTAAATTCTGACCGTTCATTATAACTAGTGTGATATTATTGGTGAATTGGAATGTAACAATCCAAAATACAAGTAACAACAATTATCTCAACGTTACCAATAATATCGGACTGCAGCTCTCAGTGCATACAGACTGAACTCCACTGAATTGGCCAGACCAGGTGATGTCACTGGTCACATGGTCATTCTACAAGAAGTACAAATGGAATCTGCAACCCAACCATCGGACATAATGCCAGCCAGGCTCAGTTTCGATCATACCTTTGAAGTGGTTATAAAAGCCGCCCTAGGTACGGTTCCGCTGAGCCTCAGCTGGACAGAGTATCCCTTGTTTGGTACACCAATGGTTCGAAAATGGAAAGGCGCGGGTGTATATGGAACCGGATGTAGGCTATTTGAAGCCTCAGGTCACTCCCCCACTATCTTCCAAGCTGAAATACATGCCGTCAACCTTTGCGCCCAAAGGTGCCTGAGCAAATGTCTGAGGGGTGCCAACATATATATCTGCCCAGACAGCCAAGCCGCACTAAAAGCCCTAAAATCATTCGTTTTCACATCAAAGATTACATGGGACTGCTTTGAAACACCCATGCAACTGGGAAAGGGCAACAAAGTCACACTTATGTGGGTTCCAGGGCATGAAGGAATCAAAGGAAATGGGGCAGCTGATCGCCTTGCAAAAAAAGGTGCAGCATCTGCACTTTTTGGTCCTGAGCCTTTTTGTGGGATGAGCAAATGTCACCTAAAGGGAGAACTCAGGAAATGGGAAGAAATTGAAAAGTCCTCCTACTGGAGAGCAACTCCAGGTCAACGACAAGCGAAAAGGTTCATCAACCATTCGCAGAACCGAGCCAAAGAGCTACTCAGCCTCAGCAAAACAGAGCTAAAGCTTATCACAGGCTTTCTCACAGAGGACACGGCCCTCTGAGGTACCACCTCAAAAAGATGGGCCTGGCGGAGACTGACACTTGCCGCTTTTGTAACAATGCGACCGAAACCACGGAACACATACTTTGCTCATGTGAAGTATTAGTCTGTCAAAGGCTGAACCACCTAGAACAGGTCTATCTCACCCCTGCTGAAGTGGAAAAGTCAATCGTCAGGAAAATCGTAGGCTTCATCAGAAGTCTAGGGTTAGAGGAACAAAACTAGATAGGGGTAATCACAATAGATCTTCGCAGTGATCGAGCGGTCTCCCAGCCTATACGATCCATCTACAATCTACAATCTACAATCTCTACCAATAATATCACACTAGTGAACTGTCAGAATATCAGTATTATTTGCACAGCCTACTTTACTGCAGCTCATGGATCAATAGTGAAAAATAAAATGTGACAAGTTATTCTATCAAACGAACAAATCTATCGATAGTTAACCTAATTTGACTCTAATGATGTTAATAGTTTATTATGTGAACTCGTCTCTGTTATACATATCATGTGTACATAAGACTCATATAGGTATTGCATTTGTCTAGTTCCACTTCCATTAATATTTGACTTATCATCAGTTATTTTTATATACTGTTTCTTGTAGACGAAGTTTTTTTTTCGTACAATAAACAATATGTATTCATCTTTATCACATATTGGACATTATCAGAACAAAACAATCAATAAAAATTGATGCGATTTCAAATATTTCTTACCTACAGTGATCTCAGATAGACAAGATGGAGTCAACCTCAAACATTTTCTGTACATGGCAGAACAAAAAGCCGTCCTTACTCTAATCCCAAATTCTGAAAGGCGGAGTAGGTAGTTGTGAATATAAGTGACGTTCATCAAATTGAGCAGAATAAGTAGAGTCCCTAGTAATATTGCCTCTTTTTTTGTGAGTTCGGTTTGACCTGGTTGAAAGTATAGGACCACTTTCGACAGTGTCATTGGAATGGTGATGCTAAAAAGCTGCAATTATCAGTCAACACCAAATGCATACACCAAGAATAAATACTCAAAGCAAAAAGTCATTGTCACACAATGTTCATAACGTATGGTCCGAAAGTTTTGGGAACAAAATTCAACTGGTTTGATTGAGTGACAAAATGCATTTAATCAAGCAGGCGTGGTTATTAAATGTCACCCGTCTTGTCATCTAAATAAGCAATGCAAAAGTTGTTGGTTTGCGCTAACCAAAATGTCTTATAAAATTGATCTTCGTCGAGGTATTTATAATCTCGGTGGGCGAATGACGAAAAGAGAGATTGTCGATATTTTCCAAGATCAGAACATAAGTAAATCGACAATATATCGTACAATTAAAGATTGTGAAAAAGGGATACCATGTATGAACTTGACAAAAAACGTTCGGCCGCGGGTTTTGAACCAATTAAGAGAGCAGAGACTTATTCAAGCAGCTAAACACAGAATTGGGATCTCACAGCGAAAACTGGCCAGTAAATTTCATGTTAGAAAGACTACGGTGTTTAAGACCCTATCAAGAGACAATGTTTTGTTCCGGAAAAGGAAAAAAGCTCCAAAATACTCAGAGGCTCATTTAGAAAGAATTCCAAGATGTTGCCGCGCGTTGAGTGCATTTTGCCAACAAGTTGATCGTGATGGACGACGAAAAATATTTCACTTTTGCCAACTCTGAGATGAAGGGCAATGGTGGTTTCTACACGGACGATCACGCAAATGTTCCTGACGATGTGAGATTCAAGAGCAAAAAGAAGTTTGAGGACAAAATTTTGGTATGGTGTGCCATGTCTGAGGCTGGTTTCATTACACAGCCCTAAATTGGCGTTGTTCGTGGTGAGGCCTTAAATGCAGAGCGATATATTGACAGATGTCTTTCTAAATTGCTTCAGTTTCTGAATACAAATCATGCGAATGACGAAATTATGTTTCGGCCAGATCTTGCTTCATGCCATTATGCGAGAATCACAAGGGATTGGTATGGGGCCAACAACATCAACTTTGTACCGAAAGTGGACAATCCCCCCAACCTACCTCAGGCACGCCCAATTGAAGACTTCTGGGCAATATCACAGTTGAGAGAATATTATTGAGCCGGAAAGTCTACAATAACGGATGGGAAGCACAAAATCAAGAACAACTCCGACGTCGTATATCGGGAAAAATCAGAGAAATCAACGCTGGGATCGTCCAAAGGATGATGCAACGCGTCAGAGGAAAACTCAGGCAGATCGAAGGTAATGAGAAGAATAGTCAAGAGATATTGTAAGATTATTTGTTAAGATTATAAAAATGTATTTATAAGAGTTGTCAGCATCTGATTTTTTGCCCAAAACTTTCGGACCATACCTCAAAATGAACAACAATGGTAGATTTCAGGAGAAAAACAACTACTTTCCTGGCTAATGCCACGCTGAACATTGACCTACATCCTCCCGAAATCTATGCATCGACTCCTATAAACGAATACAAGTGATTCTTTCCGGAATGCCTATTGATTTCGAGTCCCAGAGCTTCTAGGACAGCAAATATCTGGGTTATTTAACGTACGAACAATTTCGAATACATTTGAAATTTATTGAAGCAATAGTTCTCTCGAATGAGATAAAAAAATCACCCTCGTGTCAAAAAATCTACTAGAAAACACCCCTAACTCTGGTTTTACAAGTTGGATGCTCTTTTTTTTTTTTTCGGTTCATTCTATAGGATTTCTCATATTCTCAATTTGACTATACATCACGATCGAATTATAGTCAAAATTATGAAGAAGTAAATGGTTTTGCAGACTTGTTATACTGTTACACCCATCAGTAATTCCTTGAAAACTCAAAGCTACACACGAAGTCTGAATAGGAGATATGAAGTCCTTTCAATCGATCATTCAAGGAAAAATCGATATTTTTCCATTAACATTATCGAGATTATTTCAAATTTCCGAGGATGAATTTCTTCCTAAATATCAAGTCCGATGTATCACTGAATTGACAAAAAAAGTTAGAAGTAGTTTCTATTAGATTGTTTGACATAAGATTGATTCGATTGCATTGTACTGGAGAGCTTTTGCTTCATGTATTTCACAATTGTTTGAAAATGTTGTGAATGTTAGGTAACCAATTTATCTGCTGGCCTAGAAGCTCTGGGACATCCGGTATACAGTAAATTTTAAAATAGAAGGAATTCATCATTTCACGATTAACTCTGTATTTACGTAGGTAAAGAGTCAACATTGCGTATTCGAGAGAAAATCCCAAAAAATTTGGAATAATATAAAAATTGACTCTTTCAATGATTTTTTAATTGGAGATATCAGATTTATTCTGTTTTTGAAATCTACACTGTATAATATATTTCTTTCAACTCACATAACTAAAGTTCTGATGATGAGTTGGACAATCCCGATTGACAGATATTCAATGCCATAACATGACCATAATATTCTGTAGATGGAGATCGCTCCATGCTTAGCATGGTCATTCTTCATGTGTTTTTCCAAGCTCGCATCTAAATTTTCAGCTTGGCAATTTTCCAAAACATCATACAGATCGTTCTGTTCCAGGGTTCCCTCTTTGTATGTTCTCCAGAATATGCCACTGGTATAACTGAAAGTTAATATTAGAATATTTTGTGCTGAAACTTTTTATTGTAGAATTGAAAAATCAACGGGGGCTATTTTGAAACTGATACTGCCATTGTTGCCACGTTTTCCATTTCCCTGAAACTCATGTAATTTTCTTCGATTTCAAAGTTTTTGGAAGAAATTCTAGTGAATCATTTCAAATGTGAGTAAATAATTTTTATATACTCTCATAATGTAATGTAATAATAATTGATGTAGATGTAATAATAATTGATGTAGATTACAATTCAATACAGTTCTTTGATAATATGAATTTTCAATGAGATTCTGAGCCCAAATATACGGAATAATAGACTATAAAAATTGAAATTCCTGAAAACATTGATTCGAATTTAAAAATGTGGTCTATTCAACTTTTATATTATATAAATATATATTCATAGGTTAAAAAAACTGATATATATGGGTACTTACAAAAAAGTTATTCTTGATAGAAAATTAGCCCTCTCCCTGGGATGCAATTTCCGTTTCTTCTTCTCACATACATCCATGGTCAACTATAACAATAATTCCCTACAGTGACACAAAAAAAGGTCTATAACTTGGTATCTAGGTATTCACTATTACAAATCTCAATGTAAATATAGTAAAGCGGATTACATTGATATTTGAAGTAATTGTGCCACTCACAGTTTAGGAAATATTACATATATTAATATTGCTAAATGTGTACTCATCAAGTTTTGAAAGCCTTCCCAAATTTAATGGAGAAAAGAATAGAAAAACGCACAGGGATTAAATCAGTGGATATAAATAACAACATGAATAGTATACCTAATCTGAGATTATCTTGTTATTGTTTGTATACCCATGAAAACTACATCAAGTTTCATGATATTCAAAAATTCAACAAAAATAATTTCATAATGTATCAAAATTCCAATACCTACCTCCTGTCCCTATCCTCCCTAGGAACGCACGATGTTTTTTGAACATCATAGGGATTCCCTCTCGTGCGCTCCAAGCGATAAAAAAAAAATAAAAAAAATTGTTCTGATAGTTTTTCTCAAAAACTTATTCAAATATCGAAAGCAATTCGACGGTTATGATGTGTTGTTTTCCTGTACTCTTCAGAATCTATCGAGATATATTTTTCAAAATCTGTTCCGGAACATACCCAAGTGAAGAAACTATTAATTACTAAGATCACACCCCTATACTTACCAATCGAGAATAATATGTATAAATCCATTTAGGTCAACAATTTTCAGAACATTTTTCCGCTGTAACAATATATCACTACAAGTCCAAGATCATTAATAGCAATTTCCAACATTATATTACAAGAAATTTCAGATGAAATTCCCAAATCACTAGTTGACGACTGACGGATGAGACTGTGCATGCTTTCATGCTATCACTTGTTGCTGTTATTATCAATTTGTTGATACAGAGAATGAGAGCGAGTAAATAATTGATAATTTGTGTCTGTCTAGGAATGAAAAAAAGAAGGTATTCCCCTGTATCTTGACCGATCTTAGATGAAGTATCATCAGAATACATTTTTTGAGTACCTACACACTGAGAAATACAGTCTTGATATTCAACACTATTCAACACTAGCTGAAGTTTATACAGGGGTTTCTCTAAATAGTGTTACTTTCTAACAATAGGAACTAGTTTGAATAACACTGTAAAATTGTTATTATCTGACCGATTTCGAAAAACTTTTTTTTGTTGGATATGTATTTGAAATGTCCATACAACGAGAGAGTGATCTAATTCTTGGACTGTTATCGTGGCCAACTGCGACACATTTCAATGACCCATATTCCAGAAAGTACTGCTGCTCGGACCTAAAAAAAAGTATCAATTTGAAATTTGAATCGTGAGACGAACATAAATGAACAGTCTGCATATTGTTTTCAACATTCGCAACTGGAATGCGATATTTTTTCGAAAATTATCAATTAATCAACTATCTCAATGAATACGAGGCAGGCAGATAAGCAACATGGATGTTGAATTAGAAACTCCCCTGAATATTTTTGCAACGTTCGTAGTTGGATTGCAACATATAAGTTTTGTTTCCGAATAGAAGTTTCCTCAGTAGGCTTCATCCACATTTCCACTTAACGTGATTTATAATAAAGACCTGGAACATGAAACATTCGTAACTGGAATGCGATATATTTTTGTAATTTATTAATTAATCAACTATCTCAATGAATACGAGACAGGCAGATAAGCAACAATTTTCTCTGCGATGAAAAACACTGTATATACCTAACCCATCTAGCGTCTACCTCCTTTGCAGAGAGGGTTTATGAACGCAAAGTTGGTACTCTCCCCTCGTAAGGGTACCTGTCGTGTTTCCATAGAGACATAAAGATGAATATCTGTCTATCTGTTTGCTTGAGAATATGGAAAAAATTCAATATATCGCCTTCCGTACGTGCATGGTGATCTGAATTTAATAAAGTATACTCTGGTCATTTTTTTCTGTGGATCGTTCCTTCGGTTCGGCTTGACTGGATAACTTTGTCGGATTTTGTTTCAAGTATCAAACACTGTGCTTCTCGGATCTGCAACTGCATATCACATATTAAATATCGAATCATATGAATCAAAAATGATCATTATTAGATGCTTTACATACATGGATGTTGAATTAGAAACTCCCTTGAATATTTTTGCAACGTTCGTAGTTGGATTGCAACATATAAGTTTTGTTCCCGGATAGAAGTTTCCTCAGTAGGCTCCATCCACATTCACACTTAACGTGATTTATAATAAAGACCTGGAATCCCAAACACTGTGCTGCTCGGACCTAAAACTTAGTATTTATTTGAAATTTGTATCGTGAGACGAACATGAAACATTCGTAACTGGTATGCGATATATTTTTGTAATTTATTAATCAATCAACTATCTCAATAAATATGAGACAGGCAGATAAGCAACAATTTTCTCTGCGATGAAAAACACTGTATATACCTAACCCATCTAGCGTCTACCTCCGTTGCAGAGAGGGTTTATGAACGCAAAGTTGGTACTCTCCCCTCGTAAGGGTACCTGTCGTGTTTCCATAGAGACATAAAGGTGAATATCTGTCTATCTGTTTGCTTGAGAATCTGGAAAAGAAATCAATATATCGCCTTCCGTACGAACATGGTGATCTGAATTCAGAGAAGTATACTCTGGTCATTTTTCTGTGTGGATCGTTCCTTCGGTTCGGCTTGACTGGATGGTTTTCTCGGATTTTGTGTCAAGTATCAAACACTGTGCTTCTCGGATCTGCAACTGCACATCAAATATCAAATATCGAATCATATGAATCAAATATGATCATTATTAGATGCTGAATATTTTCGCAACGTTCGTAGTTGGATTGCAACATATTAGGTTTATTTCCGAATAGAAGTTTCCCCAGTAGGCTTCATCCATATATAATAAAGACCTGAAATCCCAAACACGGTGCTGCTCGGGTCTAAAACTAAGTATCTATTTGAAATTTGAATCGTGAGACGAACATGAAATGAAGAGTCTGCATATTGCTTTCAACATTCGTGACTGGAATGCGATATATGTTCGTAATTTATTGATTACTCTACTACCTCCAGTATCAAACACTTTGCAAATAAACATGACATCAAATATCGAAGTCTATTAAAATTAATACTGATTTCCTTGAGAGGCGGAACATGGATGTTGAATCTGAAACATACCTGAATAATATTTTCAACATTCGTAACTGGAACGTGATATATTTCTGTAATTCATCCATTCATCAACTATCAATGAAGACGAGGCAGGCAGATAAACAACACTCTTCTCTCCAATGATACTACGATACTGCAAAAATTATCTTTCATTTCCACTCATAAAGCAACGTTTTCAAGTCATCAACTATAATCAATTCATCATAAAGATCAGAGTCCTGTTATTGGATAAAACACGAGTTTTAGAAAAAAAAAGTTATGACTGCAAAACCTAAAAGTTAATTTGTTGATATCACTCTGTAAGTGAAAGGGATAATAAGACAATTTGAGAAATGTCTCAAGGTAATCTACTGTCAAAGTTGAAAAAAAGTTTTCGATCATTTGGAATCCTTTTGAAAATTCAAAATTTTTTCACAGTTTCAGGTGATACCCTGTAGCGGGTTCATATAAAGAACCTCATGTTTTAAAGAATTACGAGCTTATAACTAGAGGACTGGGCTAGCGAACAGTGTGAACCGAATTCAAATTGTTCAAAGCAGAAAAAAAGTTATTCCTATTTTAATGGATATACATATAATATACCATAGGAAGTTATACAATTAGTGGAGGATATTTCGAGACTAAATTCCAATCGATGTATATGGACAATGATAAGAGTTTGACAATTCGTGTGTGACCATTTCAAAGAAATTTTGACGACTTCGAAAATTTCTCTGTGAAAATTGGGAGTGGCGGTACCTAGCCTAGCACAGTCAGCGATACGGATTGACAAATTTTTCTCGGGTTTGTTTTAATTGAATATATTTCCCAAGATTTCTAGATGTATCGAGTAGTATCGGCTCAAAATACCTATCAGATTATACTATCAATCATAATGAAAAAATCAAAGAAAAACTCACCAGCGTGAAAAAAGTGAAAAATGATATCGACAATTCCATTGTTTGAAATTTTCGAGTTTCCACAGAACATCACACGATCGCGATACGAATTATTGAATGAGGAATACGAAAACACATTACTATTACTCATTTTTCAGGGAACACTCCGTTTGTAACGATAAATATTTCCTTTCGCGTATTTTTCTACGTCGATCACAAAATTCGACCGTATGTGATGACATCTAATATAAGACTGTCTTGATTTACCACCTGGTCACGAATGAATGACTAATAAGTTGAATCATGCTGCTAACCGATTAATTTCCGAACAAATGATCAATCTATGACTAATGATGATAATGGAATTATACGGGAGGGATTCTATAACTAAAGATGATTATACGGGGGGAAAAGGTATATAGTATACAAAATATGAGATAAAGTATTGAACACGGATATACTGACAGTATTATTTTCGAAAGTCTTATGATTTAAAAAAATTTAACATAGGCTGAAAATATAATCTTTTCCAAAATACCTAGATATGTTCTGCTAACTGAAAAGAGGAGGAAATTAATGAACAATGTGGTCTACTTTTTATAAGCGTGCATCCAAATTGACATTTGTGTGTGTGAAAATGTAATTAGCACTCAAAAATATCTAAAATAATTGACAAATTGTTCTATGGAATGAAATCCATCGATAGTTCACCTAATTCGGCTCTAATAATTAGGTTTAAATTTAAGGACTGTTTTTTTTTTGTAATAAAATTGGATTTTTTGAATTACGGGTTCAATAAAAATTCTATTTTTCAAATTGTATGGGAAACACCAAAACAACACACGATCGCGATTATGTAATCACTGATTTGAATGAGAAACACAAAAATACGATACTATGACTCATTTTTTAGTAAACACTCTGTTTGAAATCATTGATTGATGATTCTCAACCAGTCAGATTTGAAGTTCACAAAAACTATTTTTTCTTCTGAATAACGTTCATTAGAAAGCTGAGTATGCGCCTACGCTGAAATTGCACCAAAATAAAGCTATTTTTTCTGTGACGGGAAAAAAGTTTGGCATTTCATCTCTGTTGGCAGGTTATAAAATGTCACTTTTCATAAATTACTTTTTTCCCGGAAATATATCACATTATATCTTCTAAATATTGATTCGTCCTTTCTTCTGTCACAGAAAAAAATTGTGTATTATACACGGGAAAAATATTAGATTTTAGCTCACGGTTTTTTGTCTCCAACCTGGAGCTAAAATCTACAACTTTTTTCCCTCGTAAAATAAATAACTATTGAGTAATCAAACGTCCATAATATTGCTTCCACAGTGGTAAAGGTTGTTAGGTTGGCAACTTGGAGCGAAGTCCCCCATTAAACCTTCACAATGACTAATACGCTAGCATAAGCTCCTTGATATTAGTCATTCTATCTACAGTGTGCAGAAAAAACTGAAAATTGAACCAAGAATGAAAAAGTTATATGGGACCTCTTTGACCATGTCTCAACTTTTTGCCTTTTTTGCATCTTGGTGTAATCAGCCTAACACCTACAGAAGAATCCTAAAAATCAAATTATTTGTGAACCTTACAGTAACCACGACACTCTCTCCTGCTCTTCCATGAATGACAAATGGATCTGTCAAAATTGAAGAGATCGCTCATTCAAAATGAGCAGTTCTCATCGGAGACTTTCCAAACATGAAATAAAGACAAGTGTTTTATCGGGGCGTAGATTGACAGCGAAAAAAAACAGAGGGAAATCCAGGGAAGAAAATTTGGAAGATTCCATAGTGTTTGAAAGCCGTGGCTCTAAGAGAGAAAGCGAAGAAGCTAGAGACTCGTACCAGTCGAATATTGACCATAGAGAAGTAATATTTTCTGCTTTCTATGATAGTTTACTACAGAGTATAGTAGCTGAACGCGAAATCATCGAAAATAAAGATGAAGTCGTTAAAGGTACAAATAAATAATCTAATGCTTTATAATCATCAATATCATCATCAATACTGTCTGTAGGTTAATCGAGGAGGTGGTACCTTCATTATTCCAGATTTTTTGGGATTTTTTTCTCCTCGTTTCTATAAAATCAGAATATGAATATTATTTCAATATACGTGTAGTAAGGACAAATCAGATGATTTGCCCCAAAATGTCAAAACGTTTGAAGAATTTTCCTATCAGAGAGCCTGAAAGAAAAATACACTAGCTTGTCAGTGACAATTTGTATTAAAAAAAGTTTGGAGAAGAGAAATGAAGGTATACAGAAATACAGAATTCAAGCAGATTCCTTGAATTTTCTCTTCTGGTTTTTATCTTCTTTTCCAATGATTTTAATATCATTCCACTCCGCCATATGTTGTTCATCTTCAGCAAGGATTATGTTCAGCAAGTTTCGATTGAAGTGTCTTTTCTTTATATTGTATTTATGTTCCTTCGTGCTTACAACAAAATCAACCATCAATAACGACAAATATATTACCATACATTTCCGGCATATCTGAAAAGATGAAACGTGTTGGTGATAAATCTCTAGTAAAATCTGTGTTCAAATCTGAAAATACAATGAGATCAATTCTAACTCAAACAAAACCGAAAAATGAAGAACAATCGTCAAAAAATTGTATTTACAGTATACCTTGTGTTTGTGGAAAGTTTAATACAGGGGAAACCAAGAGACCTCTTTCAGTAAGGACGAAGGAACATAAATACAATAAAAAGAAAAGACACATCGACAAATCGAAACTAGCTGAACATATCCTCACTGAAGATGGACAACATATGGCAGAGTGGAATAATATTAAAATCATTGGATAAGAAGATAACAACCAGAAGAGAAAAATCAAGGAATCTGCTTGAATTCTTCTGAACGGAGACAATAGCATTCAGTTGATAAAGATAGAACATGGTTTTCACTATTGAAATCTGAAAATGAAAATGGTAAATTCAAGATTAATTGATGAAAACATCATGTAACTCATTTGATTGCCAACGTCACCAATTTGTCATTGAGAACTGAAAAGTGTCAGGATGAATACGAATTTGGGATACAAAAAATCCATTTTTTATGTTGAAAACGGGAGCAGATTCGGTCCCGAAACGTCCAAAGCTGAGTTAAAGTTTGATATTTTTTTTAAATACCTTTATTTCCATTCTCCTAACTTTTTTCAATACAAATTGTCACTGACAAGCCAGTGAATTTTTCTTTTAGGCACTCTGATAGGAAAATTCGTTAAACGCAGTGACATTTTGGGGCAAATCATCTGATTTGTCCTTACTACACGTATATTGAAATAACATTCATATTTTTATTTTATAGAAATGAGAATGACTAGGTACTAATCCCACTTCATTATCCCCTAAGGAAATGAATCATGGCATTATTCTGCAAAGTGTACTTCTCGCAATTCATTCGGATTTATATTACCTTGCTGCTGAGGTGGCTCGGTTTAACATACTTTTTCCATGTTCATCACCAATCTTGAAAAAGTTAAAAAGTAGCACCAAAATTCTTCAATCAAATTGACCAATCTTTTCCTCTCTCGCAGAAAAAAGCACCCTAAAGGAAGATAATCAAGAGTCTGAAGAAGAGCTTGTAAATGAAGAGGACGTTTTGGAAACCCCTTCCAGAAATCTCAGTGGAAATCTGATTCCATCGAGTTCGGCGAGTAAGTGAATTTGCATTTAGATGATTCACCTCTCCAATCAATTATATTCTCCCAAGAAAATTGGGAACTAACTTTCATATAGATTGAATGACGAAATTATAAAATTATGTGACCTGTCATTCAGAACAAAAAAGTCCGAAATCGGACAAGTACTTCTGACGAAAGTGTTTCCCAAACTTTCGACTACATTTTGGTGGTGCGTTCAATGACGGCTAAATACACTCAGTTCCAAAAAAAGTGACGCACTTGATATTTGACCTATCTTCTTAAAAAAAAAATAGTAGGCCGATTTTCATTTCATTTTTATTTGTTTGTAGGTAATGCATTGTCTTTAAAAAAAAATAAAGAGGTGAAAATCAAAGTCTCCTTGATGGTGGTGGAATAACTCGAACCATGATTTATTCTTAATTTTTGACTCACCCTGTGTGTTAATTGAGTAATGGCATAGCAAGTGCTTACACCCTATGCGAAAGAAGCTTCTTTTGCGAGCATTTTGTTTCATTATTCATTGATTTATCCCCAAAATTTTCCGAATTACAGCTTTTTTTGCTGAATCCTTGCAGATTACCAACTTTCTGAATTTATCGAGTAACAATTTTCTAATGAAATAAACTGATACATACACAAAACTATAAATTGGGATGACTGCTTAATACCGTGTATTGCCTCCTCTAGAAACTCTAAGAACTTCTAATCGACGAGGCATACTGGAAATTAAGTTGCTTATCGTTTCCATTGGTATACGATCCCATTCTTCCACTTATGCATTTGCCATTTCTGCGAGACTTTCCGGAGACCTCTCGCGAGAACGTACTCTTCTTCCTAATTCATCCCACAAATGTTCTATAGGATTCATATCGGGGCTTCTCGCAGGCCATTGTAATGTGGTAATACCAGTAGCTTCTAAGAAGTTTAGCACTATTGCTGCGGTGTGTGGTCGGGCATTATCCTGCATCAATATAAAATTATTGCCCACTAACTCTGCGAAAGGTAAGACATACTGCTCTGAAATGTCAATGTAAATGTGGGCATTCATCGACTGCCTCACCGGATAAACTTGAAGGGGTGTCTTTCCATTCATTGAAATTCCTCCCCACACCATAACGGACCCACCATTGAAACTTTCGCATTCTGTTAATAAATTTTGATTAAACCGTTCACCGTTTCTTCTCCACACTCTTTTTCTTCCATCCACCATGTTCAGGCAAAACCTTGACTCATCCGTAAACAAGACATTCGACCATTCAGGAATATTCCACTGTTCTTAATTTTCAACAAAATTTCTTCTAGGAGCACGATGTTCGGGCAATAATTTGGGACCTTTTGCAGGTCTCCTAGCTTTCAAAGCACGATGTTCGGGCAATAATTTGGGACCTTTTGCAGGTCACCTAGCTTTAAAATTAATTTCTTTTAGACGTCTACATACCGTCTGCTTACTTACTACAACATCACGAATTTGGCGAATATCTTGCTGAACATTTACCGCAGTATTTGATCGATTCCGTAAAATCCGCAATCTCAAGAAGCGATCATCTCTTGGAGAAATTTTTCGGGGGCGACCAAAACCGACCCTCCGAGCGGTGCTTCCTGTTTGTTCGTACTTGCGGATTGCTCTACGAGCAGTTGCTTCATGAACTCCCACTGCACGAGCGGCGTAACGTTTACTACGCCCAACGTTTACTAACGCAACTAATCTTGCTACTTGTTCAGGATTTATTTGAGGCATATTTCATGTAATTTCAGTCAATAAAACAAGACACTTATTTAATGACACAACGACCAAAAAAAATCGGCCTACTATTTCTTTTTTTTTTTTTAAGAAGATAGGTCGAATATCAAGTGCGTCACTTTTTTTGTAACTGAGTGTATCTGGACTGTCTGTCCAATGACGGCTAAATATCAAGAAGATATCAAGTAAGCTGCCGACCGACATTCAGGCAGCTAACTTGATATTTAGCCGTCATTGATCTGTCAAAATAACAGAAAACAAATTACTTTTCCGCAAAGGACGGAAAGTTAACCCGTCTGAGTGATTGGACAGTCATGTCATTGGGTGCGTTAATTTCTTGGGAAAGTTTATTTTGGGTTATTCCGAAATTAATTAAATAGGATGATAAAATGTAGTATTCCTATCAGAATATCATATAGTATCATTCAGATCATCATTATAATATTCCATCTGAATATTACTTTAATTGCCTAAGGATATGACAATGAAATGATACTCGAGATAGTGAAATTTTCCACATTATATTCTTCTGGAATATTCCTGAGATATCCTGCAATATCTCATTAATTAATTTAATATGTGATAAGTATATTCTAGGAATATTTTTGAAAATTTTTCACTATATCTGGGATTCAGATTTCGGCATTTTTTCATGATCCAGATTATTAATTTAGATACACACCACTTTAATTCGAACTTGGATCTTGAAACATATTCAATATAAATTCAAAACCCGACAACAGAAGGTATAATCGTCGGAAAAAAATACCTAGAATCCGATTGGCGTTCAAAGGACCTAATAATGCATATTTCTTTATTTCTTTTTCCTCTCACAATTCTGAAAAAAAAATGCAAATTATGTTCATCATCTACCATTGTGCTATGCCAATTATTAATACATGTATCACAGTTCTTCGTTATTCTTTTCAGAATCCAACAGCTTCAAAGAGCAGCCATCATCAACAATCAGCAAAAAAAGCGAAAAAATTTCTCAAGAGTCTGTTCACATTATCTCTGTAAATATTTTGTTCACATCAGATATATAGCTATATCTAATAACTCAATTCGCGAATACTTGATGCTTTTATTTCCAGTGTGAAAATGTTGCAAAATGTGAAGAACTACCTAAACCTATCATACAAAAAATCGTGTTCAAAAATGGCAATATTTATGAAGGGGAAACTTTTTGTAATCTGATAAAAGGCCACGGTATATTCCACTGGAGTGATGGTACAATCTATCAGGCAAGTAATTATTTTATGTCATAAACCCTCTCGGAATGAAAAGGAACAAAAAAGGGGTTTTTATTCAACACATTTTTTCACATCATTTAACTGGCTACAATACCACCTCATACTCCTGGGCTTTTTGTGCATTCCAGTTTGGTTTTACAGCACCCATTCCGTAGCTCTCATCTCCTGTACCAGTCTGTACAGGTTCTTTACCGGTTGGCTGTTATATTCTTCGGGAGCTCCTGGGCTGCCCGAACATTTCTTGTCTCTTGCGATCCAGTGCCTCGCATTCTATCATAAGTGTTTGGCCGTTTTTGTCCCTTTTACGCATTGTATGTTTAAAAGTTCTCCATTGTACAAGCCCATTTTGTTCAGGTGTCCTCTTATAGGATTGTGACCAGTGAGAAGTCCCGTTATTGTCCTTACTTGCTTCTTACTCATATATGGTTCCATGTTTCGACGGTTCTTTAACATGTGATGCATGTGAGGGGCTTCAATCCAGCGCTCTCTTTGTTTTCGCCTTGATCCGGTCCCGTATCTATGCAGCCTCGGATAGATGTCCGACTTCTTGCCAGGTCATCAGCTTTTTCATTCCCTACGATGCCACAGTGTCCTGGAATCCATAACAGGTTTATTTTTTTATGTTCTGAGGGGGCACTGAGTTCTTCTCTGCATTTCCGTACCGGCTGGACGTCACTTTAGGGGTTCATGAGAGCTTTCAGTGACGCCTACTCTGCCTATCGGTGCATATTTTGATCCGTGAGTTGCCTACTTCCCTCATGTTGTTTGTTCTGGCACATTACAAGATTTTGCATACTTCTCCACTTGAAATACGGAAGTGTTTGTTCCCAGTGAGATGCTTAGTTGGGAGTTTCTCCCTTCACTGTAAATTCGAGCACCAGAGCCTTCCTTGGTCTTCTCTCCAGGTTTGCCCTTGATGCTGTTGACTGTCCATTGCCTTCACCTCGAGGTTCATGTTATATTGGAGTAGTGAGGTCCGTTGGTTTCATTCCAAAAATGTTGCCTTCCACTATTTCCTTCATCTTGTTGTGTCCCGATCTATCACTCCCGTTTTGTAGCCTTATCCATTTCAACCTCTCCCATGATTATTAGGTCAATCGGGGAAGGTTCAGTAGTACATATCCATGACTGCTGTTGGTGTTGTTTTCATAGCACCCGTTATGTTATGTATCTCTACAATGTTTTAGTCACCCTGTAAAAAATTGTATCATCTGCAAGTGCCCTTTTGGGCACACAAAAATTCAGGACCCGTTTGGAAAGTGAAGATAGAGCAAATTATACTAATATTTTCTATTATTATCTTCTATTTATTATAGGCACATTATGGGTGATCGAATAAACAATATATTAATGATATTACAAAAATTTCAACGACGGCCCTATGGAAATAATCATGTTATAGGTAGAGAACCATAAATAATATACAGGGCGATTGAATGAAACGGTTCATTAGACGTTTCTGGCGATCCAGCCAATAGATCATTTTGAAAAATGGGGTAATTGCATGAACGAACCCACTCTATCATTCTGATCTAATTTCGATTATGCGGTGTTGCCTCTTCTACCAAAAAGTATTAGCAACTTTGATATTTCGAATGGAACACCCTGTATTCAATTGCATTTTTAGATTCTCCTTGGAGAGCTGATTTCATCAATGCATCACACTCGAGGTCTAGCGGAAATGATTACAGAGATATACGATGTTCAAAATCGAACTATTCGATATTGGTCAAAATGGCTCACTTGTTCCTGTCTCAACATTTGATGTACTATCTACTGGCATTTAATTGGAACAAATGCAGGGTGGTTCAAGATTCAGAATTCTGATCACCCTGTATCTATTCCAATTAAATGTCAGTAGATAGTGAATCAGAAGTTTCGACCAATATAACGAATAGTTTCCACACACAAAAATCTCTGTAATCATTCCCGCTAGACCCAAAGTGTGATGCATTGATGAAATCAGCTCTTCAGGAAGAATCTATAAATGCAATAAAATACAGGGTGTTTTATTCGAAATATCAAAGTTGCTTCTACCTTTTGGTAGAAGGAGCAACACCACATTATTGAAATTATTCTAGAAAGATAGAGTGGGTTCGACAAAAATATAGATGTGAGAGAATTTTTCGGTCCTTTGGGGCCCCTTAGGATGGGGAGCACCCTGAGGAAGGGAGGTCCTGATAGGCACGGGGCCCTTGTGCCCTCATGGTAAAGGCTGTATTGATCATCTGGGAGTTCAGATCGATGTTTCACTTTACTAGGGCCAATTCAAGAATGGATATCCAACTGGTGAAGGAAAAATGATACTTCCCGATCTCAGTATCTATGAAGGAGATTTTTGCAATGGATATTTTCACGGAAGAGGTATCCTGAATGTTTCCGCCACTCCAATCCATTATCGAGGGGACTGGAAGAATGGCAAAAAGCATGGTAATTTATATATATGATACCCATAACCAAAAACACATTAACAAAATCTTGATTGTTTGCTATTTTTTTTTTAAGCTCGGAATAGTAATTTATGTAGGGAACAAGAAAACAAAGGTTCTATATATAAATGACTCGCCCTGTACATCGATATTTTTGTCCGATTTCCAGGTAATGGATGGTTAATGTACGAACCAGGAAACTGGTATGAAGGTAGTTGGTCTGGAGATACCAAAAGTGGTATAGGCTTCACAAAGTACAAGAGCGGTAGTAAATATAAAGGACACTGGAATGACAATGTCAGAAAAGGAAAAGGAAAGATGATGTGGGAAAATAATGATGTAAGAGCCGGTGTTTCAGTCATTTAAAGAAACCTTGTGTATTCTATAGGTACCACGGGACTAAAGAAAAAGTGAGCCAATTGATGGGTTGGTTCGTGGAGGGTTAGCCCGAGAGCAATAACCATGGAGGGAATAAGCCACTATTGAAAATATACAGCGTGGAGACATTCAACTGTAATGAATTCGCTAGCAGGATATGAATATTTTTATAAAATATCCCGAGATATGTCAACGATATAATGTATTTACCTACATTTTGCAAGCAATTTCGAGAATATATCCCTTCAGGTGTAGCTGAAACCGCTCTCAACATGTTTTTTTCAAACACAACCCTATGGCTTGTGACCCCTCTATCGAGAGCTGTTAGAGCCCTTTCTGAACGTTGACGTTTTCAGAAAGATCATTCACCTCCGCGCTAGAGCGAGTATATTCCAGTTAAAGTCTCCACCCTGTAGAATAGCAATGTACTGAGATTAGCATACAATATAACTCCGTTTTGTTAGTTCAACTATCCTGTTGACTTAAGGGGTCCAGGGATAGTCCATCAGGGAAATGTTAAAAGTGTTTGAGAAAATCATAAAAATATATTAACACTTATATAGTTATTCAATCAGTTTACTGTGATATATTTGGATAACTTAGGTGCAGTTCACTTCAGTCCTAAATCTTGTTCACTCGGGAATGTGTCCGGATCCCCAAAGGGATCAAATGGGTTAGTTCTCCCTGTATGAAGGGACTGAAGGATAGTGCAAAATGACTCGTTTTCATATATTAATAATATGTCTACTCATCAGGTCATTCCGAATACGAATCATTTTCATTTCAGTACTATGACGGTGAGTGGTCAGGAAACCTACAAAATGGTTATGGAGAATACACATGGAATATCGTACACAATAAATCATTATGCTTTCCATCCTACAACTGGTATAAAGGATCTTGGGAAGATGGAAAAAGAACTGGAATAGGTGAGGATAGGAAGCTATCGAATCATGCGTTTTCATTTCATATCACATTTGTTTCGAATTTTTGTCTCAAGCGATATTCATATTCTCTAAACCCATTTTTCATATGGAAAGACTTTTCAACTAATCAAACTCTAATGCTCTGTATCTTCCTTAGAAATCAAAGATAGAGGGCTATATCAATCAAACATTATACATTAGTTTTTCGTATAAAAATACTCTGTATACACAAATATCTAAAAGTTGATTTGGATGTGGAGATGATATTCTTAAGTAGGTATGACTTGTGGTTTTTAGGCATCATGAATTTTGGTACGGAATGCGGTTCCAAACTAGGTGGTACCTGGTACCACAATAGCAAACACGGTCCAGGTGTTATGATGTGTGGTAACGGAAAGTACATAGAATGCAATCCCCTTTTTCTTCAAGACAGGCCTATCCATATGAATTCGCGAATATCTCCCAGTGATATCTCAGATCAAGAAAATATCGATGATACATACCAAAATGATTCTGTAAAGCGAGATTCTTTCAAAGATATATTAGCATTGATAGGTAACAAGGTGAGACTTTGCAATGTAAATACTTGCTCATCGTAATCAAATGATCGTGTAAACATGACATATTCATTTTCAGGTTGCGGTAAATCGATTTCCTGATGAAATCATCTTGAATATCACGAAAAACGGGATGAATTTGGAAGGAAACAATTTTTTGAAACTGTACGATTCCATTTCCGGCAATAAGAAAATTTGGTGTCCTTTAAAAATTTCAATACACTCTGTAGCGGATGAGGTGGACCTAACATACTATATAGACCTCATTTTTAAGTACCTCAATGAGGAACAGAAAGTAAATGGGACTATGGCATTGACGATACCACAAAAAGATCATCAACCAAAACTACACAGGTAGGAAAATATTTCAATTCATCCTGTATAATGAAAGTCATATAATTTTTTCAGCATAAATTTCCAAGCATCGGTATATTCTGAAAAATCTGTGATTCTGAAGGAATCTTCATGTGAAACAAGTGTCTTCAATAAGGAAAACGAATCAAAATTGAAAGATGCAGAAGCATTTTATCTGAAGAACCAGATAATCATAAACTTAACAAGGCTCACTCAAATCTACAACCTATACGCCAGCTTCACTAAGAGAACTACTTTGAGTTTCAAGCCTGTACTTATAAGATTATTCCTTTGGCAACTCATGAGAGACATTCATCTGGCGCAAGAAGGAGTCTCTCTCATTGAGAGCGATCTCATTTTATCGAAAAACCTTGCTAGTTGTGTTGAAACCGATCACTTTCCCTTTGAGACGATTTACCTTTATCAGTTCGTACAGTCCTTGGTTGGTTGCTCTTGGCTGATGTATTTGGCAGAAAAATTAACGTGTTCTGTGATATTTGGCAACGGCTTTGTTGCTCACATATTTAAGGAATTCTTGGAGGAATACGTTTACCCAAACGCAGGGAACTTCACAGGTAAATTGATCGTAACTCAAGTATAATTTCGTTAATCCAAGAATACTGACTCCTGTCAAATAGATAATCGAAATACCTCCAAAATGAGGTACGACTCGACACCATTTATAATCGAAGAAAAGAAGTTGAACATCAACAAAATATGGTTATTCGAATGCATGTAATTCGAAGTAGGTAATTAGAGTCATTTTATCTTCATCGTCACAAATCTGAGCGAGGTATTGTTATCGGTGCATTATCATTTCAATTATGAGGCACTATCAACTTTTTCATTTCAAATGACAAGTATGTCGAGTGATACCTCTTTTCAAAGGCAATTCGATTCTCTATTCAATTACTATGTTGAATCTAGATAATATCGTTTCTTTTCGGAGATATAATCAAATTGGCACTTTCAGCTGACAGTTGGGACTGAGTTTTTTTTTTCAAATTTAAGAAACTCTTCAACATATTTCGAATGTAATATTTATTTGTAGGAAGTGTTCTAACTGACAACAAAGACAAAGTACCAATCACAGCAGTATACAATCTGTATTTGAGTCTAGGAGAACCCCTATCTGTTAGAACGTTTCTAAACTCAACTTGCACCAAACGAGGGGTTGACCCTCCCTGTTACTACGCTATCAACTCGGAATCCAATAAAAAAATACTGAAGGACGGTTATAATGCAGTATCAGTTGCTAACGAAATTCACTATCTTCCAGGTAAAGTCACAATCTACAAAGTGATCGTCTTCACATCAATTTTTTCTTCATGAATTTATTTATAGCCACTGACGCAAATGATGACGATGATAGTTTAATTAAAGAAAACATGAATGTCATGAATAAATCCAGAGATCCTTTTTATAGAACACTTTATACCTTCAGAACCCTTGGGAAAAGGACACTTACTCACTGCTTGGCTAGATTGTGTCCAAAAATTATTGGACCTAATCTGATGACGGATTTATCGTACAAATTAACGTTTCTCGAGTTTTACGAGGCTTTAATAAAATGTGCATTAATGAAAGCGGAAGAAACCAGGAGAGATCAAGAACTGCAATTGAGAGAATGTCAGAAACTTATTACTGAACAAAAGATGTCGGTTTCTCAACTATCCAAAACGAAGGAAAGGGTGGGTAAAAAGAAGAAGTCGAAAAAATCAGTCCTGACATTTTGAAATCTGATACCTATCTAATGTCGATTTACTTCAAATTTATATAATCATTATTGAGATGAACAATTTAATTGTTTTCATTTCATTGTATTCATCAAATTCCTTTGAATTGTGAAGATTTTTCAGTAGGTACCTACTTTATATTATATTGAATATAGCAGCCAATTTCCAGAAATGTTTTTTTTTTCGAATAAAATTTCAGGTTTTTCTCAGAATATTCACTTGCATTTTCCTTCCTGATCTATTTCATCATCGATTCTTGAAAAATCATATTATAGGTACTTTTACAGGGTGGGCTACTAACCTGACGTCAGTATTCATATTTATGGACAGATGAACACAATTGACACACTTTTTCAATACGTCTTTCAATACAGTAGGAGGCACAATAATCTTGAAGAACTTCGTGCAACAACAGAGGCTGTTTTTCAGGATTTGCAAAGACATTCTTCAATAATTTTGAATGCATTTAGACGTATTTCCCTCACAAATGGTCATCAATTTGAACAAGGAATTTCCATTCAAAAAATCATAAGTTTGAGTCGTATCTCCAAAACCATACCTCATCGAAAAAAAATTTTGAGTGCGCCACTGGATTCATAAAAGAGGTTTACAAAGATAACTGCGAGATATCACGGAAAAGCATCGTAAAACAACATATTTTTGTCAAAAATTACCCTTTGTAGGTAATTCAGTAAGAACGCATTTCTGAGATGGAGAGGAATGGAATGGCAACTGTGTGATATACTTCATATTCAAATAATTGTTTGTTAATTGATTGTTATTTATTCCAATCAATTCATCTCCCCATTATTACCCTCTATTTCAAGAGAAATTTCGACTCCACACAAAAATGACTCCTCTGTTCATTCCATTTTGTTATGGATGAAGCAAGTTTTCACTGGGTCAGGTTAGGTATTACTGGTATTACAAGTAAGGGTCTATTTTGTGGCTCACGCCAATTCATACTTCACCAAGTAGATCCAGCTTCTTAATGAAGCCGATTAGTTCACTTGGTGAGTAATCTTCCAGGTCCGAGGGAGAGAGTGAAAACCTGATTCGGGACGCGGCGGGGCAGGCACGAAGTGCATGCTCTGCTGTTTCATCTCTTTTCATCTTCAAGGCACACTCAACGTTTTTTTCCCTCGCAAGGGAATCTGCCGTTTCGTTGCCTTATTACCTCTAATGCCATACGAGAGTGGCCAGGAATCCAAACCAGAAATAGTTTATTGAGTCTTTCAATCGCGGAGAGTCTCTTCTGCATGGCAGTTCAATACCATTCTAGAAGTTGCTTATAGCTAAAAGTGCTTTCAGAGCCGCTTGGCTATCCCAGCATATTTTCATTGTTTTATGTGTGAGGTTAGTTTCCTCCAATCTCTCCACCATTGACGATATAAATGAAAACCTAGTAGAGGCGACCTCTATATAGTGCAGTGGCAAGGAGGTACAATGCTCTCGCTTACTATAGAACTACCAACATAACTTGGTTAATTGTCATCACATTTTTGAACGACGTCTCCACACACAAATGGATGGTGTAAATATCCGCCCGAAATACTGTTGCATGTAGTACCCAAGACAGGTTAATATCTATATGTCCTAGGTATGCGACTGTGTACCCGCACCCTTATTGCCTGTGGGTATGATTTTGAAGCATCTGTGAACCAAACATCATCAGTTGTCTGCTCTTAGTAGTTCCTTCTTTCGGAGGAACCATCAGTCATCTCTATTTGGGATAAGGTCGGTGTAAACACAGACTGGAGGCATTATGCTGTCGTAGGCCATTCCCAGATTGCTGTGACTTGAAATATGTCTGCTGCGCTCCGTGTTATTAGCCTGATTTGTGCCCATCTAGCCTCATCTCATCTCCAGAAAAATATGGAGAGGAGGTAGGTATAGGTCTAGAAGGATTTCAATTGCTGCTGAAGGTGTCAAGTCTCTATCTCTGTATTACTAGAGAGCTTTCCTTGTGCCGTTCGCTGTGAAGCTTTCGGCCACCAAGCAAGCATGGGATCATTATTGGCCTGACAATCATCACGCATATATCCAGTAGATTTTCCACAAATCCTTCGACATGTCCATAAGGATAATCTGTATAGCTTTGTGAACAACCTTTTCCAAGTGGGCGTTCCACGTGAGTTTCTTATCGATGATTATACCTATATAGATATTTCACTTCCGCTGTCATTATTCACCATAGAACATAATCGTACGCCAACTAACGGAGTTTTTGAAAGCTGTCAAAGCGGTCTGTTTACTTTGTTTTCATTGGTTTACATTTTTGTTTGAGCTTATTATTGGTCACACCATCCAAACAAACCGCAGAGAAGTGTTCAAGCTGTTGCCGTCAGGTGGGGCGACGTGTTAATTTCTATAGTGAATTGTGGGAAAGTGGAGTCAGATCATCCAGGTTCCTTTTTTGGTGAAGGGTACTATTACAGTTTTGCTAGCGATGACAAACATATGTTCTCTCTAGCACTAAATGTAGACATCATCCAATGTACCCCGGAGGATATTCATCAGAGGCTACCCTTCCAGTCGTGTTTCTTGTCAGAATGACAATAAGGTCGTCTGCATAATCTTACAGCTCCACCCCTCTTCGGTTGAGGACATTGAGCAAACTGTCCATCAGAAGTGACCACAGAACGGGGGATAGCACCCCGCCTTGGCCTTATCCTGAAGAGATATAGTTGCTGTCCTGTTTATGAGCATGGCGTAGATCCAACCAGTGATAGTTGGTTCTATATCCTTTTCAACTAAGGCTGATCCAATAGAGTTTGGTAGTGCATTGTCAAATACCTACTCCTTCAATATCGATATTGAGTTCTCACTAATATCCATAAATTATGAAATGAAACAAAAGTTTTAAAGAAAATATTTACTCTTTCATCAGAAAAACTCGAAAACAATATGAACTCTAACAAGAACAAAGCATAAATCACACCAACGAAAAACAAATCATCTGACCAAAGGCTGAGTCTCCCTAATCAACCACTCCCTAGCCTCCATCTGCCCCTGCTTCTCCAAAACAGCCCCCACCACCTCCCTACACTTCTCATGATAGGCATTCAACTCCCTAATCTCCTCATCCGTCAGCATCTCCACCAAAATCAACTTATTCATCTTCGGCACCAAACAAACAGTCTCGAAAGCCAAATACCCCCTATCATTGAAATTGTGTGGGGGCTTAGCCTCCACGATCTGCACTATGTCCTCGATGCGCACCCCGAACTGCCCGTCCTGATAGTACCCCGGCTCGTTGGAGAGGAACATGCCGGCCTGGAGGCCCGGATCGTCGGCGTAGGGCCGCCAGGAGATGCCCATGGGGCCCTCGTGCACGTTGAGGTAGGAGCCGATGCCGTGACTGGTGCCGTGACCGTAGTCCAGGCCGACCTGCCACAGGAATTCTCTGGCGAAGGCGTCAAGACAGTTTCCTGAAACGAATATCCACTATCAATTGAGGCCTATGAGTCCTCAGTTCAATAAGAAAAGAAGAAGATGAGTAGAGGTTATGAATTATTAGGCGAGGAAAAAGCCCGGGAAGTAGGCTAGAGAGGTTAGGTGAAGAGGGTCGGTTCGGTGTTAGTTAGCGTCTAGAAAGGGAGCTTATGAGATGTGAATTTTGATAATAAAAAAACAGATTATCCCAACAATGTATTTTATTTAGAACCCCTTACAAGTCAGAAGTGGAATGCAGGGTGGAATTTATGCTCGAATTTATGTTAGCTTGAAAAATAAGTAAAATTTCATTATGGACGGAGTAAATGGGAATGCAGGGTTATTGTTTCTGATGAGCAGAGGGCACAGGGGCCGAGTTTGGCAGAGCCTCTGAGGATGGAAGATTTAATACAATCGACGGTTAGGGCTGTTATGCTTTTTCACCAAAGTAGCAATACGGCTGCACCTACAGATTATCCTGACAATTTATTTAATTGAGAACCCCCTACACAATCAATAATATCTATCACAAAAAGTCAATAATCTGTCACAACAATACAACAAGTCAATTACCTGTCACAAAAAGTCAATATATAATCTGTCACAACAAGTCAGTAATATATCCCAACAAGTGAATAATACAGTGTGTCCCGCTCTTCATGAATACAACCTAATATCTCCATTATATTATTAATGATGCGATTTTCTTGCAATTTTGCAGGTGATTGTATGTTAGCAGAATGAAGTATTTAGCAGAGTGAACAGTTTCATTTCCCATTGGCGTGCAATGTTGAGGGGTACAAACAAGATCTTTATTCGGGAAAAGGCTATTAGGGCTTATTTTAAATGAGTTTTTTGATCATGGGGCACCCTGTATATAAGAATTAATCCCTATTTTCCTTGGTCACGCCATCACGCGTGAACGGTCGGCCGATTTCACTAATTATTTTTTTGTTGTGGTCGTTTTTGTCAGGAGACGGTTTTTATGAAAGAAAATATTAATGAATTCAAGATGATGATCTGATTCTATTCAGAATTTGTACATAAGGTTTTAGGGGTAGAGATTATGATTCTTTCGTCAAAGTTGAAAAATTCGAGATGGCGGATACAATATGCCAGACGAGTTTTGGAATTATGATCCGATGCTATTCAAAATTGTTATCTGAGGGTTTCCGGAGTCGGAGATTATGATTTTTTCATCAACATTTGGAAATTCAAGATGGCAGATCCAATATGACGGACAAGTTTTGAAATTATAACTCGAATCTATTCAAACTTGGTGTCTGGTGGTTTTGGGAGGATCAAAAATTATGATTCTTTCGTCAAAATTTGGAAATTCAAGATGGCGGATACAATATGGCGAACGAGTTTTGTAATTATGTTCCCATTCTATTCAAAATTGGTATCTGGCGGTTTTCGGGTTCGTAGATTAGGATTCTTCCGTCAAATTTTGGAAATTCAAGATGGAAGATCAAATATTTAGAATAGGTATCTGAGGGTTTTTGGGGTCGGAGATTAGGATTATTTCGTCAAAATTGGAAAATTCAAGATGGCGGATCCAATATGGCGGACGAACTTTGTAATTATGTTCCGATTCAATTTTAAATACCTATGTATCTGTGGAGTTTCGGGATTAGAAATTATGATTCTTTCGTCAAAATTCAGAAATTCAAAATGGCGGAGGAAATAATTATGATTCGATTTTATTCAAAATTTGAATCTGGAGGTAATAAATAGAAAATTCAAGCAGAAGGATTTAATTATGTTGAACAAGCTTTGTAATAAATAGTGTTCAGAAAAACAAATGGAAGACATTAGATAGCCAAACTGAAAAGCAGTAGAAAATAAATAGTAGTTTAGAGAACAGAAGAGATAGATTACTGAACTGAAAAGAAGTAGAAACAAATATAGGGTTGAAAAACTAAGAAAACATGCTTTTATGGTTAGTTAAACTAAAAAGAAGTAGACAATAAAATAAAAAAAGTGTATTGTTGAATATTTAACTGAACAAATGTTTTCTAGAAATAATGTATAATATAGCAAAACAACATTTGCCGGTTCAGCTAGTGATTTGATATAATAGGTTCAAAAGCTACCAAAATGTGTCAAGAATCTACCAAAATAGGCTAAGAATCTATCAAAACAGGTCAAAATCTACTTCAACAAGCTCTCTCTAGGCCAAGTCATTACAAATCAGAATTATGTAATTGGCAATTTTTATTTTCTTATTGTTCCTCTTAAATTTGTTCTAATTTTGTTTGTATACATACCTTTTATTTTAGTTGGAAATATTCTAGAAGCCAGCTTCATTTGGCCCTTCAACACCCTAGTATAACACTCCTTCTCAAATGCAGTTGCCTCCCCAAAATGCAATGTCCTTGTCACATCAGTAGTACCATCTAAATATTGGCCACCAGAGTCACATAGATACATCTGATCAGCTGTTATTTGCACATCTGTACTTTTTTTAGGACTATAGTGAATGATAGCACCATGAGGACCAACAGAGCTAATTGTATCAAAACTGGGCCCTACAAAATTATCCTGCATTTCACGAAACTCCAACAGTTTCTCTGATCCAGATATTTCAGTGATTTTGCTAGTTTTTATGTTCTTTTCCAGCCAGGAGAAGTAGCAACATAATGCTGCTGCATCTCTAATATGACAGTTACGCATTCCCTGTATTTCAACTGGGTTTTTCACAGCTTTCATAAGTGACACTGGGGTGTTATTTGTTAGAAGGCGATTTTCCTTGGGGATTATGTTAATCAATGCATAGCTAGAGTTCTCTGCAAACCATATATAACCCTCTACTTCACTTGCTAAAGATTTCAGTCTATCCTCAATTGATTTATAGGGCTTAATTTTGTAACCATCCCCAAATTCTGCAGTTAAATGATCTCTTATGAGCTTCCTGTCTTGCTTTTCATCTAAATAGAGCTCAAATGACTTCTCTGAAATTATGACATAGGAAAAGAAAACTGGGTTATACTCAATATCAGACCCCCTTAAATTCAAAAACCAAGCAATCTCATCAAGTGCAGTTAGAACCAAATATTGTGAATTGTTTTCTTTCATTTGTTCAACAATATCTCTGTGTTTATCACCCACTGATTTACCACTGTAGTTAAGTGTATGTGGTTTTATGGGGTTTGTGGGTCTTAAGGGTCTATCTACCCACAGCAGTTCTATCAAATTTGTGATAACAGGTACAAGTTTGTGACCAGAAGATTCTAGTTTTGTTTGCAATGGATTAAATTCATTATAACTGAATACTTTAGGGTCAACTCCAATTTTTGAGCCTTTTGGAAGACTTTTAGACAGCCATTCACCTAAAATATGATTGTTATGGTAAGATTCACCTATGTATAAGGAGAATTCAAGCAATAGGTACCTACCTTTTGTTGGTGTTGTTGGCAATCCTTCTTTCATCAGAGTCCAACTGGAATCCATTTGTTCACTAGCTTGTAGATAATACCTACCATCTGTCCACAAACAGGCATCTTTTTCAGTGATAACTGCTGTGCCAGCTGAGCCATCAAATCCAGTTATGAACGCACGGAATTGATCACATTCTGATAGATATTCATTGTTGTGGGCATCTCTTGATGGTACTATATAAGCACTGATGGGTTCTGGCACATATTTCAGGTTCTGCATCAACCCACGTAGCTGTTTTAGCAGATTTGTGGTGTTTATAGGTCCCATAATGACAATTATAGTAAACTACCTGATCTGAAACAAATCAAAACTGTATCTAAGATCGGAAATACATAAGCACTGATCTGGGGCGCCGGGTATGGTATGGATAATTGGTATCAAAAATTGTAAACGTGTATAAAAGTATGGTAGTTGCACTGATAAGATTAATTATGATTGATGAATGATGAATTGATTGTATCACTCAAACAGACTAGAGATTGAGAAGATTTCAAGAGGATACTGAAGGTACATTATAGATGATTATAGAAAATCCCTTATTATATTGACAAAGAGGTTCTTGAACTATGAATCATTCTCTAAGAGCTTCTAATCCTTATTAATCCATTCATCTTTAATCCCTACTTGCCTATTGATAGTATTGATAAAAATCAAAAATATTGAAGATATTCAAATGGATTTCATCCTAAAAAAATGACTAAATGACACATCAATACATCAATTATGAAGGATATCATATGATTCATATGTGATACCCACCTGTCATTTGTCAATTGTCATTTCGTCAGTGAAGTCACAGTATATTTAGAGGATAATATACTGTGGTGAAGTGATGATTATTTTGGTAATATATGGAAGATACCATGGTATCTTTATCAAAGGACGGATTGTTCAACGAAACACATACGAGTAAAGGGTATTATTCAGACTTATCAATACACGGCATACACGCAAAAATGATGGAAATAAGTAGATGGTGTACTAACTGATGCGCTTTTGTTGCAGAAATTCTTCTCGACCTCTCGGAGAGCCCCGGTCCCGAGAACAATGTTTTCAGCGGCTATCGGATAGATGGCGACATTGCACAATTATGACATCTGTCAATTTTCAGATTGCTGCAGAGATTTTTCGAATTCAGAGTTAAATTACGCAAAGTATGTAAAAAGCGTCGAGAACTGGACATCCAGAAATATCAGTTGTGAAGAAATTGAGCTCTGTGTATTCATTTGGCATTCACCCAATGACAGCTAAATATCAAGTGAGCTGCCTGCCCTGCTGGTCAACTGGCCCGCACCCACAGACATAAACTACTATCTGGACCGGTAATGCTATAAAAAAGAAGCTGAAAGCCACTCACGAGATAGTCTTGGAGTTGGAGAACATGAATCATGTGCATTTAGAACCTTTCATACATCTTACTCGTTCTTACTCATATTTTCGAACGCCAAGAAATGTGTTTAGATGCTCGATGTCATGTACGGCTCTGGTTTAGGGGTTCCGCATTGTTCAGAAGCGTTTTCAGAGAGAGGTCTAGATAGAAGTTACGTCAGTGCCGGCACCCACGCCCCACGGTGACCAAAGCAAAAAGTGGATAAGCTGTGGCAGGTGGCTGTGGTGTGAGCGGTTTTGGTTCATTTCAGCAGGGGTATTCGAACATTCAGATAAGGACGACGCTGGTGTCGTGGGTGAGTAGATCATTGTGAATTGTGAGTGGACTGTGGAGTGACGAGAACGAACAGCGAACCCAAACAGCTGGATCACAAAAAAAAAGAAGTTGAAAAATAATCTTGGCACATGTCAACCTAACCTGTCATCCTGTCATTGCCTGTCAATGGCATTCTGAAAATCAATGTTTATTTATGATTGTGATCATTTGTGATGTGATAATTGTGGCGTAGTATTGATAATTTTCTGGAATTCTAGCTGATTGAGGAATTGTTTTGTTATAAAATCAAGAACACCAAGGAAGATGTGCTTTCATGCGATTCTAAAATGTCTCGCCATGGCTACAGTGTTTGTTGTTTATGGGACATCAAAAAGTGTAGAAGGAACTAAGTGCTTGTGACCTTACTCATCCGACATCCAACTAAAAAACCTCTTCCATCGTCTCAATGGCCACCTGTTTGAAAAGGGACTCTTCGCGCCGTAGAATTGCCGCAATTTCATTTTTGTCTAACATTTCCCTTGATGGCACTTATCGAGACACCAGACTGGTTCCATCATCTCGAAACGGGGCATTAACGAAAATTCCAGTATCATGTATCACCCCAGTACTTAAAGAAGAATCTGACGGTTCAGATTCCTACAATAGTCAGTTGGAGCAAAAAATTGTACTTGAACCTTTGACTTCAATCTCAAAGAAAAAACGCATAAGGAAAAATAAACCCAGTAGCAGTGATTCAGAATCTGAAAATGCTCAGAAAAGAAGTACTGAGGAATTTTCTCATAGATATAGGTCTCTCAGAGATAGGTTTGATAGATACAACCATTGCGTATTCTGATAATGTATTTGTTACCTTTCAGGGATGAGCCTGATTCCAGTCATAAAATTGGTTCCAGATTTTCCAAGAAGCTTCCTCATCAGATCTCAATATGTAGTGAATATGAGAAAAGAAATTATAGTAGCAGTGAGAGCCTTGATCCTGTTGTTTACAGGAATAAATCTGTTGATAAAAATAAGAGAATCAAAGTGATAAAACCAATGAGAGATACAAAGTTCTCAGGGGAAAGAATTGTATTTGTCACTCCCAGGCACAGTCCTTTCATGGTCTGTTCTTTCATTCCATACAAAAGGTAAGTGATGAAGATTTGCAGAATTTCAGACCAATGAATTTAGTAGGAAAATTATCCTCCTTCCAAGAATCAGTGGTATTTTTCAGCATGAACTAATATTTTAGGTCAGCTCTAAAAAGGGAAGGTCACAGAAAAAGAACTACTTCAGGAAATAGGCCTTTGTCTTCAAGTGCTGATGGTTTTGACCCATTTGTTTCATTAGGCATTGAAAGAGGTCATGATGGACAGGTAGGTACATTAATATATGTATAATCTCTCCCTATAACTAGATCAACAGATCATAACTATTTTTTGTAACTTCTAATGTTAAATTTAGGAAGATTCATATGGTTATCTATTGGAACCAACAAAAACACTCAAGGATGTGACAAAAAGAAACACAATTGATGATCCCACTGATCATTCACATCAATCACATGAATCAAAGAGATATCCCCATGTTGCCAGGTATGTAATTCATTATTTTATTGAGGGTTTTGATGGAAATTTCAGAGCTTTTCATGTGGTATTAAAAATGCAGAAAACTAAATACTCAGCTTGAAGGTATTGGAATCAAATCAAGGTTCTTTCATGTTATTACTGTTGTATTGTTAGAGATAATTCCAACTCACTATGAATGAACTGATTTTGATTTTGATATTTTTCATGATCAGGGGAAATTAATTATAATTATTTGATTTTTCAAATTGCAAAACTGTCATTCTTATGATTTTTATTTGATAGTTAATCATTGATTTATATTTAGGTACTATTATCCATCTTCAAAATATATTTTATTGAATTTTTTTAAAATGCTTCCAATTTCATTTCTTTTTTGTTTGATTTTACAGGACAAAAGTTTTTACTTGGCAACCAAAAATGAAATGGTAATACAGTATCTAGTTGAAAGTTATCATAGTTCATAGTGCTTGAAAAATCTAATCAGCTTGAATATTGTTTAGGTGGTAATCCTAGATTATTGATATTTGAACTAATTTGATGAGAATGTGAAACATAATCAGCTTTTTCAGATGCCTGTGAACACATCTACTAACAATATTGCTAAAATAATCTGATTTTTTGATATAATTGCATGTAAATTTATGAAGATTAATGGAATATGAGAGTACAAAGAAAAATGTGCTTTTTGCTGCTAAAGTGATGGGAGTTTCAAGAATAGTGTCACACACCTAAACAGCATGTTTTATGTACTATATATTGAAATGCCTTGTATATTTGTGACTATCATGACAACTTCTTTGCTTTTCCACTTACAACATTAAATCCTTCTTTTATGTCACCAATGTATTGGAGCATTTCTGATGTAGTTAGTTTAGCAAATAGAATATTCTTTCTGAGATTAATAAATAGGGGATGATCATTTCAACTCCACATTCTCCATTATTTCACACCTATTAGGACCTTATTGAAAATTTCAAATGTCAAATATTTGAAATTGAATTTTATTTATGACACAGAGTAGGATGAAAGGTGGGATAAGGAAAGACCAGCCAATAAATAATTCTTGATTGAAAAATTATCATTCATATAATGATGTGTCAGTTAAAAGGTAACCAAGAAAATGTGGTCATCTCATTGTCTGGTCCAACAGAAACTTTACATCTGGATTTTAGTGGTTTAAAATGAAAATCCGGAAAAACGCTCGGACCCGTCGATTTTTAATTCGATTAGGAACGACTTGTCTGCTTTCTTCATTCCCTTAACTTCAACACCCTACCAGGGGGAATCAAAACCCTTTTTTTCATTTCGTTATCGATTTAAATTTTGACGCGAAATTAGAGGGTCAGATCAAATTCGATGAAATCTTCAGAATTAGGTACCGCAACACCCCTCATCCCTATTCAAAATCCGGGGGTGGGTAGGGGGGGGGTTGAAGTTACGGGGATGAGGAAAGCAAAAAAAAAACGTTTCCTCTATCGAATCAGAAATCGACGGGTCCGAGCATTTTTCCGGATTTTCATTTAAAAGCTCTAAAATCGCAGTGAAAAGTTTTCAGTGGACTGGCTGAAGATGTCTATTAATGTGAAATATTGTGATTGTGGAATAGCAAATGTATCACTCTGTATCCTATGAATAGCTGTTTATTTTTCAGGTGTTATTCTTATGACCATGGTACTCAAAGAACAACTTCCCACATAATCACGACACCTATGCCATCAGATGGTAAGGAAGATAATGTTGTGAAAAATTACATCTACCATCCTGCTCTGTTAGACGATCCTGAGCTTATAGTCGGAAAACACAGAACACTGTTGACGTTCACATCCTACATGACATCTGTCATCGACTACGTCAAACCGTCTGACGTGAAGAGAGAGATCAATGAGAAGTTTAGAACAAAGTTCCCTCATATACAGCTCACTCTCAGTAAATTAAGAAGGTACTTATGGCATTTTCAGTAGTAATACTATAAGTACTCCAAAATATTCGGGTTATACATCAATAACTTGTTGCATTATTATTACAAAGAGTGTCCAGTTGAAATAATCCGACCGCGAAGCGGCGGCCGTTAAGCAATCTTAACGGACGGATGCTGACATCTTTTTATGATTCAATAAAGTCGTTACTAAGAAAACCCCACGTTGGGCGCCAATAGATATAATAGTTATTGACGTACAAGACCGATATGTAGCAAATAACGGATGAGGATGAATATTGTCACAGCCGTCTTCAACTAACAAGCCGTGCTGAGATACTGGCAACGTCGCACGAACGGAATCCGTCGGTCCCATTCGAGCCTAGCAATACAATGGTTTTTATATGAGCGCGAGCTTTGAATGTTTGGTTTAACGTAATTTTCTCGGATTATTTTGTCGAATAGGTAAAAAATACAGGAGAGTGAAGAACGAGGAATAATGTGGTTGAATAATTCCCTTGGTCATGAACTGATGCCGTAATTTTGAACATTTTGTTAAAATAAAACTTATGGAGATATCGAATTTTTCATTCATATCTGAGTGTTTGTCAGTTTGATCTGAGATGTTTTTGAATCCAGCTAGAATATTTTCAAGTTGTGACCATCTATTCAATTTCATATCATGAGTAAGAATCCATTTCAATTCATTGAATCCAAGTTTATTATCACCAAGAAAAACTTGGACCTCCATCTCATTGGATATTATAACTTGAGAAACAATTTGTAAAGTATTTTCATCATTGGGATAAAAAACATTTGCTCGCAAATCTAATTCATAAAAATACAATTTATCATCAGTTATATGGATTTTCCAAGTATCAATTTCAACTTTCTCAACATATTCCCTAACTAACTGTTCATAGGTGTGGATGAGGTCTGATTTTTCAAACTGTTCTATTATATTACTTTGAATATCTAAATATTTCTGACGTCTTTCATTTGGATCAGTTCTTGATGGTTTGGCTGGTTTTGAAAAATATTTTGGTAAATTTGGAAAAATTGAAGGAACTGCTGTTTTGACTAACTTTGGTGCTCGTAACAAATTTTTTCCAATTGATCCATCTGGCAGAGGGAATGTATCATACCTGATGATATCTTTTTCAATAAAATGAATTGCACATATACTGTGGATCAGTTCTTGATGGTTTGGCTGGTTTTGAAAAATATTTTGGTAAATTTGGAAAAATTGAAGGAACTGCTGTTTTGACTAACTTTGGTGCTCGTAACAAATTTTTTCCAATTGATCCATCTGGCAGAGGGAATGTATCATACCTGATGATATCTTTTTCAATAAAATGAATTGCACATATACTGTAGAACGTTGAGATGGTGTCCAGTTTTTTCGAGGTATTGCTGTTATCCACTTACTTCACAATTCTTCCCCTTTTGGGAATAAAAAAACTGAGACATGATCCTTTCCCAGCTATTTTTCAGAGCTGTAATTTGACTTACATCCTGGCACATAACAATGAGAAGGCATATTTTATAAGGAATAATAAATAACTCACTTATTTCCAGGAGTAAATTGAAAAAACAACACAAATTCCCTTGCAAATACACCAGCACTAGTACACTTCACTATAACCTCCAATTTAACACAATTTTGAATGCACTTGCCACACACTTTCAGTCTCGAGTCGATTCCTAGATTGTTGCTAATACTTTTGAAATTATTTGATCTCAATATTACACCAATTAATAATTGAAAACTTTAAAAAAACCTTCCATAAACTCCTTGTTTACTTCCTACACAATACACTTTGAATGGCCGACAGGTGCAAGTTAGGTCGTTCGGACAATGTTGCCAGACTGCTTCTTCACGGCTTGTTAGTTGAAGACGGCTGTGATATTGTAATACGAGGCTCAGCCGAGAATTATAACAAGTTCGGTGTTACAAATGTTTTCTTGTTCCTATAAAGACCTCTGTGTGAAAGAGATTTTTTCCGTCGTCTATAAACCAAATTTTGACCTTTTTTACGTGATTCTCAAATACAACTAAACTTACAAGTCCTACATTGTTCATTTTACTTGATTTTTCGTGATTTTCTCCTCGTTTCTATAAAATAAAAATATGTGTATTATTTCAATATAAACTACTCAACACTAATTTCGTCGCACACCAAAATGTCGCCCCTGTTATAATGTGAATAACTTTTTTCAGTTTAGAACAATTTGAATTTGGTTCACACTGTTCGATAGCCCAGTCCTTCAGCTATAATCTGATAGTTCATTGAAACATAAGGGTATTCACATAAAATCTCTACATGGTATTTTCCGACACTGTGCAAAATTTCGGAATATTCAAAAGGCTCTCAAATGGTGAAAAAAATGTTTTCCTCAACTTCGACAACAGAGGTATGACGATGATCTCATTACCTCGAGATATTTCGCGAATCAACTTCCTATCTCTATTATTTACAGAGTGATCTCAAAAAATCGACTTTTTGGTTTTGCAGCCATAACTCTTTTCCACGTCAACCGATTTTGGAAATCTTAGGCTCATTTTGAAGATAAAACTTCAGATGAAGAGATCTGGATATCAGAATTGACTCGAGATGGCTATCAACGATCTGTCGTTTTTTTAAAAGTGACCCAAATCTGGAACGCCCTTCGAATCTCGGTTGGGAGGAGAATTGAATGAAAATCAACTTGTTCTCGGAAAAACAAATTATTCTGGATGCGTCCATATTTTCCTCACTCTCAGTACTCAAGAATGTGCGTGAGAAAACACAATTAAAACATGTTCTTGCAAAAACATCAGACCATTTCTCCTCTGTAATGCATGGCCCGTAACCAACGTTACAAGAATCACAGTAAGTGACTGACAAGTCAGGTTAGACGTCGTTTTCGAATCATAAACAGATTTTGATAGTTTCGATGCAGCATCTAACGCCCGACCAGTTGGAACTGATCGTAACTGATTTCACAAATGAGGGAACAAGGGTTATCTTCCCTCCAAATCGCGGATCTGCTAAACACGACAGTCCGATCCATTCAAAGGGCTTATCTCCGACACGAATTGTTTGGATATTACTGTCGATTCGTTCGGCGCATTATTGCGACTGAAAACTTTACGTAATTGGCAAACCGTTTTCGTGAAACTTTCACCATTTTTGGAATGCGTTTTTACAATAAATAAACGTTGTTTGCTTGAATACTTCTCCATTTTCTTGAATCGCATGTTATGTACGTGACAACTGCAACTGGTAAAAAAATCACATGAAAAAATCAAAATCCGTTGCTCTTGTTGGTACACCTTTTATGATGAGCCTCAGCTGGTCGGGTTTGTCAGTCATTTATTGTGATTCTTGTAACGTTGGTTACGGCGGGCAATGCATTACAGAGGGGAAATGATCTAATCTTTTTGCAAGAACATGTTTCAATTGTGTTTTCTCACGCACAATTCTTGACTACTGAGTGCGACAAAAATATGAACGCATCCAGAATGAATTGTTTTTTCGAGAACAAGTTGATTCTCATTCAATTCTCCTCCCAAACAAGATTCGAAGGGCGTTCCAGATTTGGGTCACTTTCAAGAAAACTCTAGATCTTTGATAGCCATCTTGAGTCAATTCTGATATTCAGATCTCTTCATCTGAAGTTTTATCTTCAAAATGAGCCTAAGATTTCCGAAATCGGTTGACGTGGCAAAAAGTTATGGCTTCAAAACCAAAAAGTTGATTTTTTGAGATCACTCTGTAAATAAGAGAGATAGGAAGTTGATTCGCGAAATATCTCGAGGTGATGAGATCATCTTTATGCCTCTGTTGTCGAAGTTGGGAAAAAAAATTTTCTCACCATTTGAGAGCCTTTTGAATATTCCGAAATTTCGCACAGTGTTGGAAAACACCATGTAGAGATTTTATATGAATACCCTTATGTTTCAATGAAATACGAGATGATAGCTGAAGGACTGGGCTATCGAACAGTGTGAACCAAATTCAAATTGTTCTAAACTGAAAAAAATTATTCACATTATAACAGGGGCGACATTTTGGTGTGCGACGAAATTAGTGTTGAGTAGTTTATTTGTAGTGGGACAAATCAGATGATTTGCCCCAAAATGTCACTGTGATAACAAATTTTTCTATCAGAGAGCCTAAAAGAAAAATCCAGTAGCTTGTCAGTGACAATTTGTTTGAAAAATGTTTGAAGGAAAGAAATATAATTGGTTGTTGCTGGATGAATCCTTAGCTAAGAGAAATTGATTCTGAGAAATGAAACTAGTGTGTCTGGCATTGATCAATGATCTCATCACGAATTAAATAACATGATTTTATCTTGGAATATTTTCTCTAGTATAAAACGGGAGATGAGAAAAATAGCTAAACAAGAATGCAGTATCGACTTGGTAACGGTAGCGCAGTCCTACGTCTACTTTGAGAAGCTGATCCTGAAGGGTCTCATAAACAAACTCAATCGTAAGCTATGTGCGGGCGCCAGCCTCATTCTTTCTGCCAAATTGAATGACGTCAAGGTATGTTTGATAATAATTGAAACTGATTACTTTTATGGGCTAAAATATCAAAAAGTATCATCAGAGATTTTCTCACAACTTGTTATGTCGGATATTGATATAGAATCACTTCAAAAATAGGTACCTGTTGATTTTCATTATTCTTGAGTAGTGATTGTTGTAAGAAAATAAATCAGATATGCTTTTTTGACTCCATATTTTAGAATGATGAAAATCAGTAGTGTTGTCATTGATGACAAAAATAACCAAGTATCACGTTTTCCCTCAATCATTTGAATAAAACATAATATATTTGTTCAGACAAATTTTATTATGTACCTATGTAAATCCGACTCGATTCCATATTGTTTGTACATGTTTGAATAGTCTCAAATTACTCAAAATGATATGGTGACTACTTCATTTATCAAATCAATTATAAAGTGAGCAACATGTTCCTTAAACCTTGTGCATATGCTTTGACATGTTTGCCCAATTTATTGCATTATACAGTCTGGAGCCACCCTGGCCTGGCAAACTTTCTTCAACACATGATGACATAATCAATTTTTGTTTGTTGAAGGGTGATTGCCTGAAATTGCTCATCGAAAAAACGGAAACGATGTTCAGATTGAATCGCAAAGAACTGATGAGCACCGAGTTCGCCGTTCTTGTAGCTCTGGAATTCAGCCTCCATGTGCCCTACTGGGAGGTGTTCCCCCACTATCAGAGGTTGTTGTACGAATCATGATTCGGAATTTTCCTTTACAAGGTGAATCCTGACAACATAAAATATTCTAAAGTGTGTTTCATTCGAGATAGAATCGGTTAAAATATAAGATTTAGATGTTCTCCCTCTTCTGACGAATTTTGACTACCTAATCCAACCATAAACAGTACTTCTCGAAAAAAGGTATTCTTCCCACTTTCACTTGGAAACGGTGTTAGACATTTTTATGCTATTAATAGGCAATTACTGTGAAAGTGAGTGTTTTTTGTCAATGTCAATTATAAATAATTTTAATTAACTCAAAAAGTTAAAAGTCTAAGAAGTTATTCCTGCTTCCATTCTCTCTCCATTCAACAGTTTTTGATAACATATTATAGCAATCTAATAATTTTGACAGTGGCGCCGATTTTATTCACGTTTGAAATTTGACACCTGTCCCTATGTCTAACCCTTGAAAATATTGTCAATTTGAAGAATTTTTTTGAAAAGACAATGCACTTCCTCAATCGTTGAAGTTAGATAGAAGGAATCTGTAATTTTAAATATTGTGATGCCTCAAATAATATAATAATTCAGTTTATTGAAGAATACCTTTGGTTTAAAACATGGTCCACCCTCCTGTTTATATATATGAAAACTATGCGGCATTGTTGCCACATTTTCCGCATAAACTATTCTTTATTCAAAAGGGATAGGAATGTAATTATCCAGAACTATTTTGAAAGGAAGCACAAACTTGGTACCTATCTAATCAAATGTGTTAGAAAACAATGAAGAGTGCTACTTCACAAATTGAAGAAGTTGTGGAATTTTGAATAACGAAAAATTTCACAACAAAGATGAAATACTTCTTGAGTTGACCATGCATGAAATAACTTTTTTAAATTTAAATAAGTTTTCCTATTAGGCCATTTCCTTTTGAGAGACCCTGTATATCAAATTTTGGTGGAATACTGTAATAGTTAGGTATAAGCACAGACCTCATTTTTTGAGTTCTGTAGGTATAAGTTTATTGTACTGGTGGATCAAATTCAATGATGTTCGTGCTGTTTTTCAAATGCACTTGCATATAGATGATTTGTTTTTTCTCAGTATCAGGAAAAACATCAATATAACACATTCATCATTCATCCACCTGTACAATTTTGCAATTTGTTGTTTAGTTTGTTTGATGTTATATTGTGTGCGATTTTTTTTGGCAAAATCCTCCTAATTTTTCAATAGGAAATCTGCTAGGCAGAATAGATAGAAAATATTTCGTTGTCTATTTGTAGATTATTTAAAAAACATTAATGTGGAGTTTGTAGAACTCATGTATAAACATGTGATTTTGAAGTGATAACAAATTGTTAAATATTTTAACGTACTTGCCATATTCCCATGTACAAATTTTCTGGGTACTTAAAAACAGGGTTGTTATATTACTAAAAACATAAATACAAAAATACTGATTTTGGCATTTTATTGAACCCATTTCTTGCTGGTATAAATAAAACAACTATTAATAAAAAATAATATATTCCATTAACACTTTACAAAAAGCAACCAAACTTGAGACTTTTTACAGTTCACAATTTTTGAGCCTATTTTCATGTCAAATTTCAGTAGCATCTAGCCAAAATACATCGATAAATAACAGCTACTGAATACTTTCGTGAACAAATCTACTTCATTACTTCTCTAAAACCAAAATAACACAAAAAATGTATGAACTGCTCAAACATTCATACCACTAATATTCTAAGATTTTAAAATCCTATTTATAAAAAAAATTAAAGCAACAAAAATTGAACAAGTCAACAAAACCAACTGAATGACGAAAAATCGTCAAATGGATAACCAAAATTTGCTTATCAGTAAAAACAGGTGGCTATGAATTCAGCGAACACCCGGTAAAATGAAGAAGGGTGGAGTGAATCCACTGACGTCATTAGCATCAACTAAAGAACAATTGAGGGCCATCCATAAATTATATACTTTGTGATCCTTTTCCTCTGATATAATGTTAAAAGAGCAGTATAAATCTAATATCCAATGGACAGCCCCCTACTTCTCATTCTATAACAATTTGAAGTCTGCCTGAGAACCTTGAACGATATTTTGACTTCAAATCTAGAGAAGGATATGAAAAATCATAGTTTTATATTTAAAAATTTCTCCATGTCCAACTCCAAATCTAAAATTTTCTCTTTGCCCTTCAACAATGGTTGTTTAAATTTGAAGCAAAACACACAGTATAGGAAAACAATGGTTTGGTGAAAGAATTTGCATGGCAGACTTCATTCCCACACTTTTTCACTTATTTGACAAACGAAACAGTTCAAGAATATAGTAGCAACAGTTCAATAACAATATGTAAAAATATTTTCAGTCTATAGTAAATGACACCTAGGGATTGAAAAAAATAAAATGGGAAAGAAAGCGAGAAACACCGAAAAGTTCATGCCGAAAATGCAAAACGTACACCTAAACTTAGGATTAACATAAAAGGACTATTTTACTTCTATTGAATTTTTAGATAAATTTTGAATTATTTTTGCCAATTTTGTCATAACTCTCATCCTAAGGTCACCATAGGCAACTGGGGTTTCAAGCTCTTCAGTTTCTGTTTGCAAAAATATTTATATTCAAAAATTAGCAGAGTATAAGAACTACCTGAGGTATCTGAAACTATGATGTTTGGAATGTGTCCGGAATTTACAGTAGTTCAATCGTAAGCCTCTTAGCTGCTGATCCTGAACCATCGTTTAGATCAACATAAATAAATCATCAACTACCTTTCAAGGCTATATTGAAGTTGTAAATGACATTGTACCATGATATTTTAGGTTTTGGTAGAAAAAGGGGCATTCTCAATTGTTTTCAATAAAGTCGAATTTTTACCTCAAACTATTTGGAACAATTTGTACAAAAAATCTACACCCTCTTTTACGCCACCCGGTGATAACATACTTATCTGAGAATAGGCTTGCTAGACTTTTTTCAATTTTGAAAAGAGTATTCTCAGATATATTATGAACATGAAAAAAATTTAAACAAAGAAATACATTAAGAATTTGCATTCTCTATCTGATGAAAATATGAATTCTTTGCTTTTACAGACCGCTAATCACAGATTCGTCATTGGGTTTTCTCAATTCAGAATGTTTCCACTCCCTGTATGATGCACATCAATTCGTCATAGAACTGACCGATTTTTTTTTAATCAATATTGTTGAATTGTTCTATCCGTCATTCGGTTGCCCCCTTACGAGCAACCCTCAGAAGTCTTCGAGAGTCTTGTGCGAGCAAGGAATGACGGGGGCCTTACCTTTTAACGTGTGATCCCAAACACTTTCAACAATGAGTATACACAACCATTTCTCTAACCGACTTTTTTTTATTTTTCATTCATGATCTTCACACTAATGCCTTCAAATCAATCATTTTATAGAAATCTAAATGATTTTTAAATTATCTGGATGATCATTTTTATTTTTGGGCAAGGGGAGCAGTGCTTCCCTAACTTTCATGGACAACTTGAACTTGACAAAGGTTGATAAGAAGTATATTCTAATTACCACTGTATTTTTGTGTTTGTTCCATTTGTTTTTTTTATGTTCTGGTTCCCACGAAAAGGGATATCCTGTAATGTTCAGAGAACATCGTGAGAACCAAGGGAAATAAGGTAGGAATTCGTGTTCTACTGAAAATTCTGGAGGTCATATGCCTCGGGGAACACCTCCTGGCAAGGTGTTCCAGAGCCTCGTTGTTCGTTGAATGAACGAGTCTTTGGAAAGAGATGTTCTGCAGGTCTCCAAAGTGACCACAAAGAGGTGCGAAGCCTCAACTCGACGGGTTAATCTCGCAGAGCCAGATCTCCAACTTTGTGGTGTATATTTCATGGTAGAGAAGCATGTTTCAAAGTGTAAATGTTCTGAGAATCTTCCACAAATAGAATTTTTCGCCAAAAATAGCAAAGAATCACCTCACTATTGAAGGCATAATTACTATTCACTTTCGAATTCGTTTAATTGAAAATGCCTTGATGGTTCCCAAGGCGAGAAGCGAGTGTCCCATGTATTTTCTTTCCCAAACATAATTAAAATGTCCACAAAGCCATTAACAAGAAAAAAATTGATCCTCTGTTAATTGCATAATGATCTCAAAGTCTGTATAGTTCATTGCAGCAAAACACATCATAGCTCATTTACCTCAGATTTACTAACCTATTTTTTTGCACCACAAAAAAAGGTTCAACCCATACAGTACATTAGTACAAAACCATTGGCTATTAAAAATTACAACCCACTACTGCAGGTTACCGCTTTTTGCGCATAAATATTTTTGCATAAGGACAATAATCACCAACTTAAGGATCTATCAGTGAAACCGTTTACGTTTGAAACTCTTCCCTTTCGATTTCGTCAAGCTTTTCCTCTTCCTCTTACCGCCGCTACCCGGTTGCGCGGTCCCGAAGTCCGTGATCTCGTCTCCCAAGGATCCCAAGGTCGTCAGCCGACCGCGCCCTTTGTGCTTGTCGCCCTTGCTCACCGGCAAACGCGTCATGTACTCCTCCTCGTACGCCTGATAGAAAGATAGAAAGATAGATAGATAGATAGATAGATAGATAGATAGATAGATAGATAGATAGATAGATAGATAGATTCGGGATGTTTGCATCGGCCGCTAAATCATTGTAGACCGCTAATGTATATCCATAGAGAGGCCAGAATATACATTAGCAGTCTACAATGATTTAGCAGCCGATGGCAAACTTCCCGAAAGAATGGAAAGGAGGGAAAAGGACACACACACCACAAGATAACCCTTCATCCTTCAGGCCGATATGTCTACTAGACGTGGAAGGAAAATATATGAGCACTTTATCCTCATCAGGCTCAAACAAGAATTACAGAGAACTGGAGACTTATCTCAAATGCAATTCGGCTTCAGGGAGGGCGGTCAAACAGTTGATGCTATTAGGGTAGTGCAAGAGATCGCAAGAGAAGCTGCATCCTATTCAGCATCGTATCGGAGAATCTGCGCAGCAATAACCCTAGATGTGAAAAATGCTTTCAACAGTGCGTCGTGGCAACTCATTCTTGAAAAACGAGAAGAAGAGAAAAAAGAGAATAGGGGGATTTCTAGAAGGCTGATCAGGATTATCGCCTCATATCTATCAGAGAGAAGAATAATACTCAAGGCAGATGGCACTAATAAAACAGTGAAAATTAGCAGCTGAGTTCCACAAGGGTCAGTATTAGGCACAACTCTATGGAATATTATGTATGATGACCCGCTAGATATGGAACAACCGTTAGGTGTCACCCTGATTGGCTTTGCAGATGATGTAATCATGGTAGTGACTGCCAAAACAGAAGACAGCTTGATGTACAGTGCGAACTCAACCCTTCAACGCGTGACAAATTTGGATGCAGAGGAACAAGTTTGAATTAGCTCCGCAAAAAACTGAAGCCGTGCTCCTAACAACTAAGAGACAAATAGCTCCAATCCTTTTCAAACTCCTAGGAAACATTGTTGAGCCAAGTGAGGCAATTAAATATCTTGAAGTCTGACTAGATACAAAAATTATATTTGCCGAACACGTCAATAAAACGATCGAGAGAGCCGAAAATACTGTAACGGCATTGAGTTGTCTAATGCCGAATGTTGGAGGACCCACAGCGTCGAAGAGAAAGATTCTTGCGAGCGTCGTACACTCGCAGTTACTGTATGAGGCTCCAGTGTGACACTCCGTGACAAATAATAAAAAGCTGACAGAGACTTCAGAGGCAAATGTGCATTAGAGTCTGTAGTGCTTATAGAACTATCTCAGCTGAAGCAGCTGTGGTTATTTCTGGTATGCATTTTATTGGCACCTGCAAGAAGGTTGGTAATTACGCGGCCATGTCTGATCATCTGAATTCACTGGTTAATATCGGCGTTTCCAATATTTTGTTATATGATAAATTGATGGGAAAAAAATCTCAAAAAAATATTTTAAGGTATTCCAGACTCCAGAGCCATATATTTTTGTCCTTGGTTCAATCAGTGCAATTTTAGATTTATTTGGAAGGACGCCCATAAGAAGAGATACATTATATGAGACAATGGCAGGCTAAGTTTCATTGGAATTTCACCTTCCCCAGCTGAAGCAGTATTTTTCAGGCCTTAAACCTCTGGAGGATCAGTTGATAAGAATATAAATTGTGACTGAAAGGGCTGGCAAATATTTCAAAGTTACCTGTCTCTCTTGCTGCTGCTTGGACAGCATCTGCTGAGCCCTGCTGCTCTGCGTCACCACTGTCGGCGTGTCTAGGTATTCTTCTCTGAGGTCCTGCATTATGGAGGCTGATAGGGCACTCTTCTTGGATTTCTCTTGCAGACGTTTCTTTCTGTCTTGAGCAGATTCATCGCCTACATCACAGTTTGGATGAGTGTATGTCAAGTTACAATCTGATGTGTGATGTATGTTTGTTACAAGATATAGGAAAACATTATACTAATATCAGAATAATAGTTATTTATGTACCTAGGATGAAAAACTGTCTATAACAGTCGAGTTTGCAAATTGAAGCATTAGCCGAGGCTAGCAATCAGGCGAGAGAATAGACAGTTGTTTTCATCGACCTCAAACACTTATATACACATCACAACAAAAATACAAAACAAATAAAAGAATTAAACATAGGAAACAAACAGAGGCATATAAAAAATTGAATTTGATCTTAATCAGATAAAGTATTGTCCTTTTTTGGTCTGTACACATCATTATTATAAAGGGTCTTTCAACAAGGACCGGTCGATGTTGTAATTGAATAAAACAAGCTGTGTGTGAGATATCAACGATTTTTTCATTTTATTTGAATGGCCCATTTATGCCATTATTTATGGAATATGACATCGTTCAAATGTCCGCCGCGGCTTCGAATGGTGGCACGGATCCGAGAGGTCCTATTTTCATCGATACAGTGTTGCCACTTCTATCAGAAACAACTAGCAACTTCGTTATTTCAAATAGAGCACCCTGTATTTCATTGCATTTTTAGATTCTCCCTGAAAAGCTGATTTCATCAATGTAGCACACTTGGGGTCTAGCAGGAATGATTACAGAGATATAGGGTGTTCAAAATCGCGATTTTTCAATTTCAGGATTTTTTTGTGTCGAAACTATTCATTATTGATCAAAACAGCTTACATGTCCCTATCTCAACTTTCGATTCACTATCTACTGACATTTAATTGGAACAGATACAGGGTGATTAGAATTCTGAATCTTGAAGCACTCTGTATTTTTTCCAATCAAATTCCAGTAGATAGTCAATCAAAAGTTAAGATAGGGACATGTAAGTCGTTTTGATCGATAATGATTAGTTTCGACACAAAAAAATCCTAAAATTGAAAAATCTCGATTTTGAACACTCTATATCTCTGTAATCATTTCTGCTAGACCCCAAGTGTGATGCATTGATGAAATCAGCTCTTCAGAAAAAATCTAAAAATGCAATGAAATACAGGGTGTTATATTTGAAATAACAAAGTTGCTAGTTGTTTCTGATAGAAGTGGCAACACTGTAATGATGAAAATATTTTAGAGGGATAGAGAATGTTCAATTATCAGAGAATCCCAATTTTCAGAATGTTTTGTCTTTTCATTCTCCAGATACTTCTAATAGGCCATCCACCGTGGATCACCCTGTATAAGGGCAAGATAGACATGGCATTTTCTTTTTCATTATATTTTCATTTCTTTTTATAATAAAGTTTATTTGTAATTCATTACTACAATTCCTAAATTGCTACCCATTTCTTAATAAATATTGTATCAACTGTACATCATATTTTGAAAGTAACATTTTTTTATTAGAACACTATGAGAGGGTTAATATATATTCTTATTATAATTTCTATAATCTAATAGCATGAACAGACAAAACAGTTTTCTTACTGGCATGAGACTGTTGATGAAGATTTTATAAAATTACATCATTTCATTGAATGTACCTTTCAGAATTAAAAAAAAAATTCAATATTATATTTGATTGACATTACTGAAAAGAGAGAGAAAATAAATAAATTAATCACTTGAATTCAATTTCTTTCTTGAAGAAAATATTTTTTTATTCTTATTAATTCAGTAACATTCCTACAATTTTTTATGTCTTGTAATTGTTCATCGAATTTTGAGAGTGCTTTGAGAGTAAATCTTGTTTGGCCAATTACAGAGTTTAGAGTTTATATAAAAAAGCATTAAAAGTACTGTATCATCTTCCATTATGACACCCCATCAAATCAACTTTATGAAGAAACAAATACATTTTCTTTGGAAGAGCACTATCTGATAATAGTCTAAGATCCGAACCTAAATCGACCTTCACCGAGCTGATAATAGAACGAAATATATTTTATCATGAATTTAGTATATTAGAAAACATATTAAAAATGGGTTCGCTAAAAAATCCTGGGCAGACTATTTTTAATTGTTTTTCGAAAAATGATTTTTAATTAAATGTTGCAACATCAGGATAATAAAAAAATTTTGTCCTGACTGAAAGTATAAAACGTATAGAATGTGCAGCCGTTGGGTTGTCTACTATTTACCTGGGCGAACTACTGGGTTGTCAGGTAAACACAGGTATATCGATGCCAGTTACTTTCACTGGATTGGATAATTAAAAAAAAATTATATCATCATAAGCGCTGTTTAATTGCGAACACGTTGATATAGGGTTGTCTGCGAAAATTCCGGTCCTATTAGGGGTTTGCGAATTTTAAAGATTTTAATTTCAACGCGCGTGGAAGTGTGTGACAGAGAGATCCGAGGTAAGTATACTGTGTAATAATAAAGGACCCAACATCGCAGTCGCTTGTGATGGGACCCTGAATAGAAGAAAGTGCGCATGCTCGGTGTGTAAACTATGGAGGGTAGAGGTACCTCTACTATCCTTCATATAGTAAACAGTGCGTGTTATTTCGGAGTAGCTTAATGACTTATAATATTATATTGCATCGAAAACACGTGTTATTCTGTATCGTTGTGCTAAAAAATGGCTAAAAAATGGCTAAAAAGTGTTTTTTGTGTGGCTCGGACAATTCTTTAAGTGATTTTACTGATGAAACTTTTAAAAATTGTTCGTTAAAGCTAGCTTTTCGTAAAAAAAAAACTTTAAATATCATGAAGTTGAACTAACCAAAGCAGTACTCGATTTAATTTAATATTTAATTTAGTATTATATTAAATATATTTAATTATTATGTAATTAATTAATTATTTTTTTTTGCTACTGAAATATCAGTTGCTCCAAACTAATACGCACTGTTTACTATATGAAGGGTAGTAGAGGTACCTCTACTCTCCATAGTTTACACACCGAGCATGCGCACTTTCTACTATTCAGGGTCCCATCACAAGCGACTGCGATGTTGGGTCCTTTATTATTACACAGTATACTTACCTCGGATCTCTCTGTCACACACTTCCACGCGCGTTGAAATTAAAATCTTTAAAATTCGCAAACCCCTAATAGGACCGGAATTTTCGCAGACAACCCTATATCAACGTGTTCGCAATTAAACAGCGCTTATGATGATATAAATTTTTTTCAATTATCCAATCCAGTGAAAGTAACTGGCATCGATATACCTGTGTTTACCTGACAACCCAGTAGTTCGCCCAGGTAAATAGTAGACAACCCAACGGCTGCACATTCTATACGTTTTATACTTTCAGTCAGGACAAAAAATTTTTATTATCCTGATGTTGCAACATTTAATTAAAAATCATTTTTCGAAAAATAATTAAAAATAGTCTGCCCAGGATTTTTTTAGCGAACCCATTTTTAATATGTTTTCTAATATACTAAATTCATGATAAAATATATTTCTTTCTATTATCAGCTCGGTGAAGGTCGATTTAGGTTCGGATCTTCTACTATAAATACTCTCAAAATTTCTTTTGATATTATCAACAAACACCTCAAATCTAACATCATACTAGACAATATGACTTGATTCATCTTGATGCTGCTAATTCTACATTTGGTCAAAAAAAGTTCACACACAGAGCTATCTCAAAATTCAATAAATTACCTGATAATATCAAAAGTTGCACAAATATCACCCAATTCAAAATCAAAGTCAAGAAACATATCTTCTTGCAAAGAGAAAATCAAACCTGAGTGGTTGATTTCTCATTCACTAATTTATTTCATCATGTCATAATGTACTTTTCATGAGATTTTTGTTTCTTTATCATTTTTTTTATTCTGTTTATTTCAATAACTATAATTTAATTTGATAAAGCATGAATAATCTCATACCAGATATGAATCTGTCTGATTATTCATGTTATTCCATTGTAAATGTTAATGATTATATTTATATGAGATGCAATGTAATGTTTATAGCAAAGATGGAACAAGTTATGTTGTCTTGTAGTATAATTGTGAATTTCCAAATGTCTAGCAAATATAAAATTGGATTTCATCATTTTATTGGTTAGAAGATAGGATAATTTAAGAGTGTCCATTGCATAATGTTCCTCCAAAGGAAATGTGTTTGTCATTGAATGAAGTGCCATTTTGCACTTACCTGTTATGGATTGAATAAAAATTGCAACTTTGGCAGAATTCAACTCAGCATGTGCAAAAATTTTGCATAATTCACTTAAGCTATTCACTTACCTTTACTGGAGAACATGCAAACACTGTTATTGATGAAATAAACATTGCCCCTTAAGAAGTCAACTCTGCATGTGCTGACTTAATTTTTTTTTACTTTACAAAATGTTAAATGTAAATGAATATTAGGAATAATATAGGAGACTTTTGTTTGGGTTTTGGAGATCCTGTATGAATGAATTACCTGTATAGTGAACAGCAGAGAGCTTTGGAGGAACATAAACTCCAGTTTTATTGTTTTCCTTTTTCATCTTCTGCTCCTCATCATCATCACTTCCAGATTCATCAGAATTTCTGATAAGATTCTCAGGATTAGCTTTGTACTTAGTTGGATCATCTGGGTCAGTTCCAATAACTGCTGTTTTCACCAATTTGTCAATTTGATACTTCAGTTTATGATCAATGGGTTTTATTTTTTCCAATATGGTCCTGATTTCAATCAATCTATCTATGCAAGGATCATCTTCTATTTTCTCACCTGCACACTTTCTCAATACTACATATGTTAAGTTGATTAGATAACTTAGTAACATATTGTACTTCATTTCTAAGAAACTGAGGCCCTGGTCTGTGGTGAGTTCACCTTTTCTAACTCTTTGGATCATATTGTCTACTAAAGATGCAACATGTTGTGCACTAAGATTCATTTCACTTAACAGCAACAAAGCTTGTGGAAGGTCTCTGTGTTTTGTAGCCATGTCTGGAGCCTATAAAATAGATGTTTATGAGATGATGTATTCTCCAAGCATATTTCATTCATGATAAAAGTTCTTCATAACAACTATCATCAATATCTCATTATTAATCTTGGTTCCATTGTTTTACAGCCTTCATCCTGCTGGGTTTATAAAGGAAGTGAAATATGAAGAAATGTTAATATTTTTCAGAAAATAAAAAACATCAAAATTGACAGATTCCTATGCAAATGGTCCTGCATAAAAATCTGTTCGCCATCTTTCAATTCGGAACAAAGGCCAAAAAAATTAGGGGTATGAGTTTTTAATTCGCCCAAAGCAAGTTTTGCTGAGTGTTTTGGACATATTTATGACTCAAAAGGGATAATACGAACCTGTACCATTTTGAAATTACACGTTTAAAACACTAAAAATACATAACAACTTGTAATTTTAATAAAACAAAGCACTACACGTGCTGTAATTTTTTAACAAAACAAGCTTTTCCAGTTTTCCATAGAGCCATAGAGCTTTTTTTATAGAATCTATTTCAATAAATATTTTTTCTGTTCCGTGATTTCATCTTCTTATTTTTTTCTTTGCAGTGTACCAATGGAACTATGGTCTTATCTAGTCAGTCAGTCCTGGTTTGGGTCAATAACCGTGAATGAAGCTAGAGTTATGAGTCTAAGGCACATTGTTGCATTGATGAACATCAATAGAAGAAGAAGAAACCAAATCTGTCTGTCAGTCTGACACTACACATAATTTTCAGCTGTTATGCTCTTGGGTGTTTGTGTTTATTTTACTACTTCAAACTTCATAGGAGGTTTCTTCGCAATCTTTTGCTTCAACCATCGAGTTTTGAAGGCGTATATTGCTTTTACATAAATAAGTTGATAGCCAAACCGACCCGACTTCCGATAATCAATTTGTTCCTCCAGTTTCACTACCAATTTTATTAAAAATGAAGAAAAAGGTATGTCTGTTGCATATGTTCCTTTGGAAAGTATTTATTATATGAATATTTCTCTAGGTGCTTTTGATGGGTAAAAGTGGATCTGGTAAAACTAGTATGAGGTCAATAATTTTTGCAAATTACATTGCCAGGGACACAAGACGACTAGGAGCAACTAGTAAGTAGTGTAGTTAATATTTTGTTTCTCTTTTGATCTTTACCGTTCTGCAGTCGATGTGGAACACTCTCATGTGAGGTTCCTTGGCAACCTTGTTTTGAACCTATGGGACTGTGGAGGACAAGAAGCTTTCATGGAAAACTACTTTGCATCACAGAGAGACAATATTTTCAGAAATGTAGAAGTACTTATTTATGTTTTTGATGTAGAAAGTAGAGAACTAGAGCGAGATATGCACTATTACCAATCATGTCTGGAAGCTATTTTACAAAACTCCCCTGAAGCAAAAATATTTTGTCTCATTCACAAGATGGACCTGGTTGCTGAAGATCAAAGGGATATAATTTTCAAAGAGAGAGAATCTGATCTGAAAAGACTTTCCAAACCATTAGATTGTACCTGTTTCAGAACATCCATATGGGATGAAACATTATATAGAGCTTGGTCTAGTATAGTGTACATGCTTATTCCAAATGTTAAAGAACTGGAAAATAGTTTACAGCAATTTGCAGATATTGTAGATGCAGATGAGGTGTTGCTATTTGAGAAAGCAACATTTCTTGTCATATCACATTGCCAACGTAAGCATCACAGAGATGTACATAGATTTGAAAAAGTCTCTAACATTATCAAGCAGTTTAAATTATCATGCTCTAAGCTAGCTGCTCAGTTTCAGAGCATGGAAGTTAGGAACTCTGCATTTGCTGCATACATTGACATGTTCACTAGTAATACTTATGTTATGGTTTGTATGTCTGATCCACAGATACCCTCAGAAGTTACTCTGATCAACATAAGGAATGCAAGGAAGCATTTTGAAAAATTGGAGAAAGTGTCCAATTCAGCTTCCAGTCTGGGGAGATAGTTTTAATAATTTTAATTTGTTCTTTCCTTTTTTATGTGCCAAACTTGTTTTAGCTGACATATTATCCTGTGAGAACCTTGTTATATATTTTGAACCTCATATTCAAAAAAAACAAAGCTCATTCATATCTTGATCTCTGGAACCAGACAAAAACATACCCATTTTATTGGTGTATTATATGAATCATATAAGTTATCAGAAGAATTTAATAACAGTTTTTTCTTTTGAAATTTCCTTAGTACTTTGTTTCTTCTAGTCTGTTAATCTTTAGAGACACAAAAACTGAAAAAAGTTAGAATCTTCAGAATAGTATATTCAACCAAGTAAAATATACCTACTTGTATTTTCCAATACCTACATATTTCCACTAATATTATGTAGTCATAAGAAGGTAGGAACCAAATATGCCAGCAATGTTCATTAATTTAAATAGTTTTCATTTTCGCTAGGTATACTATTTCAATAACAGCAAAAAAAGTATCTTTCTATATTTTGGCACTAAAGTTGTATATATCTGTTTATTATTATTATTATTTGCTCATATCATCATAATGTATTTTTATATGTAAAAATATGTCTATAGATATAAAATACATACATATAAGTTATAAAATTAATTATTTAAAAATTGTTGAGTATATGTAAGTATACAATTTGTTAATCAGGATAAATGATTCTATAACCCTGAATGATTTTGAACAATAAAATTCTAACATTGTATCTGAAAAATTTACCTGGTGAAATTGAAATCTTATCTGCAAAAATAAGGATGGTGATCAATTTCAACAATGTTAGTTTGTATACCTGTGTGTTTAAACAGTGATGTTATTATGTATTTGTTTGATGAAAATCCCTGTAATATTCCTCAATCCAAATAAAATCGATTAACATATTACAGAATTCAGACCTTGCATTTTTATGATTTCACATTTTCCTTGAACCTTGGAAGTCTAGATAACAACTACTAGCGGTGACGGTCGACGACCTACTTCCTCCTTAAAATTTATTGCAAAACGTAATAATGGATAAATTACTGAAAGGTATAATGAAATACAGAAGTACAAAAAAAGAACAAATGGTGCAACAATTTTTACAAGTTAAAGACAATCCAAAGGTGAGCAGATTAATCATGCATGGTCATAATTTTTTTTTTATTATAAATCAAACGTGCTAACTTAACTTGACATTGGTAAACGTGCAATTGTTTATAAACAAGCTCATGCGCATCTCTATATCGCTATTCAACTGGTTATTTCCGTGCGTTGTCGATAAACTAAACTTATCTTTGTTCCTCTCGTTGGTTAGAAGGAAATGAAAGCAGGCTGTTCTACAAAGTATCTGTTTCGTGCGGTTCATTTGAAAACGCTTCATAGTTTGAAATATCTCCGCTGATTATGTTAATTTTTTTCTGAAATTTTCAGCCAAAAGCCGTATTTTTTAGCTGCATAGACAGTAGAATGATCCCAACAAGGTTTACACAAACTAATGTAGGAGATATGTTCATAGGTCAGTAGAAAAATTGACAATTTGAATGAAACAGGCCTTTAAAAGTATTGGAACTGATCTCATTTTTTTTTTTCAGTCAGAAACGCTGGAAATATAATCCCACATTCCCAACACTTCTTGGACGAACTCACCACAAATGAGCCTGCAGCACTAGAATTAGGTTGTGTGGTGAATGACATAAGGCATATAATCGTTTGTGGACATAGTGACTGCAAAGCTATAAATCTATTACACAAACTACAAGACAACGAATTCGCATCTCTGGTAAGATCCGTAATCATCTTATATCTCAAATACCAGTTTCAAAATGCAAAAAAAAACAGGTTGGTATAGGTATGGTGAAATTGTTGCCCTCCTATTGAAACAACAATATAAACATATAAGTAGAGGTACATATAAATATATTCATCAATATAGTTTCCAACTCTCTAAATTTGCATATATGATAAGATTAACAATAATGAAAATAATTTAGCAGGAATTCTTATGAAAAATAAGTATATTAATCAGTGCCGTAATTAGGATAGGGCAAAGGAGGCAACCGCCCCGGGTGCTAGCCCACAAGGGGCGCAAAAAATCGATCATTAAGTTCGAGAGAAAATACAGATCATTTCAGTAGCAGCCGTAATATATTTGAAAAATGTAAATGGTCTTTCAACAAGGACCGGTCGATGTTGACAGTGTGTGGCGGCCATGTTTTTTTGGGGCCATCTGTCAAATCTGTTGTATTTTATTCAGTCGCACTGATGCCAAATTACCATGGCAAGTTACATCACGATCGAGCAGCATGTCCAAATGATTAAACTTTATTATCAAAATGAGTGTTCGATTTTACGGCAGACGCGGTGGCCCTTCAACGTCGACTCTCCAAAGTTTGGTAGCCAAATTCGAGACAACCGGTTCGGTAAACAAACAACCACGTCAAAGGAACGCCAGATCGGCCGATAATATCGACGATGCCCGTCAGAGTGTGCAGGAGACTTCGAGGCAGTCAAAGTTAATGACCATAGGCAACGCCATTTGTTCGCTCAGTGGGCTTCGGAACGTTTGGAAGAGGATCCCGATTTTGGCCGAGAAATAATCTTTAGCGACGAGGCCCATTTCTGGATAAATGGTTTGTTGATAAGCAAAATTGCCGTATATGGGACGAACACAACCAACAGGAAGTTCACCAGGTGGCAATGCATCCACAAAGAGTTACTGTTTGGTGCAGATTTAGGTCCGGCGGCGTCATTGGTCAGTACTTCTTTGAAAATGACGTTGGCGAGACCATCACCGTCAACGGCGCGAGTGCTACAGATCAATGATTAACAAATTCTTTTGGCCTGAATTGAACGATATGGACGTGGACGACATGTGGTTCCAACAAGACGGCGCAACGTGCCACACAGCGAACGATACAATGGACATTCTGCACGAACGGCGAACGGATTGAGGGTAGGGTTATCTCTCGCAGAGGTGATGTGAATTGTCATTGAAAATTGGACCTCTCGTATCCGTGCCACCGTTCGAAGCCGCGGCGGGCATTTGAACGATGTCATATTCCATAAATAATGGGCCTTTCAAATAAAATAAAAAATCGTTAATATCTCACACACAGCTTGTATTATTCAATTACAACATCGACCGGGCCCTGTTGAAAGACTATGTACTTTTTGAATAATATTGTATGAAGACAATAAAAACCATGCTAGTTTATACAGAAATTAAATATTCTTATTCGTTTTCGAGATATTGGCGTGCAGAATTTCAAGTGAAAAACCCTGTATAAAGGTCGCAAATTCACAAATTCGTCTCGGGCGCCATCTACCCTAGTTACGGCTCTGATATTCATTCACTGGATCCATAACAATAATGGAATGTATAATATAATAATTATCACTGAACACATTCTGATAGTAACCATTCAGCTCTGAAAAAACAATCTGGCACTGTTGAAACTATAGTACAGTAATCCAAATTCTCTCTCGTAGAGTGCAATTTTTTTCTCCGTCAAACTTAAAGCCTGTTTCAATTTATTATCACAGTTATCTCCTACAGATACTTGTTCACTAATCTTACTCCTATCAACATTCAACTTTTTTTGAACAGAATGAAACCAATGTAAACTATTCAGCTGCTCACCCTGATCCAGTATTTCTATAATGTATGCTAATCCTAGAGCAAAACCATCATCTGTGAAGATATATTCAGCTTTATTCCGCTTATTCAGCTTTTCCTTGCAATTCAGCACATGCTCGATGAAGTTTATAGTCAAGGGTGGTACTATAACATAAAAGTTCTTCAGGTGCAAGTTGTTTTTGCTTCTCAAAACGGGTACGAAAACTTTCACGAGCAGTTTGAAGTATTCAGTGGCATCCTCAATATTATCAAGGAACATCTGCAAGTTGTCAGCCAGACCTGATGCAGCTTTCCTGGACAGTTCTGGCATATCTTCATTGGAGATTGTGTCCCGTATGTAATTGTTTTTCAAATCGGGTATGAAGCACGTTCCATCAGCTAAACAACGTCTACCACCTGAGCGTATCAATCTAACATACCCCATGGCGTTACCTATATGGGTCACTACTTTTCTGAATAAGTCCAAGTAACTTTCCCCTTTCTCATTCAAACCTAGCTTCCTGATTCCGACGTTGAACTTTTCAGCCCTTTGGTAAGGGTACATTTGGTTCAGCTCATCTTTGTGCTCAGAGAAATATCTCAGGTCCTTGATAAGTCTGGACTTTATGTGTTCATCATAAATAAACTGAGAAAATATATGGAACTTGGTTATTAGGAACTGATAGGTGAAGTTAACGGTTGTGTTCATGATGCCTATTCCATGTGTTCTAATAGAATTGGCAACTTGAGATATGCTTATTGAGTTCAAATGTTTATTATCGCTGTTGCCTTGGATAAACACTTGTGAATTGAGATTATAGAGGTAGCTATTCACGAAAACGTTGATATTGCGCATGATTTCCAGCACATCTAAGCCTTGCTCCAGAGTCTGCATGGGCAGATTGTCATCTACTGTTTCTAGTCCGTACTGCAAGTTTGCTAACCTTCTCATTTCCCCGTACGTTCTCCAGTCGTGCAAGACAACAGAGGTGAGATTGTAAAAGGTGATGCTCAGTTGGTGCTCAGCATTGTGCTTTATGTTTTTGTATTCTTGTCCCATGGGGGCAGGCGCATATTTGTTGAAGTTCAAGGAGAAATAATTTTCGAAAGGATCTGTGTGAGGGAGCTGTAGATGCAAGTGTGTCTGTAAGCGTAGGTTGACCTCGATGATTTGCACCAGAGGTTTGTAGAAATGCTCGTCGACGATTCTCCTGGACACATCTACAATTTGGGTGTCAGAAGCACTGAAAGAATCTGTTATAGCATTCAGAATCAGATAATACCTGGAGGGATCTGTTTTTGTTGTTAGCAGCTTTGAGAAGTAAATAGGTAGCATGTAGTTCTGGTGCCAATACAAGAAAAAACAGTCACAAATTTCGTTGGTGGTTTTGGAAATGGTAGTAAGTGTTTCTAGCTGCTTCAGGATGGACCTCATTTCTGTCAAGTTATTGGAATACAATCCACTAGCTGATAGTGCTAGATTAGCTATTAAGAGGCTTTGGGTGGTTGCAGACCCTTTTAGTGCCTGTTCACACAGGTTCAGAGAAGATAAGACATCAAGCTGACGTTCATTATATGATTTTTCTTGAGTAAATTGCTTTTTAATGTTACTTAGTGAAGCCAAAGCTCTGTGGGACAAGTGCTGGGAGGTTAGCAGTATGATATATGATAGTGTTAGCATGTTTTTCTTGAAAACTAGTGGGATACTCTTCAGTAGTTCTACTAATTTACATACAGCTAAAAGAACAGACTTTGCTAGAGGTAAATTCTTGTCTGCATGTAAGTTTAGCATCCATTTTATCAAGAAGCTTATTTTTTTTGCCAGTTGTAGTCCAGTGGTCAGTGATAGCAGGATATATTGTAATTCTTTGAATTTTATGTTGTTTTTATCAATCTGGGATATTTTCTCCATATCCATTAGGAAATAGCAAACTTGAAGGCACAGCACACTGGCATCTCTAGGAAAATTCAGCGTTTTAGTACTGATGAGATTAAGTCTATGATTTTCAATAGCCTTTTCATCAATGTATTTATCAACATTGATTACATGCTTCAAAAGAAATTGCTCAGGATACCATAAGATATTACCAATAAGGGTAAAGGCAGAGTACTTTTTATTGATTTCTAGCACCTTTTTCATGATTTTTTTGTCAGCATTTTCAAATATGTTGAAATACAGCATTATGAAAGTGTTCAATTTGCACCAAAGATGTGGGTTAGTATTTTCTTCCTCTTTCTCAAGATCATTTATCAGAGAATTTATGAAAGAATGTATTTCTTGATTCACACTAGAATTTTTCAGCTGGTAGTAGAAGTCCTTATCTTCTAAGAATTTGTCAATAGTTAATTTTAGAATATGCCCCAGTAACAAATCATTCTCAAACTTCTGTAGCCTTTTATCAAAAGTAGACAGTTTGGAACGTTTGACAGTAGTCTTATTAGAATGTAACATGTTTTTAACAGATTTCCTATACAAAAACCAATGGTCTTTCATCACTTGAGAGTTTAAAAGTTCATCAAACTTGAGAAGGCACACCATTAGGTCCCCAAACTTACTTAGAACTTCTGGAAAAGCTGAACTGTTGCCAGCTACATACATCTTCTTGCCTAGAAGGGCTGTTAATTGTTTCATTGTCAAAATCATCACCTCCTGCACTCTGGTAACATAAGAATGTACTTGTTGTAATGGATCAACAATCTTAGCAATAGCAAATTGTTTAACATTTGTACCTATGGTGCTTTCATACAGCACAAAATGTTGATATAGCACTTCAGCATCTGTAACAAGCAAGTTCATTTCATTGCATACTCCTCCCAAACTTGCTATGATTCTGCTCAGAATTTTGTTGTCTGAGTGAACTAAGGGGAGAATTGTTTCATTTTTTGATATGGATTCCTTAACTGAAACTATCTGTCTGGATACATTGTGAATGTTTTTCAGTTTGCTTTTCTGTTTTTTAGTTCTTTCACTATATTCTTCCAGAAAAGCACCATACTGGTGTAGTAGAGCCTCTCCAATCAGTCTGGTACTTTCTGCATTGAATTTTTTCTCAGCTAAATTTGATGGTTCCCACATTCTCAGAAATATATTTAGCACCTAGAACATATTTGAACTTCAATAAGTTTATTTTTCATCTGCTAATGGTTCTTTTTATTCTTCAATTCACTAATATTCTTACATTATATTCCTATCTAAATTCTAATTTTTCTGGTGATTCAGAACTTTGTTTTTGTTGATATCCTCTCAGCTGATTTCTGAGATCATAAAATCAGAAGTTAATGTTAATGGAGTATGATGTCCAATACCGTGGCAGCTAAGGATCTCGAAAGCGGAGAAGAAGACATGCCATGCCATGGCTATCCGGATTGTCCGGATCATTGTCTTGTCGCACAATTTGAGTGTATTTCTTAGAGAAAACTTTATGAATCTTTTCAATTTCAGCATGATTCTAGCAGCAGAATGGGTAATAAAAAATAACTGTTTTTAGGAAAACCGTAGGAAATCTCCGCTTAGATCATGGCTGTGTACTCATGCACTATCGAGTTTGGAAAAATTCCAACAACTCCAGTTAACTGATTACACCAAACCTTTGATTTTCCAAGCTGAAACTCCAATGAGGAGGTTTGTAGCCTACATAGATCCAGAAAATAAATTCAATGTAGAGGACAAACTTTCCCAAATCAATACATTACAACAGTTGCAAAATATTGCAAGTTATGGATTTTTGAAAAAGCGCTTGGAGAGACATGAATTACACATTCATGCATTATGGTTTGATATTTATACTGGAGAAATTTATTATTTTAGTAGAGGTGCGAAAAAATTCGTTGCTATAAATGAGGACAATTTACATAAATTACTAGAAGAGGTTGAAACATACTATTCATAATGAAGCTATTTTTCAAAAAGTGATTTTTCCGCTGTTTTTCGAACTATTTCCATTTAAGCATTCATCCATTTCCAAATGTATAATTGATATGATAACTTTTCGTTCAGATACATTTTTAAGACTGTTAGAGTTATCCTCCACTTATCCATTACCTACCTGTCTGGTAGATAAAATAATTAAGATTTTTGTATTGAATATATATTTTTATACATGCATTTTATTGTATTCGCGATAGAAAATGACACGTCGCCCCACCTGACGGCAGCAAGTTGAACACTTCTGAGCGGTTTGTTTTGATGATATGACACAAACAAAAAACAAATGTGAACCAATGAAAACAAAGTAAACATGCCGCTTTGACAGCTTTCAGGAACTCTGATAGGTGGCGTACGCTTATTTTCTATCGGGAATAGGACATTTTTTTATATTACTGTACAGTGATTTGGGGTAAATAAATGAAATGAGTACCAACAAAAACAACTTTTACAAATTATTTATTTCATGTTATCAAATGAAAATTGACTGAGTAGCTAAAACACTCATGAACTTTTCTACATCAACCCCATTTTCCCTAATATTATGTTTTTTGAATAAGTTATTCAATTCAACACAAGCATCCTTCAGATGGTCCATTTGAATTGGAGCATTCATGCAAGTAAAAATTTCATTCAGATCTTCTTGCAGCTTGTATGAGAGTATAGTTTGGAAATGCCTTTTCAAGTTTTTCACTACTGTTGGCCTGAGTTCTTGATCTCTGAGTGCTAAATTCAACACAAACAAGCCTAAAATAAGAATAGTTACAAATAATCTCAGTGGTTCTGTCATGCTACCTGTTGTTCCAATTATTTTCACTACATTACAGAGTACATCATCATCTAGAAACCTTTTTGGGGGACAACTCATGCCTATTGAGGAATCTTTACTGTCTATGTCAAATAAAATTGCATCCAATGTTTCTCCTGGAATTTCATGGATTTAATAATGTTGTACCTATACAAATAGAAAAATCTATACCTTTCTCTGCAGTATTCTCCAAAAAAGTTATCCCATCCTGAACTATTGCTTTCAATTTATCATCCTGCCTGAAGTCAAACCATTCTGTGGCTATTTTGATTATTTCATGGTCAATATCAACACCAATAATATGACTTTTTGGCAGAAATTTGTGCAAAAATGAGCACAACCCTCCTCCTCCAAGGCCTATGACTGCTATATTTGCTCTATTCTTGTCTTTACATGTTATATGAGCTGCTATGCTCATGTAAACATGGTGCCTACATGTTAAGTAAATAAGGTCAACTACTTCTTTTACTGTCCCTTTTCTGGATTTGATTTCTCTCAGTTTGGCCTCAGACTGAATGACTGACTGAGAATTCATGAAAAACAACCTTCTGTACTTATCCTTGTTCTCTGTTAAAACATCTTCTATTACATATTCTCCTGTGAAGTTGGATATACCTTTGTGTTTGATAATTCTGTGACCAACATCAGAACCCAATGACAAAAATGCAATCTAAAAAGTGATTTATGTTTCTGGTAGAAAAATTTGAAAGGATTATCCTAACCTTTCTGTTAGTCAAAGTTGAAGGGGCTAGATTACAAATTGTATCTGTTAGTTCCTTTTGAACAGCCTCAAATGATTCATATCTGTGTCCCCTGTGCAAAATTATGATGGCAAGTCTATTGAACTTTGTGATTTCTACTAATTTCTTTCTACCATCTTTTGTAGAAAACAACCATTCAGCTTCCCTAAGAATCAATCAAATATATATATTCCCTGAAATATAGCTTGTAAATTTTTTTTTACCTGCCTTCTGGTACTATGAATCCTGCATACTGTGAATTTCTAACTTGTGGGGGCACATCCACTACATAAACTGTAAATCTAGGGCTATCAGTACCTTGTTCATAGAGATCTAACACTACCTCATTTTCATCTGCAATGGAAGTGTTTTTCAAACCAGTACATATAAATGCTGCATGCTGAACATTTGATATCTGAGAAATAACATCTTCCTCCTTTTCATACCTAACCATCTTCTCTGAAGATCCTAAGTTGAGTTCTAATACCTGAAAATGAGTCAAATTAAAGATGTTCATAAGTACATATGACTTTTTCACCTTTCTAGGTAAGTCTTTGAATTTTGTACATACAACCATGAAAACAGGCATTGGATTTTCTCCATTTTCACTTGCTCTTTTCTCAGCCTCAAAACATCTTACAACCCTAAACATGAAATGATTCATTGGAAAATAATCCACAATATACCTCAAAATATGTTCTTGAAGCAATGATATACACATGTATCTAGCTCCAAACTTGAGTACCCTAGTGATTTCATCAAAGTATTGCTTAATCTTGGATATTGTTTCTTCTGAGCCATCACTCATTAAAGCATCTAGAGTACCTTTGTCTAAAACTACATTGAATGTTTTATCATCAAATATTGTATTCAAGGCATCCATTTGAAGATATTTCAAATCTGGCCTTTCTTTTGCTGTTTTTGAAAGCATTTGCTTGATAACAACTTGGGATATATCAATATTGGTTATATTGCTGCAAAGATAAAGTTTATGCAAACAATTTAAACTAGTAACTAGAGTTGATATTTTTACTTGTAACCAATATCATATAGATCTTGACCTAATGTAGAATTACCACAGCCAGTAATGAGGACATTATCTTGTTTTTTGATATACTTGTGCAAGTGCTCTGCCAATTCTGGGTATTCACCATACCTAAAATAAGAGATTATTTAAAATATTGGCTTGATTTTTATTAAACAGGTCTACTATGAATTACCATTCAAAGGCTTTGCTTCCTCTTTTCTTGAAAAACGAGTCCCAGTATTCTTTTTGAGAAAACTCCTCTTTCGATTTCGGAAGTAGGTTCATTTTTTTTATTCTCACGATTCTCACCACTTTTTCATTATCATTTTGTCCTTTTTTGATGTTTTTTAAAACATAACCTACAAATCTTCTTTCGTTTTCGAAGCAGCTCGTGCTATTTGTACTCTTACCAGTTGCTACAACCTTAGATCATAAACAACTGATATCCTTATTTACAGCACTTTAGTTCTTGGTTCTATGATCATTGTTCTATGACATCTCCCAAAAAAATGAGGCAAAAATTGACAATTTCAAATTGAAAATTAACCACGTCTGAAATATTCCAAGATTCCAAAGTATTTTCAATAAGATGGGAATAGATTACTATGGAATATTGCAAATTCCAAAGCACAGCAATGACCTAGATATAAAGAAAGCGTAATATCATGGGATATATTTCAACTCAGGTTAATATTTCTCAATATTTTATAGGTACAGGAATCTAGCTTTGGAATTCAACAAAGGACTACTCGAGAATAAGGAGGCACAGCAGGTATTCACTCTCATAGGTGAAGCCTATGATGTACTGAGTTGTCCTCAGAAAAGAGCAATATTTGATCAATATGGGGAAGAAGGACTCAAGAGGGGAATCCCTACAGTTGATAAATACATTCCTGCTTATCATTATCACGGGGACCCCATGATCACATATAAGTAAATTAATACACGTATACATACGGTGAATGAACATAATCTCTATATAGTATACAAACATTTTATTTTTTAATAGGGATTTTTTCGGTACAACTTCTCCATATGCTGATCTACTAGACTTCCTAAAAAATCCTCCTTTGTTGTATAAAATGGCTGATGGGAATCAGTGCATACGAAAAAAACAAGAACCTATAAAACACCCATTACAGTTAACATTGCATGAAATATTCTTTGGAGGGGTCAAGAAAATGAAAATTCAAAGATTAGCCTTTACAAATGCTGAGAAATCATGTACTGAAATCAAAGAAAAAATTCTGAATATATCCATAAAACCAGGGATTCGACCGAATACAGAAATTATTTTTCCTGAAGAGGGGGACCAAAATCCTGCTCAAATCCCAGGTCTGGATTACATACCAATAAATCATTATTATATGTTTATGAATTTGCAGCTGATGTCATCTTCATTACTGAAGATAGACCTCACGAAACTTTCGTTAGAGATGGAGATAATTTAATTATAGAGGTCGACGTTACTCTGGAAGAAGCTCTTCTTGGTACCACAGTTACAGTGAACACTATAGATCATCGAACAATTAGAATTCCTATTACAGATGTTGTCTAGTAAGTGCAAAATTATTGATGAAACAAGAAATATATTGTATTTACAACAATGATCATATGAGTGATGAAAAATATTTCTGCTTTCAGTCCGGGATACGAAAAAATTGTAGAAGGTGAAGGCATGGTAATTTTGGAACAGTATCCGAATAAAGGAGATCTAATCATTAGGTTCAATATCAATTTTCCAACGTATTTGCCCAAGAATAGCAAAGATGTACTAAGAAAAGGTTTTCATTTAGCAAGGCTTGGCGGTGGAGCTGGACAACATGAAGTTATTAATAAGTTAGTGTTAGCAGATAAAATCCTACGTGTTGATCCCGATGAAAGATTGCCCCCAATGTGAACACGTTCATGTTCGTATTTATATTCTCTTCAATAAACCTGAATTAATCGATTTGTAATTTGTTTTTCAATGAAAATCCACCACCGTTCCACCACTAGTCAGTGTTCCAAAAGATATAAGGACGTGTTCTAGTGTTAGCTATGCTATAGGACCGGTCTCTGGTAATTTAGTCATAGCGAAAACTATTACCAACACATTAACATCAATTTATGTCAATAGTGATGTGTCAATTCTGTCAATTGTCAGTGAACGTAGGACGTTGATCATTTCAGCATAATAAAACGCCATTGTTGGACTATTGACTTCTTTATTCTGTTGAAACAATTTTGTTTTCTAATGAACATATTTACATTTAGACGGTTTTAGTGCGAGTGAAAAGTCGAAGATAGTGCAATTGTGGCAGTGGTTGATTATTTTGCGAGGAGTGATATTTGATTAAAAGACTAGTCAATGTCAGCAGGCGTGTCAGATCAGGTAAAAATCAAAACATCTTTGACAGATAATTATATGATTATAGAGTTTTATTTCATGAACTTAACTGAATATTAACTTTATTTTCATATGGATCTTTCAGCGGATGAAAGGACAGGGAAATCAAGGTATGTACCATCTCTCATCTAGTCAAAAAACACTATTATTTCAATGTTCAAAATTCTCATTAAATTTTCAAACTGTTTTTCAATTCAGTGTCCAATGGCGCTAAAGAACAGCTAGGAGCTGGTGAGGGAGCAACTGGCTCAGAAGAATTTGAACCATGGAGAAATCAGCAACAGAATACTGCTGCTCACAATGCCTATGGAGCCTCAGCCACCATTTCCAGTGCTACAGACATTTACAACATGAGTACAGCAGGTTAGATACTAAAATCTATGAAGTTACTCAAAATGGTCTACTTTTTGTGTTTCTTTGAAAAGCCCCTGCTTAAAGTATTACACATTAGGTTAGTACTTGTATTAGGAAATGGTTGGGTATCAAGAAAAGTAGTTTCTAAATTCCCTAGTTTCTGCTAGAACATGCAATTATTATAATGAAAAAGGATATTGGACTAAGAAAATGCATGTTGAATCCTGTAGCAGGAAAACAGTATACATTCTTTATTCTTTAGTTTGTGTTTCCAACTTCAATCATCATTGCCCAAAAATTGGATTTAGATTGAAACAAAAAATAGGTGCCTATTTACCATGAAATTGTGAAAATTTCTTCACAGATTGATATCCAGTACCAAAAACAAACTTCCTTGATAATCTCATATAGTTTTATAAAATTGTATGTATAGGAATTGTACAGAGAATGCATATTACAGTCCTAATGTTAATACTTGCTCTAATGATTTATATTGTTTTGGCATTGTCAGGTATTGTAAAAAAAGGGTTTTGAAAACTAAGGATTTACATGTGTGTAGAACAAAAATACAGACTCAATATGTGGTTTGAATTGTTTAGACTAAAGACATCATTATAAATCAGATGAACTGTTAGTATGAGTCATGTTTCATTTTATCTAGAATATTTGTTATAGTATATAGTATCATTATTATACCATTGTTTTGATAATTCACTCATTCTCAGTCTATGTAGTTTATGATTGATTGGAAACTATTTCTATTCAAACAATTGAGTAAGTACATTCCAGAATTTTAACAATTTCTGTGTTTCAATTGTCATACCAACTTTATTATAAATGTATTGCTTCATCAAATAAAATGCTCTCATAGGTTATTATGGAAGTGGAGGCACGTATCCTTACCAAGCTTATGGAGTAGGAGATGGGACATGGTCAAATGGGACAGATCAGATGACTTTTCTAAGTGGTTATCCACACGATTCTTATTCCATGGATGGTAAGTTCATGTTTTTTATTCTTTCTTTACAGAATATCATCATTTGATAACATATTATGATGCTATGCACTGAAAAGTGAATGGTAAAACATTAGTACTATTGTTTTGGTACATTAAAATGGTACAATTTAGATTTCAAACTGGTTTGAGAGAAAGTTTCAGGATCAAAAAGAGAAAAAGGTTGTTGAAAAGGTAATGCTCAGATATGAACAAGATCTAAAAGATCTGATCTAGATTGGAGGTGTTTTATTATATCAATTTAGATAATATTAATTGGTTGTATTGATTACCCCTACTGATGTTTGATGTATATTCATTCCTTCATCAGTTCCTTCCTAATGAATGAAAAAAAAAAACAACAACATTAGTACAAGGTGGGCCAAAAGAAGTCACCCGATGTTGTTTGGCTCTCATTTTTATTCTGAATGAGAAGCTTCGATTCTGTTTTTTGAACCTTTTGTGCCACAATTGATTTTTATATGGGCTCGTTTTATGGCATTTTTCATCACTTCGGCGAGAACTTCGGCCGACAGATTCTCGCACTCGTGTCGAATGTTGTCCTTACGGGCTTCAAGGGTCTCAGGCTTGTTCACGTATACACGGGACTTCAAAAAATCACCACAAAAAAAGTCTGAAACGGTTAAATCGGGCGATCTTGCGGGCCAGTGCAACTCGCCAAAACGAGAGATGACCCGACCCGAGAACGCCGCCTTCAGAATATCGGTTGTGACTCGCGCAGTGTGTGCCGTTGCTCCGTCCTGTTGGAACCACATGTCCTCCAGTCCCAATTCGTTCAATTGCTGCAGAACAAACCAGGTTAACATGGCCCCATAGCGCGCACCGTCCACTATTGTGGTTTGACCAGCGGCGTCCTCGAAAAAAAAAATGGCCGGATGACTCCTCCAGCGTGAACAGCGCATCATGCAGTCACTTTGAGCGGGTGTAATGGCTCCTCGTGCATCACTCGTGGATTTTCGGTGCCCCAAAAGCGATAGTTTTGCTTGTTCACGTACCCGCTGAGGATGAAATGAGCCTCATCGCTCATTATGATTTTGGCCGAAAAATCGTCCACGAGATTGAGGATGGCTTGGGCATAGGTTACACGCGTTTGGCGTTCGACAGACAGAAGCTGATGCACGGACTATACTTTGTACGGGAACATGCGCATGTCTTTGACCAAAATTCGCCTTGGGGGCGACCGGCTGATGGCTAATTGCATGGCACGACGTCTGGTCGATGTTTCTGGTGACAGCTCGACATTCTCGGCAACAGCGGGGATATTCTCGGCAGAACGGGCGCTCTGGAGCGTTACCACCGATAAAACAAGGCCTGCATGCTCCGTGGGTGACGTCACTTACAGGGCCATCTTAAGAGTTTCGGGGCCCCAAGGCACGAGATGTTTTAGGGCCCCCATATTTTTTTAATAGACTAAAATAGGTAATGAAACATTTCAAATAAAATAAAATCTTGCATATTGAACAAACATTAAGAATATATTATTTCAATAAGCAATTTAATATTTTGTAAGTACCTATTTAAAAGTAACTAAAACTAAGAACAATTTTTGGGAAACACAGGTACTCAGTGAAATGCAGAGAAAAATAACCTAAATATGTCGTTTTCTTGATTTGATTTCAGCAAATCTGTTTATGATCTCCTCGAAATCAATATTTTTTGTTATTTCATTTTCAATGGACAAAAGTGCCAAAGAATTAAGTCTTTCCTGTCCAATGGTCGAACGCAAATGATTTTTGACTAACTTCAATTTTGAAAACGTCCTTTCTCCTGCACAGTTCGATGTATGGGTGCATAAGAATATTCTGACAGCTACCTCTACGTTGGGAAATACCTGAAAAATAGGTGATTTTCATCGATATTTGAGTTCTCCTAAGTCACTTAATATTAACCTGTCTTATGTCAGAGTCTTTCAATAAATCCCAGAGATTTCTGAAGGTCAGTGATACTTTTTCCAAGGTATTCAAATATTCTTTTAAATGTATACATTCTTCTTCAAATTCGGGCTCCAAGTCTTCGTTATATATATTTATCAATGTCTTTGCACATGTTCTAATCAATTCAGTATTCAAATCTAATTTAGTTAAAAAACTGAATTTCTTGTCTAGATTTCTATATGCAGCTCCCCTTCGTTCTAGTTCTGCCCACAAAGTATCAACTATAACATAGAAAGTATTTGTTTTAAAATACTGGCTTCCATCCATGGCTAGAGCGGCATCTTCTGAAGACGTTCTGTCTTCGTTCTTTTTATTCATCACTTTTTTCCGTTTGAAGTCCTTCTCATATCTCGTTTCAGTGGTAGTGGATATATCTTTTGCTGCTTCTTCATAAATTCGAAAATCATCGCGCATCGACAATATGTAGTTGCTCAGTGAATTATATAAATGAACAACGTTATCTATATCAATGTCAGAACTTTGCAGTTTCTTGTTTGTTTGGTCGAATCTTTTCAAAATATTACTCCAAATGGTAGTCATCAAAGCAGTTTCCAATCGGTCTAATTTTTTAGCCAAGTTATTTGCTTCAACACGTGCCATAGATTTTTCTTTCACATCATTGCCTATGGTATTCAATGCATTATAAATCTCTCTATATGATATAGCTAGAGATCGACAGGCATCAGCACGAGCTGACCAGCGGGTTTTTGAGAGATTTTTCAGAGAAGTTGATCTACAATTTTGTTTCAAATGTTCATCTAATATTTCCCATCTATGGGTTGATGCACTGAAAAAATTGTATAGTTCTTGAAGTAAACTGAAATAGTTCACTGCCTCTGGACAAGATTCAGCAGCGCATGTACCAACTAAGTTCAAGGAATGTGCGGAACACGGAACATATTGAGCCAATGGATTAACTTCTTTTATACGGGCTTGTACTCCAGTATAAACGCCGGACATATTACTTGCGTTGTCGTAACTTTGGCCACGGCAGAACTTTATGTTTATATTTTTTTCGGCAAGGAACGATAAAATACAATCGGTTATGGATTCTGATTTATGACCAACATTCTGTATGAAACAAATGAACCTTTCTGTTGGTATTCCATTTAATTGAACATATCTTATGATGAAAGTCAATTGATCGAAGTGGGAGATATCTGGAGTTGAGTCAACGCTGATAGAAAAATATTTGGCCATTTTTATTTCCCCGATAATGACATTCATAACTTCATCTGCCATGAGTTGAATGAATTCATCGCAAATGTTTGCCGATAGATATGATACATTTCCTTTACCCCTATTGCCATATTCTGATAAATGACTCGCTAAAAAGGGATCGAATTGGGCAATCAGTTCAATGCATCCCAAGAAATTACCGTTTTCTGGTGACCCCAAACTCTGATTGGTACCTTTGAAAGCCAAGCCGCGAGCAGTCAGCATTTGGACAGTGGCCACTACCCTTTTCAAAACCTCCCGCCAATATTTTTTTTCTTCCTCGATTTGTTCGCAAATATGATGGTCGATCCTTTGACTAGATTTACCACGTGCACTCAATTTGAAGCATGATGTTCGATGTTGAGAAGTGTTCTCATGTTCAGAAACACGTGTTGTCACATTTTTCCAATCACAAAACCCATCCTTTGCGAATTTACTTTCATTTGATGAATAATTTGAAAACAATTTGCATGGGACACAAAATAGCTTGCCTGTAGATGGAGAATATACTAGCCATTTTCGGGTAACTCTCTCTCCATTCAATTTTCGTCTAAGAAATATGTTCTTCGAACATGATCTCTTCACATTTTCGTTGTATGATGTTGAATAAATTTCTGAAGATTTTGAAAAATCACCTTCAATGTTTTGATCATATCCGTTCATGCAAATATATTCAACTGTCGACTCATTGATTATCCAAGTTGCTGGATCGTTTCTGTCTATATTACATACCTCTGTTTCCGATTTCAAAGATTCCTCATTGGAATTCGATTCGTTCTTGTCCAATTGCATGCTTGTGGCTGGCAACGTGTCATCTTTTTCCTGCTCTCGCACGTCACTGACGATAACGTCATTTATTTCTTGAGTGGAAATACCGCTCGAAGTACAGAAAAAAACTTTCAGTTTGGTTCATATCATCGGATTTTTCATTTTTCGGTTTAAATAAGTCTTGTAATTTGGGTATTTTTGCCATCATCAACTCCCTGGAACATTGTTTTTCTCTTTGCCTCTTACGTTTTTCACTCCCACTCTTTCCCCTTTTGTACATGATTGTTTATTGTTTTATAACAACTTCAAATAAATGCGAAAATACCCGAACCGCGTTAATATTAAATATTACTAATATTAGGTGAATGGCAATTGGCAATGTATTCATTCGTCAGGCACCCGCCAGAAAGTCTCGCATTATGCATGCATGCACTCGTTGCCCGTTGGATTCCAACTGGATACGGTCTACGCGTCTACGAAATGATATATGGAGCTTGGATGTTGTGTACGTCATACGGTCACGTGTACCTTCGCAAAAATCAGTGTCGGGTAGGCTGATGGTCAACGAAATTGAATAAGACGTTTAAATCGAAAGTGTTTTATACAAAATTTAAATATTTCTACCTACATAATTATAATGTTATGTAGGTTTTGAATTTTAATGAGAATTTGGAATAATCAGCATCCAGAAAGCAACAATTTGAGACTAGTGCAGGGCCCCCCTGAGGCCGGGGCCCCAAGGCACGTGCCTCGCGTGCCTTGTTGTTAAGATGGCCCTGGTCACTTAGTCAGGCCTAACCAGCGGCTCGAAACGACAAGCGCTTATAGCGCTATAAGCCGATTTTGCTTTTTTTTTGAAGGGCTTCCGGTTGAAAGAGGATGCCAGCCGTCAACTGAGCCCTTCTTCGCATCCCATTCGATTTTATTATGGAAAAACGAAGTTTCAAAGCAAAAACCAGAATAAAACACAAATACCCACCTACAGCAACCCATTCGAATTGAATATATTGGCAAAAATTGTAGTGATTCAATCTCATTAGAGGTAAACTTCACACCTACTTATACAGGGCCCGCAGAACATAAACTTATCATGAGATTGATCGAAAGAAAATTGGGGAAAATGTATTTTAGTTTGATAGACATGCCGTTTGTTATACCTAATTACCTATATTTATCTTGGAGAATTCCTATTACCTAAAATATTAGCCAGTGTGTGTTTTCAATTTCCTGTTGTTGGATTTTTTACCCAATTGGTCGTTAGACTTGAAACAGTAATTTTTAAGTAGAGTGTTTGTAGTACATGTTAATATAATAGTTGCAATTTGATCATTGGAATGAATTCTGCATTCATTGCCACGAGGCAAATGACCGTTTTCAGAAAGAAATTTGAGAATGTATTGAGTCAGAAACCAAAGAGTCCAATGCATTCGAAATATGTTTCAAACCCCTCTTTTTCTGATTATGATATTATTAGAGATGAAAGGTGTTTTCAGATTGGCTTTTAGAGATGTTTGTATCGCTAGGTCATACAAAAATGATTCCACATTCAAAACAAAATCAATCACAACCGAATATGTAATTACGGGCCCTGGAGAATGAGACAATTTGAATAATGTGACTTTTTGCAAATCGATAATTTTGAACCACTTTTCGGGCAACTGAAAAGACTAATACAACTAGAAATTCTTGAAATTCTGTGTAGCAAAATGATTTTTGGTAATTTTCGAATTCAGTTTTACTTTTGGTAAGTGCTTGTGCCAAATTTTTAGTCTCTAGTATCTCAAGTTTTTCATCACGACTTGTGCGTAATTTTACATCTTTCGATAAATAAGATGGACAGTTGGGAAATTGAGTGGGAATAACATCTCGTTTGAGCCTAGGAATTTTCAAATCTATTGTTACAGTTTTGCCAGTTTTTGAATCGGTTGCAGTAGATGAAGTAATAATATCATCTTTAGTAAAATGTAATTCACATACTTTACTGTACTTAGATGGAGTCGTAAAATTTTTGCGGTGAATTGCATGTACCCACTTTTTCGATAGTTCCTTGTCCAACGGGAAACTAAAAGCATGAACTTTTGGACCACCCACATAATTCCCCCGACAAAAGGGAACACAACACTTGTAAGGCATTGCTATTTCGCCTATCACAACACGAAATATTTCACAAAACAGTAATTTCTCCGCCAATTATTTTGATGAATAAACAACAAGAGAATTGGAGCACACGCGATTTACCTACGCCACCGTTCTTAAACAAAAACAAACTGACGGTCGATCGACGCGAATGCCTTGGAAGATGGCCTGAGTATGCGACGTCACGAGCTGTTTACGTCAGAGTCTGCTGGCCTTGTTTTATCGGTGGTAACGTCTGGAGCCGGCCGCTCTTGGCAGCGTCTTGTGTGGTCCCATACTCTTCAAGGTTGGTGGCCAAACGGCGCAGTGTTTGCGCAGTCGGTGTCGGACGACCGGAGAATGGGCGACGGAATTCGCGATGCGCCAACATCCCAGACGAATTGTTACGCAAAAAAAGACACGATTATTCCGCGTTCTTGGGGAGTGTATCGCTCCATGGCTTCTGCACTTGTGTTCTACATCTGTCTAGTTCACAAATGTCAAAACAGATTCGACATTGGCCGCCATTTGCAAAAATAAGAGCATCTTACAATAGGGTAATTTCTTTTGGCCCACTTACTTTACATTAATTTCTCTTTTTTAAACGAAAATCGATTTTTTCTGCAACCGACTCAAAAGTCGTCCATTTTGATACCAAAATTAGCTCTTAAATTGACGTTTCTATTACTGACAAAAATAGGTATGTTGCTAGGCAACATATTTAGTTCCTAGGAGCTAAAGCTGAATTTTAGTTCCTAGGAGCTAAAGTTGAATTTTAGTTCCTAGGAGCTAAAGTTGAACTTTAGCTCCTAGGAACTAAAAAGAATGTACTGGACATCATCAAGAATAAACAACATTGTGACGGTTGGGTATTTGGGTTGAGACGCATACCTGATTTGTTTCCGATTTCAGCAGATTTGGCATTTCATACCCATGCTGGAGATATAAATACACCTTATTATACACAGGAGGGAAGGAATACTCGAAGTCATCTCCACAAATTTTAATGATATTTTTAACTAATTCATGAGGGACATGTTTCGGTCTTATAAAAGACCATCTTCAGCCTAATTGAAAAGTTTGGAGTTGAAAAAATTATTTTTTGCCAATGCCCATAGTCGAGAGTTCCAAAATGAAAATTGAATAAACGGGTTCTCAATAAATGAAGGGCCCCGTGCCCTGAGAGCGTATACTTCATAAAACTTAGTATACGCTCTCAGGGCACGGGGCCCTTCATTTATTGAGAACCCGTTTATTCAATTTTCATTTTGGAACTCTCGACTATGGGCATTGGCAGAAAATAATTTTTTCAACTCCAAACTTTTCAATTAGGCTGAAGATGGTCTTTTATAAGACCGAAACATGTCCCTCATGAATTAGTTAAAAATATCATTAAAATTTGTGGAGATGACTTCGAGCATTCCTTCCTTCCTGTGAAATATTTCACTCCACTTTGAGCAATATGGACTTCTACCAAAGATTAACACCTTATTATAGTTTAGTATTGGAATTATAATCTCAGTTAGATATTTTTGTTTTGATCAGGGAAGCCTTCAAGATTCAAATACTTGCTTGATCTGTATTTCATTCGTTATTCTCGGGATGGATAACTTGTTTTTGAATAATCACGGCAAGCAATAGTTTTTTTGTCTCAAACAACGATATTGTTTAGCTTTATTTGAATATCAAGTCAAACACAGTGTAGTATGGAGAGGAATAAATAATCGCTATTATTATTGTTGACATGCTCACTAAACTAACATTTTCCACGTCTTGTTCCTATACCTGGCACTGGCGCGGTTTTTGCTATTAGAGCACCTGGTCCATCCACAAATATGTCACTCTGTGGTTGTATTTATATTGAAACTACAATTCAAACATCCTAGAAAACCTAACCTGCTATTAATGCAGGTAGAATATTCTCACCACATGGATTATTTGTCAATATTTGTTGCATTGCATACATATGGCACGGCATTGGTGGTTACTTCACATGTTTATTTGAGTTAATTGTTTCGGTTGCAGAAAAAATAGCATGTTTCATTCGGATCAAAAGTGACTTTGTTCGACTCGCAAATTTTGCTTTCGCTCGGCTTCGCTAAACGCTCCGCCTCGCAAATGCAAAATTCGCTTGTCAAACAAAGTGTCACTTTTGATCCTAATAAAACAATCTACTATTATTGTTTTCAAGGAATGTTCGGTCCGTCGACGACCTTTTCAACGCCGACTGCTTTCACCGGGCAACCTTCGTCTTTCAACTATTTCCACAGCAACGGGGACTACAACACGTGGGGCAGTCAGCTGGGGGGCCAACGCAAATACGATGACTACTACAGGGATCACCAGAACATGTATACACAGGCCATGCCCGATTCCGCATTGAAAAGCGTGGAACAGGCCATGCAAAACCTAGGTAAGAAAAAATGTAATTGAAAAAAAAAGTCACTAGTTTCGGAATTACGGCCATCATCAGGCGGCCGCCGTCCTCGCCGCCGTCTGATGAAACTCAAGGTTTGAGTGGATTTTTCAAATTTGGTTTCTACAATTCTTCTGTTTTACCAAGTAATTTACTTGTATTTTTTATTGTTTGGTCAATATTAATTGTGGTTGTTGAGGAAAATGTGAAATTTTCATTTCTTCCCGAATTTTGTGAAAAATCATTGTCAATTGAGCTCTTTTCTACCTTGAACGAGAGAGAGAAAAGTTCTCTCCTCTTCCATCTTTCTCTTCAATGCTACCAACGTGACCGCATAAGATGATGTTGTTTTAAATATTTAATATAATGTTGAATTACTGTGTTGAATCTTCATTAGATAATTTTTATTTCCCTTTACCTAGAAGAACTCACTCTTACATTTCTATCTGTACGCCTTTTTTCTCATGTTTTTCAAGATTTAAAAGCTTCAATGGACTCCAAAGAGTCTATGGGACAGCCCAAGAAGACGACGTGGGCTAGCATAGCCAGTCAACCTGCCAAGCCCCAGTTGTCCATGCCAAACCAAGGCCTGAAAAAAAAGGGTCCCGGTATGCCCCCAGGTCCCATTGTACCCGGAAAGCATAACATGGATATTGGTAAGGAACAATTTTTATGGTGCTCCTTTGTGTGGACTATTTTTTTTATTCTTCAAATATCATCAATCATCATTGAACTCCTTTTCAATTCCATATTATTTTAGATTTTTTTAGGTCGATTTCAAATTCCTAAAATCATCAATAATACCGCGGAGGTTTTCAAACGGCTAGAAATTCACCACAAATAACATCCGACGTGACGGTTTCGGAACTAGGGATAGGGAAAAGCACAGTTTCCATATGTTGTAATATGATTGGGAACTCTAGAAATATTATTTATTCAATAATTATCATAGATTCCTAATTAGGTATTGGTGATATTCTTAATTAACTATATAAAATCCATTGTTTTATTGCTTTTGATGAGTTTGTGTTGATAATAATAATATTAATTCCTATTAATTCACACTAGGGGAATTGTGGGCGTTGTCTTGTCAGTTCTCAGCGTTCAGCACAGCATTGCCAAGTCCTTAGCCAACATTTACATGATGTTTTGTCATGCTGTATAAGAAATATTTCAACAAGCTGGTTGCTCAAATGAATTACTATAATATCATGGCTTCCTCCTATCAGGTCATATGAAATATTACATTTGGATATAGTTTTGTTCAATGGCAGAACCCTAACAACTTTTAAAAACTTGATTATAATTGGTGACTTACAACCTTGCTTCATGAGTGGAAATGGAAGATTATCTGACCAATGAGGAAACAGCATAAGAACTGACGTCACTATATATCCGACGTATTGAAGAACATGGCTAAATGGTGGCCATGACGGCACGTTTGAAATGGGCTCTAGAAAGAAAACGGTGCACAAAATGGAGTTGTTCCTACTTTTAGTAGTTTTGTGATGACTGATAGAGGGCGCTACTACAGGGTTCCATCCCTATTGAATCGGTCGTAACGTTTTTGCTATACACTGTATGTCATTTTCGACGGAAAAAATTTGTCATCCCTTCTATTATACTTAAGAAAGGTATATCTTGCCCAAGTCGCTGGAAGCAATGGTTCCAGTACAAATGCACCTAAAAGCCGACAATGCACGCAAATTATTCAAAAAGCGTCAAAGCATAGATGTCAAAGTAACTTTTGCAAAAACAATGATAAATACTTCAACAATTATATTTTAATGGTATGATTAATTAGAACAAAACATTAAGTTTTTAGAAGATGTTCAAATTGTTGCCCTTGTACTTACATTTTTCCATTAAAATTCAACACCCCGTATCTTTTAACCGAAGGCCTTGCGGACCCATGTTCATAGGAACTTTTTTTCTTATTTTAGTATCCTCTATTATGTGGCACTATGCAATGTACTTTTTTCTATCTCACCCTGTACCGGTTGAACAACTAAGAACGGCTGCCATATCTATCATTCTTCCAACTTTGATAGTAAATATCTTCCGTTGGCGAAAAGCTATCATGTTGCTGTTTTCGTTGGTCTGTTGAGATTTAGGTTCTCTATTACATCGTATAATGATATGCATACCATTAGATTCATCCTATCTCAAACTTGTATCGTTGCTGCGTTCTTAGTTGTTCACCCGGTATATGTTACTTATGTTAGCACCTGTACATTCGAACCCTCCTATGAAATGTATATTTTTGAAGAAATAAATGTATTCTATTCTAAGAAGATGTCCTAAACTTGACAAAAAAGTCATAAACATAGTACTTCATTCTCATATACTCAGTCGTATTACCTATATGATAAACGTTTGGGGATCTTGTTCAAAAAATTATTTCAGTAAAATATCTGCACTTTATAAGAAAGCACTGAAAGTATTGTATCGCCTCTCATTTGATATTCCAACAAATGATCTGTATTCGATAACAGAAAAATTTTCATTGGATGAATTATATAAAATAGATTCTCTTGAAGTTTCATATAATATAATAAACAATCTGAAATCCAATTTTGTTTTGGTAAGAAACTCATAGTCATCACACGAGACAATTAAACTTATTTCATCTTGATTCTGCTACTTCTATAATTGGCCAAAAAAAATTTACTCACGCTGCTCTAGCTGAATTTAATAAATTACCACATAATATAAAAAATTGCAGACATATTTCAAAATTTTAAATTGAATTAAAAAAACACATGATTTCATTACGAAATGGATAAAATTTATACTTTGCCATCTACTGATTAGTCCCTGTGGCTATTTTTATGACTTGATCGATTTAGCATTTTTAGATTTTTTAGATTTTTATTGTTGTTGTTGTCACCTTATATTATTTTATTATTGTTGTTTGTAATCAACTTCCTCATACCAGAATTTTATTTCTGACTGGAAGCTAGTTTTTCAATAAACAATAAACAATGAATAGTTTTCTATTTCGGGTCGTTTTTTTACATCTTAATCGGAACCAAAACGCCAAAAAATGAATAAATAACAATTTAACACGCACAAAATCACTTATCCCCACACATCAGGCACATGGGACACGGCGAAGAGCATCCCGCCCCAGCTACCGATGGTCGGAACCGCCCCACCGCCCCCACCACCTCAAAAAACCCCCAACATCGCTCCCGCTGCCGCCCCAATGGCCGTGCGGCCCGGCTGGAACGGCCCGCCCCCGCCGCCCCAACAACAGCAACAGGTCGGGCGGCAAGGCCCGCCAGTCTCGGCTCCTCGACCGCCGCCCCACCACCCGATGCACCAGGCGTACCAGCAGATGGGCCAGCCGCCGCCGCCGCCCCAGGCTCAGCATCCGCCCCACCACATGCAGCCGCAGGTCGGGATGCCGCAAGGTGGGCATATGCAGGTGAGGTGTTGGTTTGTTTGTCATTTTATTCGGTAATCTGATTGTTTTTCGGTGATTTGTTCATTATTAAGTGATTTGTTTGTTATTCAGTAATGTGTTTGTTATTCGGTAATTTGTTCGCAGTTCGGCGATTTGATTGATATTCGGCAATTTGATTGTTATTCGGTAATTTGATTGTTATACAGCAATTTGATTGTTATTCGTTTATTTGATATTCATTCGGTGCTTTGATTATTATTGGGTGATTTGTTTATTATTCGGTAATTCATCCGTTATTCGGTGATTTGATTGTTATTCGGTGATTTGTTCGTTATTAAGTAATTTGTTCGTTTTTCAGTAATGTGTTTGTTATTCGGTAATTTGTTCGCAATTCGGCGATTTGATTGTTATTCGGTCATTTGATTGTTATTCGCTAATTTGGTTGTTATCCGGCAATTTGATTGATATTCGGTAATTTGATTGTTATTCGCTTGTTTATTCATTTATTTATTGAAGTAATACATCCAACAGACTAAAAGTCCAATTACAGGAGTATATAACGAAAGAAGAATGTGCATCACACAATTATCTAAGCATAGTATAACACTATGACTATAACATAAATATCTATGAGTATGATGATGAACGGAAAAGAAAAACACTATTTCAACCAATGATTATGTTAGTTTGATATGAGCCTATACAGAGCTTTTCTTCGGTAATTTGTTTGTTATTCGGTAATTTCTCCGTTATTCGGTAATTTTATTGTTATTTGGTAATTTTATTGTTATTCGGTAATTTTATTGTTATTCGATAATTTATTTGATATCAATTGATTTGTATGTTATTCTGTAATTCGTTTGTTATTCAGTAATATGTTTTGTTATTCGATAATTTATTTGATATCAATTGATTTGTATGTTATTCTGTAATTCGTTTGTTATTCAGTAATTTGTTTTGTTATTCGGTAATTTCTTTGTTATTCGGCAAGAAAGTCCGATCAACTCAGTCTATGAGTCCTTTATTCATTAATTTATTCAGTACATGAATGAAGAATACTAATAATGATTTTCAAATTATTGATCAGTCGGGTTATTCTTCTATATCAACACATTGGCTACCATATATGAGTCTCATGTGATAGACACTCTAACATGCTCTACAGCTCATTTATTGGGTCAATCAGTATACCAGGTGCCAGAGATTCATGGTATACAGCTCTTTTTTCACTCTTATTTTCGGATTGTTTTTCATCTTCCGGTTTTCCTGGAAATGACATGAACTTTCGATTTGCAAAAGGAACACCCGATATTCTTTTCCATAAGTGGTAAGAGATTAATATAACAAATTCAACGATATCCGGTTTTGATTGGGTTATTTCAAACGATTATGAAGATATTTGCGTTAGAAGTTTCCATGGGTGTGACGGCGTAATATCGAAACTTCTATCTCTGTCACACTCATTGGTCATATGGAAACTTCGATTGCAAATATATCCGTAATCGTTTGAAATAACCCAATCAAACCCGGTATCGTTGAAATAGTTTTAAGAATCTCTAACCAATTATGGAATAAAATGAAAAAATAAATAATGAAGAATAAAATGAAGAATGAAATTCTTAAAATGTGAAAAAGTTCCCTCTAGTGAGCATATTCGATGATCCACATTCCAGGTATTGCTTCAATTTATTCGGTAAACCGGTTTACTACATTGATTTACTTATTCATTTCATTCATGATGTATTTAACTATTTATTCATTCATCATGAAGTAAAATCCGCCATTAACCCGGTCTACGAGTCATCTATTGATTAATTTATTCAGAATATCTGTTCTGTCATCCAGTCCTGCATACATCAATTCATTTAATGAAGTATACTAATTCTGGTTATTTCTCTATATTAATTCGACTCATTTATTCGGTAATTCAGTCGTTAATTCTGTCCTTTATTATTATTTATAATATTCATCCAGTCACATAGCTTTGTATGCATCAATTTATTTTATGAAGAATACAAAAAACGATTTTTTTGGGAAATAATCGATTTTTCGGGTTATTCCCCATTCCATTGTACCGTCCGATGACCATAGGCGAAGGTACCAAATTTAGTAATTTTATTCAGAATGCTACTCCGAATACTATTATTCCTACAACACCTTCGAATTTATTGAATGACTGATCCACTAATGATACCTCGATAGATGGATTACCCTCAGGGGATGATGCCGCCCCCGATGCCGATGATGGTGCCGAGCCCTGTCGCCGCCGCTGCCGCTGCTCATCATCCTGTCCTCGACGAATTGAAAGGCGAGTGATTCGGGCATTTTGAATTAATCAATCGAAATCAGCCTCAATGGGCACATGTACAGTTGTATTCAATAAAAAAAGCGTGCAAGTATAGGTCGCGTGCACGATGACCGACCCTGGAGGCAAAATATTGAAACACAACCTCACTCTTCTGTGAATTATTGAAACACAACCTCACTTTTTTATTTGGTTACAGAGGAATCGAAAGGTTGAAATAGTTTTTCACAATATTTGGCATATGAATCGTGTTTCTTGCGTTATTCATTAATTCAAGCATGCCTTCGCATTGTGCTGTTGTACAATGTACAAAAAATGCAGCAAGAGACTAGGGAATATGATTTTTCAGGTAAATAGTAATCTCACATAGTTATCATTATGAAATGTTGTCATTCCTTATTAAAATTCCTTCTGCCTTCTGCCACTTCTGCAATACAAGCTAATACTGCTAATAGATTGAAAATGTCTACAACACACACGATCGTCAGCATGTCAGACCAGTCAGTCCTCCCGATTGATTGCATGAATCCAATCTTCTTGCATTATTCTAGAAATTTCAGGTATATTTCAATTAGCTCCTATTGCAGAAGGAATTCCGATGAGAAATCAGAGAAATAACCAAATTTCAAAAATGAAAACTATATGTGAGTGACTATAGTAGGTACTTACTTTTAAATCAATGTACCATCCGGATTCCTTCATCTTCCGCTGCAGTTTTTGTGCATTTTACAACAGCACAATGTGATGGCATGAGCGAATTGATGAATAGCGGAAAAATACGATTCATATGCCAAAATAATTGTGGAAAACTATTTCCATCACTTGTAAACAAATAAGAAAAGTGACGTTGTGTTTCAATGTTTTGCCTCCAGCGTCGGTCATCTGACAGTTCTTGCACGCAACCCATTAAAAAGAGAGGTTAACGTCAACCTAGACATAGTTGTGTAAAACTGGCTCAACCAATGCTTTATATTTTTGACAACCTATGACAACTAGAGTTCCTAAATGTACCTGACACTGCTGATTTTGACGTTTTTTGTATATCAGAGTACGGACACTAGACAAGCAGTGTCAATCAAACATAACCACAAACGATTTTGAAGCAAAGCTTAGCTTAGCTTAGATAAAGGATCCTCGCATCTTCCATCCTCCACAAGTCCTGGGAAGAGTACATCCATATATCTTTCTCTGTATTTGATTTTTGTATGAGAGTGCATAGCGTCTCCTCGCGTGGGTCCTATTACCCAGTACGATAAATTGATTAGAAAATTATTACTTCTCGAAATATTGAATGATGAGGCTGAAGGACCTCAATGGAGGTCGATATCAAGTTGGTATGTACATATATACCAACGAAATACATATACTATTCCTATGAAGTAAGTCTCTCATATGTAGATATATATATATACGTTCAGTTGAATATTTTAATGTGGTAAAAACTGATAAATTTCAACCAATGAAACATACTTTTATTTGGTGTGGAACAATTTCACTTGTACAAGAGTGGTAGGTAATAAGTAAGTGATAAATAAACAAATAATATAGCAACAATAACAGCTGATTTCAGTTAGGATAAATAATGAAGGTTTTCCAAGACATACGGAAGTAGTTATAAATGGACTTCAGCGCCTCGACTCACTATAGATTGCTGTTCACATTGCTATTTTCTTCTTCTATTTGTTTCCTGAATTCCTCACTCTCTTCCACGCGTAAACCTTGGATTTTAGAATATTCCTGCTCTAAAAATTCGATTCTCAAGTCTCTTTCTCTCAAAATATGTTCGAAATGAATTTCATTATCTATTATCTATAGTTTTTCGTTTCTTGTTGGTTCTAAATTGGAATAAGGTTCTTTTCAATACTCGCTTAGTTTATACATTGTGGGTTCGGCTCTTTCTCTCAATACGATCCTATTCTTCAACATAAAATCTTTCGTTCTGAAGTGTACCTGATAAAAATATGCGTTGAAAAGTGTTCTATATCCTACAATTTGAATACCTCGCAAATTTTGTGACCTGAACCTATATTCCATGCCGGCCGCATCATATTCTGTATCCATTTTTGTAGAATTACGTTATCCGATGAAAATTCGAATAGAGTCAAATCGATTTCCCGTGTTCTCATAGTTAGAAACTGCACGAACTTGCATCTTCCTCCTAATTCTCTCAATTTGACAAACCTTTGAAATTTATGTCATGTACGTCCGTGTACTGCCAGTTCCCTCTTTTTCCATCAATTTATTCGTGGTTATGTCTGATTGTCAGTGCTTGTCATAGTGTCCGTACTCTAATATACAAAAAACGTCAAAACAGCAGTGTCAAGTACATTTAGGAACTCTAGCTTGAACTAGGCAACTGGTAAAGAAAAGTGTAAACATTGGCTGTGTCAAGTCATTCGTTCGACCACAGTGGTGATGCCAGGATGGCCAATGGTTGATTCGACTCCCATCAAAAGTTGACGTGGTAAAGTTGTGGGCAGGTTTGAAACGTGACCGATATTCCCAAACAGCTGGTTGGTCAAACCGACGGTCAGACTTCATACTGAACGTATGTGCCCGGTCAAACCACAGACTTGACACAGCCATTGACGCACAATTCGCAGCCTTTCCATTTTTCAAAGCCATCTCTCTAACTCATTTGAAACTTTTTCAAGTGTGTGTTAGTGCTTTATAAATGAAATGTTAAATGCTATGAGTGTGAATGGCGACCTCTCTCACAGGCAAGAACAACTACAACCCGCCCGACTTCGACCTGACCGCCCCGCACGCCCGCTTCTTCGTCATCAAGTCCTACTCGGAGGACGACATCCATCGCAGCATCAAGTACGAGATATGGTGCAGCACGGAGCACGGCAACAAGCGGCTGGACCAGGCGTTCAGGGAACGGGACGCCGACGCCTGCATCTATTTGTTCTTCTCGGTGAACGGGTCGGGGCACTTTTGCGGCATGGCGCAGATGGTCAGCGCGGTGGACTACAATTCCAATAGTTCGGTGTGGTCGCAGGACAAGTGGAAGGGACAGTTCAAGGTTGGTCGGGTTTCCTTTTGAACTCTAATTCGCGAGATTCACGAAGTGGGCGACATCTAGGTTACATAATACGAACTTCAAACTGGGGGAAAACAAACTGTTGTCTATGGATAAAGTGCATAGACTACATTGCATACATCTTGCTGTAGCTGTAGTTGTCAAACTTGTCAATGACATAAAGTGTTATCACTCTTATCAGTACAAAGTACACAAGCTAATGGCACTAATGGAATTAAGTGAGGATTGAGTTTGTTTTTCCCCAGTTTTGACGTGGCTTTGAAATGGAACGATGAAAACCGAGCGCCACCTGGTAACATTGATTCCCGCGAATAGCGTTTTCCACTCGCCGATTTACAGAGCGCACTAGCATAGAGCAAGTTTTTTTTTTGTCTAAATCCTTTATGGACACCATATTGGTCCTTATCCCCCATATGATAGTGTGGACTCCCCTGACTCTAGCCAGGGTTTACCCACTAAAAACCACCCCGTTTGTAGGCTCGTCTGACCATGTCTCCGACGACACTTAGGCCTAAGGTGGCCCATTGTATCTTACCTAATGTTCTTTATTGTGCCCACTCCATTATCTCTGTACCTTGAACAAGTCTGTACAAATCCTTCACTGGATGTGAGTTGAATATTTCTGGTTCGCCAACTGGTTGCCCAAAGATCTTCTGTCTTCTGCGGTCCAATGCCTCACATCGGCACAGTATATGTGCTACAGTTTCTGGTTCCTTGCCACATAGTCTGCAGCTTGGGTCGCCATTGTACAGTCCCATTCTGGCGAGATGCTCCTTTACTGGCGCATGGCCAGTCATGAGTCCCGTCACAGTTTTTATCTGTGCTCTGTTCAAATTGAGCAGGTCTACAGTTCGTTTATGACTTGGTTCCTTAATGTATTGTTTCCCATGTCTGTTTCTTGGGATGTTTTCCCAGTAGGTCTTATGTTTTGCCTGAATCCAGTCTTTAACTGACACTCGTGCTGTACGTTTTGGTACTCCAAGAGTCTGTCCTGGATCTGGCTCGTTGTCCGATCCTCTTCTTGCAAGTTCGTCAGCCTTCTCATTGCCAGCGATCCCCTGATGACCTGGCACCCAGATTAGCTTGACGCAGTTCCGGTCGGCCAGAGTTCTCAGTTCCCTCTTGCAATCCCATACCAGTCGAGATGTCACTTCCTGGCTTTCTATTGCCTTAAGTGCCGCTTGACTGTCTGACATAATACGGATCTGCTCGTTTTCCACAGCAGCATAGAGCAAGTACAGGGTGGGCAAAATTGGGCGGTTCCATAGGCTATCTCAGTAACTGGAGGAGTTATCAAAAAATCGATTACGGGTTCGATTTTAGGGAAACCTCAAATGGTACAATTGGAATTTTGATATCTTCATTCGTTTCAGAGATACAGGGGGAAATTGAAAAATTGCCGATTTCGTTTTTATTTTCTGAGTACTTCATGAAGAGAGATATTGAAAAATTTCAAATTTTCATCCATATAGAATTATGCGTAGATTCCATTGGCATCATCAGAAATTGTATACAGGATGACATCAAGAAGATACGGCAGTCAATTATTTTTTTTCTAATGGAACACCCCGTATATTTTGGCACAGTTGGATAGTCCTAGGCATTCCATATTCAAATATATATATTACCCTACCTTTTTCTTCGACAACTTTAAAAATATTCGCAAAAATATACTCAGTGTGTCACATTTCTCATGGTTGCACCTCTGTATCTTCCGTAATAATCATTGAGGTAGGATTACGACATTCGCAGCTGTGAGAGAGATGCCAATGATACACTCGAGGATCAAGTGGGATCATCTCCAGTGATAACACTGCTCGCCAGCAGCTATGGAATCACCGACATCTCTGGAAAATGCTATAAAGAGGCAGAATATAGGTTGAAAATGATACTCTGTATATATGAACCAAAGTAGGAGAATAAATATCATTGAAAATGTGATTCAAATATTTTATGTCACTAGTGCTGGATTGTTCAATAGGCATATGAACACCACGGGGCTGATCATAATCCTCGAAGTCATCATGATAGTAGGCAACAGGGAAGGTTTGGCTTCAACATAAGTTGTTTTATCAACGGATACAGGTTGGCCTACGTTATATTTGAGGAAAATTTGAGAGTGGAAAACTATATAAGGATAGATTACCGCATATTTATTTCAAACAGAATGGATTTCCATCCCTAATGCCCGTAGAGTAACCGATATTCTGAATATAAAATTTCCACAAACATGGATTGGTACATATTATGGACCGATTCAATGACCCCCTCGTGTACCCGACTTGTCTCCATTGGTTTTTTTCTTATTGGGATTTCTAAAAAATCATATATATATCGTCGAGATCATCAAAATGCTGAGGAATTGCGTGGAAGACGACATTTCAGCATTCCAAGAAGTGAGACCCATTCATCTACCCAACGTAGTGAATTCTGTGAGGAAACGATGTTTTGTTTTGCTTAGGCCAAAACGGAAAATTTGAACATCTTTTATAAAGCATCATTTTTTCATGTAACCTACTAATTTCCAAATTAATAAATTATTTGTAAAAACTTCACAAACGATAAAATTTTCACAACACGGCATGTTTCACTAACACAGTAGCTTGGTCAGGTGATATACTGGTACAATGAACTGTTCAAATGAAAAAAGAAGGTGAAATTTGTAACTTTATAGTAAAATATCTCAATAAACAATGGTTTGTTCACATTTTCATTATCAAATTCGTGTTTTTCAGACAAAAATACGTAAGTACCAACAAAAATTGTCGAAAAAAAAAACTCGCATGATAAATGCAGTTTTACCCTTAAAAATTACTGTTTCAAGTCTAACGACCAACAACAGGAAATTGAAAACACTCACTGGCTAAAATTTTTTAGGTAATAGGAATTCTCCAAGCGAAATATAGGTAATTATAACAAACGGCATGTCTATAAAGATAAAATACATACTCCACAATTTTCTTTCGATCAATCTCACGATAAGTTTATGTTCTGCGGGCCCTGTATAAGTAGGTGTGAAGTTTACTTACCTTCACCACAATTTTTGCCAATATATTTAATTCGAATGGGATGCTGTAGGTGGGTATTTGTGTTTTATTCCGGTTTTTGCTTTGAAACTTCGTTTTCCATAATAAAATCGAATGGAATGCGAAGAAGGGCTCAGTTGACGACTGGCATCCCTTTTTAACCGCAAGCCCTTCAAAAAAAACCAGCAAAATCGGCTCAATAATGATCTAAAACTAAAATTAAAATACGCGGTCGCCTCATAGCGCCATAAGCGCTTTTTTTTTCGAGCCGCTGGTTCGGCCTCTCTAAGGTGACGTCACCACGGAGCATGCAGGCCTTATGAACTGGATCGAATTTGTCTAGGTACGATGGGTGTACGTGAAAGACGTCCCCAACGTCCAGCTGCGGCACATCCGGCTGGAGAACAACGACAACAAGCCCGTCACGAATTCCAGGGACACGCAGGAGGTGCCGCATCCGAAGGGGGTGCAGGTGCTGCGCATCATGCACTCCTACCGCCATTCGACGTCCATCTTCGACGACTTCGTCCACTACGAGAAGCGGCAAGAGGAGGAGGACAGTCGCAAGGCAAGGCCATTTTTTTTTAATTGAAAGCTTTTGAAGACGATGGAACATCGCATCTGATATCGAAAACCGCATGAAGATCGGTCAATTTTAAAAAAAAAATACAGGTCTTCGAAATAGAGTCAAATTATGAGTGGTCCATTTAGTGTTGAGAACTGTATTTCATGAAAATTCATCTGAATGAAACTTCCCTCATTTTTTATCGCTTTCAATATTATTTGTAGGCACCGCCCATGAAGGAGCCGATGCACGAGGGAGGCGGCGGTAGGGACCACAGGGACAGGGGGGAGCACCGGGGGGGCAGGAGCCACGGCCATGACAGGGAGAGGGGAGAGAGAGAGGAGGGTCACAGGGGCGGCCACAGGAGTAACGACCATCACGGCGGGCACAGGGTGAGTTCGTTGCGATTGATCGAAATTCGTGAATTTTATACATACAGGTTGTCTGTAAAAGGTTGGGACATGGCTTGACTGTGGACTCCTGGGATAAAAACAAGTTGATTTTAGCCAACTTACTTATATCCAAAATCGTTTCGTTGAGTTGGTACAAGGCGTTAAAGTGCTCACCTTAGGTCCTGAACAGTTATCGCTAAATTTATAACGCGAGAGTTCTTGTAAAGCCCGCGAGGACCAGCAACATATCAGTTTATTTACAATAAGAATACATTGTAGTCATGATCAATGAACAGTCTGACTAATTAGATTAATTTAAAAAAATGCACAGGTCGCATCATATCAGAAATTATTTATTGGAATGGAATGCCAAACACTATGCCGCTCGGACCTAAAACTAAGTATCAATATGAAATTCGAATCGTGAGACGAACATGGAAAGAAGAGTCTGCATATTGTTTTCAACATTCGTTAATGAATACTAGAGTCCCTGTATGTATAATGCTCTGTACATATTTGTCAGTTTTGTTGTAATAAGAGTACGGACACTATGACAAGCAGTGACGGAAGGCATAACCCCGAATTCTCAAAATGACTTTTGAACAAAGACATGGATATGCTTTTCCATGCACTTCGGATCTTCTATCCTCTACTGCCGCGGTGAAGGGTACATCCATATATCTTTCTCTGTCTTTATTTTCATAAAGAAGTGGCGTCTCATCTCACTGGCGAAAAGGGGTCATAGTTTGTAAATCAATTTGTTGAAAGTATTTCTCGATATACTTAACAAAGGGTATATGTACTTCAATTTATTTGATTTTAGGATGCACTAGTTTTTCAATAGATAGAGTCAGGATTTAGTAGCCAGTTCTGATGGGCAGAATGTAAATGACATTTTAATTTTTGGTAACCTGAATTTTCAAATAATTTAATGTCATGTACGTTCATGAACTGTCAGTGCCCGCCAAATTGTTCATGTCATTTCAAATTTTTTAGGGTTATGCCTTCTGTCACTGCTTGTCATAGTGTCCGTACTCTTATTACAGCAAAAGTGTCAAATACATACAGGGACTCTAATGAATACGAGGCTGACAGATAAGCAACAATTTTCTCTGCGATGAAAAACACTATATATACCTAACCCATCTAGCGTCTGCTTCCTTTGCAGAGAGGGTTCATGAACGCAAAGTTGGTACTCTCTCCTCGTAAGGGTACCTGTTGTGTTTCCATAGAGACATGGTGAATATCTGTCTATCTTCCGTACGAACATGGTGATCTGAATTTAAAGAAGTATACTCTGGGAATTTTTCTCTGTGGATCGTTCCTTCGGTTCGGCTTGACTGGATGGCTTTCTCGGATTTTGTTTCAAGTATCAAACACTGTGCTTCTCGGATCTGCAACTGCACATTACATGTCAGATATTGAATTATATGAATAAAAAATGTTCATTGTTAGATGCTGTACATACATAGATGTTGAATTAAAAACTCCCCTGAATATTTTTGCAACGTTCTTAGTTGGATTGCAACATATAAGTTTTGTTTCCGAATAGAAGTTTCCTCAGTAGGCTTCATCCACATTTCCACTTAACGTGATTTATAATAAAGACCTGGAATACCAAACACTGTGCTGCTCGGACATGAAACTGAGTATTAATTTGAAATTTGTAATTTGTATCGTGAGACGAACATGGAATGAAGAGTCTGGATATTGTTTTAACATTCGTAACTGGAATGCGATATATTTTTGTAATTTATCAATTAATCAACTATCTCAATGAATACGAGGCAGGCAGATAAGCAACGATTTTCTCTGCGATGAAAAACACTGTATATACCTAACTCTCTAGCGTCTACCTCCTTTGCAGAGAGGGTTTATGAACGCAAAGTTGGTACTCTCCCCTCGTAAGGGTACCTGTCGTGTTTCCATAGAGACATAAAGGTGAATATCTGTCTATCTGTTTGCTTGAGAACCTGGAAAAGAAATCAATATATCGCCTTCCGTACGAACATGGTGATCTGAATTTAGAGAAGTATACTCTGGTCATTCTTTCTTTGTGGATCGTTTCTTAGTTTCGGCTTGACTGGATGGTTTTCTCGGATTTTGTGTCAAGTATCAAACACTGTGCTTCTCGGATCTGCAAATTAACATCACATATAAAATATCGAATCATATGAATCGGCTTTCGTGTTCCTTTTATAACTATTGATCCACTATCCATTGACATTTAATTGGAATAACTACAGGGTATGGTTTAAGATTCAGAATTCTGATCACCCTGTATCTGTTCCAATTGAATGTCAGTACATAGTGAATCAAAAATTAAGACAGGTACATGGAAGCCGTTTTGACACAAAAGAATCCTAAAATTGATGAATCTCGATTTTGAACACTCTATATCTCTGTAATCATCTCCGCTAGACCCCAAGAGTGATGCATTGATGAAATAAGATCTTCATGGAGAATATTTGAAAATTCGAATTTGCTGCTTTTTCCCAGTGGAAGCGGCAACGCATCGTTAAAAATATAGCAGACGTGTAGATCATGTAAATTCAAACATATATAATGAAATTTTTAGATCCGTATAATTAACGCTCATCGTGAAAACAGGGAAACTGGACGATGAAAAAAAAATCCTAAAATGTGATAAAAGGTGCCCTCTAGTGAGCATATTCGATTTTTCAAATTTCAGGAATATAGCTAGAAAAAGAAAGGAGAAATGGGGTTATACCATGACTCTGTGTCAGTATATCACTCATAATAAAATGATGAAAATAACACTCACCAGTGTGAAAACAAAATGAATTTGTATAAAATTGTCCACTTCTGCTATTTCATTGTTTGAAATTTTTTATTTATCACAGCAGGAAACTCCAACACAACACACGATCGCGATTATGTAATCACTGATTTGAATGAGAAACACAAAAACACGATACTATCACTCATTTTTTAGTGAACACCCTGTTTGAAATTATTCCTTTCGCGTATTTTTCAATTCCTGTCACAAAATTCGACCGTTCGTGATGGCGTCTAATATGAGACTGTCATTAACCAGTGATCCCGAATGAATGACTAATATGTTGAATCATGCTGCTCACCGATTAATTTCCGAACAAATGATTCATCTATGATCGAGTCTATGACTAATGATGATAAGGAAATCATACGGGGGAAAAATATATACAGGGTGTTTGGTTCACCGACGTATATCTCGGTGGTATGTGATGTGAAATATTTAAACATATTCTCTATTATACAAAGTGTTACATTTTTAAAGAAATCATCGCTGTAATAAATACGAAGTTGTATGTTACAGAAACTCGTTTTTAAAATTCTGACAAGCCAAAAAATTTTTCATCACATTTGTATCCCATTACTTGTTCAATATCTATGAAAATCGTATCCAACTCTTGAAAAAGAAGAAATTACAATCAGATGAAATGTTCGACCAAATGGAGATATCTCAAAGTTCGTAACACTTTGTATAATATTTTATATGGTTAAATATATTCGAAATGTTCTTACCTATCAGTCCCTTCCAGATAGACGTCGGTGAACCAGACACCCTGTATAGTATACAAAATACCAGATGATTACCAAACATGCACCACCTTTCAGCACTATTTGTATTTTGGTTATGCAATTCATTAAAAAGATTCCCATATGTTGCACACTTAAATGACCACACTGTATATTACCAGTAATACAATTGTTGATATTTCTTCTAGGATCGTGGTGACAACAGCAGGGGGCGCGGAGGAGGCAGAGGTGGACGCAACTAGGTCCACATTGAATTCCTAAACCAACACATTGTTATATGGCTGCTGTTCATTAAGTGTTATTCTCTAAATGGCTTGTTAACGGTATATTTCACAGACACTTGAAAAACAACAGATTATCGGTCGATAGTTACTCTCGGTTCGCTTGATAAAAACAAATTCACACACACAAACATCCCCTCTTTGGTTTCTACAATGTTTCTCCTCGTATGTCCGGTCGATCTAAGGTGAACGCTCCGATATCTGTTCTGTGGGTTAAACTCTTTAATATTGGTTCGAAACTATTAAAAGGTATATGGATTATAGTAAAATAGTTGTAAAATAACAAACTGGCTCACTATTCGGATCCAGGATCGGTCAGTAAAATATATTTAAAAAATATAGTGCAGTGTTTCCTTCGTTTTGCTGGTGCAAATGACGTAATAAATGAAATTTGTAATATAATGGACAACGCAACTAAATAGTTAAATTCAAATAGTGTTGATTTTCCGGACTAATTTTCACAGTGCTTGCGGGATAAACGGTCGGACGGAGTGATAAGTGAACGCAACAATCTTAGAACTATTAAAAAATTGGCAACATTTAGTTGATGATGAACACTGACGAATTTGTTTTATATTTGTTACCGTTTTACTTCTAGTGTGTCAGATCAAAATATGAACTTTGTGCACTACAAGGGTATATTTGTTGAGAATGAATAGTTTAACGTAAGACATCTGGATCATGTTGGGGATGCCATGCTTTCAGATTCCCTCTTCAAAAATAATAACATATACAGAGAAGTGCACAAAATACGGCCAGGACTGTACTTTTAAATCATTCAAGATAGGGTTTTGAAATTTAGTGGGTAGCAAGTATACCAAATTGCTCATTAATTGGTGAAACAATTTTTCTCCGGAAACCGGAAACGACCCCAACTTTTGATTTTTAAATGGGACACCCTGTATTGTATTCCGTAATCGGTTAGGGATTATTATGACGAATTCAACGATACCGGATTTGAAAGGGTTATTTCAAACGATTACAAAGATATTCGCGTTTCAAAGTTATCTGCGTAATCGTTTGAGATAACCCTATCAAACCCGGTATCAATGAACTCGTTATGACAATCCCTAACCGATTATGGAATACAATACAGGATGTCCCATTTAAAAATCAAAAGTTCAGGTCGTTTCCTGTAAAACCGGAAGTGATGGAACAAAAATGTTTCGTTAATAAATGAATTGCTCATACTAGCTGCCCACCAATTTTCAAAACCCGAATAATTCGAAAGTTACAGTCCCGGTCGTTGTTTGTGCACTTCTCTTAAATTTGGTAAATCTACCAATAATTACAAAAAAAATTCAATTGTAACACCACCTTTCAAAATCTTGAAATCAATATTTGTTTTATTATATGCTGATGCATTCTGATTTTTCCACTTCCACTAGTTATTAAAAAGAAATTTTGAATTTAGTGGTGTTGAGTTTTGATTTTTGAATATGTTATTGAAATTGAAAATGTTCAATATTGTTTCTTGTTTCATCTTACCTGAATCAATTAAGGAATTACATTTTTCATTTATTTATTTGGTGGAATTGAAGTGTGGCATCTCTAACTCTATTGCATGCTATGTTCTCATTATTGTTTCCTTTTCTAAAAAAAAATGTAGAATCATATCTTGAGTGGATTGCTGAAGTTTTCCCCTTATAGTAAGAATTGATTTAATTATATAGGAAGATATACAATTTCCGGACTATTTTCGGACCTGCTCTGTATTTTATTCAATTCCTACTTAATTTTTGCTACATATTTTGGAATTGAATATAATGTATAGCAGTTTATTGATTGCTTAGAAAATCGAAGAAACTATTTATGAAACTCTCAAAATATATACCACTTTGTTTGTGGATCAAAATGTTATATTTTTTTGATGTATACATTGTGAGTCCAAAGTATCTCCTCCTCCACAACTTATAGCGTATTCGACTGGCTGCACTATTGCGCATTCAATTTCCATTTTTGTCTTGCTTGTGTGTTCGGCTGGTATGCACTCAGATAGTACCAATATTTTTTCTATTCGGCTGAACAAGCACCAATCAAGGGTAGAAAAGAATTTATGTTGGATTGGTAAAAGCGCTTGTTGTTAATTCGTATGTTTTCACACAATAATTTTTAACGGTGCCAAAGTCACGGGCTGCAAAATGCTCGAAGATATTGAGTGCTAATTACATTGTTATGTTCAGAATTTGAAATGAATGTAATGCAACTATCATCAATTGATTTCCTATTGTCGGGCAGCAGTGATAGCAGCCAAAATAGCAATAATTATATTTCTGAATTCATAAAATCCAAAGTAGGATGAAACCGGAAAGCAGAAATTTAATGATACTTAGAAATTGCGATAAAATATTGGAATAGGAAGTATTTGTAGTAAATGACAAAATTGCATTATACCCATTACTATATACACCTGATTTCCATTACTGTATACACCTCTGATTATCACAAAATTTCTCCATACTTATATTATGCCGCAAATAATTCTTCTTTCCATACTTCGAAATTTAAGATATAATTTGACAATTTGTCAATTTTGCAGTAAGATCTTTCATTAGATCCAGCTTGATCCAGCCTTTAGGATCCAACAGCACGTTGTCCTAAACATACCAGTCGAATATTCATAATGTCAATATTGAAATTCATCCATACAGGGCAAGAATAATTCGAATTATCTGCTCTACATTGTTTCCAGCTAAACGAATTCTGTCCGAAGTCATTGCAGTGATACGCATTTATACAATGTCAGTAATGCCATGTCGAATACGCTATTGATTACATCAAGCAAACTATTTTTTGGCTCTTCCCATTTTGGTCTTAGAATCCGTGGTATATATTTTGTAGAAATCTTAGGAACACCCTGAAGGAACACCATGTGTTTCTTCCTATTTAAATGGTTTTTGTTTTTGTTGAAAGGCCTAAACGTTTTTGAAAATGTATTGAAATTCAAACTCACTGCAGACTGTGCAGTTATAAACAATTTTGTAAATAGTATGATGTATTTTGGAAATGTAAAAATGTGTAAATTGACCAAGAGGCTAGCGACTCTCTGACTTTGTACAATTTTGTTCCGGAAAGGGCGAATTTTGTAAAAATTAAATATCCTTAACGCAATTCAATTTGAACATGGCATGTTGGTGTTCAGATGTCCAAATGTACACTGTGCCTAATAAGTTAGACTGAAGCACTCACACAAGTGTATTGTTTGTTATGCTGATTTGGTAGTGCGATCCGAACTGTGGCCATCTGTTGATAGCTACATCAATAAATGATCAATATTATAAAATTTATTTTTCACGTTTCATTTATAATGTGGTAACAACGGTTGGTATGCCTGATGGGAAGCAGTGGGAGGAGGTCATCTCCAACAATATCTCAATTTCAATTATTGATATGCAAATCAGTTCAATTTTCATTGTCCAAGTCCAACTAGTTAGTTTTATACAGGGTGTTTTTGGAACTGGAGCTATAAATGAAATAGAGTGTTGTTTGACATGATAAATCGCCAGAAGCATTTTTTTTGTAAAGGGAACACTACCCTAATACCACGCAAAATCCTAGGGACGTCCCTATTTGGTACCGAATGTCCCGGACCTAAGATAATTGTCCTTGGGACGTCCCTACTTGTACATCTCATGCAATATGCGAGCAAGAACGTCCATGGAATGTCCCAGCTGGTACCTCATTTATAATGCCCTAGAAATTGCCTTCTTTCAGACGTCCCACGTGGTACATATTGTAGAATGTCCATGCTAGGACGTCTTTAGCATGTCCCAGAGGTACACTTCTTCACGGACGCCCTTAATATTTCCAGGATCGTATAACATTCGAAATGTAAAAGGAAAAAAACTCCTATATAGATAATCCATATGTTATTTAAGTAAAATGAGTTCCAGAATATTCCCAGGAAATATAATTCCATAAGATATCATGAGTACAACGTCTCATGGTCGTCCTCAGAATGTCCTGCATACTATTCGGAATGTGTCATAAGGGACATCCATCGGTGGTATACATTGGCATCAGGACTTCAGACATCCTATATAAATGTCCTAGAAATAACGTCGTCAAGGTCGGTACGTTTAATATGTTGTTCCTGCGAAGACATTAACTTACGCCGTCGATGTCCTGTACGAAAGTCAATTGGACATTCTTGAGAAACTTCTTTGATGGGACCTCTTGGGAACCTTCTTCAGAATCTTTTGGCACCTTCTACAGACCATTAACTCAATTGGATGTCCTCATCAGTTATGCAACATCTTGTCCTAGGAAGTAGTTATCCCAGTGTCCTCAAATGAGGACAGCAATGTATGTTCCAAGGTCTGTACGTTTAATATGTTGTTCCTGCGAAGACATTAACTTACGCCGTCGATGTCCTGTACGGGAAACTTATTTGATGGGACCTCTTGGGAACCTTCTTCAGAATCTTTTGGCACCTTCTACAGACCATTAACTCAATTGGATGTCCTCATCAGTTATGCAACATCTTGTCCTAGGAAGTAGTTATCCCAGTGCCCTCAAATGAGGACAGCAATGTATTTTCCAAGGTCGGTACGTTTAATATGTTGTTCCTGCGAAGACATTAACTTACGCCGTCGATGTCCTGTACGAAAGTCAATTGGACATTCTTGAGAAACTTCTTTGATGGGACCTCTTGGGAACCTTCTTCAGAATCTTTTGGCACCTTCTACAGACCATTAACTCAATTGGATGTCATCATCAGTTATGCAACATCTTGTCCTAGGAAGTAGTTATCCCAGTGTCCTCAAATGAGGACAGCAATGTATTTTCGAATATTTCGAGACAGTCGGCAATAATTCTGGTAAAAACATGTATGCGATGTCAGAATAATGCGATTATCAGCTAAATGAACGGTAGTATTTGAATCAAAACCCGTTCGTCCTTTTTCAAATCGATAGAAAGAAATATATTACAACACTTAAACCTAACAAGACTAAGTAATAATAGAATACTTAATAAAATATAATATTATCTACACTTCCGATATTGATACAATACAAAACAGCCCGCATGCCGGTCGCTCCTAACCCTACTTTTGCCCGGTGGGCAGCAACAGCTGCGTCGTCACCATGGCATCCGGAAACAGCGAATGGTAATTCAGCAGCATGACCCTGCCTGCGAACCACCGGCCGTGCAGCGTTTAGGAAAGTAGTTTTTTGTCGGAGAATGTATATTGATTTTCGCAAAATATTATTCTATTCGGTACTTTTGGATCGGTCTATCCCAGTGTCCTCAAATGAGGACAGCAATGTATTTTCGAATATTTCGAGACAGTCGGCAATAATTCTGGTAAAAATATGTATTCCACGTCCCAATAAGCCTTATAATCAGCTAAATGAATGGTAGTATTTGAATCAAAACCCGTTCGTCCTTTTTCAAATCCTTAGAAAGAAATATATTCAACACTTACACCTAACAAAACTAAGTAATAATAGAATACTTAATAAAATATAATATTATCTACACTTCCAATATTGATACAATACAAAACAGCCCGCATGCCGGTGGCTCCTAACCCTACTTTCGCCCGGTGGGCAGCAACAGCTGCGTCGTCACCATCGCATCCGGAAACAGCGAATGGTAATTCAGCAGCATGACCCTGCCTGCGAACCACCGGCCGTGCAGCGTTTAGGAAAGTAGTTTTTTGTCGGAGAATGTATATTGATTTTCGCAAAATATTATTCTATTCGGTACTTTTGGATCGGTCTATCCCAGTGTCCTCAAATGAGGACAGCAATGCATTTTCGAATATTTCGAGACAGTCGGCAATAATTCTGGTAAAAATATGTATTCCACGTCCGAATAAGCCTTATAATCAGCTAAATGAATGGTAGTATTTGAATCAAAACCCGTTCGTCCTTTTTCAAATCCTTAGAAAGAAATATATTACAACACTTAAACCTAACAAGACTAAGTAATAATAGAATACTTAATAAAATATAATATTATCTACACTTCCAATATTGATACAATACAAAACAGCCCGCATGCCGGTCGCTCCTAACCCTACTTTCGCCCGGTGGGCAGCAACAGCTGCGTCGTCACCATCGCATCCGGAAACAGCGAATGGTAGTTGAGCAGCGGCACATAGGCGGCCGTGATGACCCTGCCGGCGAACCACCGGCCGTGCAGCGTGTTCACCGACGCCACCGCCGTGGCTATGGAGGGGCACTTGACGTACACGTTACCCTGCGGCGAGCCCTTGTCCACGTACACGTGGAACACGCCGCCATGTTTGTTGCACTCCTCGATCACGTCGTCGCGGATCTCGGTGTCCCAGGAAGGGTTGGATTCCCTGGAACGCGGAACAAATGGAATCAAATTTATTTCTCTGCACCCACACATGTTATCATTTATATTTATAATCCAATTTCTTCCATCATAATGAAAATAGCCTGGGACCGTATGTTTGAGTTTGCGTGATAAATTTCGAACGTGATATTTGCATCGCGAAAAATTCGCATGCGATACTCTTTTCGTGCGATATGCTATTCCCGAACCGAATGCGATAAGAGTTTATTGGTTTCGAAGGGTGTGAGGGATGTCTTAGCTTTGGTCACGAATTCAACCAATAGCTGAAAGGTATTTAAATCATATGACTTGACTCATCACATTGTCAACTTACTGTCAGTTTTCTCTGCTTTCAAATCTTTCAATTTGAATTTGTTGTTGAGAAGATTGTTCAAAGAATATTGTAAAATCTTCTATAATAATAATAATGAATATGAATGAAACGAAGGAGAAACGTGCCGGTTATGTCTCCGCGGAGCAAAAAAAAAACAAATTATTTACTTTAATGCAAGATCGACCAGCATTATGTAGAGGTCGGTTCTCCACAAGTTTCTCAAAAAAAGATGGCCAAAAGGAATGGTTGAACATTGCAACCACATTGAATGGAATTCCTGGTGGGAAGAAAAGTATGAGATCATTTTTAGGCGGTGCAATGATTGCAACATAGGTTAACTTACTTTTGTCTCAATATTTATAACTGACTTTCTGCTTCCCTCCTCTATATAGGGAGCCACTAGTCTAATTACTTCATGAACTAATTCTTTTGATAAACGAAACATTCTAACAAATTGTCCATCCAAGTTCGAATGCATTTATACGAGGGTAGAACGACCTTCGCTGTTCTGCTACGGCACCCGCAGCATTGTCTACTACTTCTGCAATAGCGATCATTGCAAGTTCATCAAAATTTATCTTTATATAACGAGTACAACCTGAATGTCAACAATGATTTGAGGTTAGGATTTATATCAATCCAATCGATAATTCTTATCGCATGCTAAATATCCGCTCGTTGTTTTATGGTCGATAATTATCGCTGGTGATATTCGAAATACCATTTTTGAGGTATCCTTCCATAAAGTGCAAAAATCGCATGTGATATTGAGAACTCAAACATAGGGTCCCTGTGTTGTTGGAGTCCTCCGAAAAATAACGATCAACTGAGGAGCACGAAAACATACAACACGGCTACCTCTACTGCCCTTGTCTCCTCCAGCTGGTTGAAATAAAAACCAATGACTACGTTCCCGGGTGACCTACTCATAGAAGTGTATGTTCCTTCCTCACAAAATATTAACAAAAAATCGGTACCAAGTCAAGCTGGTTGGAGAAAAAAACAATGACTACGTTCCCGGATGACCCACTCATAGAGGTGTACTTGCGTTCAATTCTTCTTCAAGAAATATTCATAACCTCACAGTGTCACATCACGGACGAAGACGGGAGACATGCGCAGTAGAGGGAACCGTGTTGTATGTTTACGTGCTCCTATTAACTGCTAGTACTTAGGTTATGAGTGTTTTATCTCAGAGCAATAGCACTTCATTTTGCTGATTTTTTGCGGAAAAAGCATGACATTCTGAGGACTTCTGTGAAGCCGCTGCCAAATTGATAATACAAGGGGACTTTTCGGATAAAACATCTCATTCAACTGGGCATTAACAGCTTATGACAGAAAATAGACATACCTTTATAATATAATAATGCACCCATGACAATATAATTCACTAATAATAATTATGAACTTACTACTGATTGTAACAAAATGAAAAATATGGATTACTTGAAGATGAACGTGGAGGCACCGCAAGTACTAGCAATAATCATTGTAAGAAATATCATTTGTCATTTTTGTTGCTATCAATAATTTTCCGGCTATTGTGTAACAGTTTTCGGTGTTTCAGTAACTCATTTAGTATTTTAAATATAATTCAAACTATTTCCTAAATAAATACGTTTCGGCAGTATCAAATCTTCAAAGAAGAAGTTACAAATATCATAATCAAATAACCTCACTTGACACTACAAAATGACGTATTATTATGTAACAATATGTGCGAGTTGATTTATTGATGCACATGCACACATTTACATAAATCCCGATTCACTAGGTATATGAGGAAAATCAATTATCTGGCAATGATTACACAGTTATCCCACCATACACAATTTCAATCATTTATCTGTTTGACGTTTAGGATTATTGGTGCATACTTTTTAATGATTAATGAATGAATATCTATTGTTATTTAGTCTGAGCACTCACCCGCAAATGTACAAGTGTCTGTCATTATCCCCAACATTCGGGATTCCTTTCATTTATCAGTGTTTGGCGCTTATAGGATTGATGGCATAAACTTTTCAATGATTGATGCATGAATCGCGGTGTCTTTTGTAATTTTAGTCTGAGCATTCACCCACAAATGCACAAGTATCTGTTATTAGCTCCAACATCCGTGATTTCATTCAAATATCAGTGTTTGGCACTTAGGATTGTTGGCGCATACTTTTCAATGCTTTATGAATGGATCGCGGTGTCTATCTATTGTTATTTAGTTTGAGCACATGTACAAGTGTTTTCTATTATCCCCACCATTCGGGATTTCATCCATCTATTCTATTATGAATATGTTTATTCTCTTTCAAGTTACGCAGTTGTGGCCTGGGGAAACTGTAGTAGAGTTAAAGAAATTTTATTGGCACAAAAAAGAGTTGTCAGAAGTATGTTTGGTAAACCTCCTCAGCAATCTTGACGGCCGTTGTTCCAGCACCTACTACTGTTGACTATGGTTTCAATTTATGTATTACAGTGTGCAGTTTATGTCAAAAAAACATATAGAAAATTTTCAGATTGTTGGCAATATGCAAAAATACTCTTTGAGAGACTCCGACAAACTGGTTATTCCCCAGCATAGGTTAACCCTGACTAATAACAGCTGTCACATCATGCCACTAAGGATTTATAATTACTTACCCATGAATATATGATAAATTGACAGTATTTACAAATTCAAAAGAAAGCTCAGGAATACTTGTAGTTGTGTGTTGTAGTCTTGTGTCATGTAAGTTTAATTTAAGGATTTTTTTATGACAAACCCAATGTCCTGTAAAGGAGACCAATACGGTGAACAAATGAATTGAATTAAGCCTGAGCTCTCACCCGCGGATGTACAAGTGTCATTATTCAAAATACATCAACAACAATGAATTGGGGCAAACAAAGAACAATATTTGTAGAACAGAGCAGCACATTGAAACTTACGTGGCGGGATCGAACATGTTGCTCAACATGAAACACTGCGTCGCTATCGGCGGCGCGCTGTGCTGCTGCACCTGCGGCACCACCGGCTGCCCGGTGGCCATGCTCAGCGCGTTCGCCGCCGCCTGCGGCACCTGCATGCCCGCCCCCTCCGCCAGCTTGAACATCAGCTGGAGGCGGCCGGTGGCGCCGAGGTCGATGCCGGAGCGGTCCAGTTCGTCGGTGTCGAGCAGCGAGGGGCCCTGCTGCTGCAGGTCGAGGCGCTCGGTGACGTTGCCGACCTTCATCGGCCGGCCGGCCAGCTCGAAGCCGTTGAGCTGCTCGAGGGCTTTTTTCGCGTCGTCGCAGCTGTGGTACTGGAGGAGAGATGATTCGTTTGTTCTTTAGTATTACATTTCATACGAATAACATATACAGGATGTTTTTTACCCTGTATAACTCACCGTTATGAACCCGTATCCTTTCGACCGAGCGGTCTCCGGATCTTGTATCAGCTGGATGCTGTCGATCTTGCCGAACGGCTCGAAGATGCCTCTAAGCATCTCCTCGGTGATGTTGAAGTGCAGCGAGCCGACGTACAGCCGCATCGGCCCCGTCATACCCTTGGGCAGCATGTTGGGCATCGAGTTGCCCATGCGGTTCTTCTCCGCTTGCGTGTGCTGCACGATGATCGGGATGCCCAGCAGCTTTTGGCCCGACAAGCCCAAGGCCTAACAGAGGAATGATTGAATTTTTATTACGCCTTTCGATACATTTTACTGATGTTAATAAAGCACTCTAAGTTGGTGTTCTTTCCGGTGGAGCCGGAAGTGATGGGAGAGTATGAAATATCGCAAAATTCAACAATTATTGTATCCAACTTCCCTCTCAAGTACGATTGTTGTTCGATAATTCGGTGTAAAATATGTAATAAACAATCATAAATACAGTCCACTCATTACCAAAGCATCGAACATATTGGTCCTTCGAGCCGGATCAATATGTTCGATGCTTAGGTAATCCTCGGTGATGTTGAAGTGCAGCGAGCCGACGTACAGCCGCATCGGCCCCGTCATACCCTTGGGCAGCATTTTGGGCATCGAGTTGCCCATACGGTTATTCTCCGCTTGCGTGTGCTGCACGATGATCGAGATGCCCAGCAGCTTTTGGCCCGACAAGCTCAAAGCCTAACAGAGCGATGATTGAATTTTTATTACGCCTTTTGATACATTTTACTGATGATAAAAAAGCACTCTAAGGTGTTGTTGTTTCCGGTGGAGCCGGAAGTGAAGGGAGAGTATGAAATATAACAATTCTTGTATCCACCACCCCACTCAAGTTTGAATGTTGTTCGATAATTTGGTGTGAAATGTGTAATAATCAGTCATAAATACAGTCCACTCATTACCAAAGCCTCGAAGATATTGGTCCTTCGAGCCGTATTAATGATTGTTTAATAAAGTCGATGATACGAAGCCTAATGAGAGAAATTGCAATTCGATATGTAAATTCTCCCCGATTTTAATGATGAATCTCATGTTTCAACATGTTCATGTTAACAACAAATGAATATATCATCCTACAAACGGTAATACAAGTTCCAGACTACGAGATATGGGACATACAAGTAAAGTACTCCACAAATATTATACCTTCAGAGTTCTGGAAACTATGGCTTGTCAAAAATATACATTGGCACCATTGCCGCTTGGCAACGCAAGGCGATAATAATGGGCTAAGGAAAATACCTATTCATTAAGAAAATACATACCAATGCAACACTTTCCGGATCCTTGAACTCTATATACGCGATCCCCTTGAACCGCCTCGTCTTGTTACACACTATCATTCTGACATCTCTGACCTTTCCCACGGAGCTGAAGAAGTCTTCCAAGTCTCTGGCCCGTATCCTCTGCGATAGCTGCATCACGAACACCGTCCTGGCATCTCTTTCCTCGGGGCTGAGCTCCTCTAGAGGGGAGCCACTACGGATACCTGGATACAATAATTATTGATGATGGTGAGGGTCGAAGTTCGAATGTTTCGAACAAGAACGACAGTCTCATTTATTTTTCAAGATGCAGATAAATTGATTTTCAACCAAAATTTGACCATAATGAACAAAAAATACGTTGGACACAAGCATACATGAAATACAAGAACATTCCATTGCAAAATATATTCATCAATTCCTTTATTTTCTGTACTCACCACGAGGTGGCGACCGTCCTAGTTTCAAAAATGGGGGTTTTGCGGGGGAGGGGGACTTCTTTTTGATGATAGGACTCTTACGATCTCTGCTCCTGCTCTTCCTATCACGCCTCTTCCTGTCTCTGGACCTCGACCTACAAGGTGTTACAATCTCAATAGTTTAACAATAGGTGACTGACTAGTATTGAATTCTTGATATGCAAATACACACTGAGATAACAGACCTCCGAAGATTTTTACAACTTGGATTGTTTTACAACCTGAATTTTTAGAGGTCTCAATAATATATTTAAATATTTTGTTGTATACTCTATTATTGATCTATTATTCAAAATTATCAAGAGCAACACTTGATTCAAAATTCAAATTCAAATTCGTTTATGACTCACAACAGCAGCCATCTGTAAGATGTATCCACATAATGTTCATAAATGAACAACAACGGAAGATTTCGGGAGAAAAACAACTACTTTCCTGGCTAATACCTCGCAGAAAATTGAATTACACCCTCCCGAAATCTATGCATCGACTCGTATAAACGAATACTGTTACAAGTGATTGTTTCCTAAATGTCTATTGATTTCTATTTACCAGGCCACGTTAGACACCTTCAGACCGGTTTAGAGCTCTTTGACTCTCATCAGTGCAGGGCAGTCTCCAGCCAGCAGTCCTAAGACCGCCGACTAAGCGTAGCCTAGCCAAACAAAGCTCAAGTGGGCATTATATTCCCCCAGAGGCTTCTTTCATCAACAATATGAAAGCAACGCCATCTGAGTAGAAAATCAGGAGAGAAATACTTCAAAACTGAAATTCCCATACGGGAGTGGCTGGTTGCCCGACTGGCCACAATGCTCAAAATGGAATGAAATGTTAAATAAATACAATCATATATTATATTTCCAGATATATTTGTTCTAGAAATGACTGGAAAGGTCCATTCAGGCCCATTACCATCATCCAAATACTAAAACAAAGAACTCGAAAAAGACCTACCGCCTGTCCTTCGACTTGGACCGCCTGTCCCTCGACTTGGACCGCCTCACGTCCTTCGACCGTGACCGCCTCCTGTCCCTCGAGCGCACCTTCGGCGACCGACTGCGCTTGCGCTCTCTGCTCGGCCGCCGCTTGTCGCGCGACCTGCTCCTGCGCGACCGGCTCGGGCTGCGGCGCGACTTGCTCGGGCTGCGGCGGCGCGACCTGCTGCGACTGCGGCGCGACCGGCTGCCGCTGCGCCGTTTCTTGCTGCGAAACGCACGGAAGCGGTTAGTTAGAGTTTAGAGTTCTGCTTTGACGTTTTTTGTATACAGGATGTTGCGAAATTCGACCGACAACGCTTGACAGGTGATTGCCCTCGTGATTTCATGATCACTGAGATAGGAATGTATAGAGTCCCTTGATGGAAATTGACGTCAGGGTACGGACAGATCCTGGTCTCCTCTCACTCTAAGTGTTTGTGAAACAGTTATATAGTTCCATCCTCATTCAATTCTCGGGGATTAACCATATACGTATTAATAAACAATACGGATCATAACGGGTGCCAGGATGAAGCCAAAAATATGAAACAAATGAATATCCATAAGGATTTGTGGCATGATACGCATGCGCCATGCGCTATTATAGTAGTCATCAAAGACATGCGTTTCGGTGGACAATGACGTTTACTAGCCTTTCAATCAAAGCAGTATTTGTCTGATCGTTTCAAAACTTTTCCTTATGGATAGTCATTTGTCTTCAAAAATCGGCTTCATGTTTCGCTATGGAAACAGATAGAGATTATCCGTATTGATTATTAATACGTATATGGGATAAACACTAGATTTTTGACATTTGTTGTTTTTCATGTTATATTGAGGTCATTGGCGTATCATACGGAATTTCCATATGGAATTCCTGATTCAACTATACCAAGATATAGTTGAAAAATCCTCTAGTTTTAGAGTTTACTACTCCAGCATAATCTTTGCGAGGTAGGGAACATATAATTTGTACTAAAAGCTTAATATATTTCACCAAAAGAGACTGTTCTTAGACTGTATAACAGGGTTGACTGAATTGACTGACTGATTTCAAGCTGAGCAGTAGTTTATCTATGAGCTGAGACTTATGATTGAGAAATGATGAAAACTTCGATGTGGGTATCTAAACTATCATGTCATGTGTGCTAAATATATTTTCGGAATTCCAACTTGGAGAAGCATTTATGGAGTGACTGAATATCACACTATGTATAAAACTTCGTCTAGGACGAAAAGTAGGCTGATAAAAAGTAATACGTAAAATGTGCAGGAAAATAAAGAATAGAATATACTTTACCCCCATGTTATACATATGATTTTCCGTCTCTCTTAAATAAAAAGTCATTCTCAAATAATTTATTGATGAAAGTAACAAAGAAGTAGGTATACAGTATAACTTATAGCCTTAGTTTTGAGCAGTAGTTATTTGAATACTACTAGAAGTGAGTCCTAGTTGTTAGGTTAGGGGGGATAACATCGAGATGGAAACAAATTATTGGATATCATTTCACCGGGAATAAAGTGTCTATATTTCAACACCCTGTATCTTCGAAATGAATCTTCCTAACTACGGTTCCTAACTGCAGGGGGTGATTTGTTGGGTCATTTCAAGAAGGAAAGTTCCTATTAACATATGTCCGGAGTTGTTTCGTTTCTGAGATACAGGGCGTTGGAATTAAAGAAAAAAAAAACGGAAATTATAAAATATCATGAATATCCTGGAACCGATTTGGTTGAAATTTCGTACTTTTATTTGTCAAATTTTCTGAAATTTCAGCATATCAAGTGTCAATTAAATTTTTGGCGGAAATAATGGAAAACTCATTTCTCCAATGAAGGTGTTCATGATATGCAATACAGTGGCTTTGATTTTTTTCCTCGAAAACGAAGCTGGATATGAAGAAAGTGCAGGAGACCAAAAAGTTGTATTTTGAGTTGTTCAATCTAAACAAAATAAAAATTCACCAAAAAAAGTCAGTGGCGTACTTTTTTTTTTCACAATATTGTTGGCTGTGGTGCCCACTGAGACGCCACTGGCCCCAATAATTTCAATCTAAATAGGGCTAAATAAGCGCCTTATTAGTTCAAATGAAAGTACAAAATTTTAACCAAATCGGTTCTAGGATATTCATGATATTTTATAATTACCGTTTTTTTTCTTGAACTTCAACGCCCTGTATCTCAGAAACGAAGCAACTCCGGACATATGTTAATGGGAACTTTTCTTCCTAAAATGACCTAATGAATCACCAACTGCAGTTAGGAACCGTAGTTAGGAAACATCCTGTATAACTGTTGTTCTGCTAGAAGTGTATCGCTATAAATTGAAGTGGGTGTTTATACCCTATTTCTATTGTCCATCTACGGCTATAATTGATTTGACAGAAAAGATAACCTCTAAAATCGTATCTGACAATCAGGCGCTACTAGGGAAACTGAAGACAAAGAGCAGAATATATATTATGTCTTATTCTTTTATTAACTCAAACCATTGTATTATATAAAATAGAAATGGACAAAAGTTCAGCTGTGTCCGAACTCTTTTCGTGAAATTGAAGGTGCAAATTCGAGATATAATACCAACTATGTTTTAGATCGAAGAAGCGACGTGTTAGTAATCGACGGAAAAATTGGTTAAAAGAGGAAACCACACGAGAAACCAGCGACCGGTGATAAGTTTTTCATTCCTATTACGAATTAAATTGAATTAATTTTGTATATTTCTTCCAAATTTTATATCTGTTATGGAAGGCGATATATCATAGAAAATGTTTCGATAGTCACCTTTATGTCTCAATGGAGACACGACAGGTACCCTTACGAGGGAAGAGTATCAACCCTTGGCATCGGTAAACCCTCGTTGCAACCGGGGTAGGCGCCTGATAGGTTAGGTATATACAGTGTTTCTCATTAAGGAGAAAATTGTTGGCTATCTATTCCGTGCATTTTTTGAGTAATAGAAAAATATGTCGCGTTTCAGCAACATAATTTGAAGAAGTTTTCATATATATTTCAGTTTCTATAACTTTCATGATTTCAGATCTCAATATAATTCAAATTCGAGATTTAATACCACCAATGTTTTAGATCGAAGAAGCGACGTATTAATCGACGAAAAAATTGGACGGAAGAGGATACCAGACCAGAAACCAGCGGCCGGTAGTGAGTTTTTCAATCCTAGTACGAATTATTTTCAACTAATTTTGAATATTTCTTCCAAATTTTGATACAACAGTTTTGCATGTAAGCGTTCATAGAATCGCACTTATTGCTTTCATTCAATTTATATTTACTTTAGTACTGATAAGTGAGCCAACTTTTGATTGCACTAAATGATTTTCGAAAACATATAAGAAGAAAGAAATGTTGAAAAAGAATCTCAATTTTGTATGCAGTTAGGAATTCCGAAATAGGATTAACCGACGGATTAACAGAAAGGGTCGGAGACCGATTGCTAAGCTGGGGGTCGATTTTAATGACCTGACCACAGTATGGAACTAATAGGTACTACCCGCATTCATGTTCTGATCCAAACATGGGCGCCGTCCAAAAAACGTTCAAGGGGGGGCTGAATTCGTTCTTCCAGGGCAATAATCTGCGCGATTCATAAACAAACAAAAAATGCACCGCAGGTTAAATTTGACTGATCAAATTGAGATCAGAGTCACTTTTTTCACGGGTATCAACAGCCCAAAATTATTTATACTATTTTGTGTACATTATAATGCATAGTTCTACTGATAATAAGGGTGTACAATATTGAAAACTTGATAATCATATACAGGGTGTAGAAGGTGAGGAATTCTCGATTTCAATTTTTATTTAATTTCATTTTGTTTAAATTTTGCCTTGTCCTTTATTTCATGGAATCGACAGATATTTGAAATTTGGAACACCCTCAAGTTTTATTTTTTGATATTTTGATAACCAGTTTAGGTACAGATTTTTTACAATGATAAAATGAGTAGAATAACACATTTTCAACACAAAAACTATCTAGATTATTCCTGTTGCTATTATTAGAGTTCCTGATTGATTTCTCAGTTACACCATGCTAATGTGTGACATCAGACACCATAGGTGACGAATTTCTGATAAGAAAACTATGTATTATTTCAGTTTTTTTCCTAATATTTTGCATGTTGTAGCATCTAATTCACCTTGTATATTGATATTGAAATCAAACACTCTCCTGAGAATAAAGATTTTTGAATTGTTGATCTCTCAACAAAATGGTGCATTCTCACTCAAGTGTTTCACTTGAAAAATACTACCTATAAATGGCAATAAAAATAAACTAGTGTTGAACTGGATTTTCCTGACTAGCATGAATTTTACTGGTTGTGCTGTTTTGGATATCATGTATCTGTTAATTTGATGCCTATATTTTAGGAATAATATTGAAATCAAACTACTGTGAATTAAGATTTTTGAACTGTTGTAGATAATCTCTGAACAAAATGATGCTTTCTCACTCAAGTGTTCCACTTGAAAAATACTACCTATAGTGTTGAACTGGATTTTTCCTGACTAGCATAAATTTGACTGGTTGTGCTATTTTGGATAGCATGTATCTGTTAAGCTAATCTATATTTTAAGAATACCTATATGTGAAATTTGTGTACTTACTCAGAATATCTCCGTTTTGAAGTATCTCCATTTTCTTTAGGTTTCCCATTGACTTCATCCTATGAACAGCAGAAATGAAGAGGCCCAACAGATGGTGAAGAAAAACAAAAAGCATTAATAAAATTTGAAAAATAGACATGCAACTACCATTTTTTACAATGCAGCATTTTCATGCTAAACAATTTGCAATCATGTTTGAAATTTGAATTTTACAAGAGACAAAAATACCCATGATTGCAAACTCACAAATATCAGATTGACAAAACTTAAAGCTAAGGCTCTTTCACTGTAGTGGACTTGTATGAGGCATATGCAGGACAATTGTCTAGCCAGAACTAGACTTACCGCCTTGGTGACTTAACAAAGGATTGAAGTGGAAAAACTTGATCCAGATCATAACTTCTGAAAAAATACAGGGAATAAGATATGTTCCTCAAATAAATCATTACTTCTGACTTCAACTCTCATGGGTTTTGGTAAAGTTTCACTCATATGGCTAGTTATTTTTGATAAAATGTTTAGCAACAGTTCCTGATTATTTGCCCAAGCAGAATAGGAAAAATCACAAAGATGGACATAAGTGACCTAATATTTACCAATGTGTTTTTAAAGAATAAAATCATGTTGGAAATTCTTCAGAAATGTATCAAATACTTGGGAATATTTTGTTTAAATCATATCTCCACCATACTTTTTTTTATTGAAATTGATTTCTCAATTATTGATAACAAGTGCTTCAACTACTATATTAACCCCAATTATAAATTACTAAAAATGTTATGAAAAATTAGACCAGTCCAAAAGTGAAACAATACCTGGGTTTTGGCTTAGCTTTGAAATAAACTAGGTGAATTTCTATTCCAGAAGAAATAAAATAAATACTCACAGAAGGAACAAAAATAGAATAGGGAATGCATACACAAAGAAATGTAGGTGAGTATATTATTACCAAAAATTCTAGTTCCCAACTATAGTCTAGAATTATTCATAAATTTGAGTTTATTCAATGTATCCAAAACCCACAAAAATGTGCTGAAAAATTGTTTAAAAAATGAAGTATTTAAATTCATTACATTCCAAAACTCCACCTTGGGTATAATTTGTGCAGTGAGAGACCAATCGGTTGATTGGTCTGAGGCAGTGACGTTGCAATGGGATGTCCAACACAGCAGCCCTATGATGAGAAAGCACCTATGAGCTCAGGTATAGATATACTCTTAATTATTCATCTTTTTCCTGATCATTTTATCAAAATCTGACTCAAGATAAAAATAAATTTAGTGATTTGGAAATAACTATAACTCCCTACATAAAATTAAGCTTATACTATTATGTGTGTATACCTGTATTTTGAAGGAGCCGATAGCCCGAAATAAACCTCATACGTCTAAAATATAAAATTATTTTCTCATGTAGAAATTGTACAATCAAAACATTGAAGTAATACAAATGGCCGACTTCCAAGATTTTAGGTGTAAGTATTTAGAAAAATTGTTCAAATATCTGGCCATTTGAATTACTTAATAGCAGTTATGAAAATAAAAACAGATACGATTTCAATATCGCACAATTGGTTGATTACAACAGAAATGAGAACTTACGTCTTTTCTGAAAGGTGCTTCCAGCATTGCTTCTACATCGAGATCTTCGGCCATTTTGCTGAAACAAACAGGACGATTCGACTACTTCAAATCAGGATCTTTGGTACTTCTCTCACATCGATTAATGGACACGTACCTGGATGAAATTTAATAAAGTGAACTTCCGTAAACTGTATTTTCAGTTTTTAAGAAAGAACGAAGTCTTCCACGTTTTTAAATTTGAGAAATAATTACTTCATACACAATGAAATTCACTTGATAAGGATTTGTGATTGAAGTCAGAACGAGAATGTCAGAAAAGAGAAACAGAACCACAGTACAGAACTCAGATTGCGATTGCGCATTGCAGCAGTGCGCATGACAAGTGACAATCATGACAAGTGAATCATGTGACAGTGACATGAACGATTTCAGGTTTATGTCATTAAAGTTGAGTTTCATGATCAGACTTCATATTTTATTCAGGTATTTAGTATGCGACAAACGAATATGTTCATATCTCTCTTTATGAATCGTCAAAAATGTTATATTCGTTCTGAAGCAGTTTGTCACGTTTGTCTTTTATCATTTTCATGATGACTAAAATGGTGGTCATCATAAAATAATTAATGTTTATATTTTGTATATTTATTCGCTGATTTATATTATATTGATGCAGTAGTATTTGTTCTTATAGCAACATTTCAGTGTCACCAGTGATTTCCGATCAAATAGTGCCTAAGTATAATTGAGAAGTGAGTAGAACCAGAAATCTCAGCACTAATCAGCAGTAGTAGCAGTCCATTCAAGTAGTCTGACGCATTCGTACCGGCGCGCCCATTTCAATTTTTATCTCATTCACGGACACCCACTCATAACTCTTTCAGATGCTACATGTTTTGTTTCAGTTGAATTCCCAACCATGTCTTCTGATGATGAAAAACCTCCTGCGCCCCCTGTACGCTTAACGTCCAACAGGGGGACCGATCTAGTGAATAGTTCCATAGCAGTAGATAGGCCCCTTCCAAAGGAACCTGAAGACTTTGATAAAAAGAAGAAAAACCTCAAGTCCAAGAAAACTCACAAGTTATCAACCTATTCTTCAGACAAACCCAATATCTCTTACCCCACTAATTTTGAGCACACTGTGCATGTTGGATTTGATCCTGTGTCTGGAGAGTTCACTGTAAGTTACATACTTTTCTTTTATATTTTGTGTCTGTAGAGTAGAAGCTTGTTTTCTCACTTGATTTGTATTAATCTGATGAATTTGTTACAAGCTGCCCTTGAAAGTAAGTAAGAGGTTTTATGGAAGTGATGTTTTTTGTTTAGTTGCATTAGATGTAGATCCATTGTTTTTTGTATCATGTAGAATACTTTTTGTTTCTCTTGATCTAATTGAATGTTCTCCATCATCTAAATATGAAAGATGAAGTACTAAATTTGGTCTATGAATATTATGCAAAACCATCAGGATTCCTATTGGCACAAAGGAGAGAAATATCTCCATTAGGGTATATACCAAAAGGCCAAAATCTCAACCTTCAGTGCAGTAGGTATACAGAAATAAGAGTTGAATATTCTTAGTTCATCAGTTTATCAGATTCAAAAAAAGCAAAAGTAAAATAACTGGATTAGTCTAGAATTTGTCTTTCTTTTGATGTTTTCTATCAGTGAGTACTAATGTGTTTAAAATGTTTTTTTCATTGAAACAATCAAAACAAACAGAATATCCATATAATCAATAGAGTTTTTCCACAGAATCCATTCTTTTCATAGGCATGTTTGTAGCAGTTATGTAGTCTTCACATTTACATTTCAAAAGGGCACATATCCAATAGATATACATCATTTACTTTGGTAGTACAGCCTTACTCTCACTATTTTCATTTGAAATTCATTTTATGGAAGTACTCCAAAACACCTAATTCTCATCAATCTCAATATTTTGTTTGTTTTAGGGAATGCCTGAAGCATGGTCCCGTTTGTTGATGACCTCAAACATCAGCAAACAAGAGCAAAAGAACAATCCTCAAGCTGTATTAGATGTCCTCAACTGGTATGATAACAGTTCCAAAGAGCCCCCTAATACCAAGTACATGACAAAAACAGCCACGACTCATTCTGGTGGTGAGTACAGTAATATTACTATTATTACTCCTTAAGCAATACTTTTTATATATATTTCAGGTTCAACTTTGAGTAGAGTTTCAAGTTCAAGTCCTAGTAGTACTACACCCACTGAAGCTGAAGGTGGCCAGCAGTCTTATCATAGCCCTGTACATGTAGCTAGTTCAGAAATTGAAGATGAAGCTCCACCTCCTCCTGTTGCTAGCAGGCCAGAGCGTACCAAAAGTATAGTAAGTATGAATATTTTACTCTGATTGTATTGTGCACTCTCAAAACAAGAAAATTTTGTACTGAGAGTGCACCCACCTTTATTGTTTCAAATATAGCAGTTCAACTAGCATTATAAGAGAAATAAATGTCTTTCCCATCTCTTCAGTGTTTCCAACATAACATAATGTTTTCAATGTTGGCAACATTGAAAATGAGAAGAAATGGAGAAGATGACCATTCTAACCTTTTTTATATTGAGGTTAATATGATCTTCTCCATTTTTTGCCATTTCCAATGTTACCAACATAAAATTGCCATTATTTTACTTTGGAACACTGAAGACAAGGACAGATGTATTGATGGTACCATTTTGACATACAAAGTTGTGCAGCTGGCTAGAGTTTTTTCTTCAAATAAGCACCAATGAACCCATTTAAGTAATTCCTTTTGAATGCTTTTATGATTTTTTGCTGTGTTATAAATTTTAATTCTCAATTTCATTCAATATTGTATGGAATAAGACTACATTTTATGTACAGGGTATAATTTAGTTGATGTCTAAAATTATGAAATATGGTCATTTAAAGAAGAAACATTTATATGAACATGCCCCAAACCTCTTAAATTTCCAGCTTCCTTTCAAATTTTAAGAAAAAAATCGTTTTCTTATCATAACTTCAATATAGTTTCATATATTTTCCTGAAATTCTACATGCACCTACTAAGCACCAATGGGCATTTTTTGATGCAGGAGATTTTTCAATATTTCTACCAGTGGCGTCCATATGGAATGTATATTGGACATTTTTCTAAAAAAATATTGCACGCCCTTGCTTTTTCCAAAAATCGGAATTTTAACAACCCATAGCTTGAGCATTCATTCTCAAAATGAGCTAAGGAACCATATCCTATAGTTTTAGCCATCAATTGAATTGCATCCAATGTTCTCAAAGGTGGGGCATTTTTTAAACAGGGTGTAGAATTCATAAAAATAGGCAAAATTACCATAATTTGCCCATATAAAAGTCGCAAAATATTGGAAGTTCAGAAACTATTTACGGTCCTGGTATATTCACCATTTTGGGTGGTACAGGTCTTCCCACTCTTTCTCTTTGTTCCTTCTAACACCCTGTAGCACTGCACCTTTGCACCAAATGGAGGAAGGATTTCTCAAAGGAAATATTTCCCTGTACCATAAATCAAAAGTATAGGTCACGTGCACGATAACCGACGCTGGAGGTAAAATATTGAAACATAATCTTACTCTTCTGTGAAACATTGAAACACAACCTCACTTTTTTTATTCGTTCACAGAAGAATCAAGTTTTCACAATATTTTGGCATACGAATCGTGTTTTTTGCGCTATTCATTAATTCAAGCATGCCTTCTCATTGTGCTGTTTTACAATGCACAAAAAATGCAGCGAGAGACAAAGGAATAGTAATGTCACATAGTTTACATCATGCAATTTTGTCATTTCTTATTAAAATTCCTTCTGCCACTTCTGCAATAGAATCTAATACAGCTAAAGGATTGAAAATGTCTACAACACACACGATCATATTTCGTCAGCATGTCAGACCAGTCCTCCCATTTGATTACATGAATCCAATCTCCTTGCATTATGTTAAAAATTTCACGAGTATTTGTATTAGTTCCTATTGCAGAAGGAATTCCGATGAGAAATCAGAGAAATTACCAAATTTCAAAAATGAAAACTATATGTGAGTGACTATAGTAGGTACTTACTTTTAAATAATGTACCAACCGGATTCCTTCGTCTCTCGCTGCATTTTTGCGCATTGTACAACAACACAATATGCTTATGCCTATCATATGCCAAAATAATTGTGAAAAACTATTTCAATCAATTGTAAACAAATAAGAAAAGTGAGGTTGTGTATCAATGTTTCACCTCCAGGGTCCGTCATTTGACAGTTCTCGCACGCAACCCATGTAAACAAGTTCAATATTTTCCTATTATATTGTTCAATAATGCACAAGAAAAATAATTGAGATTTGAAATTTCAGTCCTTCATTTTGAATGGGAAATTTTGTGTTGGATACTTCAACTTTCAATGTCGTTTTGCATCGTCGAATGGTGAATCGTCCAATAACCATTCATCATTAATTGATCATCGTCTTTCCATTTTCTCATAGTATACGAAACCCGTGGACGACCTTCCCCCGCCCGTCGACCCGACCACGCCCCCGCCCACTTCTAGCCCCGCCCACCTTATGCCCTCCCATGCGGCCAACTCCAACGGCGCGCTCGACAAGAACAAGAACCAGGCGGGGCCGGAGATGTCGCGCGCCGCCTCGGAGAAGCGCAAGAAGAAGATGTCCGACGAGGAGATACTGGAGAAGCTTCGGAGCATCGTGTCGGTGGGAGATCCCAATAGGAAGTACACGAAGTTGGACAAGATCGGACAGGGGTAAGAACGAAAAATAATGAGGAAGTTTCTATTGAACGAATTATCATCCAATTAATAATAATATTCATTTCATTCTTTGCTATAAACATTACATTGCATCTCATATAAATATATTTATTAACATTTACATGGAAATAACATGAATAATCAGACAGATCTATATCTAATATGAGATTATTCATGTATTATTAAATCTAAGTTATTGAAAAGAACAACAGATACAAAAATGATGATAATAAAACAAAAAGCTTATGAAAAGTACATTATGACATGATGAAATGAATTAGTGAATGAAATCATTCATTCAGGTTTGATATTCTCTTTGCAAGAGGATAGGTTTCTTGACTTTAATTTTGAATTGGTGATATTTGTGCAACTTATGATATCATCAGATGATTTATTGAATTTTGGGATAGCTCCGTGAGTGAACTTTTTTTGGCCAAGTGGAAAATTAGCAGCATCAAGATGAAACAAGTCATATTGTCTAGTATTATGTTCATGGATTTGAGAATTCCTTACCAATATGAAGTTAGCTTTGAGGTGTTTGTTGATAATATCAAAAGACATATTGAGAGAATGTATCTCCAAAGAAAATGTATTTGTTTCTTCATAAAGTTGATTTGATGGGGTGTCAATGTGTCATATGGAAGACCATACAGTACTTTTAATGCTTTTTTATACACTGTGTCCGTAAAGTATGGAACAAATTCGATATTTCCTGAACTGAAAGCCTTTTCAAACAAATCAGAAATACGTCAATTTTTGATTTTACAGGTTTACAACCACTGTTGCCAGACTCAAGTTATCCATTTCTTGGAGTAAATGAGGGCTAACATTTATTGTCCACTGAAACGTGAGGTCAGAGTTATTAGAACTGATAAATATACTTCTTATTGTCGTGTTATTTGGCTTCTTCCTACAATATCTTCTTCTCCGTCAATGTATAAATTGGTCGTAGTCTTTTGATAACTTGAGGTTCTCTATTTGCTCAAATATTCTACACATTGCTATTTTGTTTTCCGAATAATTTCCATAAAACAGGCCTCTCTGCTCTCTATATCTTAGGTATTTCTAGTGCGATCTTTACCAAAGGAAAAACATTGGTCCTTCGAGCCGGATAAGATCCATTCAGGAGACGTGAATTTCATAGAAGTTGTGGAATGTTACACCTGCGGCGTTGCTAAAAGTGTTGAATTTTCTGGTGGAAACTGATTACAACAGATTGATTTCATTGAAATGAGAAACTTGAATTCAGACTATAATTCATAGAATGGAAATGATAAGATTATACGTTTGTACAGTATTAATCATTGTTACATGTTGAATCATCATCCAATGCAAAACTGCAAAAATTTAAGGTAAAGAGATGGGAAAAGAGTATCAAACGATGACTGATCCGGCAAATATGTAAATAATGAGTTCTCTCCTGTTCAAATGTATTTGAGAAATTGTCAATTTCGTCAAAAGATCACTTTTAATTAATCCTTAAAACTTCCAATGGCGTTCTAAACTCATTTACTGTGAAAAATGAAATCACCGGGTACAATTTTTCGCATTTTTCAGGGCCTCTGGCACCGTTTACACAGCAATAGAAACGGCGACTGGAATGGAGGTGGCCATCAAACAAATGAACTTATCACAGCAGCCTAAGAAAGAACTAATTATAAATGAAATTCTGGTGATGCGAGAAAACAAGCATGGCAACGTTGTAAATTATTTAGACAGTTATTTAGTTAATGAGGTTGGTTTCACTAAAATGACTTGAGAAAGAATTTCGAAATGAAAATTTCCGTTTTTCAAGGAACTCTGGGTTGTGATGGAATATTTACCAGGAGGTTCCTTGACTGACGTAGTTACGGAAACTTGCATGGACGAGGGGCAGATAGCGGCCGTTTGTAGGGAAGTCCTACAAGCACTAGACTTTCTACACTCTAATCAAGTCATCCACAGGGATATCAAGTCTGATAATATACTGCTAGGTCTTGACGGATCAGTTAAATTAAGTAAGTATGAACGAGCACCATCATCTTGTTTTCTGGCGTAGGGGCGGAATAGTGATTAGCACGTTGACATCTAAGGTTACCCTATTTCCCTGATTATTTCTACTAACAAGATGAACTACCTCCATGTAGAAGGTTGAAGCCAAATTTTGCTTCAGTTCTTGGTTGGTTCGTATGCGGCGCTAGCGGAACTTAGCAAAATATGGCCGGTCTGTCTGTACTCTGGGAAACTGCTAGAATCCATCTATCTGCACATTGCTGAACTATCTGGGAATATCCTTCTGTCTGAAGCAGGAAAATCACTAACTTTGATATTCTGAAGGCTACTTCTCTGCATGGGTGGGCGGGTGCATAAACCCTTGCACTCAGGCTTCTTCAGCCGGGCCAATTGTGCACCCACATGGCCTGCGAATCTGCCGGGCATGCCAATTTCTTTGATGAAATTCAACAGATTCCTCACCTGAATCACTTTTACATCCTTTGAGTTTTGTGTGCAATACAAAGCTCCCAAAGGCAGCTTTCCTCTGATGCACCAGCGCGGGGCATTCAGCAAGTATGTGCGATGATATTTCATCATCTTTGATCCCTATGAGCTCTAGGTACATGTTGAGGTGGTTGTGTCCAGTTGGGAGCCCAACTACCACCTTGAGATCTCTTCTGCTGTGAGACATGACCTCTCTCGTGAGCGTTCTTGAAGGTTCCTTTATATGGAGCTTTGATTGTCTCATTCCTGGTGTCTCCCCCGCTATGTTTCAAGGAACTGCCTCTGCAGAATTTCCTTCATGATGGACATAGCCATGCTATCGGGAAATCCCAGCATCGGTTCTGGTTTCTGGGTGTCGTTCCTGAAATGATCTTAGCTAGTCTGTTTGCCTCCTCGTTTCCCGGGATACCCGAGTGTAATGGGACCCCGACATGAGGCTGACTTTCCATGTTTTTGCCATATGTTCCAAGGCCACTCGGACACTAATTTAGATGCAATTCTAATGGATCTTATTATGCCATAATAGCAGCTTTGCTATCCGAGCATATAGTAGTAATTGGTGGACGCACAGCTGAACTCTACCCTTTCCTACTAAACAAAAAGTAGTTCACCTTATCGCTCATAGATACCGTCGCATATTGAATAAAATTCATGGCATCATTGCTCTCATAAGGATGGTTCATCTTGTTAGAGTTAATAATCAAAGGTGGAGCTCCTTCTGAGGTGGAGCTAACAGGATATGAATTGGAGATGCCTAAGTTAACTCAATATCATTCTACCACTGGAGTGGTGTTATCAGTAATTGGGGTATGAATGACTAACGTCATCAACTTCTGGAACGTTTTTCCATTTTTGTTATGAATCTCCGGTCTCAATATGTTTGTCATTATATTCGTCCGTATCAATGATAATGCAATTCAATATCAATCTACCACTGGAGTGGTGTTATCAGTGATTGGGGTATGAATGACAGAGGTCATCAACTTCCGGAACGTTTTACCATTTTTGTTATGAATCTCCGGTCTCAATATGTTTGTCATTATATTCGTCCGTATTGATAATAATGCAACTCAATATCAATCTACTACTGAAGTGGTGTTATCAGTTATTGGGATTTGAATGACTAAGGTCATCAACTTCTGGAACGTTTTTCCACTTTTGTTATGAATCTCCGGTCTCAATATGTTTGTCATTATATTCGTCGGTATCGATAATAATGCAATTCAATATCAATCTACCACTGGAGTGGTGTTATCAGTAATTGGGGTATGAATGACTAGGGTCATCAACTTCCGGAACGTTTTTCCATTTTTGTTATGAATCTCCGGTCTCAATATGTTTGTCATTATATTCGTCCGTATCAATGATAATGCAATTCAATATCAATCTACCACTGGAGTGGTGTTATCAGTGATTGGGGTATGAATGACAGAGGTCATCAACTTCCGGAACGTTTTACCATTTTTGTTATGAATCTCCGGTCTCAATATGTTTGTCATTATATTCGTCCGTATTGATAATAATGCAACTCAATATCAATCTACTACTGAAGTGGTGTTATCAGTTATTGGGATATGAATGACTAAGGTCATCAACTTCTGGAACGTTTTACCATTTTTGTTATGAATCTCCGGTCTCAATATGTTTGTCATTATATTCGTCCGTATCGATAATAATGCAACTCAATATCAATCTACCACTGGAGTGGTGTTATCAGTAATTGGGGTATGAATGACTAGGGTCATCAACTTCTGGAACGTTTTACCATTTTTGTTATGAATCTCCGGTCTCAATATGTTTGTCATTATATTCGTCCGTATCAATGATAATGCAATTCAATATCAATCTACTACTGGAGTGGTGTTATCAGTGATTGGGGCATGAATGACAGAGGTCATCAACTTCCGGAACGTTTTTCCATTTTTGTTATGAATCTCCGGTCTCAATATGTTTGTCATTACATTCGTCCGTATCAATGATAATGCAATTCAATATCAATCTACCACTGGAGTGGTGTTATCAGTAATTGGGGTATGAATGACTAGGGTCATCAACTTCTGGAACGATTTTCCATTTTTGTTATGAATCTCCGGTCTCAATATGTTTGTCATTATATTCGTCCGTATCAATGATAATGCAATTCAATATCAATCTACCACTGGAGTGGTGTTATCAGTGATTGGGGTATGAATGACAGAGGTCATCAACTTCCGGAACGTTTTACCATTTTTGTTATGAATCTCCGGTCTCAATATGTTTGTCATTATATTCGTCCGTATTGATAATAATGCAACTCAATATCAATCTACTACTGAAGTGGTGTTATCAGTTATTGGGATATGAATGACTAAGGTCATCAACTTCTGGAACGTTTTTCCACTTTTGTTATGAATCTCCGGTCCCAATATGTTTGTCATTATATTCGTCGGTATCGATAATAATGCAATTCAATATCAATCTACCACTGGAGTGGTGTTATCAGTAATTGGGATATGAATGACTAAGGTCATCAACTTCTGGAACGTTTTTCCATTTTTGTTATGAATCTCCGGTCTCAATATGTTTGTCATTATATTCGTCCCTATTGATAATAATATAATCTCCAAAAATTCAAAAAAAATTCCAATACCTACCTCCTGTCCCTATTCTCCCTAGGAACGCACGATGTTCTTTGAACATTATAGGGATTCCCTTTCGTGCGCTCCAATCGATAAAAAAAAATCTACTACTGAAGTGGTGTTTCATCAACTTCCGCAACGTTTTTCCATTTTTGTTATGAATCTCCGGTCTCAATATGTATGTCATTATATTCGTCCGTATCGATAATAATGCAGTGTCCTGTTTTGGTATTTTTCAGCTGATTTCGGTTTTTGTGCTCAAATTAGTCCAGAACAATCCAAAAGGACGACCATGGTTGGTACACCTTACTGGATGGCACCTGAAGTAGTGACCAGGAAGCAATATGGGCCTAAGGTGAGTGGTAGTGAATTGAAAAATGTGTTTTCACTGTCACTTCTTTTTTTTAATAAACTTTTAGGTAGACGTTTGGTCTTTAGGTATAATGGCAATTGAAATGATAGAAGGAGAACCTCCTTACCTGAACGAAAATCCTCTCAGGGCTTTATATCTTATAGCAACAAATGGTAAACCAGATATAAAAGAAAAAGAAAAGTTGACGCCCTCTTTTCAGGACTTTTTAGATCAGTGTCTGGCTGTGGAAGTTGAAAGGAGATCGTCTGCCCGGGATCTATTAAAAGTGAGTGCTAAAGATAAACAATTATTCAAGATGATGATTATTGAATTTGTTGTTTTAATAAGTATATTCACAGGGTGTTGCGAAATTTAACCAACAAAGATTCAGAGGCGTTAGTCCTCCTGGGTTGATATCAACTAACAACTAAAGGATATACTCAGTTCTCAAGATACAGTGTTTAAAGTTGAGAAGTAGACATTGATTTTTCGCAAAAACCCAAAAACGGTTGAATAGTTGCAATTTTCTTTTGTTAACATATATGTCAAAAATTGTTCATAAACTGAGGTTTCATCAGGAAAATTTCTAAAAAAAGACAACCGACAATACCCTGTATATTTGAAACTGACCACCTGATTTCTTATAAAATCTCGACGGCTATCACTAGACTCCCTGTATATACCTTAGACAAGAGTCCGGACACAAAACTAGCAGCCGTTGGGGTTTTTAATATTTTGTTTCATTTGGTTTGCCCACCTGACAATGTGACGAAACACCATAGTCGTCCCGCCCGCTTTTTTTAATTATTTCAAATCACTGAAATTTTATGACCGCCAAAATTTAGCATTTTAAATTATTTCAATGTCCTGCATGTAGGCAACATTATTGCGATAATTCATTAGAAAAGGGATTCAAGTTATTCAATTTTCCGAATGATCCTTTAAAGATAATGTCATGGAAGAATGCAATGAAACGTCCAGAATTTACTTGAAAAAACAGTACAAAAAAGATGGATTTTGCCCATTTTGATAGAGATTCTTTCAAGCTGATGGATTTCAAATTGAAAGAGTCTGCTGTGCCGTCAATTTATAAAATAGAGACGTTCAAAAAACGAGTTCCGTCGTCATCGTATTGGGAATTACTGAATGATACGATCGCAGAGAAAGAAAATGAGAATGAGGTGATGCGGAAAGAAATTGAAAGTTTGAAATCAAAACTAGAAAATTTTGAGAAATTGCAATGTGCTATGTCATCAGTCCACGGTGTTATTAATTCAGATCAAATTCAAAATTTACAGGTGAATGTAGACTGCCCAACAGAAAACAACTATATTTTCTTGGCTATATGTGATACCACGTAGAACACTTGAATTATCTTTCTTATATCTAATGAAGTGAAGGAATATCTGATGACGAAAATTTGCAATACCCATCTCAGGGATTGATTATGAAAATTATCTAATAGTTATTCTAGTCAAAATAGCCCTATTTTTCACTTCTAACCTACGGCTATACGGTTTGACAAATAATCTAACCCTCAGAAATTTTTCTGACAATCATTGATCCTAGGGGAATTGAAAAGACAGAGCTCGATATATATGTCCAAGGTATATACAGGGACTCTAGCTATCACCTGTGAAGCTATGTCGGAGTATTTTGCAACACCCTGAATTTCGGCGCGAATTTGAATAAAAAATGATTTTCCAGCATCCCTTTTTGAAATTCGCGCGACCCCTAGCAAGTTTGACTCCGTTGATAATAGCTGCCAAGGATGCGGCCAAACAGCACTAGCGACAGTGATAGACACCCCTCGTTATCCCGTGTAACCACCGTGTAAATTATTTATTATCCAAGTGACAGACTATATCCCATGTTACTAGAAGTGCATATTGCATCTCATTTTTTATTAGAAAGACTTGTATTATATATGTATAGGTAGTAATAATAGAATAACCTCGGAAGTAATTTCGTCATTGCTTTGCAGTTCTAGTAATATAGGTTTTCTATTATCTAAGGAACATACGCATTTAATAGCAGTGACGGCTGATGGCTGGTGTGAAATGGGGAGTGTTACTACAATATGCTACAATATAAATATCCAGGCATCTCATTTTTAGATCATCTTGTTATGGATTCAGACAAGGCAATCGAAATTTGCGCGGTTCTGGTTGAGAGAACGAATTAATTTGGTTAATCTGAAATTATGGAATTCAGAACTTGTCAGATGGGGGGGGGGGGGGGGGCTCTACCTTATTGATCATCTTGTACCAGCCGTCACTATTCAATAGGGAATCTGGAAAATGAAATGAAATATTTGACAGGCAAAGAAAACACAATACACTGCAAACTGATATCAGATGAATTGATAGTCAAGGACATACCTAGAAACAAATTTTCATTAGCTTCTGTGGGTGGAAAGTAAATAAAAAGAAACTCAATAATGAGCATTTGTGTTTTTGTTTTGTATAACCTACAAGTCCAGGGTTTCTACAAATACATATTGTTCTAAAAAATTGTTGTTCTAAAATTGTTCTATCCGTCATTCGGTTGCCCCCTTACGAGCAACCCTCAGAAGTCTTCGAGAGTCTTGTGCGAGCAAAGAATGACGGGGGCCTTACCTTTTAACGTGTGATCCCAAACACTTTCTTGGGCCATCAGAAAATTTTCTGCAGTCGTCGGGACTCGAACCCACGATCGGCAAGCGAATGCGGATTAGAATATGGACACTCTGTCCGCACGGCTACCTGGCCACTATGCAATGATAATGACAACTGCATTTAAACATAACATTCATCAGGCAAATATATACAGTCATTGTTTTTTTTTAATAGCTACTCTGTAGAATATCAGAACTGCACAGACAGATGAGATTCAGTCAAATTGATGCATTTACACAAATATTCCCTGTCAAAACAATTTTATTTTGTGTTCCACGTTCTCATTTAACATTTGTATTAATGGGAGACTGTGCCTAATTTTATGATGAGCGCATGTGTGTATTACAAGGCATTTTTATTTATAATAGACATTTTCATATTTTTTGTAGTCCTTTGAGTTGGTAACTTTTGGTATGATTAGACTAAAAGAAGATATTTTCATAGCCAGATCAGTGTAATATGTGATATTTAATAACTAATACGTGAAAAACTAGAGTTTTTTGAATTCTTAAATATATATAAATATAAAAAAGTTTTTTTTTTAATTATGTGCCATGGAGATGAAAACAGATCTCAGTTTCATTCCTATTATACAATTTCAACTGTTGGCAGCAGTTTTGATTTTTATTATAGTCACCAATTAGTTGAGCTTGATTTGTGCTTGAGCTTTTGTGATTTTTTTGTGCTGAGCGTTTTTCATTGAATTTTAAAGAATTTGTGCCAAAATTAGTTGTTGAAATAGATCGCCTCAAAAACTGATTTTCGTACATTTTGCATTTGTGCAGGATATCCTCAATCCTCTTAACGTTCTACATAATTTTATGTTTGTACTGATTTTACTTTTATTGTTGAGACATTGTAAATATTTGATTTTTCAGCTTTATCCATATATCAAAGTATTTTGTACATTATTTTTATTTGTAATTAGCCAATAAATGAGTAACGAATTATTCAGATGAGAAGGAAGGAGTTTTATTTCCGTTAGGAGCTTTCAAATGTGAACAATAATGGGTTACACAAAATTATATGTTTATTCAATTATTCTTCTATGGTCCATTTATTTCATGGGATACATTACAATATTATACAGTTATGTATATTCACCATTTTATGGGTCAGTAAACAGCATTTATCAAAATAAAAATTATAAATCACACCAAACTGATAATAAACTTTTCAAAATTAATTAATACAACTCTGTAGTCAATAATAATGGATTATTCAAATTAACCTAACTAGAATAGCACCTGAGTAGTGAAAGGGCAATAAATAATTATTGGTGCATACTGCATTACAAAAACCCTACAAAATATGAGGTCAGTTTAATTCTGAGACTAGCTAGTAACAGTCCAAGAAATCAACTCTATTTTCTTGCTCTTAACAATATCATTATTAGTAGAATGTTAATACCAGAATGATAAAATACCAAGAGGTAATAAAAAAACCTGACCCACTCAGCTATCTCCGGCACTTTCCTTGGGTATAAAATTCATTGAAGCCGAATTGATGCAGAAGCGTTTCTTGGTCGGCGGAGGACCGTCTCCGAAAACGTGTCCCAAGTGGGCCCCACACTGGGAGCAGGTGACTTCCGTTCGAATCCTCCCTGGTTGGGATATCAGTAGTAAGAGGTTTGCACCAACTATTGGGGTTGGGAAGGGAGGGGACAGGTATGTGTGACGTGAACCAAAAAACCCGTTGGACCAAAAAACCCATTGGAAAGTGAATAACATAAGTAAAAAAAAAATATGTCAGGATGAGTATGAAGAACAAAAAGTAAAAAAAAAAAAGAGTGTGGTAGGTAGATGCATCGGAGGGTAGGGGGGGAGAGAAAACAGTACAATTAGCTTCCCAGTTTGATAAGGAAAACCACACAGCCAAGCTTCAATCTTTCTATTAGTGCATTTATAAAGCAAAACACCACACAATCTAGGAGTTAGGAAGGGGTTAGATAGGCAGAACGTTACTAATGGCTATTTTATTTATTTTGGTTGTTAGTAGTAAGGTTGTGATGTTTATTTGAGAAATATTCCATTTGGAAATTTTCCAGGGAAATTCTGTTTGAAAATGTTTTCAACAAATCTGCTTCCATATTATCCAAATGTAACTTTGAATTGCCCGAATTTTCCATAAAAATAGATGTTTTTTCATTTCAAAGAGAGGATTTCAGAGTTTGATAAAATGTTTCAACCATTGAGCTAGTTCATTTTCAAAACTATGCCAAATATCTAGTAATAATATCTATATATCAACATTTCAAATATGAAATAAGAATTTTCTAGTTTCAAGACTGAATATCTGATATAAGTTGGTAAAACAAAATTCAATTTACTTCAAAATCAGAATTTTATTTTTTGAATGGATTGTTTAGTAATAAAATGTAGAAAATTTTTGTTTTCTATGGTCTTGTTGAAGGTATGAACTGAGGAAACTCTGTAACAAGTTTGAATTGCAAAGTATTATTGACAAATTTTTGATCATATTTAAGAAAAAAAAAACATCACTAGTTATCAGTTCAAAAGCTAATATATGATGAGGATGGATAAACTGCTGAATAATTCCAGTGAGAATTCCAGATAACAAGTTATGGTGAAATAATATGTGTTTTCAATGTTTTTACCATTTCAGATAGTGATCACATTATCATTATTGCACATCTACAGGAATTTTTCATTTCATCCCCTATCATCTAGATTCTAGTGCATTGAACACTACAAATAATCTAGAACCAAATTATTTCAATTGTTGAAAAGGAATATTATCAGATAAATTATGAACATACAAAACTGGATATATATATATAAGCAATACATTGAGAATTCACATTCTCTATGTGATGAGAATATCAACTCTTTTTCAGTTTATTCAATAGAAAACAACTACTTTCCTGGCTATATGCCATGAGGAACATTGAATTATATCTATTGAACACACAGGATAAGAGTTTGAGAATGAAATATAAAATCTTCTGAAATTATTTCACCTCAACACTAATATAAGATAGAATTACTGATAACCTTATCTTCCTCATAATGTTAGATATAGAACAAGCTCAGTATAGTATCAGAGTAGATAAGTAAGAAAAAAAACTAAACTAGTAAATACCTCCACTAGTATCTGGGGTCAATTTCACTTTTCCCTTATCCAGGACATCATTGAATGCAGGCCATCCACATCCACTATCATACTTTGTGTCAGAACTGAATAAGGGTTGCTCACAGACTATACAGACGTAAGTACCAGCTTCAAATTTCTTATCATAACAGCCTAATGACAGAATATTGGAAAAAATCAGGTCAAACTAACATTCAAGGCTTACTCACCAGAAAATGGTCGTTCAGTGCCCTTTTCCTGTGTAATATGATATTGCATGGGAGTTAATTTACTCCTCAATTCTGATTTATCAACTTCCTTGGCCATATTGAGAGCTTGATTGAAAAAAAAGTCTTGACAGTGAGTCACATTGAAAATTTTGGCTGATTTCCTTATTAGGAAAGGAGTTATTTTTTTACAATACCTGAAACATGTAGATTGGATTTCCTCTGAGTAGCCGAATGGAATAGGCTGGTCTGTCTGCGGATATTACGTATTAAAATTCTGTTCATGCATAACATAACAATATCATCACCAAATAACTTGATAAATTGCGCATATGGTAATTGATAAAATAGAATAGATATGAATTGAGACTTGGGAGTGATGACGACTTGAATTGATGAGACTTTACGCAATACGAAATTTTCATTTCAAAATTACTGACGAGTGACAGTAATGAGAATGACATTGACAGCTTTTGACTTGTAGGATTCAAGTTCTATGCAAATTCTATTTTCTATGCTATCTATGGTTCCATGTCCAATGTCCTCATGATTCTCAGAGAATAATCAAGAAGAAAAATAAATAATAATAAAAATAATAATGCATTTGATTGTGTGAAACGTGAAAGATGTGATTCTGTAAACAAATGGACGAAATTAGTTGAAAAAATGTTGAATTAATTCCTTATCGATGGATTGAATGATGAATAATTTAAAAAGTGTTTCAGTGCAAGTAATCAACAGCGACCTGGCTTTGCTGTTACCGAACGGTGTTTATGAAATCAAACAAATGGAGGCAAAGTCCTCAAGACTGAAGCAAATATGTCTTTTCTGCCTTGCATTGTGCATTTTTGGTATATTTGGATTTGGGTATTTCTGCCCTGATAAGGTAAGTCTATTAATAAGTTGAATCTCTGTCACCTAACATTCTGCATATTAGGTATGTGCTTTGAGCTCTAGAGGCACTACTGGGTCTGATCCCAGTGATTCCATTGAAGACAACTTTGGTAAACCTCACATCAATAGTAAGGTAGGCTGGAGCTTTAGTGATATGCTGAATGATGATTTTACATTTGATATGGATTCACATGATGTCATGGTGTTTCTACACATGCAAAAAACTGGTAAGTCATACTCTTAATTATTTATACACAAGGGTCATACCAACTATTTCATGATAATGAATAACTGGGACAGTCTGATAGGAGTTGAATAGGTTAAATCATGATGAAACAATTCCAATCATCAGTAAACAAATAGATGAACAAATCATGAATCTGAAAAGACAAATTATAGTGATTGCACAAAGATAAACTGTTACTGTTACCAATAAATTTTAAAAAGTCAAAGAAATGTAGTGTTATTGGATAGTAGCTTTCTAACTCATTTTATCAGTAATGAAATGAACTTTTGAAGTCATACTCCATTGAGAGATTTGACTGTTTCAACTATTATCATATTGAGCTCTTGCTAATCTGGTATGCAAGTCAACAATACCCAAGAAGTATATTGAACTTATGTTATTGTCTGTTTCATAAAAAAACAGGTAGACAGAGTGAGTGGAATATAAAGTAGTCTGTGTTGAAAATGACAATCACAATTCCTCAGTGCTTTGAGGGTGAAGGTCTATTTTTATTTGCTACATTCTAAAATAATTTATTAGGCTTGAGGCCAATAACCCTATAAAATTGTCTTTACTCATGACATTTTTAGTATGTTTTCAAGAATAGAATAGCTGTCTATAGGAGCCACCTGGCATAGTTGAATGGTTTATACATCTGGAGAAATTCACTTTCAAACATTCAAACTGTTATTCTGAATCTCAAATATTTGTTTTCTTTATGTAATATCCTGTAAACCTGTTCTTAATTGTGAGTTTGAAATCTGAAATGATTATTTGGATACTTAAATGATGATTGTTTTATGCTTTATGATACTTACTCATTAAATCCCAAACAAATCAGATTCTGGTAATGATAGTTGGATAATTTAAATTTCAACAACAATTAATGTACAAGTTGGCCTGGAATTTTTGCTTTTATTAATTTTTAATTAATTTAATGATTAAGGTAAATTCATTCATTTTCTACTTGTAAAATTCATCAAATTATCATCAACACTATGATTTTCTTCTTTTATATGGTTAGGTTAGTATAATATGTTGAATTCGTTGTCTTTTGAAAAAAACTCATAATGATGTTCGTTAATACGGTGGTTAACCGTTCTATCTGTCTGACCAATATATGCCTTGGAACAAGATGTACAGTTCAGTTTGTTGAAAAATTACGAGTACACAAACTGAACTGTGGATCTTGTTCTAAAGTATACCAGGTGTCAACAAAAATCTATTATACAAGTCATAACTTCTAGAATATTACATGTGTGCAATTGAGATTTGGTATTCCTGATAGAAAATAAGCGCACGCCACCTATCGGAGTTCTTGAAAGCTGTCAAAGCGGCCTGTTTACTTGGTTTTTATTGGTTCACATTTGTTCTTTGTTTGTGCTTATTAGTCATATAATCAAAACAAACCGCTCACAAGTGTTCAAGTTGTTGCCGTCAGATGGGGCGACTTGTTATTTTTTATCACGAATAGGTGAATGGAATGTGAAGAGGAGAGGTTTTGAATATTTTTCACTTTCCTCATCGTTCGCCATATTGGATCTGCCATCTTGAATTCCCCAATTTTGACGAAAGAATAATATTCTCCGACCTCAAAAATCACCAGACACGAATTTTGAATAGAATCGGATCATAATTACAAACTCGTCCGCCATATTGGATACGCCATATTGAATTTCACATTTTGATGAAACCCCCCAGATACAAATTTTCAATAGAATCGGATCTTATCACAAAACCCGTCCGCTATATTGAATCCGTCATCTTGAGTTTCCTAATTTTGACGAAAGAATCATAATCTCTGACCCCAAAAACCCCTAGATGCCAATTTTTCATAGAATCGTATTATGATCACAAAACTCGTCTACCATATTGGATCCGCCATATTGCATTTCCAAATTTTGACGAAAGAATCATAATGTCCGACTCCGAAAACCCCCACATACCAATTTTGAATTGAATCGGAACATAATCACAAAACTCGTCAGCCATATTGGATCCACATATTGAATTTTCAATTTAAAAAATAGCTCACGACCGATTTTCATACCAATGACGGCCAAATATCTAGACTGTCTGACTACCCGTCGAACAGTCTAGATATTTAGCCGTTATTGCTCACTCCGACCTACCAAATATGCACAAAAAATTTCAAAAGAATCGGTCAAGTAGTTTCGGAAAAGTTTGCCAACAAACACCGTGACACCATGGCGTGACACGAGAATTTTATCCAAGGTGAGTCAGAAATGTGTACCGAGCTTCCTGGAGTCGACAGTATATTGAAAAATGAGTATAGTTACAGTTATATATAAACTATTTTTTTTTTAATTGACTCAGCCGTTACTTGATGAAAATCCAATGCAAATGTAAAAACCTCACAAACGATAAGAACAAGAATTGCAGTACATTCCAGTACAATTTCTGATAGAATTTGCAGATCCTTGTGGACTATTAGAGGTGTGGTACAAACTCCCTCAAGAATATTGTCGCAACTATAACCTAAAAATCAAGCTGCCATGCTTTGTACATCATAATCGTCCCAATCAGCAGACACACTATGACAGTGCACCACCTTCTCAAGAAAAATGCAATCTTTGTAGAAAATCATTATTATAAGATATAAATTATTTCAATAATATTAGCATGTTTTTGTTTTTTTCATCCTTACACTCCATACATCAAATCGACGAAACGTCATAAGTCATATGTCGAACGTCATACGACATTGTCAAAACGACGAAATGCAGATTATTTATTACGGAGCACAATATCCGATTTTTTCAAACGTCCGGGTTCGATTCCTCGCGCGTACACACACACACGGGATCCAATATTTGAATTTGCCGCCGCCCAGATACAGAGCGCAGCCACAGCGACACTACCAACTGGTGAGTATTTTTGGAACCCGTGTTTTTGAACTCTTCTTGTTCTATCTACTCTGATGGCTTCAACCGTTTAGAAGTATTGCAGGAAATTTATTTCAATGTAATCAACTTTGGAAGAATCTATCCGCGGATCTATCTCTCAATATAAATTTTGGGATATTAGTGTATTCTTCAAACTACACTTATTTCTCAATTTACAATCACCTCCAGAAAGCCCGGTACATATTTCTGACTCACCCTGTATATTAGACAATATATTCGCGGTCGCCAAGGTCATTAGATGATGGTGGCGACCGCCAATATGCATAGTGTTCCTTTTGAAAATTCAAAACTGGAACCATTTCTACACATACCATTTAAATATACCAAATCTCATTCTGATACACCTGATATTCTTGAAGTTATGAATCCTAGCTAGTAGATTCGTTGACATTGACACCCGGTATATAAGTAAGGCAAATCAATGTAAGGTTAATTCATTTTACGAGTATTTCACTTGAAGAAGCTACAGTGTTATCGAGAATTCGCGATAGAAAATAAGCCTACGCCACCTATCGGTGTTCTTGAAAGCTGTCAAAGCGGCCTGTTTACTTTGTTTTCATTGGTTCACATTCGTTTTTTCGTATCGGTCATAGCATCAAAACAAACCGCTCAGAAGTGTTCCAGTTGTTGCCGTCAGATGGGGCGACGTGTTATTTGCTATCGCGAATATTGTGAAAATCTCGTTTGTTTTTCAGGTGGTACCTCTTTTGGCAGACACCTAGTGCATGACCTTGACCTGAAACGTCCCTGCACATGCCCCATTAGCAGAAAGAGATGCTACTGCTTCCGGCCACACTCCAATCAGAGCTGGCTCTTCAGTCGGTACACCACTGGATGGAAATGTGGCTTACACGCGGACTGGACTGAACTCACAAGCTGTGTTGACGAAAAATTGGACGAATTGGAAGATGTAGTGAAGAGGAGGTATTTTTATATCACGCTGTTGAGAGAGCCCGTCTCCAGGTAAGGAAGTTTCTTGTTTGAATAGAGCAGTTCAGCTGCCGTTGAGAGAGAAAAAAAATTTCTTCCCATCTGTCCTTGTCTTCAGTGTTCCAACATGAAATAATGAAAATCTTATGTTGCCAACACTGGGAATGAGAAGAAATGGAGAAGAAGACCGTTCTAACCTTCTTTTATATCGAGGTTAATATGATATTCTTCTCCATTTTTTCCCATTTCCAATGATGCCAACATAACATTTTCATTATTTTATGTTGGAACACTGAAGACAAGGAGAGATGGGGAAGACATTTTTTTTCTCTCTCAACGGTAGCTGAACTGCTCTATTAGGAATGCTGCCGGTCCCAAAGCTTATCCTTGTGACCCACCATGTTTTTCCCATTTAGGTATTTATCAGAATTCCGCCATGTGCAAAGAGGTGCCACATGGAAAGGCTCCAGACATTCCTGCAAAGGAAAAGTTTTAACTGACAAAGACTTGCCCCCATGCTACCAAGGGGAAAACTGGGAGGGGGTAGAACTAGATGAATTTATGAGTTGTGAAAACAACTTGGCCATCAACAGGCAGACCAGGATGTTGGCAGACTTGGAACTGATAGGTATTGAAACTATTGTATCAGTGAACAAATTAGAAGGAAATTACAAAATCATAACATTTTTAGTATTTATTAGTTTGTAAAATATCAACCAATAAGGTGAAAAGATGGAAAACTTTGGTTTCTTCTATTTTAATATCAAATCATGATTATCATCTTGTGGTGACACATTTTCCAGTTGATATAATCATATACCTATAGTGTTGGTCACAAAAGTTTGAAACCAACCGCACCTAGCACCCTAGATGGACAACCACTGTTTTTTTTGCAAATTATTGTTTTCAAAAGAATTTGGGTATGAGTGAAAGTTGTACAGATTTCCAAATATATATTTGGTGATAAGCTGATGAGTACAGAAAATGTAGTCATCACAAGCAATAGGTGGTTCCATATTTTACTGCACAAAGTAGTAAACTTATCAGCTAAAAAATCGATACACTCAAAATCTTTATGAAGTTTGCTCATCAGTAGCATAGTCTTTTCATTATAGCATAAGTGAACTCATAAGGAATCTGGCACAAGTTTGAAATTTCGATATATTATGTTCTTACTAAACAAAATATGAATCTCTTCAGAGAATAATAATCCCACTTGAAATTTCTGTTATTGTTTGATGCAAAGTTGATGTATCATCAAGAATTTTTCAGTACTTACATATCTAATCAAAGTTTAGAACAGTTTTGTTGAAGTTACAATTTATTTAATATCATAGAAATTTCGTGAAATTTGAAAAATCAAAAACAGAAAGTTGTGATTAATTTGAAAAATATAACCTTTGACATGTAGCGAAGGTGACGTGAACCCGACTGAGTATGCCATTTTATATCATTTTCAATGCTCAAGTCGGATTCCAAAGTAAATTATTATTTAAAGTTTTTCCCATATCATGCCAACTTTCTAAAATACACTGTATAATGATAACAACACTGCAGATATGAAAAATAAACTGAGAACTAACTTCTGCAATATTCTTCTTGGCATGGCCACAATAGGCCTTTTCATATAGATATATTTTTAAGACGCATGCGCTCGTTTTTAGATCCAAAATTTGATTGGGTAATGCGTAGGTGAAGTCTCATTGGCTATAGTTCCGATACAAAATTCTGATTGGCCATTTCGAATATGGCGGTTTTTATTGACGTTCTGTCAAATGTCAACAGTGTCAACCACAATGGTCATTCGTCATTGAGAAACAACAATAACAATATAGTATTTTCGTTTCTATATTCCTGGTGTGTATTAATTGTATTATATTAATTTAAATCGGAAAAAACGTTACTAATTCGTTACTAAGGAGTGTGGTGCAAGTGTTTCGGTGAAAATGGCCGCCTCTGTCGTTGGATGCGAGATGTAAACACAGATAGAATCATTAGCTCATTGCCGCGCAAAATCCATTAATATTTTATTCGGAATTTGTCACTACTGTATTTTTCAGGGTGTTACGATAGAAACTATATGCCTAAAGTCGATCGAGACAGGATAATGTTAGCGAGCGCCAAGAAAAACCTACTTTCCATGTCATTTTTCGGCCTGACCGAGCACCAAAAGATCTCCCAGTACATTTTCGAAGAAACGTTCAACCTCCGCTTTGCCATTCCCTTTGAACAGAACAATTCGACCGTCTCCAGCTCGACTATGACTCAGCTGACTGCCGAGCAATCTGCGAAAATCGCGGAGCTGAACAGTTTGGACATGGAGCTGTACAATTTCTCGAAGAGGATTTTGTTCCAGAGATTCCGGAAGTTGAAATCCAGGGACAGTGATTTCAAAGAGAGGTTCAAACATTTGGGGGAGCTTAATATCAAGCACGGACCGACAGAGTTTGATTGGGATAAATTAGAGGACCCCACGGAACCTACCACTTAGATGGAGGTATTCTCATATTTGGGTTTTTGGCTGGGAAAAAGTGAAGGTTTCACTGTCATTTGGCCCTTGGAGGGGTTCTTTTCTGTGGATCAAAAGTTATTAGTCGAATGAGGATTTGTTTACAGGGTGTTGATTGACAACGCATCTTAACAGTAATCTACTTGTTGATTTCTGCATTCAGTTCTATACAAGGTGACCCCCTTGCTAGAGTGGGTGGAATACTGCAAAATAGGTTGGGTTTGCTCAGTAAAAAAATGTCGTAACGCCATCCGTTTTCAAGATACAAGGTGTTGAAAAAAGATGTTTTCACATATTTTTTACGATTATGTTGGAACTACTGGCAACATTGTGATGAGATCTTGTATGGATGTGTTCTGGAAGCTGAGACATTGCATGAATTTGTTTTCATATCTGACTCTCGTAGAGGGCGCTAGTTACACTTTTTGAGGTTAGATTTTTGAGTCGGTAGGACATTTTTTTTACTGCGCAAACCTAACTGATTTTGCAGGGTTCTACCTGTATAAATAAAATTGCAGTTTCCTCAGTGGCTTGGGAAACATGGGGGTAAGTTACCATAACCTCCTGTAGCATGTTCAAAATGTCAACTAGTTATTTATTTGACATATTATTATTTAGATACAGGGTGAGTATTTTATAAGATAATCTCTGGTTCTCAGAATTTGGTTATCTTGTTCTAAAAACACATGTAAATGAATGAGATATCTCAAGCTGAAAGACCACAATTCAAATAAGTCTGACTGGTTAAAGTGCCATGTATATCAGTTTGTTAGCTCAAGGTGCCCTTCATATTTTGTTAACATAACAATAATTATATTATTGTTTAGATCACTTTCTTCATACTTCAATTCTTCTGCGTCACTCTAGACACTACTGTATTTCACGTTCCAGCTTTCTATGAATTTACCAAAATGTAAATACCTGGCACATTATGTGGATGTGATATTTCAAGCATTTAACATTCTTCTAATGAAAAGTCTGATATACTTCATTATTTCTTTTATTATAATATGAATAATTTTAACCTGTTAATATTTAGTAATTTTATGAAAAAGGCACTCGTTAGTTTTTACTTCTACTGGGTGTCCAAAAAAATTAGCATTAAGTATTTTTCTTCAAGAGTAAAATCCTAGGGTGAGAAAAGTAGTTTTTTTTGTGAACACCCAGTATACAAATCTGATCAATTGAATTTTATTAAGTTGAAGTTAGTAATTAATTATACAAACATTTTCACTGCCGGTCTATTATTCATTTTGTGAGAATTTTACACAGGGTGGTCAGTCTTCCAGCATTGTGAAAAAATTATAATTCAGAATCATTGCATTTTGGTGTAAAACGGAGTTTAAAACTACTCCTGATAACTCGAATACATCAGGGATAGAGTTTTCAAAAGACAGTGGATTTTTTTTTGTTGAATGGTTTACCCTGTGTAAGTTATGTTCATAAAACTCTTGTTATTTATACATCGAAAAGTTAGTATGATAATTTTGATGCATAATCAAGTTGGTTGTATAAATTAGTTAATGAAAAATAATTCGACTTTATTGTACAGAGTACCTGTTTTTCGATCTCTACTTTTGGGATCTCATCAGTTATATGAGATATGAGGTCGTCTAAATTAATGCAAAAATGCACATTTTCATGGCGAACAATCATCTCTTAGTTTTTGAATTATTAGAAAATGACTAAAATTTATAATTTCCGTTTTTATTTGTTCATGCCAACAATTTTTCAAACTACATTTTGATAATTCAGTTGAATATGCAAGCAGATTTTTTTAATTTCTCAAGATTATCTACAAGAATTCCGTTTTCAAATGACGAAAAGCATGATATGCTATGGATATGATCAGGGATATTATAAGCTAGTTTGAACAAAATTGTTGGCGTTCTTTTCAGAGCACTCTTTGCAAATCTAATTGTTGCCCTTTTGATAAGCATGTGACGTTTAATTATATCCCGGGATAATAATTATAATAAGGAAACAAAAGACTTTCCAAAAATGTGAAACAAAGAAAGAAAACAAGCATACGGCACCTATCAGAGTTTTTGAAAGCTGTCAAAGTGGTCTGTTTACTTTTTTTCATTGGTTCACATTTGTTTTTTGTTTGTGCTCATTGGTCCCATCATACATCAAAACAAACCGCTCAGAAGTGTTCAAGTTGTTGGAAAAACCAAAGTTGAGTGTGAAAAATTGCCTCAAGACTCCTAGGTCGTTTGATTTTCGCCTGAAAATGTAAAACGAAAATATTATTCAGGACACATCAACATTTTTAAACTCACAACTCTTATAATAACCGATTAACAGATCCCCATGTGGAGCTCTAAAAACGGGCACCCTGTATTAGCACTTTTGTGAGTTGCATTCATTCTCAGAAAGAGGATGATTCAGATCATTTTATTTATTGTAGACGAGCTACCAAAGATTAGTTTTATGACTAGCAACATTAGTAATTATTTAGGATTTTTTGTACCGGGTGTACCACTTAGAAAGAACGCCGCACATGTTTCGAAAATAAATATGAATGATGAAAGTGGCGCGATCGGCTTTAGTCAATTCGATTATCGAATCGGCTAACCTGGAATCATATCCCACAGAATTTTCGACATCTTCATTCTCAAATGGGCGCCATTGACTTTGATCACCTAAAGTCAAAAACGGATTTCCAATCGAACCTTCCAATCTACTCGAGTGGATTCGTCCACTCCACTTAGTGGATTGTTCTAACACACTCCCACAAAAATCTAACACCGATTCCAATACAAAGTACAAATCTTCTCTCGACCCACGTTGCTGGATACCCGGTAGTCGCTGCATACTTGTAGAACCATCTAGTTGAACATCGGCAGGAACTTGAACACTTGCAGGAACATGTAATTGTAGAACATCAGCCCCACGTTGGGCGCCATGTAATCGATCCTGTATACAATCCACAACCCTCTGGAAATTATTTTCAAGTTTCCAGGACAGCCCCTAGAGGGCGTAATTGCACTGGCCAGTTTAATAAACGGTTTTTATGAAAATTTTATATATCAAGACATATCAAAAACACTTTTTTCATATTCTCGGGTTCATTTCCAATCATTTTGATCAAAAAAATTGCACTAGCTCTTTAAATGAAAGTGGGAGGGAAGGATGAATAGTACTTTGAAAAAACTCTCATTACTACAGTTTGGTGTAACGGAATTCAACGATCTTGGTCTCATTATGAAGGGTTTTTTTGGTTCTTCCAGATGAATCACGAATCAAGTAGATTTAAATCCTGTGGTGGCCGCTAGATGGCATCGTTTGAAAAATCAGACAATTTTCCATTTTTTTCGAAAATTCCAAATGGAACCATATATTCATTCTACTCTTATGTAAAAGTAGAAGAAAAATGGTGAAAACCGCGAATTGATACCTCTTGAGGAACCGGTGAAATACTGGAAATAATATTATGAAAATATTCTAACAGGAATCTTACTTCAATAATCGTAATCAGAAATATCCTGTATCTACGAAATTATGTTTTAAATGATTCATTTATTTTGGTTTCACAAACTGCTGTTATATCTCACAATAGTGAAGGAGACTCTTAGTAATGACATAGCTAATTGACATGTTAATAGTGAGTATAGGCTCAGGAATGAGAAAAGGCAAGTTGGCTTTGAATGAACGAAACGTCAAAATATAATTGAACTTCCATTGAAAGTTTTCACTGTGGATTGCTTATTTGTCAAAATGCCGATAACGAATGAGGAAGCATTTGACATGCTAACAGTTTAAATTTTAATATTATTCCGAGTATTTCTCCGGTTCTTCAAGAGGTATCAACTCGCGGTTATCACCATTTTTCTTCTCGTTTACTTCACTTTCATATCATAGCAGCAAAAATATATGGTTCCATTTGAAATTCTCGAACAAAAATGGCAAATCGGCTGATTTTTTGAACGATGCCATCTAGCGGCCACCACGAGATTTAAATCGACTTGATTCGTGATTTATCGGGAAGATCTGAAAAAAACCTTCATAATGAGACCAAGATCGCTTAATTCCGTTACACCAAACTGTAGTAATAAGAGTTTCTCCAGAGTACTATTCATCCTTCCTTCCCTCTTTTATTTGAAGAGCTAGCGTATTTTTTTTAACGAAATGATTGGAAATCAACTCGAGAACATGGAAAAAGTGTTTCTGATATGTCTTATGCCCTCTAGCGGCTGTCCTGGAAACTTGAAATTAATTTCCAGAAATTTTTCTTGGCCACTCTTATCATAAATATTTTTTTCCGATACCTGTGCGGCAGATGGTTTCCGAGATACAGCCGGCGTCCTTTCGTAGTGGTACACCCGGTACAATATTAGCTATTAGTAATCGAGAATTTTGTATCAAATGTTAGTAATTTTCTTTTCTGCAGGATTTTTAATACCTATATTAGGAAAATAATTGACAATCTACAACATTGGAGAAAAAATATTATTTATTAGAGTATGATTTATCAAGATTGGATTGATCACAATATTTAGGTTAGTAAGTACCTGTTGAATTAGATTCAAGAACAATAATTGGAGAATAAGGAGGCTGTAATAAGGTATTGATGAATACCTATTTTCAAAATTTTTAGTATCTAAATGATTTTAAGTGTTATATTAACATGTTATTAATCCTATATTACTAATTTCATTCATCATCAATATTTCTATTTATTATTTTTTTCAGAAGTGATGATTCAACACAATTTACATGTATGTACATGATTAGACTATATGAGTACCTATTTCCATTACATGAAAGAAGATAGTTTTTACTAAATCCTTGTTTCAATTCAAATCCCCATAAATATCAAATATCAATGAAACAAAACTCTTAGTTGGTTGTATATTTTCATAAAATCCTTAATGTTTTTTAATTTATGATTTATGAGAATGGATGGAATGGGATGGATTACATATATATTTACATATAAATACACATTTATACACAAATTTGTTTAAATACTTCAGCTTTGATCACTTGAATTGTCTTAAAACTAAAAGATTAATATTATGAATAATTGAATATTACAATAATTGAAAAAAGATATAAAAAATAAATTAAATTTGTTCAGTTTGCTTTTCATAGAAAATTAGAGTAAATATTAAAGCAGAGATTGTTCCAGCATAATTTTTTCAAAACCTGAAGGTGACTGGTGGTTGAAATTATCTAAAATTATGTCCAAAATGGCCCCATCATCAACTGAAAAATAATAATTGTCTGTACACCATACAATATACAGGGCTTTTCACGATGAGCGTTAATTAGACGTTTCTGGCAAACCAGATAACGGATCATTTTGAAAATTCAATAGAGGGCATATTCGGACATTCTCTAGCCAACTAAAATATTTTCGACAATGTGGTGTTGCCGCTTCTATTAGAAAGCAGTAGCAACTTTGATTTTTCAAATAGAACACTCTGTATTTTATTGCATTTTTAGATCCTCCCTGAAGAGCTGATTTCATCGATGTATCACACTTGGGGTCTAGCGGAAATGATTACAGAGATATAGGGTGTGAAAAATCGACATTTTTCAACTTTAGGAATTTTTTTTGTCGAAACTATTCATTATTGGTCAAAACGGCTCACATGTCCCTATCTCAACTTTTGATCAACTATCTACTAACATTTAATTGAAACAAATACAGGGTGGTGCAGAATTCAGAATCTTGATCACCCGGTATATGTCCCAATTAAATATCAGTAGATAGTTAATCAAAAGTTGAGATAGGGACATGTGAGCCGTTTTGACCAATGATGAATAGTTTCGACACAAAAAAATCCTAAAGTTGAAAAATGTCGATTTTTCACACCCTATATCTCTGTAATCATTTCCGCTAGACCCCAAGTGTGATACATCGATGAAATCAGCTCTTCAGGGAGGATCTAAAAATGCAATAAAATACAAAGTGTTCTATTTGAAAAATCAAAGTTGCTACTGCTTTCTAATAGAAGCGGCAACACCACATTGTCGAAAATATTTTAGATGGCTAGAGAATGTCCGAATATGCCCTCTATTGAATTTTCAAAATGATCCATTGTCTGGTTTGCCAGAAACGTCTAATTAACGCTCATCGTGAAAAGCCCTGTATATCTATGTAACTCTTACCATACAAGGCAGGGTATACTGTCCCTTTAACATTACTGACAGGATGATCAATCTCAGTTCCATTTACAAAAAACTTGAGTTGAATATGATCATAAGCAACACCAATTATATCACCTTCTTGGATACTGTGTATTTCCCCAGTACTAGGGTTGTCTGATGTATTTATTTTGTAGAGCTCTTGTTTATTGTGACGAATGATATGATCATGAGAAAGGACCCAAGAAAACTCATCCATTCCACCTTGTGCAAAACTCAAATCAGTTTGTCTTGTAGCCAGACCTATGGCCCAGGACCCACTTTGCTGAATTTTAACCTCAAAGTACGATTTTGATTGTTGCAACGGCGCGTTTCCTAATGCTGCTCCAGAGCCGCAGATTCTTTGACCCCCTTTAACTATCACAACTTCATATCCTGAAAATCACTGATACATTTTGACTTGGAACTGCATAATCAAAATTTACCCATAAATGAGGTGTCCAACTGGATTGGATTTTCCCTAGGGATGTGCGAAACTGTTGGCGAAAACCTGAAATTGTTCAAACATCCTTTCAAACAACAGAAAACAGATAAATTGGACATTTTGAAAGAATGTTCTATTTGTTTTCAAGATTTTGACATTTTACCTAAACTACCTAACCTCTTCAATCTTCTGCTCTGCGCTCTGCTACACTGCTACTCTAACGAACCACCATTAAACAAACTCATAGTGGGACGTTGTTAGAAGTGTTAGGACAGTACAAACCAAAGTACAATTCTATGTACAAACTACTGCAAAGCAAACGACTTAGCAAGCAAATTTAATGAAGAGCAACTTCATCTCAATGAAAATTTCATTCGTGCCGTCATAGAAGTTAGGTTATGTTGACATATTTATTAATATTTCGTTAATTTTTGATCGAAATGGAACAGTTTTTCACTCTCCCTTTCGCGGTGTTGGAAATTCCTCATATGAGATTAAAGAAACCATCATGGCTCAAGCAACCATCAGCTATGATGATGTTTTCAATAGTTCTGGTTTCTTACTTCTTGGTGACTGGAGGTTTGTTTTTCAAAAATGGTTACTTGAATCTGCAATAATTCATTTATAATCCACACTTTTTAGGTATCATTTATGATGTTATTGTGGAACCTCCTAGTGTAGGGTCCACAACTGATGAGCATGGTCATTCCAGACCTGTAAGTAGTTTAAACAAAATCTGTATAGCTTCCCTTTTTTATGTGATATTAATTTTAGGTGGCCTTTATGCCTTACAGAGTTAATGGACAATACATCATGGAGGGCCTGGCTTCTAGTTTTTTATTCTCAATGGGAGGTTTGGGTTTCATAGTACTGGATCATATCCATACCACTTCTACACCAAAGCTCAATAGACTTCTTATTACAGCAGTAGGATTCATTTGTGTTCTGGTGTCTTTCTTCACTACTTGGATCTTTATGAGAATGAAGTTACCTGGATATCTCCAATCCTAATTGAGTTTTGGGAAAAATAGGAACCTTTTTTGTATCCTACTATTTTTTCAGTATCTTTTTTGTAATGTAACAAACTACATGAATCCCCTTGGAATATGTATTTTTCGAAAAATTGGCCCCTTTTTTTATCCAGCCACATGATTATTAGATGGCCTGAATTGAATAGGTTGAAGAACAGAATTATATTATATAGTATGGTTTAATTTTTTTACTAGAATATAAAATATGCAAACAATTCAATAAAAACAAATAATAAATCAGTTTTTAAATAGTAATATGAGAATCAGATCATAATATCACTGTGTAAATGGGTTATCAAATAAACACCAAAGTATATCAAAAAGAATATGTCAGAATGCAGGTAAGCCCTGGTTTGAGCCCTGGTAACCTAAATATTGGAGATTCAATAGATGACTTATGTAGGAAACAAGTGCATTCTTTGGAATGTCAGTTCATAAACGTATTCTGAATGCACTAAAAAACAAAAATTCATCCAATTTTTATACTGTTCTTTTCCACTTACCTCAGAAAATCAGAAGATCTATCTGTAATATGTTCAAACTCAGCAAAAGATAATGAACCATCATCATCCAGATCTGCTTCTTCTAGAATATTTTGGATCACCATATTCATTTCAGATTCACTCAGTTTTTTGTCACCTGTTAGTTTATTGACAACTTTCATCAAATCAGACACACCCAACATATCATCTCCATCAAAATCTGTGGATAAGTTTGATGATTGAAGAACATAAATGAAGGTATAACTACAAAACTATTACCAAATATTCTAAATGCATGCTCTGCTTTTACAGACTTAGGGGAAGTTTCACTGAAAACAGACATCATGTCTAAGAAATCTTCAAAGGTGCAGTCACCATCCTGGCTTGAACTGAATATCATGCAAATTCTTTCACCAAATGGGTTAACACTTAACTCTGGATATTGTAGTATTTTGACCATGGGCAGTTTTGCATTCTTGTTGTGTCCCACTTTTTCTGGGGCTAAAGCTTTGAATTTATGATGAGCACTGAAACAAATATGAAAAATTATTCAAGAATCAAATTTGACCCCATCTTGCTAGTTGCCAGTAATAAACGGGAGTAATGGACTTTAGCTTAGCACTTACTGCAAAACTTCTTTCTTTGTAAAGTATGTCAGGTCCTGCAAAATATCATAATGAAAAATAGGATTGTAGTTTGCATTTTGAATGGAGTTTCACCTGGTAGTCTTGTAATTCCTCATCGGTAAATTGACTTTTTCCCTGGCCCATACCAAGAATATTCAGCTCTGTTTAGTAGTATCTCCACAGTAAACCCTGAATTACTAGAATAGTCAAAATTTGATAAATACCATATGAAAACCAATTATCTTCTATTTTTTTCTCATCTTCTTAACTCTTCTTCTTATATTCCTTTCTATTCGGACTATGATCATCTTAAGGACTATTATCCTTGTCCATGTTAGATTCAACTAGGGTCCGTTGATGCAAACTGACGTATTTGTAACTGTCAGGAAAATGGAAAATGTCAAAATGACGATGACATGATAATATTGATAATAGATAAGAATCATAATTCATGTTATTTAATTTTTTAGCATTCGTCGTGATGTATACTGGCAATAAATTTTCAAAATAATGACCAAAAGTCAACTCTCATTCAGGCTGCGACAAAATGCCCCTCAGCCGATGCGAAAGGAGTCCAAGGAAAAGGGGCACAAGAAGCCTTTGAAGCCCCAAATCAGGTACACTCCAGAAGTTTGGTTAATTCATTTTGCTTGATTATTTTGGATTTTCTTTCCTCAAGCAAAATGAATGTACCACCTAATCTGTTGACCTACAACCAGTATTTAAGTTCAGTTGTATTTCAAACAATTTATGATTTCAGTCCCCCTGTCCCAGAGAGTAATAGTAATAACACAGGACTCATCTTTCCAGCTGGAGATACTGCTTTTAAGACGTTTTTATCAGCTAGATTTTGTGCAGCTATATGGTCTCACATATCAGACTGTGATGAAACATTCAACTTTTGGGAACCTATGCATTATCTCAGTGAGAAAACTCCAATAATTATTGATAATTACTCATTTATTTCAAATGACTGATTCTGGTACTGCATTTTTTCAGTATTTGGTAAAGGACTACAGACATGGGAATACAGTCCAGAATTTGCCCTAAGATCATACTTTTATTTGATGGTGCATGCAGGTCCAGCATGGATTTACCAAAAATTACTTCAACCAAACCCTCTACTGATGTTCTATTTCATCAGGTGTCTTTTGGGGCTCATAAGTGCCATAGCTGAGGTATATTTCTATAAGTTAGTAAGCCATTAATCAATCACAGTATCATTTTTGAATGGTTTTATTTTTTCAGAGCAGTGTGTAGAGAATTTGGAGTACATATTGGTAGGATATGTTTTGTTTTCCAGCTGTTTTCAGCAGGAATGTTCATTGCAAGTACAGCCATGTTACCATCAAGTTTTGCTATGTATACTACTGCTGCTGCTTGTGCTGCTTGGTGGCAGCAAAGATTTGCCTTGGCAATATTTTTTACAGCACTTGGGTCTCTTCTGGGCAAGTGATTATTTACATATCTATACATTATACAGAGATTGACAGGATGTTTTTTCAAGTAATGATTTTTTTGAGTAATATCCATAACTAACTTTGTAGGATGGCCATTTGCTGCACTACTAGGTGTTCCTATAGCATTTGACATGTTGGTACGTAGGAGAAAGTACCTGGATTTTGCAGCCTGGTCAGCTTTGTGTGCTGTGGTTATCTTGGTACCTATGGTCACCATTGATTCTATGATCTTTGGACGTTTTGTAGTAGCACCTCTGAATATCATCAAGTACAATGTACTTGGTGGTGCTGGTCCCAGTTTATATGGTACTGAACCTTTCACATATTATTTATTGAATGGTTTTGTCAATTTCAATTTTGTTTGGGTGAGTCCATGCATTTCATGAAACTCATTAGATATTCAATCTCACAATATGCCTTACAATTTAATTGAAAATTGAGTAGAGAACATTTCAAGTCAGTTGATATTCTAGAAATGAACTTTCATAATGGATAATCCATGGGAAATTTTGTTTTCAGGTTTTGGCACTATTGAGTCCCATAGCAATAACTCTCAACCACTTTTTTGTGCCTGCTATGAACAAATGCACTTATTACCTGCCCTATTGGCTGTCCTTGAGCCCCATGTACTTATGGCTTGTAGTTTTCATGTTGCAAGAGCACAAAGAAGAGAGGTTTCTGTATCCCATTTATCCATTGATTTGTCTTAGTGGTGCTATCAGTGTGGATATCATTCAAAAGCTGTGCTTCAGGTTATGGAATATTGTAAAAAAAATGCCACAAGGGACTCACTATTTGGACAAGACAATGTTTGTGATGATTTTGACAATAATCATCACATCTTGGTTAGGTGAGTTCACTCATAATATACTTACTCTTGCCTTCTTTGATGCACTTTTTTATTGAATGTTATTTTCAATATTTGAAGATTTGAAAATAAGATTCAATAATGATCTATTTGAAGTAAAAGGTAAACAAATAAGTCAAATTTTTGGGCAGAAGTGATTTCATTTCATCTGAAATTCAAATGACAATGAATAAAAATTACCCTTTTTAAACCTTTTTGGTAGTTCAGGCTTGAAGCTGCTTGGAGCAATTCTAGTGTTTTTACTGTAGATAAAATGGACATACATACATACATAGTAAATAACATTCATATATAAAAATACTAGGGTCACAGAAGAATTGATGGAAAATTATAAAAGAATGATGATAACTATTACAAGGTCATAACCTCATTAACCAAGGACTCGGGAACTCATAAAAACGGGAAAAAAACTTTTCTATTGTATTTTTTTTTAAAATTTTTTGTTGAATAAAAATTAAGGCAAATTTTAATGAATAACTTTTCAAAAATGTGTTCTATAGAAAAGTCAACAGTTTGATTATGAAATAAAAGATGAATCCTTGTTGCATGTCCAAAGACTTGGGCATTTTAATTGATAGTAAGTTGACATTCAAACAATATAAACTGGGCGTCAATTGAAACGTTAATAGTGAAATTTCACATCAAGTTTGACTTCTCGTAATTTCTAAAATATTGAACGAATTTTGAATTGCCGCCCAGATTCTGAATGCCTTTTTCATCGTCTTCCGAAGCATTCCTTACAGCTTCTTCTAAATTGATCAGGACCCGTGATACAGGGTGAAACAAAGTTTCGTGCATTTTGAAGAAAATTTCTCCGCCCCCTCATTTGGTCGGAAGACCACGATGCTCATATTTCATTCGGGCATTTCATAAATAGCAACCATACCTCGGGACGTTTTAGAGTTTTTGCCAAAAACTACTGTGGTTTCCGAAAAAATTTTTTTTTTTATTTTTTTTTAAATGGACTGATTACCTGTATCCTCAAAACGATGAATCAGTCTATTTATTGTCATAAATGACTTATTGAAAATTGTACTTAAATGAGTTTGGGTATATCCTAATCGTCGTAGCCTGAAATAATAATTATCTGTAAAGAATTATAGTTTATATCACTATAGTGATCTTACCTAATGATTTTCCATTTCGACCCGATTTGAACGAGGCATCTTTAATTTTTTTAGGATCCGAATTACACTGACGTTTTCATGAAAATTGGCAATTGATATAACCTCTATGCATATCTACATTGTTTCAACAATACGTTGTTATAGAAACAAGGTATCGTTGTTTGTTTTTGTTGATGAGATGTGTTGATTTACTGCTCACAAAGGTAGAAAACTTTTATCATAGACTGCAAAGTAATAAATTATTGATTGTTTTTGAGTAACCTGGTATACATATCAGCTCCAACGCTTTCCTGAAATGCATAATAGCATCCATTCATGGAACTCCTCTAAAATTAGTCCATTTAAAAAAATACAAAAAAAATTTTTTTTCGGAAACCACAGTAGTTTTTGGCAAAAGCTCGAAAACGTCCCGAGGTATGGTTGCTATTTATGAAATGCCTGAATAAAATATGAGCATCGTGGTCTTTCGACAAAATGGGGGGGGCGGAGAATTTTTTTCAAAATGCACGAAACTTTGTTTCACCCTGTATCACGGGTCCTGATCAACTCAGAAGGAGCTGTAAGCAATGGTTCGAAAGACGATGAAATAGGCATTCAGAATCTGGGCGGTAATTCAAAATTCGTTCAATATTTTAGAAATTACGAGAAGTCAAACTTGATGCCAAATTTCACTATTAACGTTTCAATTGACGCCCAGTTTATTTTAAAAGTAGCCACTATTGGCTATAGAAACCTTGGATTTGTTATTATGAGAAACACAAAGGATATGTAACTTAATAGTTTAAAACTATTATACTGTGCACTTGTTTGGTCAGGCTTAGAATATGCTTCTATGATATGGTGTCCTTACTACAGTGGTGATATAGGGACAATGGGCGTGTACACCTTAGTAGAACTTTTAACTCAAACCATGTTTATAATGATCCTTTCATACATAAATAATGATTGACGACATAATTCGATCGAAAAATTAACTGGAGTGTTTTATTTTTGGACATAAATAATAGTACCTTCTGAAAACGGACCCTCTTGTAGAAACCTCATCTCGCCATAGTTAAAAGAAAATACCAAACGCCCGACGGAGACTGAGGCAACTGATATATTAATTCTTTCAACTGTGATCTCGCGCTGATTCACTCTGTCAGAAATCATGTATCATTCATCTCTGTCTGGAATAGTCTTGTTTCAGTATTAGGGTTTTGACGTCACATCATCACCTCGTTTTCAGAGGTCCTAAAAATCGGGGATTTCAATATTTTTTTATAAAACGTAGGGAGCTCACAGCAAGAAACGGTTTGCGGTAGTGAGCTAGTTTGGGTGAGTTCTATCGAGTTATGAAATGAAATTTTTTGTAATATAAGCCCATTAAAGGAATACATATAAATATTTTAATCAACCAATCCTTGCAATGACTATAGCAGGAACGCATATACTCTCCTATCATGCTCCTATCCAATTTTTCTTGTTTTCAGGGGTGTCGAGGGTATTTTCTCTTTACCGTAACTACCACGCCCCCTTGGATCTCATGATGGAACTGAACCGCTATCCCACGGAAGTAAACATACCCGACAGAGCGCAAGTCAACGTTTGCTTTGGCAAAGACTGGCACAGGTAATGTATTTTATAGTTATTTATAATGGTCTAGCCAACAGAATAAAATCTATCAATCTTGTCACAAAAGTCAAGAGTGAAATGAAAAAATATATTGCATCAATACAAACTTCTTCTTTATATCCATTAATTCTGATCAAACTGTTCATATTTCATTTCAAAGAATAGATAGGCGATTTATTGTTTATTCATCTATTTTTCTTGTCTTGCCATGAACATGTGTTTCTTGGGATCAATAATAGTAGTTATTTGTTTTACTAAGCAGAAAAGCACAAAATTTAATGCCGCTGATGGCATTTCATAGCCAAGGCGTAACCTTTACTGCCTACTGCCTGTCAAAAAAAACATTTTCAACACGTTGACTGCCGCAGTATATGAAAAATTTTGGCCCCCCCTGGGCTATTTTGTCATTATCATGAGTTATGATTGAAACTATCGTTACTTCAACAGGAAATATGAGTCAGATGTGGAAAAAATTTATATTTTTGATTCTATTCCACATTTTTCTCATTTTCTTTTTCCTATAGATGCAGAATCAGTATGTAGAAGGTCAGATATTAGAGTTGAGTGGTTTTTCACAAATACTGGTAAAAGAAAAAGCAACAAACGTAGCACAGCATAAAACCCCAAGTTCTATGTAGGTACCTACTAAAGTAGTGCATGTGAAAAATTTTCATTAATTATTTTTTCATTCCTAACACTAAGAAACGGAGCATATTCAAGTATTTTCATGGGACTGGAATATTTATTTATTGAACCTATGTTCGGTAGCGCCAAATTTACAGAAAATGCTGAAATAAAAAAAAACTAACAATGCATTCTTTCCTTGGGTTTTCGTGAATTTGGGTCTTCCTCGCCAGGAAGATTGAGATCCCATGCTAATATATGCTTCAAGGCACTCACCATGTGCCAGGAAATATTCATGAGTTGACTGATGTAGGGCACATATGGTGTGCCTTGAAACCTTGATAGCTAAAATGGTAATAAGGCATATATGCCTTGTGCCTTGTGGTGAGTACGGACACTAGACAAGCAGTGACAATCAAACATAACCACAAACGATTTTGAAGCAAATCATGTTTTGCCAGATAAGGGCAAGAATATGTTTTTCGCTTAGATAAAGGATCCTGGCATCTTCCATCCTCCACAAGTCCTGGGAAGAGTACATCCATATATCTTTCTCTGTCTTTAATTTTTGTATGAGAGTGCATAGCGTCTCCTCGAGTGGGTTAAAGGGTATGATAAATTGATTAGAAAATTATTTCTTCTCGAAATATCGAATGATAAGGCTGAAGGACCTCAATGGAGGTCGATATGGGGTAAAAACTGATAAATTCCAACCAATGAAACATACTTTCATTTCGTATGGAACAATTTCACTTGTACAAGAGTGGTAGGTAATAAGTTATTAATAAATTAACAAAAGATATGGCAACAATAACAGCTGATTCCAGTTAGGATGAATAATAAAGGTTCTCCAAGACATACGGAAGTAGGTCTAAATGGACTTCAGCGCTCGACTGACTATAGATCGCCGTTCACGTTGCTAAAGGGGATTGTTGGTTTGAACCCGGCCATCGGAAGGTCATTCTCAAGTCTTTTTCTTTCAAAATATGTTCGAAATGAATTTCATTATCTGCAAATTTTTCGTTTCTTGTTGGTTCTAAATTGGAATAAGGTTCTTTTTGATACTAGCTCAGTTTATAAATTGTGGGTCCGGCTCTTTCACTCAACACGATCCTATTCTTCAATATCAAACCTTCCGTTCTGAAGTGTACCTGATAAAAATGCGTTGAGAAAGAGTTGAGTTCGGTATTGACATCAGACTGCTCCGATCAATCTGTGTCGTTCGTTTATGACATCTAGATGTAGGAGAAGTAATTCTCATCCGTTCGGCAATTAAAATCGGAGCGAACCGACGACGATTTTCATGCTCCGAGAATTTTGACCAAGCAAAGTGATTCATCTGAATTTGCGAGTTTAGGTGTTAATTGTTCAAATTTCAAGTGCGTTGTATTATTTTATTATTCACTTTTTGTGAAATTCTTGAGAAAATTAATGTTGAACAAAAAACCACATAAAACCGTTGAGTAATATGTGTCCCAACAAGAATTAAAATACTTTGCACCGTTCGTTTATTCCAATTAATCTTTATGATCCTTGGTCACATGACATAAATCCCTCGCATCTCGGATGGAATTGCCGAACTCGACTAATGTTCTATATCCTACCAAGAAATTTGAATACCTCGCAAATTTTGTGGCCTGAACCTATATTCCATGCCGGCTGCATCATATTCTGTTTCCATTTTTGTAGAATTACGTTATCCGATGGAAATTCGAATAGAGTGAATTGATTTCCCATGTTCCCACAGTTGGGAACTGCACAACTTGCATCTTTCTCCTAATTCTCTCAATTTGTCAAACCTTTGAAATTCATGTCGTGTACGTCCGTGTACTGTCAGTTCCCGCTTTTCCCATCAATTTATTTGTGGTTATGTCTGATTGTCAGTGCTTCTCATAGTGTCCGTACTCTAATATACAAAAACGTCAAAGCTGCAGTGTCAAGAACATTTAGGAACTCTAGTGGTATTATTATTATTAGGTATCCGAGCTCGTTCTTCTTGCCCAACCAGAACTGGAACGTTCGTTTCATCAAATCGGAGTTCGACGGGATGTTGCCGGCGCCCTACACGGGCGGTGAGAATGCCACGACGATCGTTCACGAGCATTTCAACGACCAAAATCGAGAGGTATGAAATGGGCCTGTTTCAGTGAAAAAATGTATTACATTATTTTGAAGAACTGACCTAAACTTGTTCAATGTCGCAAACCGATTTTTCCTCTAAGTTCTGTACATTTTTTAAATAATTCATGAAATTCACCAATTTTATGATGAACGCGGGACAACGCGTGACATCATACAGTCTGTATAAGATTTCTTTGTGTGTGAATGAAATTAGCATAGACCTACGCGGAACTTGCTATCCACTTCAGACTTGCATAAGTTATGACATCGTTTTTGAACTCAACGTCTTAAAAGCTGGAATACAGAGGTGTACGTATGTCGAGACACATTTGAATCGGCTAATTCAGAGGCGTGCAGTAGGTGCTGAAATGACATCGTTTTGCGTGGCCGTTGTCAAATATTCAACATGCCAGGAAGACGTTTGAATTCGCAAGCACGAAGTCTTGTATCGAATTTGTTACAATATTTCACAAGAGAGAAAGATAATAATGGTCCTTTATACCGTTTACTTCCATACAACAGGTAAATCATATTTCTTCCTGACCAATAATAAAATTAGTCAGACTTTACTTCAAGAATATCATCATGATGTACATAATTTTAGCGTGTCGCTGATGCCCTCAATATTAATCTGCGGACAGTTTCGAGTATTGAAGCACACTCTGAGAGAAACGGAAGTTTGAGTACGCCAGGGAAATCTAGGACTAAAAAAGACCCAAGACAGTAAGTAGATCTGGAAGATAATTTGAAAGTGGAAGTACGCAATGTGATCTATACTATGTATGCAGAAAGTAAGTGATTTCATTTGATACTTCTTGACTACCTTCCAACTGATTATTTTACAGAAAAACACATATTATTGACGCAAGTATAGGCACATTAAGCAAACTTCTCACAAATGTATGATTCGAATATAAAAAAAGAAGACAATTTCAGAACAACAACAACATATGACCTTGAATTGATTTGATTCGTTTTTTGAAGTTGTGACGTACGCGCAAAGAAATATTATACAGACTGTATACCACGATCAATCCATTGCAATGGAGAAGACAACTAAGGAATGAAATCTTTCCAAACCTCTTTTAATCGATGGATGATGATTTACATTTAATGTACAATCAATATTATAAATTAAAGTTGAAGAGAATCGAATCTATAGCAGCATATTCCATTCCATATTTCAGAAAAGGCAGGTATGATGGTGGAACCGTGACGTATTAGTCCCAAACTGTTGCTATCTCTCTCTGATACCTTACCAGTCTGCAATGTTGCATAGTGTGATTGGTCAGCTCAAGGACAATAAGCGTGTTGGGACTAATACGTTATACCAGTCACACCAATTAATTGACATTTCAATTGACGCAAGTGTGTGTTTTGAAATAAACATATTTCAATTTATTTCTTTCTGTGACGGAAAAAAAAGTTTAAAATTTCATCTCTGTTGACAGGTTATGAAATGTCACTTCATAAATTATTTTTTTACCACGGGATATATATCACATATACCGGGTGTCCCAGTATAACTGTTCCAATGAATTATCTCAGCCATTTCTAAAAATGAAAAGTCGAAAATTTCACGTTCTCCAATTCGTTCAAGGAAGCTTCAACTGAGAAAACGGTTTGACCGGAAGTGACTAACTTTTTTATTTCAAATAGCACCCTGTTCATTTTTCGCAATTTTTGATTTCTACTCAAAATTACCGGTTTAACGATGTATCACACTTCGTGTTTTAAACTTGATTTGATGGAGAAAACGACAATTAAAATTTCAAATTGAACGAATTGCAGTAGGCTACGATATTTTTGTAATCTTGATTTTGACTTCAATAATAATTTCAATTGGAATTGTAGTAGATCATGTAGTTTTCAAATTTTCATCTTTCAAAATGGCTGAGATAATCTATTGGAACAGGTATACTGGGACACCCGGCATAAGTACTGTTGACGGCTTATTTGTGCTATATTTCCGAAAAATAAGCCAATAACTCCGTCTCCGAGAAAGAACTGCAAGTCCTTTTATCTTCCATTCCACTTCGCTGTTATGTAAATTATTGAACAACCACTAAACTCGCAATTTTTTGAAATCAAATCACAGAATCAGACGACTAGATGTTAGACAAGGAAAGATTTATCGGACCTCTTTATATTTCAATGCGGCCACGTTGGTTGCATTGAAGAGAAAGATGGAAAAGGAGAGAACTCTCCTCTTTCTTGGTTAAGGGGGCCAGGTAGCCGTGCGGACAGAGTGTCTATATTCTAATCCGCATTCGCTTGCCGGTCGTGGGTTCGAGTCCCGTCGACTGCAGAAATTTTTCTGATGGCCCAAGAAAGTGTTTGGGATCACACGTTAAAAGGTAAGGCCCCCGTCATTCCTTGCTCGCACAAGACTCTCGAAGACTTCTGAGGGTTGCTCGTAAGGGGGCAACCGAATGACGGATAGAACAATTTTAGAACAATTTTAGGTAGAAAAGTGCTCAATTCACAATGAATACATTATATTCAAAATGAAAACATTTAGATCGTATCACTCGCAGAATGACAGAAATATTAGCAATATTCTATTTACCTTGTTACATTCTCACTACTGAGATCAATTGAGTTAGAATAAGGTGATGAGACGGATCTGAGTTGCCGATTGAATAAAAAGAACACGTTTTTTTCTGTCAGGAAGGGCAAGGGAAGCAAACATAACCCAACATAATTCAACTAAAATTTAAAATGGCTGAGGAAATTAATGAGGAGCATAGAAATATTATTGTAGTGAGTATTCAAAGGATTTAACCTGTGGACTGAAACTTCAAAGCTGAAAGCATGTCAAAATGAAAATATAACCGCACAATTTTCAGCACAGAATCACTATAATCAATCCAGTCTTTTTTCTCACTACAACACCAATGGGGTGAGGGGGAAGAAATAGTCTCAATAAGTTCTTAAGACAACTCACATCAGACTAAGATAAATGAAACATGTAATGCAACTGAGCTATTGAGCTGCACTGAGAATCTTGGTTAATCTGTCAAAGTTGGTAAAAAGAATAGAATTATTTGTCATTCTCGAATCTCTCAATATTTCAATGTGGCCACGTTGGTAGCATCGAAGAGAAAGATGGAAGAGGAGAGAACTCGCCTCTCTCTCGTTCAAGTTAGAAAAGAGATCGTCTCATTTTATGGTATCAACATCTGTATCAATTCGGCGTTTTTCATGAGCATAGTATATCTTTTATATCGTAGGTGCCTAACCTATACCTGGACATTGGAAAGTGCCATTTTTTGTTGGATTCGAACTTTGGAAAAGATACTCCTCTGGAGCCCATTTACGAAAACAGAAAAGAATGGCGGGTGATCAAGAGCTATCCATTTTTGGACGCAGAAAAATCCAATAGGTATCTCAGGGTTTTTTTCATACCGTTTTTGACTGATAAATACGTCGTATATGGTAATTTTAGTCTGTTACAGTCGACGAAATTGAAGATTAAGTGAATGTTGAATGGTTTTTGTAGTTTTTTGTACATTCCAGTGAAAGTGTGACCGATATAGTTAGTTGATTTTTTTGAATGCAGGCAGGATATAATTTTTTCACGTACAATTTCTGAACAGGGTACTTTTCTAGATATTGGAAAACTGTCATTTTATAAAATTTCGCGACAATTTATTGTTTTTTATTTTTATTCGTGGGGCAATATCTACAAAATAGCACATTTACGAAAAACGTACCATGGTTTTGCCAAAAATAGATTTTTTGTTAGTTTTTCAAAGTTTTTGTATAATTTTGTTACCAATAAATGTTGTCTTATGAAACTTGTGCTTTGATTTAATTCACAGGGTAGTTGAAAAAATGGATTATTGTTATTACTAATATAAACAACTTTATTTAACTCACATGAAGAATACTTGTGTATATAGGAGTAATACGAAAATTAAAAAAAAAATCAACTGAAGCAGTATAGAAATTGTATAATCCTATACAATATTAAAACACCCTATAAACATGTCAGTCAACAACTAGAAAATAAGAAATAATACAAGGGCATATATTTACAAGACAAAAATTCTCCAAATGTATAAAAAAATTCAGATCGATTTAGATTATAGTTGAAAAATGTACATCTATTCACAGTTATAAGCAAATTGAGTGCCAAAAAAATTTAAGAAAGTAAACAAACAAAACGGTTTTTTCAAAAATGCATGCAATTTTTTCGTAAACAATTTGCAGATTGAGTTGGTCTTGACGTTCTGAGTTTGGCAGTCAATTTGCTCCAAGCAAAGTTCAACATCCACATTATATCTTGACTGTTCACTCGTTTCGTTTCTCTTGAAAAATTCATTCCAAAATGAGAAATGCTGTGATTCTCAAAATAACCTCGGAAAAAAGAGAACTCTCCTCAAATGCTTGCTTCAAAACAGACCATAATCGAATCCACTAACTCCATTGTAATATTAAGTAGAAAAATTTCCAAACAGAAATATCAAAGCTACTTATATACAGCAATCGTTAGTTTGTCGTAAGGAATAAAATTCAGAAAAAAAAATCCCAAGCTGGAAAACCGGATCTAAACTCAATATATTCTTATAGTTGGTAATCACAAATCATTAATTGAAAATGCAATCCAATATCTTCCAGGAAGATGAGTCAGTCCTGGCCAGGTTGGTAGCAACAATCCAAATGTTTACTAACCAATATTGCCGATATTATGTTAGTCGAATCCATGAAAAACTTCAGACAAATAGTGGACTGACTTGACTGTGAAGGGTAATCATTTTATATCTCATTCTCCCTCATTTTTGGACTATATCAGATATTTGAGATGACAAATTTTTGTGAGGAGAAATAGGAGTTATACTTCTGCCAAATTTCATAAAATATCACCTGGTATATTAATATTTACTTACAGAACAATATTGTACTTACAAGATACTATGTAACAGTGAATTCGTAATCTAGTCCAAAAATAAACAATATAATCTTGAGTTAAAATCTGAAATAATTATGCACTCTGTGAAATGTTCAAAATGTTCATATTCCAGTGCAATTTGTTTGCTCAGGGTTTCAAAGGTAGAGTAGCCACTGATGATACTTTTTTAATTCTGGGAGAACAGTGAACATTATGTTATTCAAAGGTAAAATAAACACTTATGTACAATGTTCAGAGATGAATATCAAAACTATGAGTTAGTATTAATATAAAATTGAAACAAAAGTAGAAATTATACAATGAAAACTGAGATTGCTGACTTATGACAATACCGACTTTCATCTCAGGTTTATAAAAACTCGGAAATTTATATCTCAATCATAATTAAAAAATCATCAGTGGTCACTACGTCATCAAAGTCAGAACAAAATCTTATCACAATTAGTGACCAACGTCCAAAATGGTCGCTCACACTACGTCAGGTTTCAGTTTACGCATCCGCTATAGTTCATGTCATCGTTCTTGGCATGTACTCAACACCCAGCGTATCACTGCTTACAGTACTATCTCTCTCTTATCCAATCCAATATCATTATATGCCCAACTAATGTCCACGTCTTCTATGGAATACCGGATCTACTCAAGGTAGGATATCAATTCTATGGCAATGATTCCATAGAATTATCCCCACCATTCGAGATTTCATTCATTTATCTGTGTTTAGCGTTTAGGATTGTCGGCTTATACTTTTTGATGACTTCGCGGTGTCTATTCATTGTTTTTTAGTATGAGATTTAACCAACCTTGAACCTACTCATATAATTCGACGCGCCAAAGACGTCCGGGGAGGAAAGGAAAAAGATGAAGACGTTCAGTCATCACAGCATAGAGTATCTAAATAATTTGGTTCTGCAGATAGCGTCTCTTCCATCAAGTCACGTACGATATGACTGACTGCACTTTTGAACTGATACCACTATTTCTAGCGAGCGCTTGAGATTCCGTTTTCAAATTGACAGTTGACATTCATATTGTGCTCTGGGATGACATTCTTCCCGACTGTCACTTTTAGGAGCCAGACTAAATACTCAGTTCGCGTGGTGGTGACGACGTAAAGTTCATCCAAAATCAGTTGGACCGACGCCGCGCGGTGTGGGAGATGCTGCAATGTGGGACTTTGCTTCCAAGTTGCCAACCTAAACACCTTTACCACTGTAGAAGAAATATTATGGGATTTAGATTACTCAAATAGCTTTATTTTGGTGAAATCTGATTGTAGGAGTCTACTCAGCTTCTAACGAAAGTTATTCAGAAGAAAAATTAGTTTTTGTGAACTTCACATCTGACTTGTTGAAAATCATGTTGGTGCATCTGCGGTACGGCAATACTGAAATGTCAATACTTTCAATAGTGTCACGAGTAGTCACCAGTAAAAAATGGTATATCAATGAATCACTAAATATCAGTAAATTCGAATCACGTTCGAACGAATAATGAAGAAACTCTCATGACAAACGTGCAAACCTATAATAAACTGGATGTGAGGGTTCCAAACTCATCTGGTCTGGGGCTACTTTCGACTCGTCGTAATGGTAATCAACGTAACATTGTTATCAGGTCTTTATATTTATTGTTGTTTATTTATATTTCCTCATTACCCATAATATCTCGTTATAATAAAAATTGTGATGTTTGAATAGTCTTGTGATATGTATCTCTATTATTGGAAACTTTGACTAGTTTTCATCAAAGATGGGCCGTATAAGCTTTAAAAGTATTCATTGAATGAATTATTTTCCCCATTGTTATTTTTTCAATAGGAAAATGCTTATTATCACCACAGTACACACCCTTACGAAAAACAGTGATTTCTGTCAGCACTTTTCGTGTCCTAAAAATCGTAGTAGGCATGTCCATTCGTGACTAGTATGCGCAGTTGTTCTGCTAGCAGGGTAGGTGTTTTGTTGACGTTTGTTTGATTTATATGCTTTTATGATTCATTCTGTGATAGGAACCACGAGTATCACGATTCATTTATTGTATCTAGTATTGTTTTGTGAACCACTTATTCCTGATTGCTGGTATAATTATTGTGCTCCATAAACTTTATATGTATATTACTGCTCATGGAGCTGTTTATCACTAGAAGATAATGGCTGCCTGTTGTTTTATTTGTAGCAAAAATTGTAGGACTGATTGCATAAGTTTCTTCAGATTTCCAAAAGATGAGCCACGGTAAGAAAAAGTGTAACAACAGACATCTATGATCTGTTTGTTATCATAGAATAAACACGGTGTGTTATAAACCCTATGTTTAAATATAAATCTCAATGTTTTCCCAAGTGGTTGATAGGCTATTTATTTATTTGAAGCCGGACCTGTTCACATAAAATTCAGGGACTTCGCAGCATTCCTCAGTGATGACGATAGAGTCGTCATTGGCTTGTCATTGGCTCGAACAAGCCCAAAACGCGCAAGTCTGTGCGTGATGGTATGCGCACTAATCTGCCAAAAAATACAACTTGTGGACACCAACATCAAACGTTCGACACTAAGTGAAAGCACTGTTTTCCGTAAGGGTGTATACTGTGTTATTACATACAGTTATGTTTGTTTTTATTTATGATATCGACTGTGACTTCCTCGTTTCCACAGAGTTGTGGTCTCATCCACCTGAAGACACCTCCTTCGGTTATTTTTCATTTCAGGAGAAGGTTGAAAATTCATTATTTTATTCTTACAAAGTCATGTGTCTGGATCGATTTTTAGCACTCAAATGAAATATATTCTTACTTCCTACTGCAAAGATCAAACTTCTTTACCAAAGAATGATAAATAATAGTGTTGCCCATAAATAAAATAGTCTTAAATATGTAACAAGTAATAAAATTGACGATGATATGACATATTTCAGAATGAAAGCAAGTACATCAACATCACTTTCAACTAACCAGAACTGGAGTTCAAAACAATTAATTATTCTCCTGGATAACTTTTATTAGTGAGCTGAGTAGACTCCTACAATCAGAAGTGATCAAAATAAATCCATTTGAGTAATAAAACTTCCATAATGCTGCATCTACATTTTTGGGGTTTTTAGGTTAGCAACTTGGAGCTAAGTCCCCATTGACTTTGGATAGACTTCACCCAGAACGGTGACACAAACTAGACCAATGAAGGAAAGTGTGGAATTTCGTGCAAGATAATTTATTCAAATTTATTACTCGTAGCAGAGCGTTGAATTGAATTTGTAACAATTTTCAAAAAAAAATGATTCAAACAATTTTTTCAAATTTTTCAATATTTTCCAATAGCTAAAAGCAGATTACTACAGGTATGCACTGATGATGATTTAACAGTCGAAAGCGCTCTGCTACGAGTAATAAATTTGAATAAATCATCTTGCAGGAAATAAAACACTTTCCTTCATTGGTATACATATACAGGTTGAGTCATAACTATTGGGACATAGGCTAAGGGCGTATTGTTCGGACCAAAATATGGCAATAGGAAGAAATATGCCTTTATAGAATATTGCTGTGGAAATAGAGACAGGGTGTTGAAGTTGACTTTTTATTTTCACTGTATATTCATCAATTGTTATCAAAATTGGCACAGAGGCATAACTTCATACAGGGAATATTATTTTATGTACTTTTCTACATTTTGCAACAGGGGGCGCCATATTATTTCATTCATCAAGAGTGTGCTTTGAACTGTCAGATAATGTTGCTGGTAATGGCATTTCTTGTCAGAAAATGAATTTTGGTGCGAGTTTATAGTCAAAATTTTTTCGATTGAAATGTCTCGTCACAATCATTTCATGAATGAATAAATGCGGGATGCAACCAGAAGGTATGAATTGTAATATCTCTAATATCTAGACAGAAAGCAACCAAATCACAAAACTTTCTCAAATATATTTCATATACAGTGAAATTATTAGCAAAAAACCGACAAAAAACAAAAAAAATTAACTCAAACGCCCTGTATCTCTTTTCACAGCAATATTTTATCAAGACATGTTTGGCTCAATCGTCATATTTTGGTCCAAACAATCCGCCCTTAGCCTACGTCCCAATAGTTATGACTCACCCTGTACAGTGTGTCCCACTTACCATGCTCACCATGGGTATCTTTTTAACGGTGAGAGATACAAGGTCGGTTAAATGACACCAAATGTGGAGTTTGTCAAGGCCAACTATAATGTGAAAAAATATTTTGATAAAATCTATTCGTTTTTGTTTTATACGCAAAAAACAGATTTTGATCATTTTCATGTCTCCTCCGTAACTTCTTCATTTATGAAAATATTCAAATAGAAATTTCACATTCTTATGGCAGTTTTTCAAAGTGATTTCGAAAAAAATATGAAATTTATTCCAACTCTTCTAGAATTTGAGATATCAGCACCAACTTTGGTTTTTCAAATGTAGGTCAGAGCTCACTATGACTTAGTTACTAATAACTTTTTTTTCTCTTACAGATGATATGTCGCAGTAATAGTTTTGTGTTGATAACAACGGAGTTATCGTCATTTATACAAAAACAACAAATTATTTGGAAGCCGCCATCTTGAATTTATAAATTTTAACAAAAAAATCATGAACTCCGACCTCAAAAACCTCCACTCACCAATTTTGGATGGAATCGGACCAAATCTTGTCCGCCATCTTGGAGCAGCCATTTTTGTCAATTGATGGCGGACAAGATTTGGTCCGATTCCATTCAAAATTGGTGAGTGGGGGTTTTTGAGGTCGGAGATCATGATTTTTTTGTTAAAATTTATAAATTCAAGATATAGGCTTCCAAATAATTTGTTGTTTTTGTATAAATGACACAAAACTATTATTGCGACATATCATCTGTAAGAGAAAAAAAAGTTATTTCTTACTAAGTTATAGTGGGCTATGACCTACATTTGAAAAACTAAAGTTGGTGCTGATATCCCAAATTCTAGAAGAGTATAAATTTCATATTTTTTTCGAAATCACTTTGAGAAACTGCCGTGAGAATGTGAAATTCCTATTTGAATATTTTCATAAATAAAGAAGTTACGGAGGAGACATGAAAATGATCAAAATCTGTTTTTTGCGTATAAAACAAAAACGAATAGATTTTATCAAAATATTTTTTCACATTATAGTTGGCCTTGACATCCTTGCCTTGACAAACTCCACATTTGGTGTCATTTAACCGACCTCGTATCTCTCACCGTTAAAAAGATACCCATGGTGAGCATGGTAAGTGGGACACACTGTATACACGTGCACACAGCTAAGTATCCCTCACACAAACTACACCAACCGAATCACCCCTCTCGACCCTCAATCCTCCTCGAGCACCGTGGTCACCGGCATGGCGTACGCAGCCCTAGCATGCGCCGGCGCCCTAGAGGTCTCCGCGGCGCTGATGCGCGGCCCCCCCGCCTGCGCCGCCGATGGGCACGCGACCGAGGGGGCCGTCGCTGTGGTCGTCTTCAGTTTGGTGAAGACGTTCGAGCCCATCGAGTAGAACTTGGTGCCGGGGTGGGCGATGGGGCCGTTGCCCACCAGCTCGTAGTTGCCCGGGGTGGTTTCGATGACGGTGATGTGGTTGCCCGACGAGGCGACCGTCTGAGGAAGGCAACGTGGCGTCAGATCGACCGGGATAGGGGGTTATGGGGACTGGAGTTCCTAAATGTACTTGACACTGCTGTTTTGACGTTTTTTGTATAGGTCGCGTGCACGAAGACCGACCCTGGAGGCAAAATATTGAAACACAACCTCATTCTTCTGTGAATTATTGAAACACAACCTCACTTTTTTATTTGGTTACTGAGGAAAAGGTTGAAATAGTTTTTCACAATATTTTGGCATACGAATCGTGTTTCTTGCGTTATTCATTAATTCAAGCATGCCTTCGCAATGTGCTGTTGCACAATGCACAAAAAATGCAGCAAGAGACTAGGGAATATGATTTTTCAGGTAAATAGTAATCTCACATAGTTAGCATTATGAAATGTTGTCATTCCTTATTAAAATTCCTTCTGCCTTCTGCCACTTTTGCAATACAAGCTAATGCTGCTAATAGATTGAAAATGTCTACAACACACACGATCGTCAGCATGTCAGACCAGTCCTACCGATTGATTGCATGAATCCAATCTTCTTGCATTATTCTAGAAATTCCAGGTATATTTCTATTAGCTGGTCCTATTGCAGAAGGAATTCCGATGAGAAATCAGAGAAATAACCAAATTTCAAAAATGAAAACTATGTGAGTGACTATAGTAGTAGGTACTTACTTTTGAATCATAATGTACCATCCGAATTTCTTCATCTTCCGCTGCAGTTTTTGTGCATTTTACAACAGCTCAATGTGATGGCATTAGCGAATTGATGAATAGCGGAAAAATACGATTCATATGCCAAAATAATTGTGGAAAACTATTTCGATCACTTGTAAACAAATATGTTTTGCCTCCAGGGTCGGTCATCTGACAGTTCTTGCACGCGACCTATATTAGAGTACGGACACTATGACAAGCACTGACAATCAGACATAACCACAAATAAATTGATGGAAAAAGCGGGAGCTGGCAGTACACGGACGTACATGACATAAATTTCAAAGGTTTGTCAAATTGAGAGAATTAGGAGAAAGATGCAAGTTTGTGCAGTTTCCAACTATGAGAACACGGGAAATCGATTGACTATTCGAATTTTCATCAGATAACGTAATTCTACAAAAATGGAAACAGAATATGATACGGCCGGCATGGAATATAGGTTCAGGCCACAAAATTTGCGAGGTATTCAAATTTCTTGGTAGGATATTGAACATTTTTCAACGCATTTTTATCAGGTACACTTCAGAACGGAAGAAAAGGATCGTATTGAGAGAAAGAGCCGAACCCACAATTTATATAAACTTAGCGAGTATCGAAAAGCACCTTATTCCAATTTAGAACCAACAAGAAAAGAAAAACTTGCAGATAATGAAGTTAATTTCGAACATATTTTGAAAGAAAGACTTGAGAATCGAATTTTTAGAGCAGAAATATTCAAAACTCCAAGGTTTACGAGTGGAAGAGAGTGAGGAATTCAGGAAACAAGTAGAAGAAAAACATAGAGAGTTGGAAAATAAGTAAACGCAGAAAGATTTAGATACAAAAGTCAGAGTTAGCAAAATTCAGAGCTATTACCTAAACATTATTTCAGATTTGAAACAAAATCAGCAAATATCTTCAGAGAAATACAAGGAAATTGAACAAGCAAATATATACAGTATGATGCAAATGTATGGAATAAATTCATTATTTCAGAAATGGGCGACATCTAAAAAAATTCCAAAAACACGTGAGTTTTAATTTCTGAAGCCTCATCTCATGATATTCATATGAGAGATGTTACGTCACCGGTGTTGGAGTAAAGACGTAATGGACGATTTTTTCATATACAAATTAGGGTCATGTGACACCTTGATTGAAAGGTCTACCGATCGTCTATTCAACAGTCAAAATGTTGCATAAGAAGATTGAAATTAAAATGGATTATCATGTGATTAATTGAATCTTGCAGAGGTCTGCTACTGAGAATTGAACATCGAAAGGTCGTCTAGTTAAAAAAATACGTCGAAAAAAAAGTTCTAAACTCTAGTTTCTGGTTTTCGAAAGTCGTCTTGTTTGGAAATGAATTTATTCCATACATTTGCATCATACTGTACTATGTATTTCGTTGGTATATATGTACAGTCATCTTTAGAAAACATGTCGCGGTTAGACAGTGTAAACGCTCTTATTGCAGCAGTGATTTAGAGAGCACCACACCGTTCATGTGCGACATGTTCACTAAAGACGAGTGTACATACCAACTTGATATCGACCTCCATTAAGGTCCGTCAGCCTCATCATTCAATATTTCGAGAAGAAATAATTTTGTAATCAATTTATCGTACCCTTTTACCCACTCGAAGAGACGCTATACACTCTCATACAAAAATCAAAGACAGAGAAAGATATATACAGTGAGGACGTAAAAAGTCCTCCCCCCCCTTTAACCTTTGAACGGAACAAGCTAGCGAGGTCGGGTAAAATCCAGGCAAAAAGGTACTTCTTTCACTACTATTTGGCATGAAAATGGTTGTGGTCACGTGACATAGTGTCAAGTCGGCACCATCAACTTTTTTTTTTTAAATGTGAAGAGGGGTCACGTGGTACCTTGTTTTGAAGGCCTTTCGATTCTCTATCCAACTCTGCATTGTGTGTGAAATTCAGTCAAGCCGTTTCAAAATGACAAGCGTTTGAAATGTACCTGGGAAACAGTAAATCACGTTCGGATTGAATTCCAAAACCGATTTTTCAGTGTCAATAAGTGAACGATGAACATTTCGAGCATGTTTGAGCACTTGTTACAATTCCTACTTGAAATCATGTTGCAATTAAAATTTATTCAGATTTTTTATGCATTAATATTAATATTTGAAGCAAATTTCAAACGCTTGTCATTTTGAAACGGCTTGGCCGATTTGTACAAACGAAGCGGTGTTGGATAGAGAATCTAAAGGCCTTCAAAACGAGGTACCACGTGACCCCTATTTGAATTTGAAAAAAAAAAGTTGATGGTGCCCACTTGATACTAGGTCACGTGACCACAACCATTTTCATGCCGAATAGTAGTAAAAGAGGTACCTTTTTGCCTGAATTTTACCCGACCTCGCTAGCTTGTTCCGTTCAAAGGTAAAAGGGGGGGGAGGACTTTTTACGTCCTCACTGTATAGATGTACTCTTCCCAGCACTTGTGGAGGAAGGAAGATGCGAGGATCCTTTATCCAAGCGGAAAACATATTCTTGTCCTTGTCTGGCAACACATATGATTTGCTTCAAATGCGTTTGTGTTTATGTTTGATTGTCACTGCTTGTCTAGTGGCCGTACTCTAATTTACAAAAAACGTCAAAACAGCAGTGTCCAGTACATTTAGGAGGACTATTTCACACAGACCTCAAGTCAACTTCGAATTATCGATAACACCAAACTCGACTCTTGACTCTGATTGGCATCTCAAGTTCGGTGTTTTCAGAATTGTTAAACGTTGATTGTAAGTAATAACGATGTGTACGCATGCAAAAAAACTTAGTGCAAATGTGAGAAATAATTGCAATTAACATGAAAGATAGAACTCACTATTACATGTAATAGCGGGTGTTCAAATAATCAACAAGCTCAAAGCGTTGTATACTAGTTGTTAACGAATCATTTAGACAAGCCATAACTCCTCATTCGATGTCGATTCCTGTTGATTAAACTATATTCGGCCATATTCAAGATTTATTTCACTTTGTGAAAATAAGTCTAATATAATTCCACTCATGATTAAATTCATCTCATGAGTCTGTCTAAGTGATTGAATTTTCTTGTTCCATAATTTCGGACTATTGACTTTATTAGAAGCTAACTTTGAAATTCTCAATGTTTTCCTGATAAAATGATTAAAACGTACTTTGAAATGTCTAGGTTTGTATGAATTCGCGTTGGTGCTAGGAAATGTAGAATGCATTCAATTGCTTCATTTCCTAATCTCTGACAGAAAACAATATTCGGAGTTTGAATAAAATGCCTATGATTCGATTCATTTTATAAAGACAGACATTTTGTAAGGTATGTTTTTCTGGATCTATAGCTATAGAATTATTAGAAATATTACATTGTCTCTTCTTGGGATATACATATGTATATCCCATGAAGAACTTTTTTTCAACTGAGACATCACTTATTAAATTACTCTACCTCATTGATACGTGATTTTAGCAGGACTCTGTGCCGAAATTTAGAATAGTATATATGCTCAGAGAACTGTGGATCGGAATGATATACAGTAGATTCAGTACCGACAGCTGGTTGCAGAATACAACAATGTTTGACATGATGAAAACATGCATTCTCAAAAACTTTTTGAAGAATTCTCTAAAAATTTCTCATCTTATGAGTAAAAAACCTTTTTTCTTTTTTCAGAATATTAGATAAAGTAAATGAAAGTAAGAATTAATAAACAGTCCGATTTTTTCTAAAATTATCAGTTAGTGCCCTTCAAGTCGGCTCAATTCCTCAAAAAAAGTGAACAAATAAGCGAAACCCAATAAGTTAGTATAGACCACTAACTACTACGACCAATCACCAATTCCACTGCCAATTTTACATACCTTGAAAACTTTTTGTGGCGATGATGCCCTATTCAAGTAAACCTTGGTCGGTTTGGCCACGATCCTCTGCAAACACCGAAAACAAAAAATTACTCCATGTAAAACCTCAAAAACGATAAACTATTCTAAACTATCAAGTTTATTGTAAGAGCATTATAAATATATTGGATCTTTCTTTTATTTGATTCAGACCAGGGAAGAGTCCCTCTTATCCTTATATCTATTATGAAAACGGTATTGAAGTTTGATGCGAACAGCCCTTCTGCCCCAAATAAGTTTCAGAAATACATTCTGAGAATTGAAAAAGATCGAACGGAATAAATGAATATCAAAAACTTGAGAATAGTAAATTTGGTCATAATGTCGATATTTTCTTTAGTTTATGGACAATCTCGGTCTTTTGAACTTTGATTGATCATCTGGGTCATAATCAACTGCATTTCGAAGAAGCTGATTCTCATGAACCTCAGCTTTTCCGAAAGTCTTGATGTTTTGTTCTCTAATGACTGACACTATTGAAGGGAGTTTCAGATCCCTGGCGATCTGGTTATTCCGAACATACCAAGGAGATCCTGTCACCATTCTCGCGATTTTGTTTTGTAATGTTTGTACTCTGGTGATATGAGATTTAGCTGTGTGGCCCCAGACTACTGAGGCATACAGTAAAATTGGCCTGATAGCCATGATACAAATATTCAATTTTTGTCTCAAACCCAATTTACTTCATCTGTTTAGAAATAGATTCAGGGCCCCAATGGCTCGTTTAGCTTTTGAAACTTGCTGTTCAACTTGCTGGGCCCAGGTGAGCTTTTTGCCAATGCACACACCTAAGTATTTAACTTGTGAAGACCACTCTAACTCATGACCATCCAGGACTATTCTGGTTCTGGGAGGCCTCCGCTCCCTTCCGAGTGCGACCAATTGTGTTTTTTTAGGATTCAATTTGATCTTCCATCTTAAGAAGTACTCCTGAAGAGAATTCAGTGCGATTTGTCGAATATGCAAGAACTGCCGTATCGTCAGCAAATAGCGACATCTTGCACATCACTGGTCTCGGCAAATCGCTAGTATATAAACTGTACAACAGCGGCGATAACACTGCACCCTGAGGAACACCAGCTTCAATGGGCTCGATACCAGATCGTTGATCATGAAGTTTCATTTGAAAAGTCCGATTTTTCAGAAATTAACACATCAACTGAATCAAATCGTCAGGAAAGCCCATATCGATTCTTTTGTATAAGATACCATCATGCCATACCTTGTCAAATGCTTTCGCTATGTCAAGGAGAGCAAGATGGGTCTTTTGTCTATCATTTCTCAACGATATTGTGTTCTCAATGAGTCTCAAGACTTGTAGTTCAGTTGAGTGGCCAGTTCTGAAACCGAACTGCTCATCTGGTATTAGCTCGTTGTCGTCGATAAATTCCTGTAACCTCTGTTTAATCACTCGCTCAGTTATCTTAGATGGAGAGCACAGGAGACTGATAGGACGATAGCTCTGCAGAAGAGCATTATTCTGGCCTTGCTTCTTAAGCATCACTACTTCGGCATGCTTCCATCTTTGAGGAAAATATAATTGTTTCAATGTGACGTTGATGATTTTACATAAGTAAGTGATGAAATTACCAAGAATCCTTACCTGGAACTTTCCTGAGTTTTTGTGCTTTGATGTAGCCAATTATTTAATCCGTAGAGGCGGGCCTTATTCTTAAATCGTGAACTTTAGAAAAGATATACTCTTCTAAACTATGAAGTTTATTGTACGAGCATTATATCTGTGCCGTCCTTTCCGTGGATATCATATCATTATCAAAGTTTTCACAATAACTACTGTCGATTTTCTTCAAGCATCAACCGAGTCAATTCAAAAAATCACATCGACAACTCCAACACTTATCACACATTTAATTCCTACAATTACAAATTGATATTATCGACTGAAACTACGCTGTCAGGTCCGACGGCCGCCCGCGACAGCGTACAAGCAAGAAACTCACCCCCACTCCCGGCTTGGGCGGTGCCGCGGGCCGCAAGATGATCGGCTGACCGGCCGGGCGGCTCATGCTAGGGGCGGCCGAGCTCGTCTTCTCGATGTTCTGCGTGCACTTGCCCATGTGCTGCGCCCAGTGCTTCTGCTGGCACGGGTAGTCGCAGTAGCTGGTGTTCCAGCAGCAGTAGAACTGCGCCTCCTTCGAACAGTTGGCGCACCTGGAATCAAACAGATTTTTTTTCATGTGCTGGTATAGAAAATGGAGAATTAAAATCAACCAAATCAGTCCAAGTAATGTTCACTACGTGCCATGATAACTGCCCACCAGTCACCATCGATGGAGTGCCAATTCCAGCCAAAAGCAATGTGAAGTACTTGGGCCTTCACCTAGATCAGAGGTTAACATGGGAAAAACATGTACAAACGAAAAGCAGGCATCTAGACATCGAATTCAAACAAATGTACTGGCTAATAGGCCGTAAATCCAAGATATCGACCGATGCTGCTGCTGCTCTACAAAGTAATGCTAAAACCTATATGGACATACGTTATGCAACTATGGGGCTGTGCAAAACGAACTAGAATAAAAACCATACAAAGAGTCCAGTCAAAAACACGTCGATCTATTGTTGATGCTCCTTGGTACATTAGCAACCAAGCTCTCCATGAGGACCTCCGAATTCACAGAAGTTATTAGAACAGTTTCCACCAACTACCAAATGAGACTAACAGGCCATCCATATGATCAAATAGAAAACCTGTACAGGAACGGATCAATTCACAGAAGATTGTACAAAATCTGGCCAGAAGACATTTTCCAACACAACTAATAGTGATTAGTGTTCTATAAGTGAAAATGCCAAAGGGTATCTCACTTCCAAGCTCAAACTTTCAACTATTTTACTAAATACTATGTGTTGAAATAGATTGTAAAAAGGCAGTGCATATAAAAAAAAAAAAGGAAAAAAAATGTTCTGGTTTCCACGAAAAGAATAATGCTGATTCTTAATATTGAAAAGGAACATTCTCAGATATATTTATGAACACAAAAAATGGATATATATATAAAGAAATACATTGAGAATTCCCATTCTCCATGTGATGAAAATATTAATTCTTTCTCGGTTTATTCAACAGAAAACAACTACTTTCCTGGCTATATGCCACGAGGAATATTGAATTACATCTATTGAACACACACGATAAGAATTTGAAAACAAATTCCTCTTATATAGAGAATTAGCATTCTTCTTCATATAAAAATATGCATATAATATAATTCTGAATATTCAACAGAAAACAACTACTTTCCTGGCTATTTGCCACGTCGAACATTGAATTATATCTGTTGAATATCCAAAAAGAGCATGAAAAATCAAAATCCTCTGAGAATTGACATCATCTCTCAAATTGAATGGAATAATATGATGTATTATGATATAGAAATATAACTTACCGATATGTTCAGTATTGAAATGAAAATTGAAATATATAGAAGTATACTTTTATGAACGGAGGGATTTAAACAAAAATGCCACGGAAATGCCATAAAAACGCCACGGGTTTGTCACAGCATAAAAAACGTCACAAAAAGGTAAAAACCCGAAGAGCGAATGTTGAAAACATTGCAGAACGAACCTTAAATTTTCTTATAGAGATTAACATGGGAGAAGTGGCTAAAATGCGGGAGAACTGTCCAGTACCTTTACTGTAATAAAAATGGTAATATTGATTATGATACCAACCATTGTTTGGACTTGGCCGACTCGATTCGCTTGATGGCCTCCGCCTCGCAGCTGGCTCTCGCCTCGTCCTTGACCCTCTCCCTGTCTTCCACGATGCTCCTCTGCACGTCCTTCAGTATCGTGCAGACGTTCTGCCGCATCTCGGACAGCTCGAGGTTGTGCTTGTGCTTCAGCGACTCGATCTCCACCTGCAGATTGATGATCCTCGCCTCGGGATTGGCAGCCCTGCCCAGATCCGCCATCGTTTCGATCAGCATGCCGCGGAAATAGTCGGTCATCTACGAGAAACATCCGAAATGGGATAATAGAGGGTGACTGACAAAAAACGCCTCAAGCTGTAGCGCCACTATCAACTATCCGAATTTGAGAAACAAAAAAGCACTTGAGATGATTCATCAAGGGGACACTAACGATTTCTTTTTTCAATTTCAAGGCTAACTTATTTTCTAATTTTTTTCTGGATACCATGATGAATAAAAAGTTGACTTACACGTAAAATTAGTTGGGAAGACTGTATGCTCCGTCGTCAACAAATGGATCATTCATTATACTTTCTCTAGTATTAAGTTTCTTATGATAGTCATTTGTTGTCAGTAAATCATTTTCACAACATTATAATGCCTTTTTTTTATTAGGAACGGACCCAACCTTCAAAGACTCAATTGAAAATGTGATGTAAAGATGCATTTCTTCTCGACGTAGCATACATTTATAAATTTTTTTCAACTAATTTTACGCAAAAGTCAACTTGTTATACATCATTGTATCTCTATCAGAAAACAAAAAAATATATACAATACCATCTGAAAAAAATTTACAGTCGCTGTCGTTAAGAGTTGTATTTGGAAAAAAAATTGTTAGTGTCACCTTGTAGTATCTGATGAATCATTTCATTTACTTTTTTGTTTTTCAAAATCGTATAGCGGCGCTATATCTTGGGGCGTTAGGCATATTGGATATCATTATTTGATTGTTCTGCATTGGTAGCATTTACAATTCTGTCATTTCACAAAATGGCAAAGTTTTGCCAGGTTCAGTGTTGTCAGAAAAGTTTTTCGAATATTCAATGGAATTCCTATAAAATTTCTGTGAAATTGGATCAACACTATCAACAGATGTAGAAATACTTCTGAAAGAAACTAAAATTTACAAGAAATATTCACAAAAGGAGGAAATGGATGAAATGTCATCTGCCAAATGAAATCTAAGGAATTGCATGCACCAAAAAATTTTGTACAAAGGTGAAAGCATTACTACTACAGATGAAATGTTATCTGTCAATCGAAATTGATTCAATTATTTCATTAACTATTGAGAAAAAAGTATAAATGGAAATCACAAAGAGAGAAACTCAAAGTCATTACCACAATATAGTTCATAAAATGAACGAAATACCTTACTGTGTCATAAATTGTGGGAATTCTCAAGAGAATGGATTCCATTTTATATAATTTTCCGTAGGAAATATCAACCATTCTCTAATGGAAGGAATATATGATATGGCCTGGATCCCGTTCTGATGGATGGAAAACTTATTTGAAGACAAGCAGAATTTGTGAGGTATGTGAGGTAGGTACCTATACATACATTAAAATTCACTTCTTATAACAGCAGATTAGAATGAAACTATATTTTTAAACAGAGGATTTTAAGATCCGCTTGAGAGAATCTGCTGTTCCATCCATTTACAAAACAGGCTATTTCAAGTACAGTTTTACATAATAAAGAACTAGCTATAAGTATATCCACATGTGTCTATTTTGTCATATTGAAATGGTGTTACATGCATTCTCTTCATTTTTATAACTGTTGTTCTGCGAAAAGTGTATGGCTATAAATTGAAGTGGGCGTTTATACCCTATTCCCATTTTCCATCGACGGCTATTATTGACAATCAGGTGCTAGATGGGAAATTGAAAAGACAAAGAGCAGAATATATGTCGTTCTTTTATTCACTCAAACAATTATTGTATAATGGAAAATAGAAAAGGACAGAAGTTCAGCTGTGTCCAAACTCTTATCTAACTAATAGCATCCATATGGCTCTAATTCAAACATGATCAGTGGCGGATTTACCGGTACGCTTAGTATGCTCAAGCTTAGGGCCCCGACCCTTGCAGGGGCCCCCGAGGGGCCCTGGCATTGCATGACTATTTTCCCATATCATTCGTTTGTATAGATGAAATAATGATTGAAATGAATTTCTCTTTTGAGCAATAGGTATTTATTTTATATACCTAGAAGCAGCGGCAACATTCCAAAAATGTTGAAAACCATAAGCAGGGTCCTGCCGATCTCATAGCGACAGTGGGCCGGTTAAGGGAAAGAAAGTTCCTTAAATCCGACAAAAGTTCAATAACTTCCTCGATATGGCATTTTACAAACTGAAAAAAAAAAAAAAACATGTGCCGTACTTTTTCAGGAACGGCAATTTTTTTTTCATCTGCAAAACGTATACCGTTGAGGAAATAGTAATAATGTTCCTATGAAATCGGCGGGACCCTATATACTGAAGGAATGATGGACGTGTTTTTCAATGCAAAAATACTACATTGAACTTGTTTTCAACACTGCCATCAGTGACCAATTGCGGATGAGAGCGTTTATTTTCAAATTTATCAATAATCAAATCAAATTGTGTACCTAATTCCGAAGAGAACATAACAAACTTTGGGAATGCTTTCCATCGGAAGTGATTTGATGAGCAGTTCGATTTATGATGGTGCAATGAAAGTATTCGCAGATTCGTGAATCAGAAAATTGGAAGTGATATCGTAGTATGTTTCTCCTAGTAATTTCGTTACGGTTTAGTTCTTTTATTTTGAACGTATCTGATCCTAGTCAGTGTTATAGTTACGTTCATTTTATTTCATGTGGCTCTGATTTTTTTTATTTGTTATTATATCCTAAACCATATCAATGAATGCACTTTTTTTTGTTCCTTATATCCTATATACCGGGTGGCTACGGAAGTATTGCCTACGGAATATCTCAGTTATTGTATGAAGTAGGTTTGTGAAATTTGAAGCGTCGATATAATGACATAAGAGCTAGAATTTGAGCATATTGACATGTCGAAGTTATCTTCCGGTCTGACCGGAAGTAACATCAACTTCCTTATTTCAAATGGAAACCCTATTTTTTTTTCTTTTCGCTTTATTCAGCATTCAATTCCCTTTCTAATGACATATCACAAGTTGGTATCTAACCATAAACTAGATCAGAAAAAAATTATTATTGAAATTCACCGAGTAGGCCGTGGAAGCAAAATGAAAGCCAAAAATTGAAAAGTTGGCTATGGAAACCATACGTCACTTGATAACAGTTGCTACTACTGTGATATTTTATTTTCATTCGTCGGCGTTATAAAAAGCCGCCAAAAAAAAATTGGAAAAATTGGGAAAAAAACAATACTCTGTAGGTCCATAACTTAAATAGGAACATACATCTTTTTCTTGCCTGTACTATTCAGCATAACCATTTCTTTCTAATGATATAATAGAAAGTCATTTTTTGGCTTTCATTTTGCTTCCACGGCCTACTCGGTGAATTTCAATAATAATTTCTTTCTGATCTAGTTTCTGGTTGGATACCAACTTGTGATATGTCATTAGAAAGGGAATTGGATGCTGAATAAAGCGAAAAAAAAAAAAAAAATAGGGTTTCCATTTAAAAGAGGAAAGTTGATGTTACTTCCGGTCAGACCGGAAGTTAACTTCGACATGTCTATATGCTCAAAGTCTAGCTCTGATGTCATTATATAGACGCTGCATATTTCACAAACCTACTTCATACAATAACTGAGATATTCCGTAGGCAATACTTCCGTAGCCACCCGGTATTTTCATCATGCATTTTTCGCTTCTATTTGGTCAGAAAATGTTAGATGGGAAAATTGGTGAGAAGAAATAACAGGAGGAGAAAAAATGATGGGTAGGGGCCACAAGGGCCCCAAGAATTATCAAGCTTAGGGCCCCAGAAATCGTAGATCCGCCACTGAACATGATGTAGGCCTGTGCAAGAAACTGCGCGCCACTTACCCTGTGAGCAATCGAATTGATCTTCGCCGTCACATCGCCCGCCGTGCTCGGTATGCCCTCCTCGAACGTGGTGCTCAACATACCGGGCGGCCGCGGCCTCAGCCTGGGCGGCGGCCTCAACAACAGGTCGCTGACCGCCCTACTGACGCTGTCGGGCACGATCGTGTTCAGCACAGCGAACTCGTCCTCCTGCGCCGGTTCGCGCGCATCGGCGCAGACCGCATCTGCGCAGCCGCCGTTACTCGTGACGTTGTCGGTGGGTTCCGGCTGCGCCTGCGTGAGCAGCTCGCTCAACAGGTGGCCGGTGGCGTTAGGCGAGGGCAGGCGGTCGGGCGAGCTGTCGACAGTGAGAGTGTCGCCCTGCGGCACGTAGTTCTGGGAGGTGCGAGTGTTGGGGGCGGTAGGCGGGGCGGGCGGTAGGGCAGGCGCAGTGGGCAGCGCCATGGCGACTTGCTGTGGTAGAAAGTGGGCTCCCAATATCACAATGAAACGAACATCGACAACAATAACAATGGGCCTTTCCAGTATCGTAAAATTTGAACCTCTCTCGCTATAATGTTATGAAGGAAGGTTTGAAACGTTATCCTGACCACATATTTATCGAGAATGCTATTTGAATACCTGTAAATTCAAATGCTACTACGCTGTGCAATTTGATTGGAGTTTGTAACGGCTAGGAAGCAAGCCACTGTAGCCAGGTCTCTATGAAATTCGTGAATTGATCTCATGTACAAGATGGTGCAAGGAATACCATGATTCGAAATTACTAGAGTTCCTAAATGTACTTGACACTGCAGTTTTGACGTTTTTTGTATATTAGAGTACGGACACTAGACAAGCAGTGACAATCAAACATAACCACAAACGATTTTGAAGCAAATCATATGTTTTGCCAGACAAGAATAAGAATATGTTTCTTGCTTAGATAAAGGATCCTCGCATCTTCCTTCGTCCACAAGTCCTGGGATTAGTACATCCATATATATCTTTCTCTGTCTTTAATTTTTGTTTGAGAGTGCATAGCGTCTCCTCGAGTGGGTAAAAGGGTATGATAAATTGATTAGAAAATGATTTCTCCTCGAAATATTGAATGATGAGGCTGAAGGACCTCAATGGAGGTCGATATCAAGTTGGTATGTACATATATGCCAATGAAATACATATACTAGTTGAATATTTTTTCGTCACAAAAGTTCGGAATGAGGTAAATACTGATAAATTTCAACCAATGAAACATACTTTTATTTCGTATGGAACAATTCCATTTGTACAAGAGTGGTAGGTAATAAGTAATTAATAAATGAACAAATTATATGGCAACACTAACAGCTGATTTCAATTAGGATGAATAATAACAGTTCTCCAAGACATACGGAAGTAGGTATAAATGGACTTCAGCGCTCGAATCACTATAGATCGCCGTTCACATTGCTAAAGGGGATTGTTGGTTTGAACCCGGCCATCGGAAGATCATTCTCAAGTCTTTTTCTTTCAAAATATGTTCGAAATGAATTTCATTATCTGCAAGTTTTTCGTTTCTTGTTGGTTCTAAATTGGAATAAGGTTCTTTTCGATACTCGCTCAGTTAGTAAATTGTGGGTTCGGCTCTTTCTCTCAATACGATTCTATTCTTCAATATCAAATCTTCCGTTCTGAAGTGTACCAGATGAAAATGTGTTGAAAAATGTTCTGTATCCTACCAAGAAATTTGAATACCTCGCAAATTTTGTCGCCTGAACCTATATGCCATGCCGGCCGCATCATATTCTGTTTCCATTTTTGTAGAATTATGTTATCCGATGGAAATTCGAATAGAGTGAATTGATTTTCCGTGTTCTCACAGTTGGAAACTGCACAAACTTGCATCTTTCTCCTAATTCTCACAATTTGTCAAACCTTTGAAATTTATGTCATGTACGTCCGTGTACTGTCAGTTCCCGCTTTTTCCATCAATTTATTTGTGGTTATGTCTGATTGTCAGTGCTTGTCATATTGTCCGTACTCTAATATACAAAAAACTTCAAAACTGCAGTGTCAAGTACATTTAGGAACTCTAGAAATTACTATGTATTAGGTTATTAGTTGATTGGTAATTCCCTGCTGATCACATTCAATTTACTCAGAACTTCAAAATAATCCATTAGTTGCAAGATTAGCTAGGATAAAATGTGATGCAGGCATCTAACAAAAATACGCTTTTCATATGGTTCGGTTTGACTAATGATATGTTTTGTTGACTAAATTGTTATAATCAACAAATTGAACAGTGTTACTATATCTCAAGTACAATCACTCCTGGGAAATTCAATAGTTAATGTGGCAACTATGTTTACAAGAGAAAGAGATGAAGCAACTGCCGCTAACACAATGTTGTCAAGTTAAAATACCTCGTTGAACGAATAACTTCACTGTTCTCATTTCTCAATATTATTGACAAGAAGGCAGTGATGCTTGTACTGAAATCAATAGAAAATAGAACCAAGTAAGTAATTCAGTATTGATTCAGTATTGAATAATACACCAACAGAAATCAAACATGTAACAAATTATGCAATGCAAATTTTATTTCATTAAAATTGGTGTGTCTCATCATTTCATACATATGTATATTTATTTGTAGGTTATGAGTTAGTTTTGGTGGTATGGAAAAACAATAATATGAATGTCACCATTTGCATCATATATAGAATTGTACTTATGCAAAGGCAATAACTATTTCTTTTATTCTTTTTTCTATTTTATTTTCTCACGTTCATAGTAACTTCTAATCTTGAAATGAATGAAAAAATACTTAGTGAGAGAGGTCCTCAAGAACTGTATAAGAAAAAATCGATCTCTTTTATGATTATATGTTAAAAAAAGGTACAACTCGGGACAATTACTCACCGTATTCATAAACGGATTCGCCAAAGGCGTGCAATAGTTGATGGTCGGTGTCGGCATCAAGATAACATGCGTCATATTGCTCACGTTATTCATACTGTTCACGGTAGCCATATTGTTCACATTAGTCAGGTTGTTCACGTTAGCCAGGTTGTTCAAACTAGCCATATTGTTCACATTTGCCATAGGGTTTACGTTAGTCATATGGCTCACGTTAGCCTCCATAGGCTTTTGTGCCTGCACCAAGTTGGCAACAGGCGACAGAACACCACCGTCGCTATTACAGACCGCATTCGAGGTATCTGGAAGAGACAGTTGGGCGTTTTTCGTACTAGCCGTAGAAGCAATTGACGTAGAGTTGCTGAGGGTGGTGATGTGAGGCTTGCTGACAGGTATCAAACCAGGCGACTGCGCCGCAGACACCGCCGCTACAGGTTTCTTCACCACCGGAAAACTGGCAACATCCTTCTTGGTTATCACTATCGGAGTAGAGTTGTCCTTCTTGGCTGCAACGCTCGAGGGAGCAGCTTCCTTCTTAGACGCCAGGACAATCTTAACGGGAGGTTTGACATACGAAGGCGTAGGGAAAGTTTTCCTAGCCCTCTGCTTGCCGCCGCTTTGCAGTTTAGCGAAGGACTTCACGTAAATCTCCCCCTCGGGGGGTATCGACCCTCCTAAGCTCTTCCTCCTCTCGAGCTTCTTGGGTGGCGTCTTGTGGCCCTTACCCTCCGGGGTGTAATTCAAGGCCACATCGTCGATCACCTTGGTCAGGTTGTCCACTTTGCGGTACTTCTCGCGTCGCTCTTCGGCCTTCGCTCTGGTCCGTATCTCGGGGGCCTTATTAGCGTCCGAAGTGTCGGTTTTTTCTGATATGTTGAGCGCAGAGAGGTACTGTCGCTTGGCTTCTAGGTTCTCGTTTTCGCTGAAATCATCGTCGCTATCAGGTTCACTTTTCACCGGCTCGACTACTATTTCCATGGCCGTGGTGTTGTCAATCAGAGGAGCGTTTTTGGACAAGACGGGCGCTTCAGCTTCCTTTTGGTTGATTATGCTGTCAATGGGGACGAGTTTGAGGATCTTGGATGGAGGAGATGTGGGCTCATCGCTACTGGGCCGCTTTTGACGTGTCTGGCTAGAAGGCGTTGGTTTGATCTTGATACTCAGTTTCGACTCTGACTTGGATGGGTGTTTCGATTTTATAGCCTTTTCGCTTTTAGCTACCGCTTCAGCCGTTTTATCGTCGGTTGTCGAAGAGTTTGAGCTCGACTTTGATTTTATATTTGTTTCGCTTTTAGCTGTATCGGGTTCATCGTCGGTTATTGAATGCCTCGAGTGAGACTTTGGCGGGTCCTTTGATTTCAAAATGCTTTCGCTTTTGGCAGCAGCCGTTTTATCGACGGTTAACAAAAGTTTCGAGTTAGATTTTGGCGTATCTTTCGATTTTATAGTACTTTCACTTTTAGCTGTAGCCGTTTTATAGTTATCTTTCGATTTAATAGTACTTTCACTTTTAGCTGTAGCCGTTCTATCGTTGGTTATCAAAAATGTCGAGTCAGACTTTGGTGGATCTTTTGATGGCGTTGCGCTATCGTTTGAAGCTGCAGTCGTTCTATTTTCGGATGTCAAAGATTTCGAAGTCTTTGTTGGTTCTCTCGATTTTTGAACGATTTCGCTGTCAACTACAGTCATTTTTTCTTCGGTTGTTGAAGATCTCAGGTTGGGCTTTGGTGGGTCTCTGGATTTCATAGCGATTACTATTTTAGATGCAACCGGTTTATCATCAGTTGACAAAAGCTTCGAATTGGACTTTGGTGGGTCTTTCGATTTTGTTGCGCTTTCGCTTCTATCTGCAGCTGGTTTAACGTCGGTTGTCAAAGATTTAGGGCTGGGCTTTGGTAAATCTTTTGATTTTATTATACACTCCCGTTTAGCTGCAGATGTTTTATCGTCAGTTGTTAGAGATTTCGGGTTCGATTTTGACGGTTCTTTGGATTTCTTAGAGCTTTCGCTTCTAGTTGCGACCGTTTTATCATGTGGTTTCAAAGATCTAGAGTAGACTTTTGATGAGTCCTTGGACTTTGAAAGGTGTTCACTAGTAGCAGGTTTATCCTCAGTTTCCAAAGCTTTAGAGTCAGATTTTGGAGATTTTATAACGCCATCGCTTGTCGCTGCCGGTTTATTATTGGTGTTGAAATGTTTTGAGTCAGATTTTGGTGAGTCTTTAGATTTTATTGCACCTTCGCTTTTTGCTGTTTTATCATCAGTGTCCAAAGTTTTCAAGTCAGATTTTGGTGATTTTATAGAGATTTTTCTTTCAGCTACAACTGGTTCATCATCAGTTTCTAAAATTTCATTCTCAGCTTCTGGAGATTTCATAGGGCTCTTGCTTTTACTTGGAGCTGGTTTACTATCGATTTTCATATCAATGGAATCAGATTTGGGTGGGTCTTGTGACTTTACAGCAGTTTCACTATTCAATGCAGCCTGTTTGGGCGTTTCAACTTCGAGGTGGTTTTTTGTGGAATGAGTCTCAGTTATTTTAGTTTCTAATTTTTCATGTTCTTGCTTATTTGTGCTATCACGATCAGTTTTGTTTTTGCCTTCATTCAACGATGAGTGGATGATGTTGAATATGTTTTTCTTGTCCAACTGAATGCTATCCATTGACTTTTTTTCTCTTTCTTCTTCCACATCCTCTTCTACAATAGATTCTACAATATTAACCAGTTCTGTACGCATTTTTAAGTTTGTATCCGCATGTTTCTGTGCAGTAGGTTTGAAAATGCTCATGGTGAAATCGGTTATGGCAGGCTGGATCAATTTTTTTGAAAGCAAATCAGGCGTTTGCCCTCTGGATTGTTGTTTCATGTCACCACTTTCTCTTGAACTTTCTTCCATCTCTAGCATAGAAGCTTCGTTTTCCATAACTTCCTCTTCAGATTCTTTTCCAACAGCTTCTTTATGTGGGACAATATCTTCTTCACTTTCCATAACTTCTTCTACTGGAACAATCTCTCCTGCACTTTCCATAACTTGTTTTTCTGGCAGAATATCGGAAAATTCCTTGGTTGTATCAATGACTTGTTCACTTTCCCTCATTTTCTTTGGTGGGACAATCTCTCCATTGGTTTCTAGTTCGTCTGCATCAGCTTCATGGTAGTCTGAAATGGTATGTTCTTCTTGATTGGTGGTACCATCACTTGTAGAAGGTTCGCTAGATTCGACTTCTTGCTGTTGAAATCCAACTTGGAGTTTTTCAATGAGCGTATCAGTGGGAGATTTAACCTCGAACACAGACTTCTTCACCTCCTCGGCCTTTTCTTTGGCATCGGACAGTCGTTTCATGAGTTGATCGGATATTTTGAGCTTGTTAGAAGGCGATATAGTGAACTCGGCATTGTCGATGTCCACTTGAACGGGCTTCCTCTTGTGTTCGAAGCTGCACTCGCTGGAGGACTTCGAAGTTTCGCCGTTAGGGGGCGACACGTTATCGGAAATCGAAATGTCTTCGTTTCCAAGGCTGATTTCCATATTTTCGGATATGTCGACGCGGTTTATTTTATCGGAGATGTTAGACATGCGACTAGAGTCGCTTTTGACGCTCATATCGCTGTTTCTTCTGGAGGTTTTTCGTTGGCTTGGGAATATTTCTTCAGAGGATACGCGTTTCTGTGTGTTTTCTACTTCTGATTTTCTTCTTTGCGTTATTTTGGTTTTACCTAGTATAGAGAAAAACAAACAAACGTGATGAATTAATTGATGAATATTTATTTGTTATTTAATACAAATGGCTGAAAGTTTCTTCTATGGACCATGAAAAGTCTGACAATAAATTGAAGTGATGTTGCCCAAAAGTGGAATCGGAAACAGAGTTTTGCACTTTTGCTTCTTCAATAATTATGAATTTAAATGTATCATAGAGTTTATCTAATTTTAGTGATACTCTTCCTCCGAAGTTAGTCTATCATGAAGCCAAAGTGACTCAATTTTTTGAATGGTTGTTGGGCAACAACTTGAAAAAATTTATAAATCCGTAGGAAATAATGTATTATTTTTACACGCTTCTGTATGCTACTGGGACTTTTTCCATTTTTGAGAGAAAAATCTGCCAATATGATTATCAACTTTCAGTCGTGTTTACTTAGATAAAAACGTGTTATGGTTAAATTAATGTTTCAAGCCTAATTGTTCAAATTGCTAAAAATTCTCTACTACTATTTTCATGCACTATTATGATTTTATGTGGCCGATACCGATATCGGCCGATATATTATATCGGTCATAAAATGTAGCTGTAAGTTTGTTGCTCTATAAATGAGGTACAACTCAATCATATTATAATTACATACTGTTACCGTTCAACACGGCTAAACCATAAGAAGCTTAAAGAATCCTTCAATAAGAGATGCAAAACATATTTAACTGATATAAATCTTCTTTTTGCCACTTCATTAGATTTAGTTTTTACAGATTCCTAAAAATTAATGGACAGGATTCAGAATTGATATGAGATGCAGGAAAATGTATCCGGCTAGATTTCTCACAACTTGTTTTGGAATACTTTCAAAGAACATACCGGTATTGCAGCAAGAAAATCAGTATCATTTGAAGAAAACACTGGTATGATGAATAAAAAGATTGAAATGTACAACATATAATACATCAGAAATAACATCAAGAAATGGATATCCTTTGACTTGGTGGGCGCAAAAAAATAAATTTTTCCAATGAAGTACAAAGTTGCGATAATTCATTTAGCACCTCCGCCAAAAGTAGTGATTTAAAAAAGCTCCTCAGTAACTGAAATATTGAGCAATTTTTATTTTTGTCAAGCCGATACTGATGTACCCCGATATTGTGCTTTACATATCAGCCGATACCGATATCGGCAAAGGAGGCCGATATACCGATATTTGGTATCGGTCGATTCCTAATTACACTGGTATTCAAAACTGACTCACTTTAAATATACACAAAAGGCACTATTATTGGCAGTTGGGAACATATTTTTTGATCAGGAAACTACAATAATATGTAATCTAAATGCATTCAAGTACAGTATGTTTAGTGTAAATCACCCAGAATCTTACATGGCACCCAAACATCAGAGCAAAACAACAACCTGTACCTGACCTAATGTTTATATTCAAGTTGATTGGAGGCCATGTTATTTGTCCTGAACTCCTTGAAATGATATTTTTACATGTACCCAGCAGAATTATCAGGAATTCTGATGAGTTTTTCATTTCCTTTCACCGTTCTAACCATGATAAGACCAACACACACAGGTACAACTCTTACTGCACTCAAAAATAATATATTCGGGCATTGTGACCATTAAAATGGGGATTACCCTTACAATAAATAAAAAATAAAAGCACTCATAAAAAAACAACTCACCACCAGGGGTACCACCACCAGAACCGGCTCTTTTGAATCCGCTCTTCGAGGCATTACCGTCCAAGGAAATGTTGCTCGGCACCTGCGTGTCGTTGTCATCTTCGTCCTCCTCCTCCATCTTGCCCTTCTCCACAAAAGCCTTGCGCCTCTCCAAATCGATCTCGGCCACCGAATCGTCATCAGTACCATAACCCTCCATGGTAGTGTCCAAATCGTGTACGGGGGTGGTGCGATTGGAATAGGGCTCCGATATCGGGTAGTCCGTTTTGGTTTCCTCGGGCTGGGGCTAGAAACATTTCACTTAAATTTCTCACATTCTGAAAGTTAACTTAGCCCAGATATGCCTAATGCCCTAAATAGTACACCTATGCTAGCTCTATTTTTCCCAACACTAGCGCCATACTTCTATATGTAGCAAGACACACACACATGAAAGTATTAAGGACATGTCGAAAATGTTGACAGACTTGCTTGATTTGTACCAACAATAGTTTGAATTAAGGGGTTATTTCAGCAAATGGATGATTACAATGTACACTTTGATTGGTGAGTTATATTTTCATTCTTCTAGTTATGTTCAAATCGAATTCGTGGTCTCAATGATCATATGTTTCATATGCCGCATCAATGTTCTGAGCATTCATGATATTTGTTTTTCATATCTCGGGTTTATTTTTGCCGTCCTACGTATAGGACATTAGGCATCTATATGACCGATTTTCATATAGAGTTTTTCTTCTATGAAGAAATCGCTATATTAGAAGGATCTGATGAGGAAAAGATGAACACAATTCGGGATATAACAGTTTTTCCTCCAATAATCGCAACTACTGAGTTGGCAGATGACCATTCGGGAGAAAATACTTTTCAATGAAAAAGATGGCAGGATCTGGACTTTGCGTTCTTGAGTTGAATTTTTGCCACAATAGAGGTCGGGTTGGCGTTGGAATTTCAGTTTCAGAGGGTGATGTGGCATTATCTGCGATAAAAATAATGATAGAGGAAGAGGAGAAGAAATCCAAAAAAGTGAAGGTAAACTGGAACATAAAGGATTGGATGGAAAGTGATTTGCCACTATATAAAATGCTATTTATGATGAAAAAAATAGATTGGCCCTCTGGAATTATTCTCAAAATTTTTTGACGTACCTAATCTCGAATTGACACTTAGAGAAACTAAGAAGTATGATCAGCAAAAAAAATAAAAAAAGCAATATCCAAATATCTGAGATGGAAAACCTCATCGAAGACTTGATTCTCAGTTGATATATTCGAGATCCATGCAGGAGAATATATTGGAAAAGAGAAAAAGGAGGGAAAAAATGGGTTAGTAACTGAGACAATCTCCAAAGACAGAAAGATAAGAGAATGATAGAAGATATCACTGACTTGATCATTTAGTTATTCCACACGTCAACTAAACTCGATGTGCCTTGTTCTATCTAGAAAATGAAGGACGGCCAGATTTTTGTATATCTCAATGAACAAAAATTATAAAATCCACACACTTCATTTATTTTGACCCCATTCAAATGAAATCTGGAGCATTCAAAGTCCTAAATTCCCCAAAAAAGATTTAGGCATATCTGGGTTAAACTTAAGAGCTTTATTGAAATTTTCAGAAATGTTCAAAGGATAATGAAATATATGAAAAATTCAAGGAAAGCCCTGCCTCTTCAAATCGATCTCGGCTACCGAATCGTCATCAGTACCATAACCCTCTATGGTAGTGTCCAAATCGTGTACGGGGGCGATGCGATTGGAATAGGGCTTCGATATCGGCTAGTTCGTTTTGGTTTCCTCGGGCTAGGGTTGGAAACATTTCACTTTCAGTTATGAAATTCACTTAAATTCCTTACATTTTGAAAGTTAACTGAAATTTATGAGCTTTATTGAAGTATTAAGGAATGTTCAAAGGATAATAAAAAATGCTCTGTCTCCCCAAATCGATCTCGGCCACAGAATCGTCATCAGTACCATAACCCTCCATGGCTTCCTCGGGCTAGGGTTAGTTATAAAATCAAATTTCACTTCAACATTTCATGAAAGGACCCTGCACCATTCACATTCAATTCTTGTCTAAGGTGAAATGGTGTGTAGATCTAGGATTACATAGATTATTTCTAAAAAATAATGCATACTAAGACTTTTATACTTACCATTTTTGCATATTTTTGAAAAATAAAAGATTTTGGGGGAGTTCAAGATATACACCAACTGCGTCTCCATGCACTGAAAAGACTGATCTCTTCATGACAGAGGATTCAAGGGGGAAAGTTGTGAAATTTATCTGAAATTTTCAGTGAATCACGAACATTTCTGAAAGTTTCAAATGTATAATAAATACATTTTCAAACTGAGAATCTCATTAAAATTTTTCGAAAGTTTTACTGTCATGGCTGAAAGAAACGTTTCAATTTTGAAGGAAACTCGACCTAACCTGACAATTTTTCTCCGTCTCGCCCGCATGCTCCACGCCGACTGCCGTTTCGCTTTCTTGGGGACTTTGCTGCTGCGTTTTCTCCTCTTGGGGCTCGTTTTCTTCGGGCTTCGGCTCCGTTTTTATCTCGTCGAGCGCCGGCTTGAGGCTCTTGCGACGCTTGCCCATCGACTTGTACTTCGGTATGGAGATCAGCATTTGCTTCCCCATGTTGTCGGGGTCCAAGGGGGTGCGATAGGACGCATGCCTGAATTCGCCGTACACCTTTCTCAGGTTGTTGATGTATATGTTCAGTTCCTAGAAATACAGTGTGTGCGATTTCAACCCGCAACACCCTTCTAATTCGGCACCCGTCGACCGATTTTCAGAAACGAAAATTCTATAATATGCTACTCAACGAGCTCTATTCGAAAATGTGGACAAATTTGAAATATTCGGATTTTCAAGGCCTACTTTTGTTTGTTGAAGAGGTCAAAATTGCAAGAACGACTAATTTTTTTTCGAAACAGTGACTAGCCTATTTCATTCAGGCATAGCTGAAATACCCCTATACGAAATTTGAACGCAAAATCTCATACAGGGTGTTAGTTATTCAATGGCAAATTTTGATATTTTTGATTTTTCTATTCACCCTTCAAAATTTGAGGAGTTGGTATAAGCGGTGAAGTAGTTATTCAATAGAGGAACAAATCGAATACATAAAGAAACACATTGAGAATTCGCATTCTTCATGCGATGAAAATATCAATTGTTTCTCGGTTCTTTCAACAGAAAACAACTACTTTCCTGGCTATATGCCACGATGAACATGGAATTATATCTATTAAACACACACGATAAGAATTTGAAAACAAAATCTTCTGAAGTAGAGAATTTCCATTCTCCTCCATATAAAGATATGCATTCTGAATATTACGTTGTTTTCTCTTACCCAAGGTACTCAAGAGTTTAAATTTCACATTTTCGTTTGGGTTTTATTAATTCATAACAATGAACATTTCTTAATAGTTACAAAGTGACAACCTAGAAAGAGGGCTCAGTGTGATGTCAATGTAATCGATTTTGAAGAGAATATGGTCCTTGAAAAAATAACCGGAAAAACAAAATATGGCTCCAAAATTTGTCATTTTGGCAACAATATACTGGGTGTCCGTGGCCATCTGTTCCAATGTAATATCTCAATCATTTTAAAAGAAACTGTAACATTCTTATTTCAAATGACACCCTGCATATTTTTTCATTTTCAAAATATATTCGCAATTATCTTTCCAATGATGTAGGAGACGTATTTTTCAAAATGATAAAAAATGTGACGGATACCATTTGGGATAAGATACGAGCCAACGATTCTCATTTTCCTCTTATCAAAACTCCCTGTGTTGATTTGAGATTGAATACATTTCAAATTTGTATTTTCTGAAATAAATTCGACACAATATTACCGTGAAAAACCATGATTTTCTAGATCGATTGTCCAAGTCTAGCTACAAAAACCTCAACCACACTGTATGCAGTCTATTTCCACAGCATTGTTGTGATTTTTAATTCTCCTCATGCAAATACACATGTTATGTTCAATAATTTATGGATAAGATAGGAATATAAAAAACACATAAACAGTGAAATCATTGTGTAGCCTTATCTTAAAATATATCCATGAGTGTTCAAGAGAATAAAAGAACATATGAGCGGAGGGTTATCATTTTTGTAAAATAAAACAAGATGGGCACATTTTATTCCATTGTTTCGGGTAGCTCCATATTTTCAACCACACTGCAAAATTAGTAGGAACCTGAAATTATTTCGGTAGACTGCATCACAGGCCCCAAAACGGATCCTCATTTGAAATAATAAAAAATGGAAGTGTCAACCATAATGTCCTTTCACGCGGCTATTTTTGATGAATGATGATTTCAACTAACCTCAACACACTTTTCAATATCATATCGTTTCTGCTTGAAAGTGTTCGGATCTTTCTCTGAATACAAGAAACACTCCTTGTAATGGACCCAAGCTCTATCGTGGGCCCCGAAAAATCTTACATCGACCATTCCCGAACTTGTACAGCTCATAGCTTTTGCCGGCCAATAGGGAAAACCTGAAGAAAATGTGAATTTTCTCTCATTACAGAGATACAGCCACGTCAACATAATAGGAAATGTAAAAACTCCACAAACGATAAGATTTCCACGAAATTGTTTCACTTACACAGTAGCTTCATCAGGTGAAATATTGGTACAATGAAATAAATTTACCTTGACTTGCCTAACTTTTATATATCCTACTTTTCCAACCTGAAGGATTAGAATTACCTGTGGAAAGGTTCCATAAACCTTCATTTTCGGAAAATAGGCACAATATCTACATTAAAATATGGTGTACAGGAATAACTCTAGTTGATCCTTAAGTGAAATGTTAGAATATTTGAGTTTGTTGATTTCTAATGATTCAAAATTATTGAATTTTATTCCTTCATTATCTACGTGTAGAATCTCGAAATTATCGTCAAAACTATGGGTTTCTTCTAATATATGGTTGGCGTATGTTGAATTTGTTTCCTTTTCAAAAAAATTTATCTTATGTTCATGAATGCGCTGATTAAACGTACGGCCAGTTTGACCGATATATACCTTATGACAAAATCCACAGTTGTTTGTTAGCAAAACAAGTCACGTGATTAAGAATTTTGTAGAAATCTTATCGTTTGTAATCAAGGCAAAATGAAGCAACAAGGAATCATTCATCAAATTTAAAGAGCAATAATTATCGATGAATGAATGTTCATATATAGCAAATTATCTGTCATTCCTCACTGAGTCATCTATCATCAAATGAGAAATTATGTGATTATTGTTATTTGAAGAATTTAAAATCTAAAAATATTTTCAGAAGTATTAAAATCAAAAGCAGTGTAATTTTCCATTATTTACCAAAATTACTGTTAAGAACATCACACATATTTTTGTTACATGAAAAATTGTTCAATAAATGCACAGCCATATTTTACACAGAACCTGTATAACATTCTGAATGTTAATTGGAATAGATTAAAAGTGTTATCATGAAGTTTAACATCTAAACTTTGCTACTGTAATCTATAAATATCAAGATTATGGCATTACTCACCTTTAAGTTTAGCCCAAACAAGTAAATGTGGCCTAGGACATACCTCTACAAACCATGTGTTCTTTTTCGTATTTGCATTCAAATAACAACTGGGGCAGTTTTCAATTTCAGCCATTTCTTGTTTGCAAATTTTTATTATGTTTTTGGCAGAGTAAGTCAATTTTGACTGATCTAAAAAGGGAAAATACATTTTAACTCCTTTTTCAGCATTGAAAGTACCAATAGCAATAAATATATTTCTATATTATTTAAATTTCTCACATGAATTGAATATAATGCTATTGTGTAATATCCACTTAGCATCAGCCTCAAAAGCTTGTGTACTTCCATAATAATTTCCCTTAATATTATTTTTTAGTTTGGTTAAATCCATGGGTTGTATGATATACTTCTGGTATTCAGGAAATTCAGCATCATTCACAGGATGTAAAAATGGTTCACTCTGTATTGAACAACAGAGAAAATAGTAAAATGAAATCTAGATGATCTATAAAATCTTACCCCTTGACAAATCATCATTCTAGATAGTGCAAACTTGAGCAAGCTGCACAAATGTTCTAATGACATCCCTTTCATTGCTTCAGACCTAAAAATCGTTTCAGAAATTCATAGCCAAATAATCATTAAAAAAAACAGCATTTGCATTTTGGTATCTTGAAGTTTTGCCAAGTATTTTGTTTCTCATCCATGGAATCCTAGTAGAATTCATTACAAATCTATCACCTCATACATGTGTTCAAAATCTAGTAGGTATATTGAATTTTTGCCAATAATTATGTTTTGAAATAATGTATTGACTTCATACCAATCAAATATACAGGAGAAAGAGGTTACTATAATAGATAGCCCAACCAGAAAAGACAATTATAGCTAAAGAAAATCTAAAACTTCCAATTTATGAAGCAATTTGTTATTTAATTTACATGAATTCATCTATTTCTAGTTTCCAGAAGTGGTAGTGTATTTTGTGATTAAAAGTGTTTAGTAAGGTGTCACTTTCAGTCTTGGTTCCCCTCAAATAAAAATAAATCTATCAATGATAAAACCATCTGAAATAATTTCTAATCATTATAATTATAATTCAACATATAATGATAACTACTTATCAAAACACAGAATACAATAATCAATACAATCACAAACAAAACAGGATGATTTTTCAGGTATTTGTCAAATGGACTTACCTTGTGTGTGTGCTTTCAGCTTTCAATATAGCCACACATTCTGGACATGGCCAGTGTTCTACATCAGATATAGTTTGTTTCAAACATCTTTGATGATATGATCTTGGACAAGTCTCACAAACTACATTGACTCCTTCTCTATGGCATCGCCAACAAAATATATCTTTATTCCACTGGAACATATAAAACCAAGGAATTTGGTAGGAGTGCTTACATTATTTGGAATTATAATCTTAACAGGAAAAACAAGTATTCTGGATGGTTAAAGGAAACAGATAATTTTACAAGTAGGTGTATTCAATCAATCAATCTTCAAACTATCCCTCAAATTTACAACATATATTTGGAGAGAAAATTGCACTGTTCTAGGGAGAGTTCAAGTCAGATTCTGTAGGTTGTCATGTTGATAATCATTGGGTTTGATGAGCACTAGACAGGTTGCTTTTAGGAGGATGAAAATAAGGTACTACACCACCACAATTATAGAACAACATGAGTAGCTATTTATCTTGCAATGAAAATTCATGAGAGCTAGGAGTTCAAGGTTATGTGAAATTCTTATAAAAACTTCAACTGCAAAGTTCAATAGCATAATAAGGAACATGAGTTAAAACTAAGTACATAGTGTTGAAAAATTAATTGTGAAAGCATTATCCTTATCTCAATCAGTTTTATTAATGAAAATAATTATTGTGACACAAAAAGAATTTATGTGTATAGGTTAGAATACATTTCACAAATCAACAGTAGAAATATTGTTCCCACTGTATCAATTTGTGATGGGAGACAAAAATCTTGATACAAAAATACATCCATATTGTTTTTGGGCTCACCTTAAACATTTTTAATTCACTAGCTGATCTCTTCCTGTTCTTTCTATGAGCATCCTCAGTGGCGCCACCTACAATGGCCTCACCCAAACTATCTCTCTTCCTCTTCAATTTGCTGTAATTGATTGAATTATCACTTGATGCCTTATTAGTAATTTCTTGGCTGTCCTGTTCCAGTTCAGCCTCTGCAGTTACTGGAAACTTGAAGTTGTTCCCAAGTGTCACCTTGACTGGTTTTTTCACTTCAGAATCAGGCTGAGCAGGGCTTTTAGTGGATTCCTTTAATTTCAGACCTTCTAGAGTCTTACGCTTACGTGAGAGGTTTGTGTCTAGCTTGGCCTCTTTAGATAGAGCCAACAATGACTTCAACTCTCTAGACTTCCTAGAGTTTGTTAGCTCAGAACTGTCATCTTCAGCTGTTTTGTCTAAGTCACTTTGATCTTTAAGGTTTTCTGTTTCTGTTGATTGAATAGCTTCTGAAGGAAGCTTTGTCAGAATATCAGTCATTTCAGAATCTGTGTTTTCTTGGAGCAAACCTTCTTCAACATCAGATTCAGGTGGTGCTTCTGGAACTGATTGCAGCTCCTGTACTGCTTCACTAGTCCTCAGCATATCTGGAGCTACTTGTTCTGACTCTGACATACTGATGAACTAGAACTATAAGCACATTTACTTTATGTAATAAGTACGATTTGCAGGTAGACATTTCAATAGTGAATAAACAGGTAACAGGTACTTAATCTTACCTTATGATATTTCACAAAAGAGTATTAGAAGTTCTTGAATCCATTTGTTAAACACAATAAAATGTTATTCAAGCTAATTTTCAATGACATACAGCGTACGGCGCAATGAATGAGAATCCGCTTACAGCGTGATATCTGGCGGAATTCCTTGTATCTAGTATCTATATGCGATGCGGTAGAATACCCTGTAAACTAGCTGCTAGCTGCCATAACCTATAAAACTTCGTTTTCCAAATAGAGCCATTATTATTCAAAACCAAAAGAGTATTGGTTAGCCACACTACCCAATAATACAGAAGCTAGAAATTGGAGTTATTGTCCAAGAAATATAAGAAGGATATCGTAATTCGTAATATTATACCAACAACCTATACACACCACACAATTCACCCCTGAACAATGAGAATCTAAAATCAGTAAAATCACCAGTAGATGGCGGAACAAAGCTTCAAACATGGAATGGAGTCTTGTCATTGGCGGAAGAAATATTGATGTTTGACAGGCTGTTCCCGAATGCAAGCACTGGGAAGTTTACTGTGGTGTAGGCAACCCACCTTGCGAAAGTAGGTATAAGGTATAATATCTTGATTCTTGATAACCTAATAGCCTATCCTATTATTTGAAGAATACCACATCAATTTCAATTTGAAAAAGCTAGATCCGTGATATTTAAAATCAGTTTCATGTGATGGAGGCCTTGAAATTCATCTCCGATTTTTATTATTACCTTTCCATATTTACAAATGAAATCATCAAAGGAAAAAAATCTTCATCTGAAATTCTACATTTTTATTATTTTTTATCTTCATGTCTAATCATTGGGATTCAATCCTATATAAGATTACTACTATTCACATATGTAAAAGTATAGGACATGTTTGCTCAGAGACAATAACATGATTCCCCCTTTTATATAAGATTATTCGTGAAGATAAGTTTGTGAATGATCTTATTCCTATCTAGGAAACTTTTTTCTTTGTCACACTCGCATTGAGCAAATGAAAACTTCGAACGCCTAAACCTTCGTACTTACCTAATCGTTTGAAATAAAACCCTATCAAACCCGGTATCGTTGAATTCGTTGTGATTTGTGATATTCCTAACCGATTATGGAATAATATACATGGTGTCCCGTTTGATATTCAAAAGTTAGGGTATATAGTTATCGGTGAATCCGGAAGTGATGACATACTTATCACAAAATTTTCCAATTCTCGAATCCTACACCCCTGCCAAGTTTGAATATCATATCTTTGGAACTTTATAATTCATGGCTAGTTTCGTTGAGACTCGGTAAAGCAATTAAGTGTACCTATAGTATTTGCTTAGCGTTTTTCCAGATTTTTATACATACTTACCACAATATAACCAGATGAATCGTTGTAACATATTATATGAAAGCTTTCAATAATAACTTGGTTCTTACCAAGTTCGAGAAAGCAATAATTATAATCCTAGGAATTCTAGGATAAACATAAACTCTCAAATGCGCCAATAATTTTCGATGCTCTAAACCCAATTGCCAGATACGCAACTACTACACATGGAGTTATAGTTGGTTGTATATCTATCAGGACAAAGAGTACGTATTCGTTAAAACCAGGACCGTCTTTTATATTTTGATAGGTACCATAGTAGGGGTCAAGCACTATATCAGAGAAAAAGTTTTATACGCAAATCATGAAAGTCAAAAATGGATCATTCAATCTTCAGTCAATGAGAACTTTTGAGTTAAAAAATGTTTTTCAGTCGACTGTTATAAATTCATGACCATTATTTATTTTGCTATACTAGAATAGTTTTCATGGTTTATCTTTCATATATTCACCATCAAGTGCATGAGAATAAGATCGTGAGCATAAAAGTAATTAGGCAGCTACATGAATAATTATTGTCGGCAGTTGAGTACCTATAACAGCAACTTTCACTTGGTATAAGAACTACCAATAATTGTTAATTTTACAGGTTATACAGGATTAGTTTATACAAAGTATTTTCTGTGCTACGGGTATAAGAGTGTCATATATACTTAGTGATTCATAGTTATTGATAATACACTCATTTATAATATTCGACATGCTCTTCCAGATAATAATAATGATATATTCAATGATCTTGTAGCACATTTTTACAACGTATATGATAAGTCAGAAAAAATGAGACACGTGAACATAAAATCAGTCACTATACTGGATTTAAATCAATTATTATCTCTGTCCGAGAAGTACTCCTGAATACTGTAGTACCTAACATTTTCTCAACAGTAGTTTTTTCACAGATTTTTTGAAGAGGTTATCATTGAGAAGTTTGTTGTTTCTTGCAAGATGGTTATACATTTTGATTCCCATATATGAAATGTTATCTTCAAAATTTTTGGTTTTGTGTTTAGGGATGGATAAAATGTCAGAATGTCTGTTTTCGTAATTATGTAATGATGACTTTTTGATATATTTGGATATATTTTCTCTCACATACAGTACAGATGAGAGTCCTCGTCAATAGATAACATCTTCCAAATATAATTATACTCTCAGTAAGTAAACAATTGGAGTAGCTTGGAAGGGCTAGTGGTTGACTTTGGGATAGTCTTCATACAGTGTGTCCTTACTGACATAACAACCTATATAAACCTATAAAAATGTCTTACTGAATCCCCCACGTGCATGAATTGATTGCAAGAAATGTATCTCGCGTACATGAATTTTTAAAGAAAATCATGTATTCGAAAACATTCCGGCAATAATTCATTCTCTAGGGGGATTACGAGTGGAAATTATGATATTCTCATATTTCCTGGGCAAACTGCAAATAATTGCATAAACAGACTAGTTGGGGAAAGAAGTACACCTAGCCTAACCTCACCCGCCACTGATCAAAATTTCAGAATTATTGACATTTCCAAATAACCATCATCTCGGTCTCTTTTCACATGGCTATATAACCCGCCAGGTGGCCATTTTGAACTTTTATTTTGTTCCTAGAATATGTGGTTGAAATTCGGGACACACTGTATACCATTTAGTAGATCATATACTTGGAGGCCTGCAGATTTTCTGAGTTCACATTTACCTCAATTCAATAATGCTCTCAAGTTTTTTCGACCGGTATATGGTTGGTATTGCTCTGTTGAATGTCCAACACGTGCGTGTATGTACAGTTATTCGAATTCGGTAGCGCCATAACAGGAAAAATGAGATGGGCAATAATTGGTGGACGCATAATAAGCTTCGTGTTCCGTGAGGTAATTCACGAATGCAACGAATCCACGATTCTAGGCCATTTTCAGGTAGAGGACTGGTTGGAGATATAGCTCAATTTTTCAAATAAACTACTAAACTCTTGATTACTGGATTTCACTGGAACCGCAAAAATAGTAGATTGTTTTATTAGGATCAAAAGTGACACTTTGTTTGACAAGCGAATTTTGCATTTGCGAGGCGGACCGTTTAGCGAAGCCGAGCCAAAGCAAAATTTGCGAGTCGAACAAAGTCACTTTTGATCCGAATGAAACATGCTATTTTTTCTGCAACCGAAACAATTAACTCAAATAAACATGTGAAGTAACCACCAATGCCATGCCATATTGTATGCAATATGCAATGCAACAAATATTGACAAAAAATAATCCATGTGGTGAGAATATTCTACCTGCATTAACAGCAGGTTAGGTTTTCAAGGATGTTCGAATTGTAGTTTCAATATAAATACAACCACAGAGTGACATATTTGTGTATGGACCAGGTGCTCTAAAGGCAAATACCGCGCCAGTGCCAGCTATAGGAACAAGACGTGGAAAATGTTAGGTTAGTGAGCATATCGAAAATGATAATAGTGATTATTTATTCCTCTCCATACTACACTGTGTTTGACTTGATAATCAAATGAAGCTAAACAATATCGTTGTTTGAGACAAAAAAACTATTGCTTGCCGTGATTATTCAAAAACAAGTTATTCATTCCGAGAATAACGAATGAAATTACAGATCAAGCAAGTATTTGAATCTTGAAGGCTTCCCTGATCAAAACAAAAATACTTAACTGAGATGTTTATAATTCCAATACTAAACTATAATATGGTGTATTTATATCTCCAGCATGGGTATAAAATGCCAAATCTGATGAAATCGGAAACAAATCAGGTATGCGTCTCAACCCAAATAACCAACCGTCACAATGTTGTTTACTCTTGATGAAGTCCAGTACATCCTTTTTAGTTCCTAGGAGCTAAAGTTCAACTTTAGCTCCTAGGAACTAAAATTCAACTTTAGCTCCTAGGAACTAAATATGTTGCCTAGCAACATATACCTATTTTTGTGTCAGTAATAGAAACGTCAATTTAAAAGCTAATTTTGGTATCAAAATGGACGACTTTTGTGTCGGTTGCAGAAAAACACATTTTTGCACTAAATTCAACATTGAACAGCTATTTTCGGCTATAATTGCACAAGTGCATGAAAATTACCGATAATTTTGCAAGAAAGCCTGTTATCCTTAATTAAGTGTGAATACTCAAAGCTGTTCCTTCGGACTCGGGCTCTTTCGCCAAAATATGAAAATAAACGAATGCAATTTGTATAAGATAACACGCTTGAATGCAAAATTGTCTGGTTATTTTTATGCACGAATGTAATTCATTGTTGGATTTGGTATTTTTTGGTTCACTTTCATTATTTATACTTTCCTAGATAGGTTGTATGGAGCACTCACATTTTTATCACTTTTTGAAGTTTATCTGACATTTATGGCGTCTAGCGACATGACTTTATAAATGTGTTGTTATGGCGACGGGATCTCTTCGCAGTGCAGGGCAATGGGCTTATATCACAAATAGTTATTTATGTATTAAGGGAATTATGAGGGCCTTAATTACCGATGGCAAAGTTTGCGTCCCGAGGGCCTCTGGCCCGAGGTACAGCAATTGCCTGAGGTTATTGAGGCTCAGTAATTCCCGTGATACATAGATAATTTTATTTCTGACTGATTTCATTCATTAGATACCTACCTTCCCGATTGGAAGTTAGACATGTTTTTCCGTATAGTTTCAATGTCATCAGAACGTCAGATGATGATCTTGACTACCGTGAATAGGAGATTCCTTATTGCTTCGTTACTGCGTGGTTGTTGCTATGCATTTCTTATTTAATTTTAGTTAGAGGGAATTATAGCATCTATAACATCCCAAGGGAGTTATGACCCTCATAATAGTAACTATGACGATATAAGCTTATAATGTCACTGTCAGAAATAAACATTTTTATTTCATAATTCGATAGAAGTCACCCAAACTAGCTCACCACCGCAAACCGTTTCTTGCTGTGAGCTCCCTACGTTTTATAAAAAAATATTGAAATCCCCGATTTTTCGGACCTCTGAAAACGAGGCGATGATGTGACGTCAAAACCCTAATACTGAAACAAGACTATTCCAAACATTATTCATGCCCAAAAATAAAATATTCCAGTTAATTTTTCGATCGAATTATGTCGTCAATCATTATTTATGTATAAAAGGATCATTAT